GACAAAGCACCGAGATTATTATGTTTGTCCAAATAATGGAGGCAATAAGATCAATGGACCTCCTGTAGTGAATAGTCTCAAACCGTTAAATAGTAGAGCAGTGAACGAGAGAGTTGGAATAGGATTTCAAATTGCTCTTTGGATGATTGCTATAATGATTCGCAGAACAAATCATGTTATAGCAATGCAATAAAGTGAGGTATAACAGCCAATACACAAAACAGAAAATTCACCTGAACGGGCATGTTGTAAAATGTTGAAAAACAATTCACTAATCAATAGGAAATAATGTGAGAACGCTATGTATAATTCTCACTTAGTCACGTCACACACAATTCGGTATACAACGTACAGAATACCTTATACATAATTCACCACATTTAACTCTTCGTTGGTAATCTTACCGAGTTTTCGATCACAATGTGATTGCTTGAAACAAAGCATGAGAGGTAAACCACAGAGTGCATATTTCTTCTCCAGCACTCGTGGATTTAATTCTGAATCTGAGGCGTTGAGTAATCGAGCGCGTTGCACTGAATAATTTCCTAACTTGTTGCATTGTAAAATAATCTTATCGAGCATGAAATAAACGTTAGGAATTGAGACAAAACCAGCATGCGTAATCTCTGTGACTACCGAGAAGGGTAAAAATACTCGATCCACACTGTATCCAAAATATATGCTTCCAACACAATCCTTATCTGCCTTGGACATGTTTGATGCAGTGTAATCATTGATGTCGAGAGTAAAGTAAAGATGTTCAATTTCATCCTTCATGGACCAGAACATGATTGGATCTTCACGTTCCAAAATACTCCATGACATTCTACTCGATAACTTTTGAAAAAGAGTCTCCAATGGATAGTAACCACGACAAATAAATAATCTCTTGTCTGTCACCACATAGGTCAACAATAATTTGCAATAAACCAATTTGTAAATTAGCACATAGAACAAAATAAACAAATAAAATGCAACTATTGCCAAGTAGAGACCATTCAATAGTAGAGAAAGAGTAATGGTCATGTCCTCATTGTTCTCTATCCAATCAGATAGGAAATTCAATGGCAAGTAACAAATAAGACTTGTCACAAGTGCTCCAAACACAAACAAAATTAAAACATTCTTTCTAAAGGATGGTGCAGGTTTTTCAATATGCATGACACTCTCGTCATGATCGAGAATAATTCCTGATGGTAGTTCATATTCATGATGTTTTTCAAGAAGGCTTTTTCTTTCTATTTTGGCAGATTTGTTATGAATCATTGTGCTTTCCATTTCTTCATCATCCTCTCCTTCAGACTGTACGAAAGAGGTTTCTTCATTTTCTTGAGCACTACTTAAACCATTATGATCTTCTAAATCATTGCTATCCACATTCTGATGATTATCGGGAGAGTAATAAATTTGCTGATTTTGTGGTCGTAGCATGTGCACAAATGAATTTGAAAATCCCTTCATGTTTGTGTTGTGCTGTTGTTGATTATTTTCTTGCAATAAAGAATTTTCATCATCGTCATCCTCATGTTCATGATTATAACTTGGATTGGCTGACACCAACATGTTGAAATTACGAGCTAAATCATTGATCCATTGTGTACTCCGCATTTGATGATTGACCCATGATGAGAAGACTTTTAAACTTCCTCGTGGTGAGGCTATTGCTTGATGGCCCGAAGTTGTTGCCAGAGTGGCTACTCGAAATTTATTGCTTCCCAATGCTGTGGTTGATGTGGTCGGGAGAGTACCACTCGTTGGTTTTTCATCATCACGTGATGATGATGAAGAATTGTGTTCTTCTTCCGAATTCATCATGATGGTAAAGGAAGGAGCCGTAGAGGTCGACGAAAACAACAAGGATCCGTGAGTGGTTGTTGCTGTTCCTATTGCTTGTTGCGGTGATTGTTTTGCTGCAGAATTCAGCAGCAATGATGAGGAAGAGGATGAACGATTTCGGCTGTTGTTGTTGTTGAAGTTCTGCTCTTTTATTGCGCTCGACATGGTAAAGCAGATAAAATCCTTTTATGAAAATTCGTTGAAAAAGCGGTTGATGCTTTTTTCGTTTTTTTATTTAATTGTTTGATGTTGTCATGCTTGTCATCATCTTTGAAATTCTTTGAGATTACTTTAAAAGAATTTATGGTAAATTAAAACAATTTACAAATTCACTATCGATTCCAATGAGCTCTATTGATGGTCAGGAATATTGATAACAAATCCATCTGAAGTCAGCTGCCACGAATCAAATTCTGGTCAACCAGAAAAAAAATGATTTCTCACGGCGGTCCACCATCATCCACTCATTCGGATTATCACACAACAACATCACCCAAAGGAACCACTCATCGATTCCTCATTGCTTTTCTCGTTGTTTCCATCATTTTTAATCTAGTCATGTTACTCTCGTGGTCAACATCTCGTGACCGACCATCCAACGACCTCTCCCGAAGAGAATCCTTTCATTCATTCAATCCAATCATGTATAAACAATGTCCATATCTGAATGATTTTGAAAATTTCATGATGAACAAATTTCCCGAAAAGGAAAAACAAGACATGTGGAATATTTTACATTTTATGGTTTCACAAGAAGAAAGGAATGATTACATGAAAAATTCCGCAAATAGAGATGTGATTAATTTCGGAGTTCCACACATTGTCACTGCCACCTCTCATGATTATTTCGATCGATTGGAAAATTTTGTTGGTTCCATTCATCGACTCTATGAACACAAAGTGAATGCCTTGTCCATTAATCCTCAAGTCACTTCACCTCCTGGATACAGCAATGATGAAAAAATTACAAGAATTGGACAAACCTTTAAATCTCAAATGAGATCCAATTATTGGTTGATTTGGAACAGTGTGGTCACTCCTGAACAACGACCCATTCTCGTCTATGATTTGGGTCTTTCACAGGAACAACGTGAAAAAGTCAATTCTTGGAAAAATGTTCAACTCATTCCACTCAATTTTAATGTATTACCTCAACATTTTAGAGATTTGAAAACATTTGCATGGAAACCACTCGTCATGTATTTGGCACTTCAACAATTTTCTTCAATTATTTTTCTCGACAGTGGTGTTGAATTGTGGAATCGACTCGATCGAATTGAGGACATTCTCCTCACGAAAGGTTATTTTCATGTGGTACAAGAAGGTTTAACCACAGCATGGAGATGTTGTGGAACGATTGGTGAATTAACACACGATGCGACCTTTCATTATTTGGGATTAAAACGTGAAGAGTATGGACCAAAGGAAATGTGTAGCGGTGGAATTCAAGGTTACATTCGAGATTCGTATTCGTATCGAAATGTGTTAATTCCAACATTGGAATGTGCATGGGATGTGAATTGTATTGCACCCAAAGGTTCGAGTCTTGCAAATCATCGACAAGATCAATCTGTGTTTTCACTCATGATACACAAAGCAGGAATTACATGTGAAAAAGATATTCGATTATGGGGAAATCGAGGTAATTACATGGCTGTTCCAAAAGAGGAAATTGTCATTTTTTTACGAAAAGGAGCTGAAGGAAAGCAATACATTGGACAAGCTCAGAAAAAGAAGAAATTTGCCATTGTCGTTCCATTTGCAGAAAAACAAGTTGCTAGCGTGTTGGAAAATATTAATATTTGGAATCAACCTTACTATGAACCTTGTCGACAACATCCTTCCACAAGTCATGAAGAAGATCTCACAGAGACTGATTTAATTTTCTATTCAAATCGACAACGAAATGAGAACAATGAAAAGGCCATTCTCGATCGAATCCATAGTTTGACCAAAAATTCACACAATGTCATTCTCAAATGCTTTAAGAATATTTCATTTAAATATGCAGGATTGGACAATGCACGAGATCAATATCCAGCAGGACCAAGTAATCAATTTTATGATTTAATTCATGACGAATTGTTTCATTCGACATATAGTCACTTTTTCTATATGGAACCTGATTGTCGAGCCATTCGACCTAATTGGGTCAACGCTGTGAAATCCATTGTCAAAGAATATTCCATTTCAAAACCTGATTTCTGGTATATTGGTTCCAATTATCGAGGAGATGTGGATTTAGGAGCACCATTGGAATATCGTTATCACATTAATGGAAATGCCATTTATTCGACCGATGTGTCATTTCGAGCGTTTTTAAAACACATTTCAGGAGGACATAATTTTGCCTACGACACCGATCCATTCAAATTCTTGTTTGAACAGAAACATTATGATTTTACAAAACATATTTGGAGTAGAATTATTTTCCATGATTTTGTGCAAAATTGGTGGCACTCGAGTTGGAATGAGAAAACAGTGAGAGATTTGTATCCTAGAACATATTTTGTTCATGGTGGTTCTAAAGATTAATGTTTTGTTATGGAGAATTTCCATGTGGCTCAATTCTCACTGATAAAAAATTAGTAAATATGTTTATCTACAGCGTAACATGTCATTGATCGTCCTCTACCAATTTCTGGTGGTTTGGTTGTTTATGGTGATCGAACTTGCGAAATGTTCAAGATGAGACAGTTGTATGTTAAATTAATTTATTTGCCTCGTTCAAACTTGGGACCAATTCAATCATGATGAAACAACATTTGTTGGATGTTTTCTGCCTTCCTAGTATGTATTGTTGATTTTCTTCCAATGAATGACAACATCAACATCAAATTAAGGTTATTTGACTTTACTGCCAATTTGATGTCCATCTAGACTCAAATGATTCAAATTTTGCAAGCACTCACTTTCAGCAATATATTTAACACCTTCACTGCCAATTTGATTCTCATTCAGACTCAAAGAAATCAAATTCTTCAAGCACTCACTTTCAGCAATATGTTTGACACCTTCATCACCAATTTGATTGGCACTAAGATCAAAGAAGTCAAATTCTTCAAGCACTCACTTTCAGCAATATATTTAGCACCTTCATTACCAATTTCATTGTATTGAGATCCAAAGAAGTCAAATTCTTCAAGCACTCACTTGAAGCAATATATTTAACACCTTCACTGCCAATTTGATTGGCATCCAGATGCAAAGAAATCAAATTCCTCAAGCATTCACTTTCAGCAATATGTTTGACACCTTCATTAGCCAATACGTCATTCTCATCCCAGATACCTCAAAGAAAGTCAAATTCTTACAATGCACTCACTTGTCAGTCAACATATTTAAGCACCTTCACTGCCAATTTATTGCACCCAGATTCAAAGAAATCAAATTCTTCAATGCACTTCACTTTCAGCAATATATTTACACCTTCACTGCCAATGTATCTTCCAGATTCAATAGTCAATTCTCAATGATTCACTTTAGCAATATTGACACTTCATGCATTCCACTCCAGATTCAAAGAAGTCATATTCTTCAAACATTCACAATCAGCTAAAACTTTGATTGATTTACCATCTTGTTTAAAGTGGCTTGGTTTGAATGATAATGAGAGAGGAATTTGAAATGACACTTGTTTCCATTGTTTTGAAATTTTCATACAAATTTGAATAATAAACAATGAATCCAGGAATTGAAGAATTTCAAAAATAATATCATCAATAAATGGTCCATTATTGATTTCGGTTGAATTTGTCGGAGTGAAATCATCTTGTTTATCATGATTATTGATCATGGTTGATGATGAATTTTCTGCTTCAAATACACCACTTTCAACAAATGCTGAGAGTTGTCTTTTTTTAGCATCACAAAAATTGGTCATTGGAGGAAGAATGGATCAACGTAATTTTTTTAAATTTGCTCTTTACAAAGAATTCATGAGAGTTGAAAGTGAATGGTTGAAGAACTTGACTTCTTTGGATCTCTATTACAATGAAATTGGTGATGAAGGTGTCAAATGAATCGCAGAAAGTGAGTGCTTGCGAAATTTGAATCATTTAAGACTAGATGGACATCAAATTGGCAATAGAGGTGTCAAATATGTTGCTTCAAGCGAACGATTGAAGAATTTGACATCTTTAAGTCTGGAACGTCGTGCTATTGAACAGCGCAAGTTCTTTGTTGACCATAACAAATTGTTGCCTTAGGAAGAAAATCAATAATACATGATCTGCCTTCCAACATTACCAGAAAACAGCAAATGTTTGTTCATCACCATTGAATTAGTCCCAAGTTTGAACACACAACTTCAACATTTAAATTCAGGGTGAATCATTATTACCTTGAATTTATTGAGACAACTACAAGATCATTGCAACACTTGTCATAATCATCATACACCATAGGATGGTCCACATGCCCATCTTTTCCATCCTCAACCATGTCACTCCTTCCGAAGTTCGATCACTCTTCTTTGGTGATGTCCCTGAAGCACTTGTAGGTTTCGAAGTGGACACCAATGGTTTCACACCCGAAAAAGATACCTGAGGTTTTGATGGTACTGGAGGAGGTATTGGTGGATTCAAATAAGGATTGGTTGGAATTGGCTCTGAAGCATTACATTTCAATACTGGTAATTGTTCAAATGGATTCCAAAATGGACACACTTTTCCATACATGATGCCATGATCTACTGCATGATTTCCCATTCGAATGATCAATTGAGAATCATTACACACACTATATCTTGGCCACTCAGGTAACGAATATTTGGCTGTTCCATTATTTCTCATCAAATTCAATGAATATAAATTCAATGCATTTCGATTGGGACTTCCACTCACGATGAAATTGGACCAATACATGATGAGATCTTTGGATAATTCCAATTCTTGAGGATTCAATTTATAGGGGTAACTGCCCGCTCTGGTTTTTAACATGCTTGGAAATAGAAAGGCAACTTCTGCTCCGTGTGTCGATCCAAAACATGGATTGGTAAACCAAAAATGGTAATCAAATGTGAACAAATAGGAATTATAGAGACGTTTGGAATGTAAAGCACTCACGTAACGACATTCACATTGAACCACTGCATGCGAAAGAATTTCATTCATATAAGCCAACGTATTGGGATATTCAGATGGAGATTTGTAATAATTTGGTAATTGAGGATAAATCGAGTTGACTGCTTGTGAGAAACCAAAGTAATTTCCCAATACTGCTTTTTGTTGAGGAACTGTGAGATTTTCAGGTAACACTCCACATGTAAATCCATTCATTTCATTGAGAGTCGATCCAACAATGACATTGACTGCTTCAGATCGAGTCGTATCGTTCACATTCTTTTCCAGTAATTCATAGAATGGAGCTGGTAAATAATAATTATCCAATGCTGGTTTAAAGACATCATCAGTGGGTAAATTGAATTGATAATCCACAACGGTTTGAGTATTTAAGGAACGAAGACACTCAATGGATGAACAATTGAGAGCAGTTTTCAAAGCATTGGATTGAGATTGAGCTTCGTCTTGTGAAAATTGCATTTCCCATGGCATGGTCAAACTACTTTGCATGATGGCTCCAATAAAATCCACATTTCGAACGAGTAATGGTGTCACTAAATGAAGAGCTGTCGAGACACCTCCTGCACTTTCTCCTCCAATGGTAATTCGTTTGGGATCTCCTCCAAAATTGGCAATATTCTGTTGAACCCATTTCAAAGCCATGATTTGATCCAATAATCCCCAATTTCCAGGAGTTTTTCCATTTTCAGCATAAAACATGGAATCATATAAAAAACCAAAAACTCCCAATCGATAATTCACAGAAACAACGATTAATGGAGCATTCAATTCAGAAGCAACTTGAACCCAATGATCACCCGCATAGATATTTCCAGAACCCTTCTTGAAACCTCCTCCGTGAATCCAGAAAAAGACAGGTAACAATGCATTGGATGTGACATTGGCAGGTGTCCAAATGTTCAAAATTAAACAATCTTCACTCATGGGTTGTTCATAAACAATTCCCATATCTTTGGGTTGAACACAAACATATCCAAAACGAGTGGCGTTGAATAATTGTGGTTGATTGGGAGTTTGAGGTAATTCTTGGGTGGTTTGAAACGATTGGAACCAATGGGTGGTTGTGCATAGGGAATTCCTAAAAAGGCACGAGTAGAGGGATTGGCATAATAACCTTGGACTTTTCCTTGTTGAGTGGGGACAATGAGAGGAAGAAGATCGGCATGTATCCATGCATGACAGAAGGAGAGCATGAGCAGAGCATGCAACAACAATGTGAGTGATGTGTTTGACAAGCGACAGCTACTCATTTTTGACGTTTTTTTTTTTGAGCTTGGTATCCAATGAAAATCAATAACACTCGCTCAAACGGGATTTCTTCACATTGGGCAAAAGAGGAGTACAGCACCTTGAACTCGTAGTTCAGTCTAATGAATCAACAACAAATGTCAAATCGAAGGGTCGTGATGTAACATACCATGTCCACGTGATTCTAATTAGAATCAAATCTCATGCGATGGTTGCACCGTATAACCCGAAAGCTCAACTACAGTTTTGTGTCTGTTCATTGTTGGTTGATCATTGAACTTACATGCATTGGAACCAAGTCCATGACAGGTGGCATTTTGATAAGACTCAAAAACCGCCATCTCTCCTGTTCGTTCTCGTTCCTGGTAAGAAGGTTCTTATTCTTCCTCTCGAAATAACAATTATCCAGCAAGCTCTTTTGACACTCACAATTTTTCACTGTAAATTGAACCAACACTCACAATTTTAATGTAATTACGAACGAATCATTGTGGAATCATCCGCCTCGCTTATAACTTGTCCATGAATGACATTTAACACTTCCTTTCGTCGTTCTCGACTTGATGATGACAATATTCCAATCAATCCACTATCTTCTCCCAATTTGGCAATTTCATCAAATGAATCTTTCATAATTCCTCTATGAAATAATGTATGTGAATAAGCTCGCTCTAAAAAACTATGAGAACTCCATTCCTTGTCAAATTCTTCGCTGCTTTTGGACTTGACTCCAGAATAATTGACATCGATCGAGTAACAAAGTTGAGAAGCATCAAATAATTGTTCACTCATTGGAGACACGTTGGTGACAGAAAAGGTGGAAGGATCGAATCGATGGCAATGCAATTTTCGAGTATCTACAAAATATAATTGTCGAAAATAGAATGGAATGAGAGGAAATAATCCAGAAGGACCTGCTACAATTTGTCCACTCTCAACGGATGCATGAGATCGATCCAAATTTTGCAATGCATGCTTTAGAAATGGATGACCTTTTTCAAAATACATGAATTGATTAGAAATGCATGAAAAATTTTGTAATTTTCCAATCGAAAATGTTGAATGATAGTCACATGAGGAAGTTACTGATGATGTCTTGCCAGTTAAGGGTTGAAGAGTCACTCCAATCGTATTGTTAAAAAGTGAATGCATGGGTCTCATTAGAAAATGTCCATTTTCAATGTAGAGTCCTCCAAAATGGTACAATAGGAATAATCTTAAAAAGTTAGAAAGAGCTTGAAAAGAGTGAATGCGAGGATCAAAATTTCGTACCAACGTATTGGCAAAGACGTGACCTAATTTTGAGCCGTGTGTCATTTCTTGTAAATTAAATCTCACCACTTGAATGTTATAGTGTCTCTTTTCTTTGACCATTTGTTTGAGGAAGGAATTGGTGGATTTTCGGTGAGTTAGAGATTTTAAATTTCTATTCTTTCTGTTCGTCATGGTTTTTCCTCTTCCATGTCGAAGATCATTATTGGATGAATGACGATGTGTATTTATCGTCGTAGTAGTTGGAGTCGTACTAGTCGATTGGTCATTGTCCTCTGAGTCTGCTTGTTCTTTTGAACGTTCTTCTTGTTGCCTCTTTGGTGTGGAATATATTTTAAAAGTGTCAAGATCCAATTCATTGGAAAAGATGAGCACCTCTGCATTTGGGTTGGTATGCAAAATGGTTTCAATTGCTCTAAATTGATACGAGGTCACTGAATTTCCTTCCCAGATCAGAAAAATGTGTGGTGCATTTAGAGATGGAATAACAGATAGTCCAGTGTCCACTCGTGACATTTCCTCTCTCGCTCGTTCACATAAATTTCGTGTCACAACAAGTGACACATACAAAAGACCTACAAATGTTGCATATTTGACAACAGTTTTCGGTTTTTTCGCTGTAAAAGTCGCCATTCCAATCACAATTTTCAGAAATGCAATTCCAAAATTTTTAAAATTCATCCAAAATCGTTGAATGATAAAATTCCACACCATAGGTCCATAAATTCTCATTCTCGAGCGAAAATTAATCATAAAATAAAACAAGGCAATTAAAAAACTCCACAAAACCATCCAAAATCTTTTCCATCTTTCGAAAAATGTTGCTCCTTTAGTCGTTGTCAAATTGATATTCGTATCGTTGTTATTATTCCTTTTCTTCAATAATGTGGGAGGAAATGGCTGCACACTCAAATTTGGAAGATTTTTCACAGATTTTTGTGATTTACACCATGATTCAAAGATGAATCCATTTTTGGAGGAAAGGATTGCAAATGATCTTGTTTCGTCCAATGGTGTGCTTCAAGAATTTGTTCTTTTTTCATCATATTTCTCTTGAACGCTTCCCATTGAAAATCCTCATCATTCTCATATTCCAAATAATTACTTGTTGTGTAATTGTGTTGTTGCTCTTGATGTTCGACACCACGTACACGTCGAAAAGTTCCTCCCGATGAATTGGATCGATGTCGTGTCGTGGTTGTTGTTGTTGTCGTTGCTGTCGTAGTCGTCATGGCAGAATGTCGTCCCATCATGAGTAAAGGATCCATCGAAGTATGAATATCCACAGGAGTCGAATTATTACTATATGTTTCGACAATGACATTTGTGGACAATGACGATGGAGACAATGACGACGACAACAATGGAGACGTCGGTGTCAGAGAAGACATGGTCGACTGCTGTGGTTCAAGCATGAGAGGAGACCATGGACTTTCCATTGGAGAAGAAACCACAACAGAACTCATGATTATTGGAGGACAAGTACTTGTTGTTGTCGTTGCTGTCGGCATCATACTAGTATTTATCAAGATGGGTTTGGAAGTATAGTTATTACTACTATGAGATGGAACAAGTCTGAGCTCCTCCTCAGTGGATGATGATGATGATGACACATGGGTTTCATGGAATTTAGTTGTGGATGAAAGAATGGAAATTCGAGGAGGAGAAGTTGAATGATCTTGTTCTGTTGTTGTTGTTATTGATGATGATGGCAGAGTAAACTTATCCAGTGCTTCATCTTCATTCATGACTTCTCCATCATCTCCAATAAAAGGCTTGTTGTTCCAATAGTGGTCCATAGAGTGGTTCATTTTGCTTGTTCTTGAAGGATAAATATCTGGTTGATAGTGAGGATGATGGTTCATTATGGCATCACCAGCAGGAGAAGGACTTTTCATGTGATGATTCGGATCGGAATGTAATGATGCTGTTGACTTCATAGAGTCATGAATAGGAACATTGAGGAGCACTTTTTTTGAAGGTTGACACGAATAGCCTGTTGAAAAAAGGTAACTTGGATTTATCAACGTTCAATTCTTAAGTTCTTGAATTGGATTGTACATAATGGGGGGTGATAGAACATTGTTATTCTTATCGGTAACATACATGTATCCGTTAAAATGCTTCATGGGAAAGAGAGATTCAAATAGATGCCAATAACTTCATCTAGGTTATTGAGTTTGAGGGACCCAAAAGCAAACAGCTTGACATGCAGAAACCATCAAACAATAATGAGGATTGAATGCAACACTCACTTCGCCACTATGTCTGAATTTCATATTATTGAAGGCATGGCATTGTTTGCCTGTTTGACCTTCCAGTGTTAATAATCGTCCATCTTCTGTGCCGACAAATAAAAATTGACTATTGGGGCTAAATGCAAAACTTGATTGTGAAATTCCTGTGCCTTGAGGAAGAGGTAAATTATTATTGGAATAGAAAGCCTTGTCCTCGTCTGAAAGACCTAGTTCATCATTCGTTTTCCTGAATATTTCTTGTCCATTGAATGAGTCCAATAGAAATATCGAGTCTGAAGATGAAATTGCAATATGTGTTCCTGATGGTGAAAACATCATTTGTGAATATTCAGGAGTTTCTCCAGTGAATGGAATTACAAACTCAGTAAACGATCCACTATCTACCTTTCTTCTGTCATATAATTTGACAATACCTGAATTTGTAGCAACAGCAAGTACCAACCCTCTAGGATCATACGTACATAATGGTTTAACGGTAAAAGGAGCCTTGTAAACTTCATTCGGTTGTCTTAAATCCCACACTCTCATTGTATTATCCAACGAGGTCGATGCAAATGTATCATCACTTGGACACATGCTCAGAGAAACAACAGGCTTAGTGTGTCCTTTGAAATATTTAATAAAACTTCCGGTATGAATATTTAAATATCGAATATCATCATTGGATCCCTCCTTCTTGACGGAAGCATAAATACAAGCATCGGAAGAATGAGTAAATTTCACTTGATTACATCCATACTTTTTGCTGGGAATGACTTTTCGTGGCTCGCTGTCTGGACTCAATACGGTACAATCAAAAAACGTGATGTGTTCATCATCGGAAGAGCATAACAAGTATTTTCCATCCCGATAGAAATCCAATCCGTTTACCTCTTTTTTATGGCCTTTATAGACTTTTCCAACTTGGAGCGATTTGATGACTTCGAGGTTGATTGGTGTTTGCATTTTTTTTGAATTTAACTTCAATAATAATAATATTTGAAATATGTTGTTTATTACTCGATGATACAATTTGTACAATTTCAAAGAGCTCTATGGCCACTGTTTCTGTGATTTTTAGCTTAATTAAATAAATGATCATCTTCTTCGCTGTTGTTATCGGAGAGTGTTATGTGTGAACTGGATGGACAAGTAGATCCATAACCACTATTGCAAGGTGGTGGATAGAAAGGAGGTGACATCTTGCATGCAGTCATGTTAAATGCAGATCCACAGTGAGCCAGCATATTTTGACACACACTGGAACAGACATGATAATATACCTGTAAAAAGTTTTCCAAATCACAGAATTGACATTCGATCAATATTCATCATGACAATTTTGTTCAAATGGTGTAATAAAACGAATCGATATTCGTACAAATAATGAAAACCACAGAGACATCAATTTAACAATTCCCATCACACATGTTGAACACACTTACAGGTTGCTGAGTGCTACAACACTGAGCAATCGTTGATAAACAAAACGAATCTACATAAGCTTGCTGACAAGCCTTGCTATAATTTGCTAATTTTGTTTTCAATTCGTAATCAATTAATTGGCACGTTTGTTGATCCCACGTATCTGCCAATATATCCATCACGGGATATTGTACATTTCGGCAACATTTAAAACTATGACTCACACATTTCTGAGCTTGTACCATGGAGGATGATAGAAATAATGAAGAAGGAGCATTGGGATGGAAAGAAACGAGTGAAAGAATCAAGACTGTCATCATGATCAAAAAAATCATTCGGAAAGATGCCTCGCCATGAAACCATCCCGATGATGATCGACTTTGCGGGTGCATCAATGGTTGCAGCATTTTTAAAATGATATTTGTAGCCTTTTCCTGCCATACACTGGTTATCATAATGATCATCCAGTGCTGGATCTTTTACAAAAATCTTTGACAATGCACGTTCATCTTTACGGAGCATCATGATTCATGTTCAACCAAATGAATTCCAACTAAAAAAATGTCTCAAAGTGAAATCACAAGTGTGATCCAATCGGAACGTTTTGAACACAAAATTTGTGGCATGACCTCTGTATTGGTCCAATTACTCCGATCGAATGCTTCTGCAACCACTTCTTCGGCACAACAGCAAGACGCATTCTTTCAGCCATTGATCTCAAAACTGAACCACTTGTTGCAATCTCATTTTGGAAATGATACGACCATGAATGTTGGTTTTGCTTTTGGAAATGTAGCAAAAACACTCTATGCTCATAATGTGAATTTGAATGAAAATGATGTTTGTGTGTGTTTGATTATGGATAGTCAGTTGGATATTGATTGTAAGATGGTCACGGCAGTGAGAAAGAATTCATCTTTGGTGAGCTCAAATGAAAAGTCCATGATTTGGAGACTCTTGTATAAATATTCATTTCAATAAATCATCTCAATCCGCCGGATTGAATTTGATTTCTTTCCTGTGATTCCTCTTTTCATTTGAATTAAGGTTCACATTTTTATTGACTCGAATCACAACAACATGCCATAGATCACATGATTCAATTCAACAATTCACAGATCATGGTTCAAGTCATTTCTCATGAAATTCAAGATGAATTTTCCTTGTCTTTATTACAACAAGATTATTTAATATTGGACACTTTGGGATTGAAATGATAAAACACCAAGTTATTCGTGTGTTGTCTCTTTCCCTTCACATACGTGTGAAATTGCCAAGGATTTTCTTTTACAAATGAAGCACCAGGAGTTGCAGGATGAGCAATGGAAATGGATTTCTTTCTTTGGAGTTTTTTTGGTTTGGTAATCTTCACGGGAGAGGAGGAATGTGGAATTTGAATTTCAATATGGCATGAAGGTGAAGAGGTTCGTTCTTCTTCCAAACTTTCAGAAATGGTGTTGGAGGAAGTGTTGAGTGGCAGTTCGTTGTGGAGAGGTTGTGGAGAGTCTTGTTGAGTGTTGAAATTATTGTCATCCACAACTTGTGGAGAGACATTATTCGTGTTTCTCATCATTATTTCTGAATGATTGGATGGTATGGAAGTATTATTCTTATGAAGAGGGTGAGGGTTCATGTGTGTGTCCACCTGTGAAAGAGGTGATGACAATGATGACCACTTGGTCGATGAAATCGAACGACTTGGTGGACAGACACAATTCAAATACGTATCAATACAATTCATTTCATTCTCGGTGAATGAAGTGGTCAATAAAAAGGATGGAGTTTTAAAACGAGTGAGTTTTGAACAAGTGGTCATGTTGGTCGTGGTGGATTCATCAGGAATTAAAGTGGATGTATGAGTGTCGTTCTGTGGATGAGAAGAGAGGAGCAGCGTGTTCATTACTGAACTGTTTGCCTCGTCGCATCTCTGTGGTGGTAGGCCCGAAGATTGCATCTTGTAGCAGTGGAGGAGTGGATGCAATTCTTTGTGTAATAGTTGTGGAGTGCTGATGTTGAATGTTGAAATTGCAATAGTTTCGTTACGAATTGGGCAATTATCGTCCCAATTGTTTTTGGGAACCACGGAAGATTGGTTTCCTGAATCATTGCTGTCAACACCTTGACATTTACACCTTTCGCAGTTGTTGTTGCTGCCTTCACAACCAGCGCTGGTTGCCAACAAATAACGATTCGAGATGTTATCGCGACAAACACAGTGCAGCGCATTAGAATTATAAAGGGTTTCACACTTATTGTGGAAAGATTGTTCAGCCATACCGCCATCAGCAAGCATGATCAGAAAATCGTCAAGGTCGTTCTCTGAAAGATTACACAAATTGGTCATGAATTGTGTTTTGGGTGTTTTGGGAAAGAGGTCTGAAAATGCTCTAAAAGTGAATGGATATCAAGAATGAGTTGTAAAATAATATGGAGGTCTGTTTGGGAGTTGCAACACGTGAACGAGGCACACGAGTGGTAGTAGCAGTTGTAGCAGTAATAATAATGATGTCTCTCGTGTAGTGTGACCACCAAGCAAGACGTAGAGGTTTTTTCTTTGTTGTGGTTAGCGGACAGAGGTGTTGGTGGTTCCTTCAAATATTGTTGATCTTCCCTTGAGAAGGCCAATTCAATCACACACAAGTAATTAATTGTTTAAAAACGGAGGCGAGCGAATCCAGCAAAGGACTGCCATTGAACTCTTAAGTCAATTCGCAAATAAAAATGACAAGTATATCCAACGTGGATTGATTTGATTTTGGTCGCAGATTCAACAACTTATCCACGTGGATTCTCTTTTTGATTGTCAAAGTGCAAAATGCGGTGTTTTGGGTATGCGTTCTGAAAAGGTGAAGGAGAACATGCCAAGGAATGGAGTTTAAAACTCTATTTGTGAGAAATGAAATTACTCTGTTCTGAGCGAAGTTTTGAATCTATGCCGGAAGGAAATCTTCCTTGTCACTGTTTTGGTTTCACACACCATCGTATGAAAAAACGTCAATTTCATCTACTTGTTCTCTGAGAACACACAAACTTTAAAAACTCGACAATGAACTAGTGCCGTGTTGCTCACATACCATCTTGGTTGAAATGGAGAGAGATACAGCACTCTCAGTTCAACCATGAATGCAATGAGATGCATAGGGCCATAACAATCGAAAGGTTCATCCGCCACAGTCTGTGTAATTTCAACTCAAGTGAAATGCATCTTTCATTGTTGTTTCCATTCATTGATCAACCCATTTTCGGTCCGTCTTCAATAACACGAACAACGCATTCGTTTATACCTCACTACTACTCGGGTAACCATTCATGTAGTGACCCGGTCGAAAAAAAAGTAAATGGACCACACGCCATTCACGGAATCAAGAACAAAACGACGAATACCCACACATGATAATGACATTTTCGTATTACTATTTTGAAGGAGACCGGATGGATACAACTGGACAGGAGCACAGCGAGTCTTTACAGAATTTCCTAGAGAATCTTTAACCAAGCCACGAACTGTAAATCAACAGATTTACAGCAAATTCAGTTGGATTCGGTCATCTTCATATACAAAGCAATTTTTGAATTAAACGAGAATGAAAATCAGCAAGAATTGTACAATAGGTGCGAAAACGTGCACGTTGGCACCAAATCTCGGCAAGACAGGTTGTCCAAACAAGACGGGTTGACCCGAATTCATCAAGGAATTCGTGTAAAACCGTTCAAGAAAATCTGTCGCTACGTCGGAACCATGCAGAGGAGCCTCCGATGATTGCACTCACTTGCCACGATGGTTCACTTTCTTTTATCCCCCTGTTTAATTTTTGGTATTTTTTGATTGTTTGTGGTAACATTACTGCTGTTGTATCAATTTACAGTATTTAATTGTACGATTTATACAACTTGATTTCAGAAAGCTTAATATTGAAAAACTTGAATATTAACATACCTCAACAAGATTGTAACCTTAAATTTGTTGATAAAAAAGAAATCACGAGCACTTACCCCTTCCAGAGTTGCGGGCCCAGACCACTGTCACCTGTCAAACAGCGGCATCACATACAAAAAATAAGAAAACACAAACTCACCCATATTCTCACATTGCCTTGCCATTAATCCACTCCTTCATCCAATAGTATGCACATAGCTTTCATCATTCACTCTCTCTAATCGATTGTTTTCAATATTCGAAACAAGTAAACCACTCTATCTTTATTCTCTTTTATCTCTTTCCAATTCGGCTGCACTGGTGTGTGTCAACTGAAAAATCATAAGTGTTTCACACGTGTGATTACTTTTTCACAATCAACAACAACAACAATAACAATCTTTCAAACAACGGACCAATCATCATGACTCCTCCAACATTGACTTGTACAACATCTACTACTACTACTTCTCTACCCTCTTCCACTTACAAGGAACAATCCCCGAATGCTCTTCATATTCAAAACAATAACAACAGCTCTGAATCTTCTCCGACCTCGAGTACTGGCACTCCAACCACACATCGCATCTCTCATGGCGGAACCAACGATGATGATGATTCGGATTCGAGTATGCTCATTGGAAATCATCAAACCACGAATACTGCAACAACAAACTACTTCTTTATCCAATTCAGTGAATACCTCTAATTCCATGCTTTCACGGAAGAGAGCGAGTCATCCCCATGAAGAGGATGATAGTATCATTCATGAGGAAGGCTTTGGCTTGGAAGATCAAGAAGGAGCATTGATGATGATGGATCAGTTGGTTCGAGAACATTCTCATCCAACGTTAGCAACAACAACAACAACAACAATGAATACTACTACTTTTACAATGGACACACCTTCTTCTAATCATAATATCAGTAACAATGGCAACAACAATCAACAGACTCGTGCGAGTAGTATTGGCGATATTCTGAAAGGACTCGCTTCTCAACGTTCCTCTCAACACTATCATCAATCTCCATTGTTGTTTTCATCGCCTTCATCATCATCAACAACAACAACCTCTTCTTCAATTTCCAATCATCACCACCACAATGAAAATACTTCCAACAACAACATACGGAAACACTCATCTCCAAATAACCTCTTTCATGAAGCAAGAGGAACCTCCTCCTCCTCGAATTCTCAATCTTCCATGAGAGCTTCCTCAACCTCCTCACCCGCTAGCCTTCCAGTCACCGATGCTCAATCTCATCAAAAAGCAGAGACTTCTTCAAAATCATCTAAAAAGAAGAAACATCAACAACAACAGGATATTGTTGGAACCACTTCCACCAATCCACATCAGCAGCAACAACAAGGATCACCACGTACTCCAGAAATATCCACTCCAAATGCGGACACCAATAACTCACCCAATAGAAAGCTTTCTCTTTCCTTGTCCATTCAAAAGAGAATTTCTTCGTGGCGTTCAAATCATAAAAATTCAAACATGAAATCCAATAAGAAGGAAGTTCCAGCAATGACGATCAATCAACAGCAAGAGTACAAACACTCTAGAAGTCATTCTGAAAGTCATTCTCGAAACAATGAGGAATCGACTGTCTTGTTGTTACTGAACTCGACGGCGAAAGGATCTGCAGTGAATCAGGAAAAAAAGTCGGAGAAAAATTATGGAACGATAATGGGATCGTCATCTTCGTCGTCATTGATGGAAGATCATCATTCATCGAATTCACAAATGCAATCTCTAAAATCCATTCTAGCTCACAACAAGCATCGACATCACAATAACTATGAACATGTGGATTCCGATGAGTCGCCAGTTCTGACTTCTACGGCGGAACCCTTATCACCACCATTTTCAAGTAGTGATCAACACAATATTCACACAACCACCAATTTTGAATCTCCTCCAAAACTAGTACTTTCAAATCAATCATCGAATCAGCAATACCACTCACAACTAAAACCTAAAAAATTGGATTTTTCAACATTGGACAATTCATCAAATCGACTAAAATTGGCTCCATTAACATCGAGAGCAAGAGGTGACAGCTCAATCAAACATCCATTTGATTATTTGAAAGGAAGTATTTCACATCAACCAACACAATCATTATCAATTCCGGTAGTTTTGACAAGAAAGAGGTCGCTTCCAACTACACCAGAATTTCTAAACACGAATTCACACAATAGAAAACCAACACCACGTGATGATAATTCGACACAAATTGGTGAGCAACAACAACAACAGACAGTATCAACGTCAATTACTTTGACGACGCCACGTAATACTTCAGAAGAAGCTGTGTTAGTAAGCTCGACAAAAACTCCAACTGATGAAGGTCAGGGAATTCTAATTTCCATTCCAACCACAGCAGAATATCAAATTGTGGTAGAAAAAACAACACCTCCTTTCATGCAAACGATGAGTGCTGACACCTTGCTACTAGTTTCTTCATTCATATATGATGATAATTATGAGAAGCAAATTGAAAGTTTTTCCTTCTTGACGTCACACGATATTTTCACAACATTGATGCTTGTCTGCCGGGCTTGGCATGAAAAATTGAACGACGATTTGGTGTGGTCTTTTCGATATCGACAATTTTTAAACAATCTATTGAAACATTACTCGAAATCTGTGAATGCCTATTTTGTCACATATGGCAACGAAAAACATCCACTCCAAAAGAAATCCCCAAACATCACTTCTAGCGATTTTGATAAGAAATATACTCCCATTCATAAGAGATACAAATTTTTAAAGCATTTACAAAAGGAGTTGAACAATTTTAAGCCACCCTTAATGACCAATAACCACAATACTGTCAGTCTCAATGGATCGTCTACTATAGAACAAGGTACTTCCAAGAGAGTCACGACAACAGTAGCCAATAACCATTCGTCACTTTCAGCTCCACTCTCTGTACGAAGAGGAACGATTGCTCATCTGAAACCTGTATACATCAGCGACTCCACCGCTCCATCAAACACCACAGACACAACCGTGTTCAGAAAGAGAACTTCAAGCAATGCAGAGTTAACTTCTCCACGCTTTGAAGATTTACCTAAATTTGCTGCGTTTGGAGGTACCACTCCGAGAACACCTGTCGCTCTCGGAAGTTTTACGTCTCCAAGAAAACATTCTCATTCGAGTGCATCCTTGTCCAATGCTCCTACTGCTCTATTGAAACCCGTGGGGATGAATCTTTTTTCGAATGCCACAAATCATCCTCCTCATTCGAAAATGGCCATTGAATTGCCAATTGCTAAGGAATTTACATTTAAGGAAAAATTTATGGACATCCTCAGAGATGAATATTGCAGTAATGTGAGAATTGCGCTCAAGACCATGAATCCACTCAAATTCATCAAGTGTCTCATCATTGAAGATGAATCCTTGTCTCGAATGCAATTTTATTATCATATTCACTTGTTTTATGCGTTGAAACTATTTCTTGATGGAGCTAAAAGGGTCATTCACGCCAAAGACAAGTCCTCAAGCGAGACACCAAAAACGCCTGAGACTTCCAACCTGTCATCGACGACATCGAACTCATCATCGAGCGTTTCATCCAGACCCAATCGATTTGTTCAGGAGGTGCTAAGAACGAGCTCAGCAACTCTCTTTTCTATTATTCTTGCTGGCTTGAAAGAGCTTAAGGATGATTTGGTTTCACATCCACAATATTATCCAGAGTTTCATAAGGAAGTGAAACATATACAGAATTTCACATCGGCTTACTCGTCGACGACAACCTTGCCCTACATGAATCGATCATTGGTTATGAATCAAGTCGCTTACATTGCAGAAAAGCTTACCACGAGATACTTTTTAATTATTTTTGAAAAGTTGAATCCTCCGATCAATTTTGATGTTTTGAAATCGTTCGTGACGGCCTATCCGAGCATTGCCGATAACAAACTCTTATTAATTGTGTTGGAGAGAGCTAAAGAAACATTCTATCATTCTCCCATGGAATCAGATTCATTGTCACAACCATTTTCGAGTAGCCCCTTGTCAACACTTGCTGCTTCCAAACAGAATCGGGTAGAATTTGCATTTTTACAATTTCTCGTCGAAAATGTATTACCAATCATTGCAAGAGAAAAGGCAGATTCGAGACGAATTATTGACATGCTTGTGGACATTCTGACAAGTCGCTACAGTTTAAATGTCAAAGAATTGTGTGCCTATTTTAGACACCTATCAGGAGAGGCATTAGGCACGGGTCTTGTTTCGCTAGATCCATATTTACTGATCATAACTTCATGTTTTCGATTTTCACAACCAAACGCAAATACTTTATCCAACATTGACACATTTAGCTCTTTCAACAGTAATGCCACTTCATCTTCCAAGCACGACGACGACATTCTTGTGAACCCACAATTCTTTGATTATTTAATTGACAAGTTTGAAATTGATGTGAATCGAAAAGAAATTTTATTCTTCCTGTTGAAACACAAACAAACACTTCCCTACTTGGAGGCATTGAAGAAGGCAGGAAAAATTGATGTTCGATTCGTACATCGATGTTTCCATAGCAAGCATTTTGCCGAGTTTCTCACCAAACTTTATTATTCTGGCTCAGTGGGACCCTATCAATGTCTGGACCTTGTTCTTCAACAATTTAATATCGATCCACTTGCTGATTTTGAAAGCGAAAATTCATTCAAATCATTGGAAGAAGCTTGGAAATCCACCATGAACACGAGTCGATCGCTGACACGAAGTTATGGAAGCACGAAAAACAAGGACAATTTTCTCAAAATTATTTCAAGAATTGAAACCAAACAAAATGGATACAGTGCCACATATCATGTGAATTTGTTGAAAATTTTCAAGATTATTCTTCGAAGATGTAAAGAACAGGACAAGAAGTTCAATTTACAAAAAATTGATCGTGACATGAAAATTTCATTCAATTTCATTACACATTCTTTTTTGACGGATTTGGGACACTATCACGAATCCAATTATAGAAATACTACTTTGGAAATGTGTGAATTATTAATTGGATCAGCCAACGCTCTCATTGATTGTTCTGTTTTGAAATTTTTACTTCAAAGGATTGAAGTAGAAGATGCTAACATTCGAGAAAAGAATTCCAAACAAATTGCCTATTATTATCAACAGCAACAACATTCAGAATCGAATCGATCTCATACTTCGATGGAACTTCAACAGACCAGTAGTAGTGGAGTTGAGAGTCGAAACATGGAAAACAATCACACTCCCAATTGGTACAACAAATCAGAATTGGCTCTCATGACCACTGTAACCAAAGCCATGGAATTACTTTTACATAATAGCGCCATGATTTCGAAACTGACCTCTTTTAACACGAGTGGATCTAAATTGGCGAGTAGCATGTTTACAGATATCATGCCTTATTCCGAGTGGTATTCTCAACACAAATTGGCCAATGACCATTCTCCTCATGCCACTCAATATTTGCACCTCTATGAACGCACTCGATTATTTATTGCTCGATTTAATTTCAATGCGGCCTTGGTTGAAAAAGAGATGAGGAATGCCAATAAGAGTATGACTTCGTGTTGTGTCATTTTGTAGTAGAGTGTTTGTGTATGTTGTGGTGGTGGTGGTAGTGGTGGGTTCTCATGGATTTATTGTGAAAAAACATTTGACATTTGCCAAATGTTAATGCAATATGTAACAAACATTGTTTTGACGTGAACTTGTTCAATCTTACTTAATTCTTTTTTTAATTGTTTCTTTCCAATACTTGCCAACCAACGAAAGAGAATACTTAGTTCTTATGAATGAGTATATTCGAGCATGACCAACACTTCCTGCTCTTGGTACGCCACTGAACCTCATTCGAAAAAATGATTCTAATGGACTGGATTCATTCATTGTTTGGTACGGATGAGAAGGAGGTCGAAAAATCATCACCAATAACTACCATCCCAACAAACATCCAATATAACAATACGATAAAAGCCAAGATCAAAATTGGGAAGGACTAAGTTCGGACCAATAGTTGCTTGGACAACGTTTGCTTAATTCATTGGGAGTTGTGATTAAAGCCAAATGAAAGAAAGATATGACTCCGGAAGATAGAAAGAAGAGGGTTTTATATTGTGAAGCAGGGACCTGTTTTGTTTCGGAAGATAATGGTCATAACGATGGAAGATACTGGGATATGATTCTAACATGTCCCTTAGTGCTGCGTGATGGCAAAGCAGAGTATGAGACTAGGAATCTTCTTCAACATGTAAATATTGAAATTGTACATTCGGAACGGCCCAACATGAGATACTTGGTATGCTCGCTTTCGAGACTGGATCATGATGAAATGCAACGCGAGAATACCAACAAAGAAGACAGCATTTCGGAACTGGTTGTCGAAAACAGAAAATACCTAAACCCAATTGAAACTGGACACAAAGGTGAGCACTGGCTTGTGGCGAGTTTGAAAACTCAAGATCCAAATTCACTCAATGGCTATATAATTTCAAAGAAATTCCGTATATCCACTTGGACAGATATAAGATCTTTAGAAGAAGTGCGCAAAGAAGGAAACCAATCGTTTTGGGAAATTTTAATAGGGCTGCTTTATGTTTTAACACGTAAGACTGAAAACCCTTCTTTGCATTTGAAGGCTTGGTTATTATTCGCTTCTATTGAAAAGGGAACATGTAATGTTGTAAAAACATTAATTTATCTTAACAGAATTGAAAGACTTGATAACAATTTGGAGTTGATTGAACAGTATTTTGACAGCCTCCATTTCGAATTCATTTGTTCCCCTTACTCAATCCAAAATATTTTGTCAAGTTTTTTCAATGTTTGCGAAACATGAAACACATATATTTCCATTCAGTCCAGAACTGAAAGTGCTTTTCATGATGTATCTTGACAAATTGGTTAAAAAGTATCGACGCATTAGATTTCCAGTATTCCAAACCTCAATAGCATTGATCGAACAAAATTCTCTCTTACTGGATGAAATTAGAAAAAACAAAATTAACATGCTTTACATTATCCGAGATGACCTTATGAGTGAATTATCCAGACTCTGTTCGATAGCGTCTTTTCAGTTAAAACAAGCTCACATTGTCGAAATGATGCAAGTGGGAGCAAAAATTTCTTTATCCTTAAAATTATTATTTTCATTACAATCGTTGCTCACCTTTATCTCGTTTCAAAATTAAGAAAACACCACTCAGCGTCTGTTGTGTTTTTTCGGTGGTGTTTCATAAATTTGTAACGATCTGGAATTGGAAGCATCGACAAGTTTCCCAACAAAAAAATGGAGCAAGATGAAAAATTATGGTCCTGTGTGATGAAAGCTTCACATCTCGTATTGGACGCCAATAATCATCATACCGACAACAGCGCATGGATGAGGAACCAAAGTTCCAAATCATCTCCAAGTAAATACATCTCCTCTTCGTTTGAAAGAAGTATTTCCGAGGATCAAGTACAACAACAACAAGAATGGAAATATGAATCGGAAAGGCTTACTAACCAATTGATGAATTCTTTGGTATTTATGGATGACGTATATGCAGAGTGCTTTTCATGGAATCAATCATCAAGGTCTCAACATCAACTGACTTCCAACCAAATTCTAAAGTTGGGCGCAATCAGTATTTTAAATATTAACAAGGAAAATCAATGGATTTCAGAAGAAAGATTTCAACAATTACTTGAAATGAATTATCATTATAATTTATACATTTCTAAAAATTCAGGTCATCATCATGTTGAAGTGGTAGATAAATCACTTACCAAGGTTACCTCTGGAACAAAATCATCATCAACCCAAAAAGAATCAATTGTACACGAAGAGGAGGAATTTGAGAAAATATTTAGTGATGATGAGGATGAAGAGGAGGAACAGCCTGTACAAATTCCCACGTCAAAGACCACCTCACAAATTTTGAACGCCTCCAATACTACTCCTTCTTCTCCTTATGTTGTCATATCAGATCAATTACCTCAACACAATACTGGCGTGATTGGAAATGTTAATTTGAGAAAGGCTGTGTTCTTTGTGAGCGATCTTTCGAAAGCCTTGGAAAAGGTTGTGAAAAAAGCGATTGACATCTACAAGTTCACACAAGTGTACTTTTATTGTGCTTTCAGTGAGGGTTTTTGTGAATATTACCAATCAACAGTTCTGGAATCGATGCATCAAGAACAACAGTGTTTTCCACGTGTTAGATTCGTCAAGGATTATTTGACATACTCAGATCTCATTGAAAAGACACGACTCTTTATTTTTGATAAGCAATTTTCTCTTCAAAAGAAAGACTCAAAATTGAGACTGAAAGAAGACGAAATTAACAACATAATGTAAGTGTTCAATCGTTTCAAATAGAGATCATATGTGTTGACAAATTCATCAATAGACATGTAGAGGTGACGCATTATCCTTTCAATATTTCTCTCCTTCTTCCAGATATATTCATGTCACCCACATGTGTAGACGTATTCCCAATTGTTTCCATTACAAGAAAGGCTCAACCATCTTCAACGTTATCCAAATCTAATAGTCTCCTCTCTGGCTTTCACCTCGGTAGCAGCCCCCAGAAAGAAAAAGATTCTTCCATTGTCATGCAATTTAAGGACTTGCCACCTCTTCTTCAATTGCAATACAAGAAATTGTCGGTCACGCTTCGAGACATGTTAAAGAATTTGAGAATGAGTGTGGATGTATATTCGCTCGGCCAGACCTCTAATCTTATTGCTGAAGATTTACAGAGTCTAATCGGAGAGGAATCATTCAAGACCACCGATTCGTGTACACTAGTGATTATGGATAGAACTCTTGATCTCGTGTCTCCAATGGTACATTCAGAAAATATACTTGATAAGATTGTTTGTAGTTTAGAACGATCATCTAAAGTATCCAGCAATGTGAAAGATCCAACGCCCTTGTTTCTCAATACGAGCCATTCGTTTCTCAAAGATGGTAAGTTAATCTCCAATTTTTACATTACTCGTACCTTAATATTGAATTATTCTCGAACTCAATTTAGTGAATTTATCAGGAATTCTTCACCATGGCAACGAGAAGATAGTCGATTTGATAAGGTCAACCATTGAGAAAAAGCCATCTGAAACTATATCTGAAATGAAAATACTTCTCGATAAGTTGCAAAATGTAGCTTCCAAAAAGAGTGACATGTCTCTCGACAAGACAATATCGAGCTTAAAAAATCTATTGCAACGCTTGAATCCTCCAATGATGGTACAGAATGGAGAGATAATTCAATTTTTATCAACCATTCTACATTCGCTAGAATTAATTCACAACAATACCAAATATTCTGAACTATCTAGTACTGAAAAATTGATACTTTACGAATGTGACACCAATCAAGAAGAATTACTCAAAAATATTGTTGACATTTTAAAGAAAAATAAGACCAAATTCACAACTCAAGAAATACTTCGACTCGTCATTATGATTTACTCTGTGGTTTCACCAAATTGTACTCTCTCATATGAGCACGAATTGAAGAACTTGCTTGTAGACAGAATTATAGAGGAGTACAAACAGAATCATTCCAACAATTTATCTGTCGAATTTTGAGTCATATTTTGAGCGAAAAATCGATGAATTTATTGGAGCAATCGTTAACGTCCAACGTGCACAATGAAAAGAGCTCTTCAACTCCCACAGAGGAAGAGGAATTGGAGGACGAAAATTGGGACAATTGGGATGAAAACTTTGATGACGAAGAGGACCAACCAAAAAATAACAAATCACAAGCAGAGGTGTCACAATCACTACAACATGACCTCGATTGCCACTTTAAAACTATGAACGCAATCAAAAAGCAACGACAATATTTCCAAACGCTGGATAAATTGGCAGGAAACGACAATGTTTTCATCTTTGATAGTTACAGTGGCAATTTGGGGAATATTGAAACTCCATTTCGATCCATGTGCAAACAATTGGCATATATTCTCGGAGAAGTGGATCAATGTTCTGATCTTGTGCACAATGCTTCACTGCTGAGCCAGCTGACAAACACGTTTGGGTTCGTGTTTCAGTCACAAAAGGCCAAATTAATTCGAAATGAATCCAGTACTATCATTATTTTTGTCGTTGGAGGTATTACAGGTGGAGAAATTGCAGACATTAAGGAAATGATTGGATTTAATTTACGAGAAAAAGGTCAACATTCACCTTATTTTGGAAAAAAGGTATGGATTGGATCGACACATGTCACCAGTTCAGAACAAATTATGGATCAAGTTCTTCAATTATAAAGAGTTTTACTTTTTCGAAGATTGTGATGTTTTTAAAATTTGTAGATCAACAAAATTTAATAGTTTTTAATAAAAAGAGTTCTTGCTAAACGACCAAAACATTACACTTTCAATTGTTTGCCTAGAAAACAAAATTGCTTTATTGCTGCGATTGGGTAGAATTAGAGGTTGAAAAGGTTCCTAAAGCACTCAAAAGATTTGCTGAGAAAGGAAGTGAGTGTTGGTTTTGTGACTGCAGAACTTGTTCCACAATGGATCCAAAATCGACTTTCACTTTGGCAAAACGAACAACTGACTTGGCCAATGCTTGTTTTTTAAGTATTCTTCTGTCATGATAGTTACCACTTGTTGCATCAAAAGGAGTGAATCTAGAGTTTACATCTGTATCGTTTCTGAGACGAGTACATCTTCTGTGTACCACAACGTTGAGTGTACTCTTCTTCATAACAGTGCATGAGAGAATGTTATTTTGCACAAGAGCTTGTCTGTCAAATTTTCCAACCACCAAATGATGATTCTGGAAGAAGGAAAGTTTACCATTTGGAATGGGTTCTACAGTTTCAAGTTGACGGAAGAAATCTTGGAGTTTTGAGCTAGAGCCGTCTTGAGACTGTGCGTTAATGTTGTTTGATAAAGATGATGATTCTGTTTCTTCATTGTCAATCATTTCAGAATCTTCTTCATCATATTCATCTTGTTGCTGCTCAGGGGTGCTGCTTTGCTCAGCACTGGCAACTACTGGAGCAGAAGATGTGGATAAACCGAGATGTTCTGTGTTGGTACCATGAGTTTCAACACATTCTGAAGAGGTGACAGAGGTAGGGTTGCTGATGACATGATGGTCTTCATCTCCTCCTTCAATACCTTCTTCTTCTTCAACATCTTCTACATCTTCTTCAAACTCTTCATCTTCATGCATAGGATCGAGCATTTCAGATTCGTCGTTAGGAGCAGCAATAGCGTTCACTTTTGCTCTTACTTTCAGCTCCTCTTCCTGTAACCATCTAGCTCTGTATCCAACTGTACTACCCAGCTCGTATTCTTCTTCATTGAGTTCGTCCAACAAATTGTTGACACAGTTACAAATTTCATCAATGTGAGAAGCAAAGACCATGGCATCTTCTTGTTTCATCTTCTCTAAAGGATGCATGCCACAATCCTTATTATTTGTTGCTGTCGTGGTTGTTGTAACCACTGGAGTCGTAACCGCTTGCCACAAATATTGTCTTCTGAGTTGGATCAGTAAATCGTAGAGTTTTGGATTGCGCGATTGAACACTTTCTGGTGGAATGAGAAGGAGCTTTTCAATGGTGATTCGTTGTTGCGGTGTCGTTGGGTTCATGAGATTGAGGGACTGAGGCGTTGTTGTAGTGGCTGCTGACTGGCTTGGATGCTGAGGAGTGCTGATCATGGTTGCAGGAGGTTGTGCTCGTGCTTGAGTTGAAACGGAGTGGTGAGGTGATGATACAGAGGACAAGTTAGCAGGGGAGGAGGAGGACGACGAGTTTGAGAAGAGCAGCAGTAGTACCGATGGAATTGTTGTTGTTGTTACCAATAGATTCTGGAGTTGTAGCAGGATTCGTTGAGGAGCATGACGATTGAGGGACTGGCAACAATGTTGAGGAGGTGGTCGTTACACTGGCGTTACTGGCCGATCGGCTTCGGGAGGAGGCTGCTGCTGAGGAGGAAGATCTTGATCGGTGATGGACATGATGCAAATGATGAGGGAAGCATCGTTGAGCATCATCAGCCGTTACATTACTGTGGTGCTTATTGTTGGGTGTTGTAGTCGTGCTGCTATTGCTGTTATTATTGGGTACAGGAGCAGAGTTTGTTGTATTCGGGCAAGTGCTACTACTACCGTTGATGTCGTGAGGGTGTAGGCCATTTGAGGTTGAGGACGACGACGTTGTTTGGGGCATTGTTGTTGTTATTCTTTTCTTGGAGGAGAAGGGCTCTAATAAAAATTTTGTTTGTTGATCGATGAGGAGAGATGATGATGGTAAAACTCTATTTCCCAAGACAAATATATAAAAGACAAACCGAGTATTACTGGTGTTGATGTTGGTAGTAAGTAGGTATTGTGCGATGTCGAGGTCTTGATGGGAGACTCAGAGGTATTGAGGCTGTGATGATCAAAACTGTTGATGATGTTTTCGAGAGAGATGTTAGATTCACTGACAGTAGTTGTTGTTGAGAACAAGTACCACTGTTGATGAGCTAGATTCCTTCGTGTGTGTCTTCAGAGTTTGAAAATTCTTGGATGATACGGAATAGAGAGAACACCTAATAGTTGGTTGTAGAAAGTCCTACTCTCTCAATATGATCACACTATCAATTCGATTCGTTTCGTTACGAAATGGGCGACTTTTAATCACGAACGTGAATTATATAGTATTGGACAAAATCGTTGTTGTGATCCAGTTGTTGTTGTTTTCTTTCAAACGCAATGATCCAGAAGCGGCACTTGTGGTTCAATGTTGGTGTCAAAGTGGAGAGAAATCTGGTTTGCCAAGGTGTCAAAGTGGATCTTTTCTTCTTGTTGTGTTATTTCGAGGTCGCTGTCTAGAATCGTTAAATGCTGAAAATTTGACATGTAATTCTCTTCTTGTTTGGCATTCGCGTCAGAAGCGCCTGCACTCTGATAGAAATATTCTCCTCTCAAGCGAGCACCATATGCGAGAACAAAAAATTTTGAATTTAAAGAAAAGGAACCGGTTGAGAAAAATATGTGTTTGGGTTACTTGAAAAGGTCGATGAAGCGCTATAGGGTATTCAAAACCATGTGACAACTGACTTTCCTCTGTGGTTGTGTTTGGTAATTTGTGTCAAGGCGCCAAAAATCTTGGTAGTTGACCGAGTGGATATGGTTGTGAAAAGTCATTGGAGATGGTTCTTGAAAGATAGGGTTGAGTGAATAAGGTTTGGTGTTGTCTTTGGCTAGTAGTGTGCGGTGTCGGCCTACAACCACAACTGGTGATTTTGAGAGATTTTGCATCTTTGAGAAGGTTTTCTTTTGGTAAGTTGGCAATGTACGTGGAAAATCTTTCGTTCTGGCAATTCGAGAGGGATTGGAAACAAATAAATACTCTCACATGAGATGATCTCCTCCTTGGTTATTGACCCTTTGTTAAATTGTACTTTCTTGTGAAGAACACATGTGGAGAAGAAGCTGTAAATCTCATTTTCAAAACGTTGAATAATGGGTGTTGGACCTCTTGAAGAATTTGCTCTCCTTAAAGAAAGGACTACAACAGCGACACTCAATTTGTACCAATCTCAATACCACACACCCAGAGGAAACAGGTTAGTATTACATTACGTTCACCTTCTTCTTTCATGCCATTGGATCGTACTGAATCTTGTAAAGTAGGCAGTTATCTGGTTGTATTATCGTTCATCGTTTCACACAGTACTGCAACAGATCGAAAACAGGCCCATGAACTGAAACTCTCTACAAGTCCAATGCTCAGATTTAGACGTTACTTGTGCGAAATATCATGCGCGTGCCTTGCAATTTTTGCCAAATGAGTCCTTTCAGAATTCGGCGAGATTTCACGAACAACTAAGAATGTTCAACGGAAGACTTGCCAGTGTGTCATCATATCGTATACAATGCAAACACTGTTTTGTCCAAATTTTGATGAGAGATCTTTTGGGAGGTTGTACATAACGTCTCATTTCTCCTCTTCGTGAGTCACATCATGGCCTTCTCGAAGAGCAAACCCTCTTGTCAGCAAGTGAGTTGATGTTGTATCCGAATCACACTGAAGTTGGGTGAGCCACATTCGAATACAACAGTAAAAACTAAATATTCAAGATCATTCATGGAAATTCTTCTGTAATCATGCAGCTGAAGTCTTTCGGCAGCATGTTGACCAAACACAGACATGAGTAATAATCTCCCTCGCCTTGAATTACAGATGCTTGACGAGAGCATGCCCAATACAAAGAAATGCCAGTTAATGCAACGTGCTGGCCAAACTGAGCCACAATTACCCAAGATCCAAATTGAGTATGTCGGTTCTGTCTTGGTGCATAAAAAATTTCAATCTGGATACAACTGCCAATTTCACAAAAATAACATTAGCAATTTGAAGCCAAGTTGTTTGATTTTTGGTTATTGAATAGCCTTGGTAGAAATGGTAAGTAGTGATCAAACATGTGTCACAACTACAGTTTAAAGTATTTCTTCTGACCAAACATACAAACTTGTTAAAGAGGTGTTGGAAGCCTTAGCAACTGCCTCCAACAGATTCAGGATATCAGTCACAAATGAGGAATGCTAAGGCAGAAAACCTTGTCATCGTTGAATGGTCCTACATTTTTCTTGGATCGCTCACGTCTTCCTCCTCAATGCTCGGCATGAGCTATATCATGAAATAATCATGTTGTATTCACTTGGTGTTGCTGCTTTGAGAACTTGCTAGACAAAGTTCATAAAATTCCAACAAGATTATTCCTTGTCAGTGATTCCCAGGAGCAAATAATAGGATTCAACATTCATTGCATTCTCGTGTTGTGTTGCAGTTAATGTGAATGTACAAAGCATAATTTTGTCCCACATGGAGCCATTAAAAAAGTGTTTGAGCTCAATGTATGGAGTGTTCAAGTTTATCCTTGAAATCAACGAAGAAGAAGTGTCTTCAATGCTTGAGGAGTCTGAGGGGCTGTGCATTATTTGTGCAAGTGTAGAGTCCAATCGATACAAGTCAATGGATATTCCACTTGAAAATTCCAGAATATTTTCATTGTTGGACAATGCGTTAAAGTTGTGACTCTGTTTAAGAATCATTGATTTCCATGAGTGAATGGTTTCAGTGGCCCAGCTCTCAGCGAGTGAATTTTCAGGCCTCTCTGCATAAGCTCCACCATATAGAGCTAAATCAGAGAGAACATGGAGCAATTCTTGTTCAGTACTCATTCGTAGGACCGTGCCATTTTGAATGTTAAAGATAGCAGCAGTTGTTGGAGTTTGCAGAAAACGTGAAAGAATATTTTCTTCCTCATCAAGTCTTGCACAAGATCTATCTTGTTGATTCTTGTTCTTGAAAATATACAAAAACGCTTCTCCATTTGATTGTTGCAAGACATGATTCATGAAACGGAAAAGCCTCTCATCGGAATCATCTTGATGAAATTTTGTTTTATAAATCAAATCAAAATCATTCGTTGATGGAGTTTTTGCAGCATTATCATGATGATGATGCTTGGAGTAGTTGTTCATATCTTGAATTTGTGCATGCCTAGTTATCGTCATTGAATGATAATTATCAAATTTTCTTGTTGTTGTGCAAAAGGTCATCATGTCAGGCCATGAAAATCGTTGTAGACTTATTCCATTAGAATAAGACTGCTTCCGCAAGAGCAGCTGCTGTGCCATCCGTGAACCCGAAATGCAACCCTTTCCACAAAGCAGCAAGCTTGTTGCCGACACGTTATTGCACATTTTTTTTAAAGTCTAGTCCATTCTTAATACTTTTCCTTCTCCAATTCCTCTCTTACAACCTTTCAAACTTTTGCTGGACCACTCATTTCCATAAGAGTCATACAACCATTATGGTTAACATAAGCTCAGTGTTAAATAATTTTTCCAAAATCATTCAAAAAGCCTACTTGTTATTCTCAAGAATGTAATTGCAAATTTGTTTAAACTGAATCCATTGAAAAAAATTAATCCACAAGACAAGTTGGTTATTTCCTTGACGAATTTCTCATAACTTTCCAGCTTGGTTAGTGCAGAAAGGCAAGTCTCATGAGAATGGGGCAAAAGAATTTTAAAAAAATTGTGTTAAGTAGTTCTTCCTCTCCCATTGTGCCCTTAAAATGAGAAAACTCTCACCATCTGCTGAAATTGGTGTTGTTGAAGCAGAAAATTCATCACCAACAGTGATCAATGGTCAGGCTGAAAAAGATGATTTCTCTCCGACAAGTTCAAACGAGAACAATGGTCTATTTATTGATGATATTATTTTTGAAATTCTTCATTTCCTGGATTCGTTGTTTATCATTCAAATTTGTATGAAAATTTCAAAACAATGGCGACAAATATCATTTCAAATTCCTCTCTCATTATCCTTCAAACGAAATCACTTCAAACAACATCGTGAATCAATTATACTTTTAGCTGATTGTGAATGTTTGAAAAATTTGACTTCTTTGAATCTTAGTGTCAATGAAATTGGTAACGAAGATGCTAAATATATTGCTGACAGTGAGTGGTTGAAGAATTTGGCTTCTTTGAATCTACGTAGCAATGAAATTAGCGGTGAAGGTGCCAAATATATTTTCACAAGTGAATCGTTGAAAAACTTGACTTTTTTAGATCTGGAATGGAACAGAATTGGTAATGAAGGTGTTAAGTACATTGTTGAAAGTGAATGCTTGAAGAATTTGACTTCTTTGAATCTGAGTCACAATGAAATCAGCAATGAAGACGTCAAATATATTGCCGAAAGTGAATCGTTGAAGAGTTTGACTTCTTTAGCTCTGGAATGGAATAGAATTGGCAATGAAGGTGTGAAGTGTATTGCTGAAAGTGAATGCTTGAAGAATTTGACTTCTTTGAGTCTCTATAACAATGAAATTGGCAATGAAGGTGTCCAATATATTTCTAATAGTGAATCATGTAAGAATTTGATTTTTTTATGTCTGAGTGACAATGAAATTGGAAATGAAGGTGTCAAACATATTGCTACAAGTGAAAGGTTGAAGAATTTGACTTCTTTGGATCTAAGTGGTAATCAAGTTGGCAATGAAGGAGTTAAATATATTGCTACAAGTGCGAGGTTGAAGAATTTGACTTTTTTAGATCTGGAATGGAATAGAATTGGCAATGAAGGTGTTAAGTACATTGCTGAAAGTGAATGGATGAAAAATTTGACTTCTTCGGATCTTAGTAGCAATGAAATTAGCAGTGAAGGAGTTAAATATATTGCTACAAGTGAGAGGCTGAAGAATTTGACTTTTTTGGATCTGGGTCACAATGAAATTGGTAATGAAGGTGTTAAGTACATTGCTGAAAGCGAATGGTTGAAGAATTTGTCTTCTTTGGATCTACGTAGCAATGAAATTAGTGGTGAAGGTGTTAAATATATTGCCGAAAGCGAATCATTGAAGAGTTTGACTTTTTTAGATCTGGAATGGAACAGAATTGGTAATGAAGGTGTTAAGTACATTGCTGAAAGTGAATGCTTGAAGAATTTGACTTCTTTGGATCTACGTAGCAATGAAATCAGCAATGAAGGTGTCAAATATATTGCTGAAAGTGAATCGTTGAAAAATTTGACTCATTTGAATCTGGTTAGCAATGAAATTGGCAATGAAGGTGTGAAGTATATTGCTGAAAGTGAGTGGTTGAAAAATTTGACTTCTTTGGAATTGAATAAGTTGACGCAATAGAACATGAATGTTCGTTCAAACGACAGAACCCTGTACGACATGTAATAGTTACTAGTTAAAACCACTTACTTTAAGCTTTTAATAGGACTTTAAGTCAACCAATGCGTAAAATCGATTCGAGAAATATGAGTTTATTCTACCACCACACGCGCTTGGAGGACTCGAGACTCAATATCAACATGAGTTCAACGAGTCAATATGCTCAAAAATAAAACAAAGAATAGTCGGCTCGTCTCGTCTCTTGCAAAATGAACAATTTGTAAATTCCAATAATTGGTAATTTGAAAATTGAATCCTGGAGTTTCACGATCCGCTGAGGATGCGTGGGCTCTAGCTGCGGACTTGTCCAGGCCCTCACTATCCCTTTCTTTGTTTTCATTATTTCCACATTAGTCTTGGTGCGTATCTTCTTGTCAAATGCAAGATTTCGAGTACTAAGGGGACCCAGCAATATTGTTAAAGGCGCAGTGCGGATTTGTCGTTCAACCATTTTCAGGAAATTTCATTGGTTCTTTTTACTTTCCAACACATTCTCGAGAGTGGTAACACGGCATTTCATTACTTGAAACACTAACCGCTGCAGAATGGGATGCGCCTCATTGCGACAAAAAAAAAATCTTCACGAGTTCCACCACACTACGGTTCTTTCCGAGAATTTCCAGAATTTCCTTTATCTCTCTCCTTATTTCGCTCGCACCTACACACAAATGAAAGTGTTATTCAAAAGCCTTGTGATCCCACTGTTGATGATTCTTCTCGGGATGATGATGATGGTAGAGGCTCAAAAAACCTATTCCATTACTTCATTTACTTCTCAAGTGAGTGTCGGAACAGCCTCTTCGTGCTATGTCAATGTGGTTGAGACTGTGGAGTATGCCTTTACGGGATCTTTTTCTACGATATCTCGTGCTGTACCATACACAGTTGCTCTAGATATTCCATCATCATCGGTGAAAGTCGATGTATTGACTCCTGGATATTCCATGTCGTACACTTCAACGACCTCTGAAGCAAATGCCTATTACATAACTTCCACGATCTATCCATCAACACCATCAGGAGTTACCACAACCATCAAAATTCGTAGATCCTACACTGTGAAGGGTCCAGTCAGTAAGAATGTAAGTACTGAAAATTTGTGAAATAATGTTGTGAAATATTGTTGATCATTTTGTGGGTGTCATCTTTTCCACACGTCAATACTCATCATTTTATGCATCTTTATAATCATCATATCATTGCTCATTTGCGAATTGTATACACTGTCAATTAATTGGTCATCATCAAACAGGGTAATAATAATGTTGTGACCTACTTCTACAGAGAAGCAAGTGATGTCGCCAATTTGAGTGTCTCATTTGTCTTTGATAGCTCCCTCAATTTGAATTCCAATGATTTGACTGCTTCCACAGGAGGTACTGTCTCTGGAACAACAGTGACCTATTTCAAATCATCCTTAATTGCCAACAGTGAATTTATTCCTTATGTGACATTCCCTGTTCGTTCTCAATTTGATTCATGTGCAACATCTTCAAGTGTTGGAATTGGAACAATTCTGGGTATTGTTTTTGCTGTCATTGTGTTTGTCATTTGTGCAATTGTTTGCAGCATTATTGGATTCTTTAGACGTGTATTCTATAGACCTAGCTACGGATTCGGTTATTATGGTTTTGGACCAACTTACTATCAAGCAGATCCTGGATTCCACCATCATCATCACCATCATCACCAATCTGGAGGACATCATCATCATGGTGGAATTACTGGAACCTCAGGTTTTGCTCATTAAGGGTCTCCTGATTCAAGCACAATGACACTTGTAATAAGGCTGTTTCTGTTGCTTTTTAGGCGTGGTTATTCCATATGCCCATAAAATGAATCTGCTCTTAATAAATAATTTCCCTTAGTAAAATGAACATGCTAATTAGATTAGTCACAACTTGTTTATTAGGACTTGATAAACCTCACTTCTTTTTCCTAGCAGGTGAGCCACTGTTCATTGAATCATTCATTTTGTCTGCCAGACCGTTCAAAATAACAGAAACAGCGCCAGTCATTCCTCGCAGAGGTGAAACAATCATTCTCGCCAACGAACTTGTGGAACGAGGGAGAGAAATGACAGCAACCATCCCTTGTTTCAATTCGCTCAATGCGCTGGTACAACACGAGTCCCATTCCTATCAGAAGAACGTGTTCCAATTTCAACTTTCATACTCTCATCCTCTGTTAAATAATTATCCACTCTTGTGCACAACATGTGCATACTGTCTACGGTGGCAGCTGTGAACTGCGTCGTATTCACAGTGACGGTCGATAAAAAGTTTGCAATACCCATTTGAACACCTCTCAACATGCCTCCATCTTTTTGATATTCTCTCAGTGGAATGACAATCAAATCTGAGGCTCCAACTGCAATATTATACAATGACTTGACCGTTCTCAATCCTAAAAGTAACTTGAATAAATCGACAGGATTTTTGAAATGATTTAAAACGTGCTGTGTGATGGACTCGACCAATTGGTCCTGACCAATGAGAGGTTTCTCTCTTGGAACTGAAAATCGTGTGAAATTCATACATGCATTTTCGATACGTGGAATGGGTAAGAGAGATTTGGCAGAGGGATAATAGGTTAAATGAACTTCAATCATTTCAATATTCACATGTTCAAAAACAACTTGAGGAATTGCAACAACTTGTTCGTTGGTGTCAGCATTGTCTTGATGATTTTTTAAAGATGGTTGACATGGATCATCTTTTGATTCTAAATTTTCAGAACATGAATTTGAAATGGAATTCTCTGATGATTGCATTTCTACTTGTGATTCACTTTCAGAATTCTCCAAAAAATTCATAAAAAAATCAACAGCATGTTCATGAATCGTGAGCATGATTGGAACCACATCCAATTGTAGTTCAACGCGTCTTCTTTGACTCACATCCTTGGATAGATTCATTTCGAGTATTGCAAATTCTCGAGTGTCCTCTCGTGTCACGTACTTGGAAAGTAATTTACAGGTTGAGTGTGACACTTTCGTCGTGTCATGAATTTCCAACTCGCTCATGGATAGTACGAGAGAGGATGATTCAACAATTTCATCGTCACGATCGTCCTCATTTGAATCTTGATTGGGTTGAAATATTAAATATTCGACTTTTAGACCTTGAACCGTTGCACAGGCTTTTTCAACCTTATTTTCAAATAAATGCACAAAAATATCAAAACGATTCATGCTGAATTGTTGTGAGACAATGGATCGATGATGAGTTTCAACAGCACCATTCTCCTGACTTTCAAAGTAATGTTCAGAAATAACCAACGGTTTCGATCCAAGTACAATGAAATCGTCTTCAATCCATTCAGAAAGTACTTTTTCTTCATGAGTATGTGTTTCTACAGATTCATCCAATAAAGAAAATTCATCAGTCGTGCAATTATTGATCCCATGGTCAACACCGATCACAGGTGACACATATATCGATTGCTGTGTGGATTGTGAGTGGTATTTTGGATTCAAAATATTTTCAGATATGGATTTTGCAATATGGATGACTTGTTCCATGGATTTCTTATTAAGGAAAACATGGAGTGTACCATTGGAAATATTCATTTGATACGGTGAAAAATTATCTTTCAATTTCCCGTCAATTTCAAGATGATTCAGTGAGAGAATTTCTGAAAATTCAAGCAAGGTCATTTTCGAAATGAATCCAAGAGAAAAATTTTTCTGATTCAAAGAGAGTGTCGATGCCATAGTACTTCCAGAAAGTGGAGGACCAACAAGACTTTCCAATTCACATATTGTGCATTTGAGAGAATAGCTGGGTTGCATGGAATCGTCATTAGGTAATGTATTCATCGAGGGATATAGAGTGTGTGAAATTACTGGTATTTCAATGTGACGATTCTGGTCTCCTCCTTTTGGAGTAGGATGACAGGTAGAATTCAAGGAGCAGAGAAGTTCTCGTATGAAAAGCAGTAGAGTTCCATGATCAACAGAGCGAATGGCAATTGTGCTATTTTTCAAGCAAAGAGCGAGGGAACTTGGTACAGTAGGTGCTTGTGAACGATCATGACTCTCTAAGGAAGGAGTTTGAGAATTGGAATTTAAAAAGAAATTCTGTAAGAATTGAATATTCTCCAAACTATTTTCAATGCAAATATCCACAAAGAGATTATTGGTGTCAAGTTTGAGGGAATTTCCGTTAGCATCGTTAGAAGCAACTAATCGAATCATAGGCTCCTTCATGTTTTGAAAGGGTTTTGCTAATAATGGTTGTTGAGAAATGATTAGCGTTTCCACATTGTGTGAACAGCATTCGAGGAGTTCAATGGTTCCAATAGAGATACTGCTTGATTGTGTGAATGGTGTTTGTTTTTCATAACTTCCATGGACATTTCTCAGCAAGAGTTTGAGGTATCGTTTGGAAGTAGAGGCGTCACCATCTTTCAAAAGTCTAATATCCACGGTATCTATGGAACAATGGATGATATTACTTGTTGTAGATGTCTGGGACGTTATTTCTTGCGTCTTGGGTTGCTCATTCATTTGTGACAAGTACTTGTCAAACTCTAACGAAATCACACTTGAAATTTCTTGAAATATTGGCATCATCGTATGAAAGTCGTTTCTTGAAATCTCTACTCTCACTGTATTAATGCCTATGCAATGTTTTGCCATGTCGAGTGATAGGTTGGAAATGGATAAAATTTTCGATACAGATTCAGAACTGTCCATACTGCCGCTCATCAATTCCACTCGAGCCGAAAAAACGTCAAAAGTAAAATCAGGTTGTGACTGAATAATTGATATCCAAGCTTTCATGACTGGGATGTTGTCTTCTGAGAGAATGTCACAATTAATATATCCAATGTTGATATTTGGACATTCAGCGACAACTGAATCTCTTCTTTTCGTAGTTTGTGGGGTATTGTTATGATTCATCTCTCCTAAATAAGTTCTATGGAGTGATTGAATTTTGAAAAATAAACCCAGTCCTTCTGTGATTAAAGTAATTAATTTGATAGAGACCTTAATTCTTGCAATGTGAATACTGGTTGATTTTGTTGTGTCAGGTAGAAAGGAAATTTCAGATCCATCTGAATCATCTTCAGTACGTTGAACATTATTTTCGTTCGAATCCACTTCGTCGAAAATATGTATTTGATGAATTTCCAAGTTAGTTCTGGTCACCAATGAAATTCCATTGTAAGAAGATTTGTAAGTTAGATTTAAATCGCTCAGACTACAGGCCACATGAGGGACATTGATTTCTTTTGGGGCGACCTTTCCATAGGTTTGTTCCCATTCCAAATTCTGATCTCGAAACAGTAAAATTCCACATATTTTCTTTGCGGTAAATGTAAAATTCATGTCATATGTGGGTAATTCTTTTCGTATGGATGAAGACTGAAATTCATTCGTATGGCCAGTTGTGGTTGGACTCGATGGTGGAGATGATGGATGTTGTCTCTTGAACACAAAGGATAAAATCCTCAATAATCGTTCAATGCTTTGAGGATTCAAGAATAATCTCGCCTCCACACAATTCAATACAATATCGAGGAGATTTTTGTTAGAATCCACATTAACCAACAGCTCAAGAGCTCCATTCGTATATAAAATATTGCTCTTCATGGAATTCTCTGTGTGGGCATCTAATGCTCTTACAAAAAAACCATATTTCACATATAATGAATACACATAACTCTTTCTCTCTTGGACCCATAACTGATCCGTCTTGTCTGCATATTCAATATGTGGTATAACAATGGACAATACATCTTCATTGGGCATGGTAATATTCGCTGTGACATTAAGTATCGAAACAGTAATGCTTGACAATAAGGTATCTACTGTTTTAAATAGAATATCTTGTCCTTGTTTGAAATATTGATCCGTAGAGTGTGATTGTTGTGGTGAAGGAATCAACAAGGGAGAAGAGTCTCCATGACCTCCGACATCTGAAAACCCCGACCATTGAGAGCTCAATAAATCCGAAACAAAGGTCGTTGACAATTCAGATGTTTGATTCTCCAAATCACTACTACCATTACTTGCATTCAATGTTTCATCTTCTTTCCATTGAATATCAAAAAACACTCCATCCAAAATAATCTGTACACTATTCATATGAAACGCAATATGAATGGCAATGCAACGAATTTCTCCTCTCTGAATATACAAATTTCTAAATGAAGACGTGAAATGTTTGTTCAATTTGTTCGTTTGAAATTTCAAGGAATGAATTTCGAAAATGAAACTACTCTCATTGGCAGTTTTAGATTCAATATGATCCGTTGTGATTTCTTCAATGAATGGCCACAAGACCGATCTTTTCAAAAGCATTAATACAAGACTTTTAGGAGGAGAAAAGACTCCTAATAATTTGTTCAGCATGGTACCTTTGATTTGAAAGGATCGGAATTGGTTTCAGAAGCAGTATTGTACAAGAATGATGATCTGTGTGTGTGATTAGTAGGAACCTCCGATGTAAGCTTTTGGAAGTAATTTTAAATAAATAATATACTAAAAATTATTTACAATATTAGAGAGGTAGATACAGTTCTGGATTGGAGATCTCCACTACTCAACCACTCGGGTGAACACGCGTGATTGGAATTTTGTTTTTTCAAATTCGAATTTTGGATTTTTTTGTTCTATCTTTGGTTTTTATTCGTTTTCAAGGAAACAAACGTGAATGTTCTTTTGAGATTCCAAAATATCAGCAACCACACTCATCGAACAAAATCCAAAATTTCTCAACGTGAAAATAATTACGATCGTTTCATCGATTTGCTCATACAACAAGTCTAGAAATGCACAACCTCCAAAAGGAGGACATGAAATTGTGAAATTGCACTTGAATCATTTTCAAAACCTCAAAAAATGTCAGCATCCAATGCCACTCACGACACTGGCACCTCTCATGAAACACTTTCTCTCCAAGATGTCGTGAAAGCCTTGTTGGATGTCAATCATGGTTGTAATTTTCATATTGAAGCTGTTTATTTATTTGGATCGAGATTGTATGGAGTGAATATATTAGAGATGACACCGAATGATACTTCTTCTTGCTCCGATTATGATTTTATCATTATTACCAATAGAAGTGCAGATCGGGAACATTGCTTTCCATCGTGTAGGCTTCCTGATGATTCCCGATTGACTTTGGAACTTGTTGTTCGAGATAAATATCATTTAGATTGTGTCGTGATGGATATTTCCTCTTTCCTACTCGATACATTTATTGAGCAACACAATTATAAGGCCATTTTGCCATTGTGGCTTTCTGACACCACCACTAGTGACTATGTTTGGTTTGAGACACCACTCATGAAATTAATTCGAAAATTTTGGTTGGCCAATTTAAACGTACGATTGAGACAAATTCAAAGAGGATTGACCTTATGGTGTCGTATCACAGCAAAACGATCGTTTTATGATGGAGATTTGAGGCGATGTCGAAAAAATTTATTGCATTCTATTCGATATTTGAAATATGCTTATCAAATTGTGGATCAATACCAAATTAGCAAGTATCGAAATGCAAAGAAATTTCACACACTATTCTTTGAGAATACCAAAGACTTTACAACGTGGGATCAATATGAACAAGTATTTCGACCACTTCATAAAAAGTTCAAGACACGTCTCAATGATACGTGTTATAACTTGTTTAAGGACGCAGAAAATGAAACATCTCAAGTGAATGACACAGAGGCATTATCAAATTCACAACACTCATTGAAATTTTTAGAATATATTGAAAAACATCATTTGAGAGACCTGTCAAGAAATTTTTCAATTGTGATTTCTCCAATATTTGAAACTCAAAACGAGCGACAATTACGATCTGGCATGCATGATGATCAATTGTGCCATGATGAATATTCTGCTTTGGACATGATCCACTCTTGGCCACTGATCGAACAAAAATTGCAATATATTTATCAACATGAATCACTCAGGAATTTAATTCAACAAGAGACCCAAATTACACCGAATCTTTTCAAGTTGATTACTCATCGAGAAGTGCACAAAAGATTGGATAAATTAATTCCTCTACGAGAGTGTTGGAATGGCTCTGTTCTCTCGTTTGAACTTCCTCAACATTGGCATGACTTGGAGAATTTTGCCATGCATGATCTACGCTTAAAATTAATTGCTCATCCCTATAATTACTTTTTCCAATACGACGCTGATGATTGTGTGAACATGTTACAGGAGGAAGATTCGAAAGATTCATTCATAACAGTCACTAGGAAATATCTGGGTACCATGTGCATGCTTTTTTACTTCAATAACGAATGGAGAATTAGCACGAACCAAGTCAACGACGATTGGAAGTATTTGTTTTCAAGAACCTCACACAGGTTCAATGAGGACCAAGATATTCAACAACAATTTTGGAATGCATTTCACAATTCCAAATATGAATTACCGGCAGAGACTCATATGTGTTTCATGTTCACTCTCACTTTCAAACCATTCCTCAACCATGGATTACACAACAATCAACGACAAGATCAACAACAATGGTTAATTGCACATGGTTGTAGAGACATGAACACACTCAAGGAACATTTAATTGAAACCTATGCCCAACAATACCATTGGAAAACTGCAGAGGTTGTCGACACCATTTCAAAAAATCCTTACTTGGAAATTGTGAAAAATACCAAATACAAACCCAAAAAGCGAGCTCCAACAGCTAATCCATGGAGAAAGAAACCAGATGACCTCTGTGTGAATTTACCACTGCTACCAGTTTTCGAGAAGTATATTGATGAGGCAAATGATTTTTCGTGTAACAATCCTGAACTCTTCTCTGGGTTTGTACTTTGCGATGAACAATTCAATAGGATAAAAGTAGAAACATCCATCTTTTTCAATATGGGACAATTAGAAATATTCAGAGATAGTGAAACTCAAGAGGAAAGTGTCGACTCTGAAAACAATGAAATGCTCATTATTGAAATGATTCGAAATTTGAGAACGTTCCAAGAGGAAGGCATTGATGATTTATTGACAAATCATGAAAATTTCAATAATAATAGTAGTACTATTATGACATCAGAAACCAGTGCCAGTCCAATGTGTGAACCTATTGACATTACTCTTGTGAAACATTTTGTTCCTGCCTTTACAAACATGTACATTGATTTTAGAAATATTTTCCGACTTGCCTGTCACATGATCGATCATGTTTATAATTCCTCCTTAAACGAGCTGGATCATCGATTACAATCAGGAGCAATTTCAGAAAAAGATACCAACAAAATATTTCCTACAATCCTTCAAGAGAAGAGCCCTGTGAGTCGACATTTCCCATTCATGTACATGAGAAAACATCACATTGAAACATGTTTTGAATTATTCACACGAAAGTATTATTTACACACAGAAGCTATTCATGGGTTTCTTTTGGAGTGTAAGCAAAAGAGACACAATATTATTCAACTCTTATTACATCAACAGAAACAAGGAATTTCAACAGAAACAACAAGCTCGGACCTTTGTTGATTCATCACAGTATATACTTCTTTGGTTGCCAACATTTACAATTAGTTGTACCGTTGCAGAATTAAAATCATTTTCTTGATGTTCTATCATTTTCTGTCTTTTGTCTCGCAGGATGTTTGTCAATTCGATTGTTGAAACTTGTCTAACAGAAATTCAAATATGTCAGTCATCTTGGTGCTCTGTTATTTCCGATCTTTCCTGCATGATATGTCGAATGACATCATTACCAATTCCATTTTCACTCAGATCCAAAGAAGTTAAATTCTTCAAATATTCACTGTTAGCAATACAACTGACACCTTCCGTTCCAATTGAATTGTGGGCAAGATTCAATTTCTTCAAATTCTTGGACCGTTCACTCTTAGCAATATACTTGACACCATAATTGCCAATATATGTGTTACTAAGATCTAAAAAAGTCAAATTCTGGAAGTGTCCACTGTTAGCAATACATTTGGCACCTTCATTGCCGATTAGGTTGTACTTCAGATATAACGAAGTCAAACTCTTCAAATAAGTACTACTCGACATAAAATTAATACCTTCACTGCTAATTCGATTGCATGTCAGATCTAAAGAAGTTAAATTCTTGAAACATTCACTATTAGCAATATATTTCACACCTTCATTGCCAATTTGATTGAACCTCAAATCCAAGTAAGTCAAATTTTTCAAACATTCACTATTTGAAATATATTTCGCACCTTCACTGCCAAAGTGGTTCCTGCTGAGCTGTAAAGAAATCAAAAGCTTCAAAGACGCACTATTAGAAATATACTTAACACCTTCGTTGCCAATTGGATTGTCACTCAGATTCAAACAAGTTAAATTCTTCAAATATTCACTGTTGGCAATACAACTGACACCTTCCTTGTCAATTTCATTGCCGCCAAGATTCAGCTTCTTCAAATTCTTGGACTGTTCACAATAAGCAACATGTTTGACACCTTCATTACCAATATTATTGTAGCTAAGATCTAAAGAAGTTAAACTCTTCAAGTGTTCACTTTGGGAAATATATCTTACACCTTCACTACCAGTTTGGTTGTAGGACAGATTCAAACAAGTTAAATTCTTAAAACATTCACTATTAGCAATGAGTTCGACGCCGTAGACCCAAATTGAATTAGAACCTAGATCCAAAGATGTCAAATTCTTCAAATATTCACTATTAGCTATAGACTTGACATCCTCAAATCCAATCCCATTGCCTTCGAGATTCAAACAAGTCAAATTCTTCAAATGTCCACAATTAGCAATATGTACGACACCTTCTTCGTCAATTTGATTGTAACTAAGATTCAAAGAGCTCAAATGTTTCAAACAATCACTCAATATGTTCTACACCTTCATTGCCAATTCCATTGTTATATAGACCCAAGGAAGTCAAATTCTTCAAACATTGACAATTAGCTAAAAGTTTGATTCGTTCACGACCTTGATTGGAGAGGGCTGATCTGAATGAGAGCGAGAGCGGAATTTGAAATGATACTTGTCTCCATTGTTTTGAAATTTTCATACAAATTCGAATAATAAACAATGAATCAAGAAAACGAAGAATTTCAAAAATAATATCATCAATGAATGGTTTTTGATTGATGTTGCTGGAATTTGTCGGAGAGGAATCATCTCCTGCTTCAACACCTTCTTTGTTACTTGATGATGAATTTGTTATTTCAATACTTTCAGCGGATGGAGAGATTTTTCTCTTTTTGTGGGTAGGAGCATTCATGGGAATATTTTTAAGATGAACAACAACATATCGTCGCCTAATCACAGGAATACGTTTTAATCCAACGCAATTATAATTGAATTTTAATTTTTTTTCAAAACGAAAAAATGAGTCAAAACCAAACGATCAATACATTTGTTCTTGAATACTTGTTGGATCTGATTCATAATCAACAGACGATTCCCTCTAAAGATATTTCGCAAAAATTTATTCAATTAATATCGAAAAATTATGATCAAGGAGATTTTGTTCTCCGATTGCGTTTGTTGAATGAAAAATTTAGAGAGTTACAATCATTGAGTTTAGAAGATGAGGATGATGATGAAATGATTGAAAAATGTTTGAACTCGTTGAAAAAATTATTAAACGAAATTAATCCAACGCAATTCCGAAACATTTTTCCGAACGCAAATTTTGGAAAGGAAGATTACTTGTCAAAATTGAAAAAGTGGGAACTACGCTTAACAAAAACTAGTGCTGATATTGATTCAAAGAAAGAATCACTAGAAAAAATTATAAGATATGCTGCTGTGTTGTGTAACTCTCTAGGATCACCAAGAATTGTAGATGTATTCTCGTCATTTCAATCAAACGCTAATTCTGAATCGTCACTGCAAAAATCATTTTCAGATGACCGCACTAATGGACATAATGGAGACGCGCATTCTGAGACTTTTGAAGACGACTCACAAATAACTACTCCATCCAAGAAACAGAAACAACAATTAACACCATTTTCTAGTCATGTGAAAAATACCATCGTTGACGAAATGGACGAAACTGGGGATGGTCATTCAAGTACATTTGAGCCCTCAACATTAAACTTTGATTATGGAACAGGCGAATATGACGGCTTCGTAGAAATAGAGAACAGTGAAAACACAGACATAGTTGTGGTCATGGATGATGAAGAATTGAGAATGGAAAATTTACGAAAACGAAAAACCTTTGAGGGTGCATGTTCGTTTGCCGGATTAAAGCAGGCCTTAAAGTAAGTAATGGAGAACATTTTTACCAAATTGATCGGTTGAATTAACGTCCTACCCTTCTACCATCGATGATTGTGTGAATAATTACTATTCAGAAATAATGCAAACAAGTACAATCGTCTGGACACGTCATTCACATTTAGTGACAGCAATTGCATTCATTTTGTTACGAACCGAGTTGTTGAGGACACTCCTGAAATAATCCCAACCCCCTCGTCACCTCTTCCTCGACGTACTCGAAAACAGAAACCAATCCCCTATGAAAAGTGGCAACCCAATGAATATGGCCAACCTGGAAGGTATTGGACTCAAAGAGAACTTGATGCTCTCGAACGAGGTTTGAATCTCTATGGAAAAGATTTTAAAAGAATCCTACAAGAATTTAAATCAGAATTTCATCCAGTTCGAACTCCTGTGAGTTTATTGAGAAAATGTGAAAGAGCATTTCCAGATAAATATTCGAACACAAGAAAGAATAATGACTCTGGCAATGAGCATGAAGGAAATGACAGTGAGGAACCATTTGATTCTGTATCTGATACAGAGTAATGTTGTTTCCTCACCACACAAAAAGTTTACTCTCTTACATCCGTAATTTCATAATTGAACAATCACTAAGTTTTAACAATATCCCTCAGTCGAGTCGTTGTGAGCAATATATAAAGACACAATAAACTTTCACTCTGGAAGCAAGCAGTTACACTTAAAGACCAGTGCGTGAAGAACGGAAAGTATTGATCATGAGCTCAAAACTGTATTCCAATTCATTTACGAACCTTTCAAAGCTTTTCTTGTTAATTTTCTTTCTTGGATCCAAATGTTGTAAAAAGTAACTTCCCAACATGAGGTTGTGTTAAATCCGCACCCTGTGTTGTGGTTCAAGATTCAACATCAGGCGACTTCACTAACCGCCAAGCTGCTTGCCAAAAATTCATTTTACAGAAAAAAATTCGCTTGCTGTCAGACGTCATTTTTCTGTTGATCGTCGCACAAACTTTCAGCGTTGCACTACAGCTTCATCTACAGCAACAAGACGGTTCTCTTATTCTCGAGTTTGTTTAAACAATTTTAAAGGTAAGCTTTATATTCAACAAACCAATGTCGATTCGAATTATTATCCACGCGTCCATGATGATTCTTCGAAACTCGATATTTGGTTGAATTCATATTTGGGAATTTATTAATTAATACCTGATGCGATGCGGATTTCTCGTGCGTTTATTTTCATCATCATCATCATCATGATCACTTTGAATTGACCACATTAGTCAATCAACATGTCCTCACAACCACCTCCTTCTTCCTCGTCTTCCTCGAACAACACCAACAACAACACAAATTTGCCCTCCACAACCACCCGACCCTCTTCCATTCCTTCTTCTCCTTCAAGTTCCAATAATAATAATAACAACAACATGATGATGCGTTCTTCTCCGAAACCATCCGGTGGCATGATTCCCCAATATCAACAATATTTTCACTTGTTGCAATCCATGACCTCTGGTTCTTCTTTACCCATTCCATCGACTTCGACTTCATTGAATTTGTCTCCGAATTTGAGTGGATTGCCAACGACTAGCAGTAGTATTGGATTGGTTTCGACTTCACCCATGATGAGAAGAACGACATTGAGTGCAATTTTAGGAACCACTCCGAGTGGATTGACTCGTTCGAATCCTACAGCTTTGAGTACCACAACAACAACGATGACAACGAGTCAAAATTCTTCTTCGAAAGGAAATAGTGGTTCAGCTTCTCCAAAGAATGAGAATGTGTCTTCCACACCCATGCTTGTCACATCGAATGCTGCTTCTACTACCTTACAAAATTCATCGTCTCAATTATCGTCACCAGTACCAATTTCAAGTGCCTTGCCAGTCAAACATGTTTCTAGTGTCGTCGACGACGACGGAGTCACAACAACATCTAGCAGCATGGTCTTGTTGGACTCGAGTGATTCAATGCCTTCACCAGCCACTGCAAAACAACGAAAACCACGAAAAAAGAAGGAAGAAGATCAAGTGAAAATTGCTAGCGCAACTGAGGATGATGCATCTACGAGTGGTGGTCAAACAGAAGATGATGCATCCAAGAAGGGACGATCTAAGACTTGTAAGAGATGGACTGAAGAACAAAATCGTCTCTTGAAAGATGCTGTTTTGAGATATGGTCCAAGAAATTGGAAAAAAATTGCGTCAGAAATTAGTGGAGGAATGTTCACAGCTGATCAATGTAATCAACATTGGCACAGAGTATTGCATGTAAGTAGCAGCATATTTGGTTGCTCATATCGACATTGACATGTGAAAAATTGTTGAAACTAAAATGTCAACCAATCATCATGATTGTTGAACATAATAGCCCCGTATTATTAAGGGAGAATGGACTCAAGAAGAAGATAACCTTCTCTTTGACAAGGTTGCTGAATACGGAGAATCTAGTTGGACCAAGGTTGCTGAATTTCTCATTGGAAGAACAGACATTCAATGTCGTCACAGATATTTCCAAAAGAAAAAAGAAGTGGAAACTGGTTCAAGAAGAAAGTCCACTTCCACATTTTCGTCACCTTCTCTTGCTTCATCCACTGGTGCTTCTCCCAGTTTGGGAGTCACAGCAGATGGAGGCATGTTATCTCCACAACTTGCAGAAGGTGTTCGTGTGAACATGCCAACTCCATCGCCACCTCTTGGCATTTCTCCTAGCTCAATACTAGATTCAGGAAGTACTTCTAATTTCGTTCATCAACACAAAATTACATTATTTACGACTCCATCAACCGTTCCACTTCAGGAAAGACTGAAAGGAGATTCCTCTATCATTTTGGGTCCACAACAAGTGTTAACTTCACCCAATTTGCAACACAGTAGTAGTAGTGGAGGTGGCGGTGGCGGTGGTGGTACATTTTCCTCTCCATCTTTATCCATGGAACCCAAACAAAGAGTCACACAATTTTCCTATCTCGAAAAGGACGGAATTGATGAAAGTGATTTCAAAGATGACATGATGATCATGTCTTCTTCGACTGGTACCTCACACAATTTCCCAAAGAGTCAAATTTCCATACCACATGATGAAAAGAAATATACAATTCCAGTACCTTCTCAACAAGAAGAAATTTCACACAAACAGCCACCCTACAATGAAAATTTATTACTTTGTGACGAAGAAGATTTATCAACTCCTAAACTTGGAACAAGTGGCTCAGAAGAAGACATGTCTCATCACATGAAAAGGGCTACTCCTCAACTTGTATCGACTCAACAAGATGATATGGATGAAGATGAAGAGCCACATCAATTAACGATTGATGAAATAGATACTACTACTTCTCCAGAACTTGTCAAAGCAAAGAATTTACAAAAATCCATCCAAGTACCACCTGTCCAAACAAATACTTCCATGAGTACAACTATTACTACTGGATCCCCACAAGTTGTGACAACATCTGGTACCAGTAGTAGTAGTAGTGGTGGTGGTGGTGACCATCTGAACGCTCTCAATAACAACACACCAACCATCACTCCTGCCAAACCAAAGAAACGTTCAAGTGCTCTCAACAGAATGAGAGGAAACATCAATGTGTGGATTCCATTTAGTGAAAGTGAAGAACAAGTCTTGTTAACAGAAGTTTACAAACAATTGTTGGAAAAGAATGTCATCCTTCCTCACCAAAAGCTTAATTTCACAAACAAAGGAACAAACAGTCCAACGGATTCGATCAAGCATGAAAATGCCAGCTCATCTTGCACACCACATGAAGGACAATTACCTCCATCCTCAGAGTCCAATTTAGTGAATGTTGACATCCATGAAGCAACGACAACACCAACAACAACCACAACCACCACGACTAGACAATCCATTCTTTTACCTTCTCCAGTTCCAATTCTAATGACATCCAACTCGTCCATTCCAAGACAATTAATTCCGCACAATAATCATCTGAGAAAGACATCAGAAAATGTCACATCTACGAATCATGATGATGATGATTATGTGGATGATATTGACTTTGTTGAAATTTTGACTGTGAATAGTAATTGTTTCCATCCATTGCGTACTCATCATTCACTCAAAACTCATTTTGTGAAACTTCGAGAAATGTTAGGCGATGCTGCTTTATTCAACCTTTCATCACAGTCATTGACACCATCATCACTACTTCAAGATCAACCACAAGGTCCAGTGTTAGAACCTTTATCTCACACTCCTCTTGTGCTTTATCAAAAATCAAATAGTCATGCTTGGTTGTCTTCAAGTAAGGTTGCCACTCATCGAACCTCTAGTTTGACCTCAACAAGTTCACAATCAACAGCAGCAGCAGCAGCAACATCTCATTCAGCAGCGAGTGCCACCATTTCTTCGTCTCCACAAGCAACTCAACCAAACAAACCTGGAAGGAAAAAAAAGATGGTCATGTCAGATGCAACACAAGTCACAACAGCATCAATGGCGGAAGAAGGAGCTTCTCGAGCACCATCTTCAACTGGAAAACCAGGACGAAAGAGAAAAACAATTCCTGCTGCAGCTTCAACAAGTACGCAACTATTGTCTCAACCAGGTGTAGCTAGTTCTACAATGGCTGAACCAACTCGAAAGAAAGTGAAAAAGACTCCCTCTGCTGAGGCAAAGCATGCAAAGAGCGAAGATGTGACCTCTCAACCAATGACCCAAGTGCCTGCAGTTGCTGATTCCAATGTGACATTCCTTCTTCTTAAAAATTTCAATGCGCCAGCAACAACCAAACAAATTCAACCTTCAAAGACGACACTTCCATTAGATACACCTCTTTCACAGATTATTTCAACTATTCGAGGAAGTCTTTCACTCAGTTATGATCCAGAATTGTATTGTGAGAGCTCGCTAGTTTCCAACACTGCACAATCTTTGCGGAATTTGATGGAAGAGAAAAATATTCGACATGACGAATTGGTGATCTTTTACAAATAAACAATAGTCGTCATGATGTTGTCAAATTCACAATTTAATTTCTCAATAAATAAAAAACAATTTACAACCGTTGGTTAGTGGTTGTCTCTTCATCCATTAATTGGTCATACTTCTTCGAAATGCTTCTGTACTTGTAGAACAAGAATACAGCAACCAAGGTAATACCAATGAGTATTACTAAACAAACTCCCAATACAGTTCCAATAATCCAATAAGGTGTTTCAATAGATAATGGCTCACATGCCTCTGTTTTCACGACATTTGTGAGATCATTTGGACCTCTTGCACACTTGTGTTGCAAACCTTCCTTTCTGGTAAATCGAATTGATCTTGTCTTGGTATCCTTATTACATTCTCCTTCCAGTCGTGTGAAATCGCTCTCAGCACACAATGGACATCCATAAATTGAAAGAGTGTCCAAACGGAAATTGCATCCAGTCTCATCTACTGATCTAAGACGAGGATTATCAGCCAGAGATGACTCGGTGGAACTGTCCACAGCACACATGGCAGTAATGGTAATCTTTGCAGGTCCGTCTTGTTTGGTCAAATTGTTATAGCAAACGTTTTGATAGTTTTGCAAAGTGATGGAAACTCCAACATTGTTCACAGTAGGTGAAGTGTCATAAATGGTATCCATAGAAATTGAGTTACCAAAATCAATAACTTGACCGTTTCTATACTTGACACATGCATAAGATCCTTGAGGACAATTGTCAGCCATTGCGTATTGCTCTGAAAATGTATCCATCATGGCAAATAATTGAGTGGCTTGATTGAAATCAAACATGGTCAACATTGGTCCGCCACCAATGATGGAACGTGGGCCAACATTACTTTCATTGTTGGCCTTGCAAACATCAAAATAGAAGAAGGCATCCATGATGGCAGAAGAAAAGAATCGAGTGTTTCCTAATAATGCTCCTAACTTTTGGAATTCGAAACGTTGAGAGGCTGATTCTAATTTGTTCGTTGCTACACAAATTTCATTATTGGACCATGAGCATGTTGCACTTCCCTTTGGACTGGTTTGACCCTTACCACAGTCATAACACTTGGCACTTGTTGCATAACTGAATTGATTGGTATTACAGATCGAGCAGTTAGCACTTGCTGGAGCAGAATAGTAGCCAGCAGCGCAAGATTCACACTTGTCCAATTTTGGATATTGACCTCCAGCACAAGTATTACAGAGTACGGCACCACCAACATTGCCTGCAACACCAGAGAGAGATACCTTCGATACAACAGCACGGTTACAAGAGAAGGATTCGTTCAATGATGAAGGAGCATCCAAAGTAACAAAGTTGATATCAAACAATAATTCATCTTTCTTACGTTCGGTCATTGTGAGTGGAATATCAACTGTTTGCCAATCTTCCTCAACTTCATATTCATCTTCTTCGAATGCCTTACATCCTCCACATTGGACTGTCTTTCTAGTGACACCATCAACTAAAAAGTCGACTCTACTTCCACTATTCACAGCACATGAAAGGAACAATCGGACACTGAACGATGGAGTAATGTCCTCTTCCAATGTTACCTTTGGTAAATTAATGAATGATAAGCGAGTGACGGATTTTCCATTTCCAACACCTGAGTCCAAACCGAGAGAACCCAAATCTCTCCATCCTACAGAAGTCAAACATTCACCCACGCAAGAGGAAGTATAGGAAGTGCTCAAACCACCAATGACATCATAGAGGTGAAGAATTTTGAACCGAGAAGCTTCATTATTCTTGCAGGGTTCGCACTCAGTTTCAGCATGACGAGCAGATCTTCTATTAGTGTCAGTGTCATTATTATTGCGATTGTCATGATCATTGAAAAATCCAGGCTCGCAATAAGTACAAGTTTGGGTATTGCCAACAATTGTCTTTTTCATACCAAGTCCACACTTGATGGTTTCGCTGCATGATGCAGTGGAAGAAGGTGGCAATTGTGCACTATCATTTCTTGACTCGTTGCAAACTTTTGGTAAAATCCAGAAATAGTCAACACTTCTTCTGTTGTTGTCACAGATGGATCCATATCTGAACGAGTAATCATTCTTTGTACAAGGTACATTGGCCATAAAGCATTCTGTAGCACCAGAGAATGAAGTATGTCCGGGTGCACATGGCTTGCAAGATGACATGCCTTCTTCGTCTTGATAAGTACCAGGTGCACATGGCAAGCATGGATGAGTACCATTCGAGTAAGTACCTTTGGTACAATTTTCACATCGAGTGACCACTTCCTTGTCGACAGCACCCATAATTGAAATATTTCTGAGCTTGGCACGATCTTCACCTTCGTCTTTGGAAGAATCCTTGCTATATAACCATTGGAATGTATGGAAACCTGCTTTTGTGATTGGGAAGCTCACCTTTTTCCAGGAGAGTTGTCTGTCAGCCTTAACCAAATAATCAGTGCTACCATCCATGGAAAAGAATAAAAAGTCATAATATTGTTCTGCATCCACTTGGTATTCAAATGAAATGCTAGCAATTCCCTTATTGACAGCCGTTTGAGAAATCTCAGCTGAATATTCGAGATAGTTCTTTGAGAATGGCTTGTTTTTGTTGTCACCACTATCAATATAATCAGCACGTGGTTGCCAAGGAGAGCATGGTGGTGCCCAAGCAAAGTTCGTGCAATAAGATTTCATTTGTGGAGGAAGAATTGGTTTATCTAATTCCGTAATATGTGTGGGATGATCGCAACACAAAAAGTGTTAAAAGATGACATCAATTATTATTATTGGTAAGCCATGAACACAATCATCTATATTCTCTGTGCTACTTCATTCCACTACTACTTACCCACGTTGGTATCTTTTCCAGTCGGAATCCAATTATTCAAGCTCAACTCTCCGGAATGAGCATATGAACCAGGAGCACAATGAAGACAAGTCTTACTCGAAATTTCCAAACGAGTTCCCTCTTCACAAATCATATCACAAGGAATACCAGTGACTGGCTGAGGTAAATTATATCCCGTGCACACTGCAGGAGGCTTAAAGAAGAAGAAAGCAGCTTTTGTATTTGTAGAATTATCGCATTGAGTGAAACGAGCTCCAACATCTCTCACCGGATCACATGGACATCCCACTGCGAGAGGCAACAAACCCGAAGCAAGATCCGTGGCTTGAGTTTGCTCGGTGAGAGATCGGGTGCTGTATGGTTTGGTAAGAGCCAACGTTCTACTTGTAGTCTCTGAAGAAGTAGCAGTAGTAGTACTACTACTAGTAACAATATCTTCACCAGGAGTAGCAAAGATCATTGCCGATGCTGCTCCACAAGTAATACCAGCACAATGCGTATAACTGGTTGGATATTTAGCATTGAGAGTACATGTGGCTCGTTCAGCCTGAACCATCCAGATATTTCCTCCGATCATCATCATCATCATCATTAACACACTCATCCAACCAACGATCAAGCTTGCCGTAAGAAAGCGAGCCTTTGAGAAGGTCGATTGTGTTCTCTTCCCCACGTGTGAGCTTGTTGCTTTCATTTTTTAAATTAAATTTGAAAATTCCGAAATGGGACTGAAATAAGGTTCTATGGATTTCTAGATTTGACTTGTTTCCATAATATCGTATCTGCAGCTTGTTGAACAATAAGGTTCATCATCAACCAATTTTATTGTATAATATATATATGGAGTATTTTGGACTCATCAAGGTGGGTCGTGTTGTGTGTGAAAATATAATTCATGCAACATTGAGAGTGTGAACAAACAATATTAATAATAATATCAATATAAATCTCTCTTAACAAGTGTTGAGAGAAAAGAGTGGAAGATGAATTTTCCAACATATCATTAATCAAAACTCAACTTGGTCAACACTTGTTGCAATTCTTTCACAATGGGATGCAACGCAATTTGTGGAGTAATGTCTTTTTCTCCACTCACTAATTTGGTATCAAAGAATTTTGGTCTTGTTGGAAAGAGAATACCACCTTGTACAAGTGGATTCAAAGAATTCGCTGTGGAAGTTGTGACCTGTTTGAGACGTCCCATTAAGGATTGATCTTTGTTCTTGTCTTGTAAGGTCGAGGAACTTTCATAGACGGAATGTTCAGTGGCAAATTTCACAATGAGAGCACGGTCAGTGTCTCCACTGTTGCCTGTAATGAAAAAATATCTTGCATTCACTCCAGGTTCTTCTAAATGATATTTTCTATTTTTGTAAACATATTGAATATGGAAATAGAAGAGAGAGGAATCTTTTTCGAATAATTTTCCAACAGAATTACTGTATTCTTCAAAAACAATCTCAATAGGTGAAGAATGTAATTTTTGTAAATTTTCAAGAATTTGTTCTCGAAAGACATGTTCAATTTTTTGTTCGAGAGACATTTCACTTTGGCTTGGCAATGTGACACATTGAAAAGTGACATGCTCACCAACTTCCACATGTAAATCCTCTTCATCTTTGAATCCTCTTTCATTGATAAAGGTAACACTTGGAATGGATGAATCTGGAATTATTCCAAATTCTGGAGACTCTCGTGTGACTTGTGTCCAATTGAGTGGAACAAACAAATTTAATCCACTCAAAGAAGGAGATGAAAATGCAGTTAATTTTAAATCCTCAACTGCCATGGTTGATGAACCAGATCTAGGACTGGATGAGCTGCTATGATTGGAACCATACGTGGCATTCACTTTACCATTCACCAATTGCAACAATGGATCGTTTCTATAAATGGAATATTCAAAAACCATTTTTGAATTGACATGTTGTGGGCTAATACTCTTACTTTCCTTCCGAATGACATTCACGAGAGAAGTTTGTGAAAGATCAATACAAATTTCACCAATAAAATCATCCCTACTCAGAACATCTTTATCCATCACATGCAATCGAATCGAATCAAACAATAAGATGGCATCGTACAAGATGGAAAATCTTGAATTCCAAACAGGATTCAAACTCTTATAAACGGCCTAATATTTCAATCAAAATGATGTGAATGTTCGTGGGATTAAATGTTGTTAGGGTGTGAATATTTGTTTAGATCAACAACAATATGAATTCATTGAAAGAAATGAAACGAACCTTGGTTTGTGCGAGTGGTTTGAAAACAACAGATTCCGACAAGTTGTTGTTGTTGTTATTGCTTTGAAGAGCCAATTTTGAAGAGGTTGAAATAGAGACATAGGGATCTGATAAACCATTGACATCAGTGGCAGCTGTGCAGAGAGTATTTGAATCCAATTGACAGTTCAGATGTGTTTTTTCCAAATTTAATTTACTTACGCAATGATTGACCTTCCATGATGAATAATTCGACAAGATCATCAATTAATAGACCACGGGTGGGTTTTTTGGTGACCACAGTACTGGTGGCATTGGAAGACTGCATGTTATGATTTGGATTTTTTGTTTTTTGAAATGTGACTTGACATCGAACGGACCATTTCTTGGACATGATTTGATGTTCACTTCCTTTACACTGATCAACCCCCTTTCCAATGATTCCGAGTCAATCAACATGTTTGTATTTATTAATTAATATCATAGACAAATCTCACAGCAAGCAATACCTTTCCAGTGCTATCTACAAGCTTACATTTCACACGAGTTTTAGACAACAAACTCCAAATGACCTTTCGTTCAGGTAAAGTAATCACATAACGTTCTTCCTTTGGTTCAAGATCGACCACCTTTGACACATATTCCACACGAGAAGAAACTGTATCTAATTTTTCATGGAATTCACATCCAGAAAGGAACTCATTCACATAGAAACGAATTTGTAACTTGTAGGTCCATCTCTTCTTCAATTTGATGAGAATTGGTGTCGACTTCACTTCAATTGGTTTTGACTCGTCATTTACATAAATATATGCAGCTTCTAAAACCACTCCTGGTTCTTGTCTCTTCACATGCACCACAAGAGCATTGGTTCTATTTTCAGCCCATGTTTCTTTAGCATGATCGTCACTGATAAAGGTGACTGGCATGGTTGTGGAGAGGTTTGGAGCAAAGTTGAATTGATCGTCGACATTAATCTTGAGTTGTTGTTTGAGATGTTTCGCTTTAGCAGTCTGTAGAGCAGCAATAATTTCAGTCTTCTTTTCATCTTCGAGTAAATAGTCGCCACTTGTTGGACAATGCAAAACAAATACATTGTCGTCGAATGGAGAAACTGAAACACCAGTAATTTCGTCAAGTGCAATCTTTCTCTTAATCTTAAATTCTTGTTCATCAATATTATATACATTCTTGTCAGTCACAACAAGTAAACGATGTTGCTTTTTGAAATTCTTGTTATACTTGAGCACTTGTCCTGAAAATAGCAATTCCTTGTCTCCATTTCTGTCAAAGATCTTCTTCATTCTTTGTGTACCATCGAGTCTCAAATAATCTCCCATGTATTCACGCAAGAGAGTTCTTCTATTACGTCCCTTTCTACCGCTATAGATGGAATCGACCTTATCTTGAATTCCTCTTTCATCAGCTCCTTCGTAGAGTTTCAAGGCAGATGTGGTTGCTGGTTTTTGTGCCTTGGCATTTGGCATGTTTTGTTTCACCTTCTCAGGATCAGAATTGTTCACAAGAATGAGACATCCAAGCTTGGTTGGAGTCAATACTGGAACCTTTACAGTTGGATCGTGTTTAAATTCAATGGTCTTGACACCTTTCACGTCAGTACTTGGTTTGTAAATAAACTTGTCTTCAACATTGACTGGTAATTCCATTCCGTATTTATCCTTATAGGCGTCACACACAACACTGATAAGCTCTGTCTTCTTCTTACATGAAGCAAACAAATCGTGATCTGTTGGACAATGGATGACAAAGAAAGCATCACGCATGGTACTAACTGATACACCAGTAATGTCTTTGATAGGCGTTACACGATTGATGGTCAACTTTTCATCATCAACAGTGTAAATATAATTTGGAGTGACCACAATTTTTCTTGGCTGAGTTCTGAATCTCTTATTGACCTTGGTCATCAAGTTGGAGAACAAGATTTGACCATTCCATTCAGGATCATGCTTACGAACAAGCTCGCAGAATTTTGGATTTTCTTTCAAATTCAAATAATCTCCTTGGAACCACACAAGAAGTGAATCCTTTCGACGAATCTTCATACCACCAAAAACGTCACTAAGTTCAACTTCATCCATATCTCCTGGTTTGGCCATTTTTCCAGCACGAACCGACTTTCTTGACATGGATTGTCGTACAGCCAAATCGTTGTGTGCCTTGTCAGAGTCGGCATCAGATTCAGAAACGACGTGAATTTCAGCGCCATTTGGTACAGGTACCAAAGTAGTGACAATGAATTGTTCTTGATTTTCTGGTTCCAGAATCCATTCCAAATCAACATCTTTTGTGCCCTTCTTGGCAAGATTAATTTGGTGTTGAGTGACAACCTTAATTGGTAAAAGTTGGCTACAAGCTTCCTGATAACTATCATAGATGGATTCCAAAATTTCAGTCTTCTTGGCACTTTCACTCAACACATCTTGATCTGGATGATCAATCACAAAGAAGTTATCCGAATATGGAGAAACAGTTGCACAAGTCACTTGAGTGATAGGAATACGTCTGTTGACCAAATAACCTCCACTTGGATCAATGTTATAAACTGCCTTATCAGTGACCATCAAAATTCTGTCTTGTTTCTTAAATCTCTTATTGTACTTGGAAACAACACCAGAGAAGAGGACCTTACTGTCACCATAGTCTTTTTTCAATTGACCCATCAGTTCACTAAAGTTCATTCTCAAGTAGTCTCTATTTTGATCGTGTTTACCGAAAAGGGAGAGCTTTCTTCTCAATTTTCTTTGATTGTAAATATCAGCTTGTGTGAAAGTATGAACAACCATGATTCTATTCTGATGCTCGTCCAAGAAGGCCTCAGTGCTCACAGTCTTTTTAAGATTGTACGCTGATGGAACAAATCGTACTGTGAATTTTTTAACACCTCGTTCATCGGGCTTGTTATTGAGAATGTTCATTTCTTTGGTGACTTCAACCTTTGGAACGTGTTCTCCCTTAAATTTGGAAGAAGTGGCTTCGATCAACTTGTTGAACTCTTCCAAAAATTCCCACTTGTTATCGAGATCCAACAATTCATCACCTCCATCCTCAGAATCTTTCATCTTGAAAATCATGTAATTGTCCGAGTAAGGTGAAATGTAAATTTTAGAAATGTCTCGAATTGGAATCTTTCGAAGTTGTTCCAATTCTGCCGAAGTTGAATCCAAAAGATAAATATTTCTCTTGTCGGAACCTGTGATGAGCACACGCTTCTTACTCTCTCCAAAGTTATTCGTTCTGAAACCATCCTGTCTCATAATTACTTCTTCTGGTTCTTCAGTGGCCTTCTTCTCTTGCTTGGAATCTACTGATTGCATGGCCTTCTTCATCATTTCATCCAACTTGTCTGCTCTTCGTTGACGATACTTTCTGAATGCGTTTTGAATCTTTTTAGCCATTTCATGCTTTTGATTTCGAACCATTTCATCGAGTTGGAACAATTGAACGGCTGACTGGAGCAAGACATTGTTTTTACCAAGGAAATAATCCTCTGGATTGGACATGCCAATAATTTCCTGACTCAGAATGTGTTGAACGGCCTCCTTTTTGTGTTCTGTCGTAAATTCTGACACTTTTCCATACTTGTTCGTAATAAAAGTTTCCCAATAGGGGAATGTGTCAGGACACAACAATTTGTATCTTTCCAAGAAGACATCGTATGGAATCTTAATATTGTATCCCACTGTAGATCCAACGTCTCCCTTTCTTGACAGCACAGTATCCAAAATACCAAGATATTTCACTTGATGATTCACAACATCGGTCTGGAAATCATCAGCTCTTCTCTCATAGTTAGGAATGATACAACGAATATGATGGTGCTTCAAACTACATGAATTCAATTGATGCATCAATTTACCGACATCTTTCAAGAACTTCTCAGCTGTGGTTTGTTGTAATTTACTGCCGGCAGAAGAGGATTTTCCCTTCGATAAGACATCATTCGGTTGTTCTCCTTTAGGGAATAGAGCAATGATGAGATGATCCTTACTTGTTTGCATGGCAAAGAGTAAATCTTCAAAGAGAGTGTCACGATTCTTATCGACCCATCCGTCTGAAGTGTTATATCGAACAGCAGCTGCAAAGTGTTCAAGTTCAAATTCGACAGGTTCAGCCAATCTTGGAATTCTAAAGTAAGGATGTTTGAGATTGGTCTTCATCTTTTGAACATAATTCACATCATTGCCATTAGGGAATAAACTCTCTTCGTCCAATAGTGAAAAGACACTGAGAGGTTTACCAGCAATGAGTTGAATGGCCGATTCTGAATCAAATTTAGTATTTCGTTGTTGTGCCTCTCCGAGTGGAGTCATGGAAGTCGATGGTTTGTAGTCGTCACCATAAATCTCCTTCTTAATCTCTTCTTGTTCCTTCTTGATGGATTTTTGAACACCACTTTGAATCTTTTCATTCACAAAGTTGATACACAATTGTTCAAAGCCATTCTTTAACTTGTCATTGGGTGACTCGTCATTCTCGCTACCAGCTTTACCAGTTCCAATACTCGATGAATAAATTTCAAATCCGAAAATATCCAAAATACCAATATTGAAATATGTCTCACTATTGGTCTTGTTCACAAAATCATCATAATCAGGAACTCTCAGAGAACGATTGACTCTCTTGACTAACCAAAAGAAGAGTCGTTCGTAAATATTCTTTGCCAATGTGTCTCTGTTGAATTCTGCTTGTTCCACAGATTGAGTTTGTTCGATGGGATTTGGATTACCAGCCATACGAATGGTTCTAGTGATTAAACTCTTTCGTAACACTTCAGCATCGACCTGTAACGTATTGGCAGTCGTTTTTAGGGCAATTTCATTGGCAACATCACATGCTCTCACTCCTGCAGCAATACCTCTTCGTTTACGTTCCTCTGGATCTTCAATACTTGAAAATTTAATGTTACCAAGTTGTAAAATTGCTGCCACAACTTTGAAAACTGCCATTTGCTCTGCAATGGACATTTGAACGAGATCCATCGCTTTCTTTGTATTCTCAAATTCAACAGCGTCATCAATGGCATTGACTGTAATCAAGTTGTTGTTCAAATAATGATACTCTTCAGGGAAACCAAGACCCAATTGTTTTCTCACATATTCATCGGATAAGAGTTGATAGAAAATGTGGAAATTACGTTCTCCATACCGTCTCTTCACTACTCTGGCCTTTTCGAGAAGGAGTGTGAAAATCTCAGCTCCTTGCAATTGACCCTTAAAGTTGAAATAGAGATTTGTGAATTTACCGAAACGTGAAGAGTTATTGTTACGAAGAGTCTTTGCATTACCAAATGCTTCCAACAATGGATTACTTTGTAGAATAGAGTCCTTAATTCTCTGAGTTTCTAATCCAGAAATTGAAACAGCTGCCAAATATTCCATAATAATTTTAGCAGCTTCGGTTTTTCCTGAACCAGATTCACCGCTAATGATAATGGCTTGACCGACACCAATTCCTTCAGAAATACTGAAATCATTAATAATGAATGATTCCTCTGTTTGCTGCTGTTGATCGACTGGTGGTGGAGGAGGTCTTTTCTTTGAACCATTTCGAGTCCCGAGAACTGGAGCATTGTTTTTACTCGTCGTGGCATGTTCTAATAGAGTTCGATAGGTGTCTTCAGCAAGTGAATAGATGTGAGGAGCCAATTCGTATGGAATGTGAGAATGGAACAATGCTTTGGTTTCATTGCTGTACAGTCCCTTCACACTCTTATAGGGATTGAGTGACAAAATGACTGGACCCACACATGTGTAAATTTCGTTTTGATAATAACGATTGGAGAGAATGTTGGTCAAATCAATATCTGTCAATTCACCACTAGTGGTGGAACTATCCACTGATTTCTTTCTTCCCTTATTGGTGTCCATCAGAAGAAGTGTTAAATCGTCACACATTTTACGATCTTCCAATCGACGAACACGGAAATCTTGTTGATAATCCGATGGAGCTGGTTGATAACGATTATAGGAAGCTCCAGATCCTGCACTACTAAAGGATTTTCTATTTCTTGGTTGATCAACATCACTTGGTGGAGATGGCATGAGTTGAGGTTGCAATACTGTTTCTGTTCGAATCACTGTGGCTTTCTTGTCTTCATCTCCTGAATGTTCTGAATGAGTGTCATTACGTGAATCCAATACTATTTTTGGTTTGTTATTGGGTACAGAAGGTGGTTGTTGTTGGGATCGTTGAATGGTCGGTTTCACACCCAAACTAGGCAATGGAGGTGGTTGAACTGTTTGTTGTTGATTATTCACACCTTGTTCATTTGTTTTAGGACTCACACTTCGTGATGGTTTGTTATTAGGTACAGAAGGAGGTTCAACCACACTATTAGTCGTCGTGTTTGGAGAAGTTGAAGAATTCTTTCGTCCAGGAACTGGTGGTTTGGGAGGAACCATTGGAGTCACGTGACTAGTAGAAGTAGTATTAGTATTACTGGTCGTTGTGGATGGAGATACAGAGGATGATGAATCATGATCGCTCGTTCCTCTTGGTGATCTCTTGTCTTGAGTTGCGAGAGGTTTCTTCCAAGTCGTCTTTCCAGTCGCTTCATGATGATAATAAAAAGCATTTCTTCCAGCATCAAAGTAAGCTTTCCATCCTTCTTCAATACCTTGTTCGGGATCTCCAGAAGTTTCATCCGAGGCTTGTTTGATACCAATGGGTGGAGATGGTTTTTGAATGGGTTTTGAAGAGAGTGTTGGAACTGGAGGTTTTGAACTTGTTGTTGGCTGTGATGTCACATTTTCAGGAGTCACAGGTGTAGTTGCGTTTGAAGTTGTTAAACTTTCACTACTAGTAGTGGTTGCCTTTTTCGCAAGAGGTTTCTTCCAAGTCGTCTTTCCAGTCACTTCATGATGTAATAATAAGCATTTCTTCCCGATCGAAATAAGCAGTCCATCCTTCTTCTAATTCATCTTCTTTCGCAGTAGAATCTGATGAGGAAGAATTGCTAGTGGATGTTGATTTGGGAGGAGCAGTATTTGAACTGTCAAGAGGTTTCTTCCAAGTTGTTGCTCCAGTTACTTCATTATGGTAATAATAGGCGCATCGTGAAGAATCATAGTAAGCACACCAACCTTGTGGTAAATTTGCAGTGGGATCATCGTCCTTCTTATTCAAGGAAGAGGTGGCTGACACTTCTTTTTGTAGTTTACTGGAATACGAGTCTGTAAATGTTGTTGATGCTGCTGTGGTGGAGGAGGATGAAGGTTTTGAGGGTTTGGAAGAAGTGACAGGTGGCACTTGAGAAGTTGTTTTTTGATTCCACAAATTTGAATTCTTGAGTGCAGAAACTGTATTCATTTGGGGTGGTTGAGAAGTTGTTGTTGTTGATGACATTGCAGAAGAAGAAGAGGATGACGATGATGCATTACCAGATTTCACAACACCCAATGGTTTGCTGCTTTCTGATCCAACACTTGTTGTTGGCTGCTTGGAAACTGATCCCTTTCGAGCTTGAGTGGTGCTATTGCTCGACCTTTTCGTGTCTGCTAAAGTATTCGAGTCTTCTTCATCACTGCTACCACTGTTAAGATCGGTATCGGAGGTGTGTTCTCGAACTTCAATTCGATCTTCATCCTCTTCATCATTGTGTTGTGGGAATGATGATGATGACGAGGTGGTTGATTTGGAAGAGTATGGTTGATTCAATACGACACTTTTTTCATCTTGATCAGTTACTTTCACTTCGGGAATGTTCTGTACTTGTTTTAATGATGATGAGGATGATGATGAGGCAGTAGTAGTAGTAGCTGTGGTGGTTGTATTACTCAAAGTTGATGACGATGACGAAGAAGAATTCATCGATCCCTTTCGAGCTTGAGGCAATGCTGGAGGTACCATTGAATTGCCCTTCTCCGAGCCTGCTACTGCTGCTGCTGTTGTACTTGTTGATGATGAAACATTGGAATCTTTCCTTGGAGGAGGAAGTTTAGGAGCCTCTCTTCTTGGTACCACTGTGGTTGGAGGAGACGATCCAGTCGTACTACTGTTTGGAGAGTTGCTGTTTTTGGGAGAAGATGATTGTTGTTGATCAATTCCTCTCTGAATCAGTACTGGATTGGTTTTGGTGGTTGATGATGTGGTTGGTGTAGTATTTGATGTTGATGTTGATAAAGTACTAGAGGCACCAACACTTGTTTTATTGGCAGATGCTCCTAATTTGGAACCAGAATTGGTCATGTTGTTGCTTGAGGCGATCGTGGATTGTAATTGTTGAAAGAGAGCCTTTCGGTTCGCGAAAGACGTGGCAGAGACATCTTGTGGTTGTGAATTGTTTTGGTCAGACATTGTGTGAAAAGAGTGTCAATAATCTCACAACGAATGATGATAATGATTATTTGACACTAACCAAACAACTTCTCAAAGATGGCTATGTATTATGCTGATGATAGTAGTTCGTCCTGTTGTTGTGATTTGGGTGTGACACTTTTTTTTTTGTTGTAGACATTGAACTAAATGAGACAAATGTTGGCAAGTGACTGTATTGAGAAAATGTGAAATGGAGAGGGTGATCCAAAATTGTCGAACTTCAATATCCAGCAGAGAAAGTACTGTGTTGTATAGCTTGACCTGACATGTAAATGTAATTCACCTCAAAATTACAATCAAGTGAATAATGAATCCCTTTCACACAATATACAACTTACCTCTTGAGTGGGTGGTACATTTTTCACAACCAATTGCAAGCAAGTGAATTCATGCGATCCGACCTGACACCTCCGAGCAGTAGTCCAGCATGAAATCCGGGAGCTTTTTCACAAGTCATTACCAATATTAAGAAACAAAGGTTTATGTCACAGTTGGTCGACTCTGGGGAAGCTGGTTATATTAAGTTCAATAAATAGTTATTGTTAAACAAATGTGCAAGTTCTTCTATATATATAGCAATACATTCAAAGTTCATCATTCACAAAACCTCTTCCATAATCTCTCATCTTGGACAAGGAACCATAAATGTTTTTGAAAGAAACAATTCCCATAATAAAAATCACAATAAAATCAATGGCCATTAATAACCAAACAAAAGACATCACTACATTACAAATAAATCCTGGAACACTTCCAAATATTTGTAATTTTGGATAGTAATAAATAGCTGCCATCACACCACTCACACCATAAGTCATAAATCCAGAAATGCCAAACAAACAAAATAGAATGGAAATCAAATAACAAAAAAGGAAGAGAATAAATCTGGGAACAGATGCTGTCTCCATTGCTCTATATAATGGATAATAAGTGATAAAGAAGTGAACTGGTGGTAGAATAAATATGGCAGCTGTGGAAATTACTAAATATTGACCTTTCATCATGTCTGTAACATCTAGTGAGTAACCTGGAGGATAAAACACAGTAATGTAGGCAGTGACACAATTCAATACCAAAACGAGTGAAAATAAAAGCCATGATACGAAACCAAAATAAGTTATTTTTCTACGACCGAATTCATTTGGAATTCCACTAATGTTGTGATGTATGAATGGACAACATATTGGAAAATTCTTCTTTCTACCCGTTCTCTTCATTTGGTTTTGTAATTGTAGAATTTCCATTTCCTTTCGTTCCAATTCTCGTTGTTTCTCTGTCAATTGTTTAGAAAGATTATGCATGGCTGCTGCTTCCAATTCTTGTTCGTACATTGTCGATGATGGTATATTCGAGTTTGACAAGTTATTATTATTGATAGACAGGCGATGATTGTCAGCAAGAGTATTATTGTTGAACATACGATGATGATTACCAGAGAGAGATCTTTGCGGAGGCATTGGATCAAGTATTTCTGAGATTGAAATTGGCAAACTATCATCGTCAGCAGAAAAACTTGATACTCTGTGTGGTTGAGACACTCTGTGTTCAGACATATCCAGCGCGACAGCACCGATGTTGTTGTGAATGGTGTCATCCCCTGAGTCGTCATGAATTGCGCTGCCAATGGTAAATTCCATGTTTTTGTCTATTTTTTTTTGTACATGCAAGCTGAAAAAGGCCAATGAAAAAACGGTCGGGAATGAGATTCGAATCTCCTTTGGGGCTGTTCTTTTAACCACTGGAAACTTTGAATCCTTGTCAATATTCGTACTCGAGTTTCCTTCTGTTGCAAGACATGTAATATTGAAACGTTGAATGATTGACATTGTTACTGCTTGCTCACCAGTTTCTAACAGCGCCAAAAAATATTTCTCATTCAGTATGCTCTCTTCGAATCAAGGCTTGATGTTTGGTTTGGGTGAACATGTTGTTCAATCCACATCTTCGGAGAGGACAATACTCAAGCAACAAGTTCGGGAATGTTTGAGAGAATTTTCAAGGACCCAGAGCAAGGAGGCTGATGCGTTTTTGCAAGAATTTAAGAAACGTGATGATGCATGGGAAATTTTGTTTGATATTCTGTTGATGGATTTTAATCAACAGAGGATGATGAATTCAATACCACAAGTAAGTTGTGTTAAAACATATGTTCAATGTTTTATTTAAATCTGTATTCGGAACGACCTATTTACACGGATGATGGATGTGAAATATTAACATCATGAATCAATAATGGATCAAAATATTTAGGATGAAAATGAGAGATTTATCTGCTCTCATCTTATTTATATGAAAATGCTCTATTCATATCAATCGTTTGATGTGAAAATTATGGAGTGGGTACGATGTAGTTTACTGAAATCTATCGCATTATTCTACAATCGGTATTTATTGTCAGGAAAATCGAGCGATAAACTAGTCACACGTCGATTATTGCTGGCTCTTGCCATGTTTTCACTTTATTCAATACTCGCAAACAATACTGATTTAGAGCAAACTGACATTTTTGCTGACACATTTCGATACAACAGTCACGCAACAAATAATAACAATTTAGTAATTTTTGACATTGGAAATAGTATTCAAAATTTACAAACTTTTGACTCAAACACGTTATTTAACGCATTGAACGGAAATGGCTCATTTACAATCACAATGAGTATCATGGAACCTGCACTCGAGTGGTTTTCTCTCATGTTGGAACAAATGGAGAGTGTGAATGTGTTTGAAAATTCTGAACAAGCAGAGTTGAAAAAAGAGTTTAAAAAGATGGAGGAAAAGCTTCTCACTTTTGTGTCGAACATCTTAATGCTGCCTCTTGATGGAAGTATGTAGTTATTAATTATTGGTTGAAAAACGATTTATTTTACAAATCTTGGCTGCTCATCAACACAGAAGAAAAATATAATTATTTTGTAAATTTAAAAATTAATGCCATCAGCATACTGAAAAACTGGGTAGTCTTTGGAATTTCTCCAAAATTTATTTATCAAAACGATACGCTTTTACAAATTCTCTATAGTATCATTTCTACTAGAAATATTGAACTATTCTTCCCAACTATGGAGTGTGTCAACGAAATATTTAACATTTATATTAACTCCAAACATATTGGTGTGATAAAAAAGTATTTAGGGCTGACAGTATCAGAGTTGAAGCCAATTTTCGAGCAGCATTCCGTGAATTTATCCAACGGTATGTTCAAATTTGATCACGTGACGCTTTCTAATTGTTGACTTGTCTGCAGAAACCAGTTATGCTGTTTGTAGAGAAATTATCAAGCTTTGCGTTACATTGGGAGATAAAGGCACAGAGTGGCTTGTTAACATGGATGCTATTAGATATGTTTCAACACATTGTATGATACCGTCAGGACTGACCATTGTAGATGAAAAAGCAAAACAATTTTTGGCAATGAGCGTTTATTTCACATCTGTTCCTAACATTAGCTTGGCAGAGGCCATGCACGCATTTTGGTATCATTTACAAAATTGTGAGATTGATTTTGTAAGGATTGGTACTTTGGACCCTACTTTGTCCGTACTTCCAGAGTTGCAACATGCTGTGTCATCTCAATTTAGGGTAGAGTTGATAGAGTATTTCAAGCCTCTATTAGAAAACACTATTGCTCAAGGTGTTGACGACTCTGTAAAGTACATGGGACTAATAACTACAAATAGAGAAGAGCTAGATACTTTCAGAGACTCTACAAGAGAGGTGTTTGTGTCTGGTTACTACATTCTAAGAGAGGAAGCGATGCATGTTTGCGAGGAAAAACTACTTACTCTTGAGAGACGTGGCCTTATTCAACAATTAACCCAATATATGACATCCCTACCTTCACTCTTTTCCTCCAATGAATGTGAATATCACATTGGACAATTCGCTCAGCTATTAGTTTCGACCTTGCCTGACTTTGGATTGTTAGAGTCCATTTTCTATTCTTTGAACAGTTTTGGCGATATGATCCGTTCACAAGAAGCAGCAAAATATTTTGGTTCCTTCTTTTCCATGTTCAACAGTTTGCAGACTTGCTGGTATCATTTTATAAGAGTTTGTCAGAAATTCAAAACCTACTTTCTACACATGCTTATAGGGATTTGATTGAAAAAGCGCTTTTCGAAAAGGTGATTGTGGGCATGCAACTTTCCAGCTTCGCACATGTCAAAAAACCAAGCAGTATTTTTTCAAAACTGGAATCCCATGTAGCAATTCCTATTTGGAAATCGATGATGCAACTGATAGACAGATTTTCTGCAATAATTGCACAATCAGGAGAAAATGCGATCATTTGGTGCATCAATTTTACTGTGAATTCTATCACTGGATTCAAAAATGCCTTGAAGGCTGAATACTCAATGTAAGTTATTACCACCTTTAGAAAATTTAATGCAATTAATTGAACGATGTGATCAAATTAGGTCTAATCAAAAGAGAGACAATAATGTGAAAGCACTGATGCATATGTCTGCAGCTTCCTTCTCTTCTCTGTGTGAGCAAGTATCCTCACCCAGCAAAGCTGAAAATACTAGCACGACTTTGCTTAGGGATCTAGTATTGTCTATGCATGATGGACATTTATTGGATCAATTTGAACAAAGTGTTTCACAAAAGATCTACAAGGGTTTAAGTCATATTATTGTGGCCTTGTCTCAATTTCCTTCAACACAGGAACACCTATTACAGTTGCTATTGAAAAATATTGTAACAAATATTGAACGTTTATTGACAGAGAGACAAAATAGTCTTACCGAACCAATTTTGGGAGATGTATACGAAAACGAGAAGAGCTTACAAACTTCTATTGCCTTACATTTTGAAATTAGAAAAATTAAGAGTTTGTTATACGCATTCGATACTACCCGTTCGTGTGAAGAACAAAACGATGATAGCATCCTCACCATCATGCTCAAGTTGTTTGACAACATTTTACATTACACGGTTCAAATATTATATTTATTTGTCAAAAAGCCTAGTATGACAAACACCAATGATGTGTCGCTTTACTTAAGTAATCATTGGGGAAGGTACATTGATCAACATTTAATATGCAACCACATTTCAGACTTGTGGAAGGTTATGATAACAACTGTTGGTTGCAAGAACCCTTTAACTTATCCATTTTTACACAAAGTATTGCTCATTTCATGCCAATTCTTTTGCTTTGGAAAAGTCATTGGCATTGAACAAGCCGTTGATGAAAATCAATTGTTAAACGAATTGCAATTAATGTCATCGCATGAAGAGCCCAGCATGAACGCAATCACACAACAACTTCAAAGATATTTTGTCGAATGTCAACCCTATGCATACATGCTAGACGTTATAGGAATTTTATTTGCAGATATGAAAGATCCTCCATTCCCACAAACATTTATGACTTATTTTACCCCAATTTTTGTACTGAGTTACAATCTAAGTTCATCCAATATATTTGAAAACAGGTTAGAATGGATGAAGAATAAGCGAAAAATTATGGAAGAATACTCCCCATACTTGAGAGGACATTTTTCAGAGGACGAGAGAGGAGATTTGCTCATAGCATTGTTCAGACTCTTTAATTTTACATGGACTTTATATCCAGAAAATTATCTCACAAATTCATTGCATCATTACTTTTTGGAGGATCTGGTATTGAAGTTAATTGAAAGTCATATAGGAGGAGGATTGGATTCAAGTCAAAATGGTGCCAAATCAGTCTCCAACTACATTTCCACTTTTGTCTTTACATTTTCACAACTATTGAGTCTTGATAACCGACAAGAGGGAGTTTTCTTGAGAGAAAGTCACAATGAGATTATCAAAAATTATGCATTCCATCTAATTCCCTTGTTATTGAAATACATTTTGCTCACAGACAACACCAATGTATCTCAAATGCACAAGACACTCTATGGATTCTTCACCTACAACAAGATGTATTTTGTCACTTGTGCTGTCAACTTTGTGATGGGACATGGAGAAATTCAACAGCTCATCACTCATCGTGTATTGAGTCCAAAAGATTTAACTGATTTTTCGACCAAACTCACCACAACAAGCACTCATACAACACTTGCCCTTCGAAACACAATCAAAGATTTTCAAGAAGTCATTGCAAAAGCCATTAACTTGTTGAAGCATGGAAACGTCTCATCATTGACCAACGCACAGGAATCAGATTCTGATTTACAAATTCGGTCCTTGTTGGACCATTAAACTGTTGTTGACGTTGTTGGATTGTGCCTCAATAGATTCAAAATATTTAGAATAATGTTCCAATTCTAGTTCAACTGTAGATGAAGATTCTCAATTTCTATCAAGGAACAGTGTAACGACCCTTCGAACCTATCTGATTCTCAATTAAATGAGAAAGTGTTATGCCTTTCATGTGAAAACTTGCATCTCTCTTCACGGAAACTAACTTTCCAAAAGTGTCACTTGTCAAGAGAATTTGGGTAAGTGGACCGGATTCAACAAAACCCTTCCTATGGCCTGCATGATCTTCTGCAGAACAGAACTGGCAATTCATAACTCTCTTGGCACTAGTGAGAGCTGTCAACGAACGTTCTTGTCAGATAACAGGTTTGCGAAGAGATAATTCCCAAGTGTCAATCCTCCCGTTATTTCCAACACAACGACAAAACAAATACCACCACAACAACAAGCGTTTCACAACACACACTCCACCCTCATTATTATTCTCATTGTACTGAAACACACATCAATCCTCAGTCTCACACATTTCAAAATGTCAAACTTCAAAGAACCATTCCTTGAATTCCTTTCCACAGCAGCAACGAATGGCACTTCCAACACAACAACAGCTTCTCCCTTCTCTGATTACAACATTGTAGTCGTCTCCCTCAACTCTCCTTTCGTTCTCATCTTTGGAATCTTATTTCTCTCATCCGTCATTTCGTATCTCGTTCAACATAATTCCATGAAGAGAAATCAACATATTTTGTTTTCAATTTTATTTGTATTGGAAAGTTTAGTGTGTATTAACATGTTGACTAGAATTGCGAGTGAAGTGGCTTTATTGCATCCAGTACCAGCAGAAGGAAGAGTTGCAAGTGTGGTCATTAAGATTTTTGATCGATGTTTTGTGAATATGGCAATTTATGTGGAAGTAGTGTTGATGGCTCATATTTGTTTTATTTTGTAAGTAGTAGTTGTGATCCTAGTATTTGGAATGATGATGAAATTGGATCACAGTGCAGAGACATGTCGAGCAATTAACACGTTTAATGAAGTGACATTTGGCAGAATCAAGAAGCTCATTATTATCTTTCTGTTCATTTTAGGATTTTTATTTGTTGCATTTTGTGGATTCACTGCACTAACAGGAGCTCTCACAGTTGCTAAATTACCCATTGATCCTGCACTTTTGAATTACTTGACATTGGCTCTCTTTTTATGTGCTGCAGCGTTGTTTTTCATTTCAACTGTTTCTGTTTCCATTCTCCTCAATGTAAGTTCATGAGTAGATGGAAAATAACACCAAAAATTAACAAATCTGTAAAATCATGATTGTCGACAATGATTAACAAATCTGTAAAATCATGATTGTCGACAATGATATGTTTGGAACAGGTGGTTGGAAGAAAACTCTCTCAATCTCTTCAAGACAGCAAACGTCGAATCAAGAACATGTTAAAAGTTGCCACTTCGTCCACTACTCCTTCTTCCAAAGACAATCACTCGAGTAAGGAACATGTGGAATCTCATCATCAAACTGACAAGACCAAGAGTATTGAACAAATTAGAAATTACAAATTTAAAAAAGTAGCTCTTAGAAAAGCAATGGCCATTCAATATGGACTCACTTTCAGTTTACTTTTTCAATTTGTTGGATTTATTTTCATTCCCATTTCCTTGTCTTGGAATTATGCAATGAATTTCTTTCACATGTTGTACAATATTGGAATTGTGGCATTTATTGTCTTGATTTTAAGTATTTACCATCCAATGAGAGAAGTTCAGAAATTGTTTAGAGCGGATTCGGATAAGAATTTATTGTTGACAGCAAGTCAAGCTTCCATGTCACAATCCTCGAGTCAGAGCCATCATCGTCACAACAAGCATTTATCTTCTAGTTCCGTGTCAGATACGGGTGTAGGTGAATCGAAACTTTCATTGTCTGAGACACCCAATCAGACTGAAATGTTGACCATTGTAAGTCAGAATAAGACATTGTGTGCCAATTTTGTAGAGCCTATTACTTCTCCCATGAGTGACATTTCTACCTCAGATTTGTCAAGTACAAGCGTGTAAACAAACTTGGGCATGATTTAAAAGGAGTAAGAAAATCAAGACCATGAATACCCTTGTCAGGATTGAACGATGTCGAACATTCTTTGAACAGAGAACTGAGCTCGTATTGAGATGAGATCAAAATGTAAATATGTAAAAACTAGTTGTACTACTAATTCACATAAACAGTGTAGGAGACACATTTATTGTTGTGAAAATCTGTCTCTTAAAATCTTTCTCAAATAAGGGTGACGATATTGTCTTGCCAATCGAGGAACGTCCAACTGCAAATCTTCTTCTTTCACTCGAACCTCTTTGCCATTTATGAATTCTTGGAAACTTTCAAATTCTTTCTTTTGACGCGAAGTGGTTGCATTTTGAAGAGAATGTTCAAACCAATCGGCCTGAGTTAAAATGACAAAATCTTCGTCATCCATGGCAGGAATTGGTTGACTTTCAGAATTTTCGTTTCGACAATCGTCGACGAGTGGAATGGTGGAATATTTTAGATCATGATCCTTCTTATGGATCTCATCATGACCATGTCCCATGGCACCTTGATCGCTCGACTTGTTCATGGTTCCGTCCTCCACATCCAACAATTCACAAGAATCTGTTGTCACATTGTACGTGGTTGGATCTTGCTCTGCTGATTTGTTACGTTCACAACATCTTTCATTTAACGCAATAATAATTGCATCTCTTTCCTTTTCAATGGTTTTTCTTGTCATTAAATACAACCCAATAATGATAATCAAAACTTTTGGAATTCCAAGTAGAGGTGTCATCTTTCTTTTCAATAAGACTGGTAACAAGACAATGATTGAAAATGGAAAAAATAAAAAACAAATTCCAATATTTTCGACAACGGTATTCAAAATCTTTCCATCGCTTTCAATCGATCTCTCATACCAATACATGATTAAATACTTGTCAATAAAAAATGTCAACATAAAATATAAAAAGGCAACAATGTAAATGAGAGGAATGCAAGTTCCATATAGTAAACACATCATGAGCATGGTGATTTTCATACTGTATTCCGCTTCATAGTCGAATATTGGTCGATGCCATTCCCCAGTTTTGAAATAATCTCTGACGCTTGAAATGGTATTGACAATAATTTCTAAACCTTTGGAGGTTGTGGCCAAGACGATGGTTAAAATGATCAATTCAATACCAATGAAATTGAAAAAGTAAATTTCATTGTTAAAGGGTGGTAATGAATTGAATATTCTCCTATCATTGTGAACATGAAAAAAATTACTAAAAATGGTAAAAAACAATCTTCACACTTACCAGACAGATTTGTAATAGGTCCAGCCATATGGAAACACAATCGTACTCAGTACAAAAAAATAGGTCGTTCTTCTAAGAATTGTTTTTCTCTTATGAATATTCGTTTTGTGTTTTTCCCATTTCACAAGTTTTTCCACTAAGGGTTTAAATAACTCGTTAATGAGTGAAATAATTTCTGGAGAAAGTTCGAAAAATGCTAATAAGAGTTTAAATGTAAAGTCTGTAGGTGTTTTTAAAAGTTCAGCATAGTCATAAATATCAGACTGAAAATCGATTACAATTAATCATATATTTATATAAAAATATATAAAAATATAATTATTATGAAATGAATTGACACTCCATTAAAATGATAAAAAAAACATACCTTATTTTGTGTGGCATACCATGGAATGGAGCTATTCAAAATGAGTACGGTATATATCACAAGCAGCACAATGAATAGAATCACGTTCGAGACAAAGACACGAGAAGCTCTTTTGGAAGTGGAAATGTTTAAATTCTCAAAAAGGACATCAGAAGCTTCACAGGCAGGTGCAAAGTTATATTCCATTCTCTTCTTGTCCCTGTTGCTGTCACTTGTGTTCAATTCAGAAGTGACAATGTTTAACCTTAATTTGAAAAAATTCACCATTTTAGAAAAACTATTCGAAATGTACTTTTTAGAAATCATAAATCCCATAAAGTCAGTAACATATTCGTCACACACTTTCTTGGTTGTGGTCATTGAGAAGAAGGTGACAAATCCATATCCAGTTCCAACAATATTCTCTTCTCTTTTCAGTTCCAATAATTGTTTTTCAATTTGTTGAATATTCTCTTCACAATAATGCACATAGGATTGTTTTCTGTAAAATAATTGAATATATAAATTTAGAAGAAGAGATTGAACAGTTTTACGTGATTCCTGTTCGGCAGCTTTTCCAAGGCGTCTCTGGAATTTTGCAAGTTTCTTTTCGAGAAGGGTAATTTTCTCAAAATCCAAACAAATATGACAATCTGCAATGGTATCTTGTCCGAAAAATTCTCTCAATTCTGACAATAATTTTTCCTTATCTTTTAAATTCTTGTCAATATTTGAAATCATTACTGTATAAAGACTTCCAAAATTGGAATTTCCCTTGATCATGTGACGAGCTAATTTTCTTAATCGAAGCATTAATAAAAGACCTAAAATTGGAATGAGTCCATTCAAAATATAAAACAATAATGTCCACCAACTTTTGTGAACGTCAATGGCAGCAATTGTACTTCCTGCAAAATCTTTAAACGAATAATCGTAATGTTTGCTTGTCAAGTAGATGGGCAACAACAACACCATGGACATGATCCCACAAATGGCCACAAAGAGCATGACATATTTTTGGAACCATAAATAATAATAGACATCCGTTCCACACTGTTTCACAATGTCACTATCCGAAGCAAATAGGAATAGAGAAGGAAAAACATCATAAATATGCTGAAGAAAGAGTTTGAGGTATTTCCTTAATCGACACCAAATATTTGATGGATTTTCATCTTGTGGATTATTATTGCCCCATAGATCGAGAGAATTCTGAAAGTAATGTCGAAATCCATCTTTGGAATGAGTCAATTTCCACTGCTCATCAAAATTATCATCATCCAACACTCGTATATCAGCGTCTAACAAATTTTCAGAAATTTTGTACTTGTCTTTGCAATACACAACTTGAAAACATGCAAGTGTTAAACCACACATTAAAATTGGAATGGAAACTAAAAAGTGAAAATTCATAAAAGTATAAAAGTACACAGGTTCCACATAAATACTCTTTTTAGAGGTCACAAATGCACATTGAAACGAGGTATTTCTTGTTGCAAATGTTCCATTCAATCCATCGACCATCAAGACGCCAAATCCCAATCGATGTCTGTAATTAGGAGTTGCAGCCACTGATAAATCTGTAAAGCACATGAACCCCTTTTTCATGATATAGATACTTTTTCGTTGTACATGAAATTCGTATGAAAATAAATAACCCTGTTGAGTCAAGTAATTTTGATCTGGATAAAACGCTCCAACATAAAATTGTGGATTTTTCGAATGATTGTAAATGTGTTCTAAATTCGTGATGAATAATTGGGGTTGAATGGGAATGGGTTCAATTAAATTTCGAGTGGAGTGAGAATAATTTCTTGCAATCACGACTATCATGGTCCGACCATGAATGAATTTTGCATGAATGATTGTTATATTCAAAGAAATTCAAAGAATTCAAAGATGATGGAAATATAATTTCTTTTCAGAATGGTTGAAACTTACCATTCAATGATGAACATTTACTTGCATGATCCACAATTCCATTCACACAATGAGTCGGTATCTGTGAATACCATGGAAGTAACACCTCTCCAGGATGTGCGTTGTCATCATCGTCATGGTCATCATTATGGAAGGTTTCATTCCTTCCGACTCGAGTAGTGTAATTTCGCAAAAACCATAACACATTCATTCCGTAGGTGTTTTGAAATTCATCATACCGATTCGGTGGTGAATTGACAGGACTCGTCATGCAATCTTCAATTTTTGAAACACACTTCTCTTCGAGAGAACACCAAATATTTCCGGGCTGAGAGGTGCATTGCAAACAAGAAGAAGAGAGAGAGGAGGAGAGAACACAAGCGATGGAAGGTGAAAACAAGATCAACAAGGTCATGGCAATGATTGCCTGAAGCAGAGTATCTGCCGCTGAGATCAAATTCAGCTGTGTGGTTCGTTTAGGTGGAACAAACATGATTTTTTTGTGGTTGAAACGCCAAATTCACTTCCAAGTATTTTCTAAATGAGCTATTTACACTTTCGAAATGGATCATTTATTCTCATTTGACACTACGAGAAGCAACATTTTCGAATCCATTCAGAAAATTTGGGAGACACCAAATGAACCAATAATAAAATCATCTTAATAAACAGAATGATCAGCAAGGTAGCAATCTCACTCTCTGAAAAACCTGCTCCTTCTCTCTTGTACCTGCTGTCATGGTTGTAGGGTTTGAACAGAATCGTGGTGGAAGATGTATTTACAACTGGAGAAAAGTCATGAAGAAAAGAAAATGGAGAAGTTACTGGCTCATCAAGGGATGAATCAAAAGATCGTACCGATATTGATTCTTCTGTTAAGGAACGAGAGTCGGAAGAGTCGGATTCTTGTGTATGTTGGCCACTAGGTATGCCACTACTATTCGAGCTAGAACGCCTTGTTTTGACGGAATGGTTGGATACAGTTGTTGTTGTTGGGAGTGTGGAGCTCTTGGGTTGTGGCTGTGTATGTTGAGCGTGTGGATGGGTGTGATTGTGATGATGATGATGATGTTTGTGATGTTGTTGGTCTAGGGTAACGTCGTGGTGTCGGCCGCTCAGTAACAATGTTCTCAAAGGAAGTGGCTGACGTTGCATTTGAAAATCGAGAAGTCGATTGGTAGAGCTCGAGTGTTTAGTATGAGCATGCCACGAGGATCGTTGATGTCTCAATAAAGTACATTTTCTGCCATGTTTGACTGTCTTTAACACGGAAGAGCTGCTGCCGTGGTTGGAAGGCAAAGCAGTTGTTGCTACACTTGCGGACTCAGTAGTGGATGCATCCTTTGAATTTATCAGAGCCCTTCGATTCATCATTAAGGATGAATAGAGGCATGAAGAAGTGTTGTTGTTTCCAATCATGATATTGTTGCTACTGCCACTGCTGCTACTGATGTTTGTGGTGGAAGAATCTTGTACTCCATTCATACCACCACTACTTCTTGCTGATGATGATGATACTGCCGTTGAGGGCGTGTTGATGAAACAACTCATCGAGTCTCCACCTTCATCCTCAATATCTGTGATGGTCATGGCTTCATGGGATGAATGCCTTCGTTGTCGTGCATGGCTTGGTGGTATGTATGCAAATGGACACATGATAAAGGGTAAAGTCTTTGAAGAGGGAGTCGGAGGTGGAGTAAGCAAGTTCATATTAAGGCCATTCGTTGTAACAGTGGTATTTTCAAGGTTATCATCGCTTGAGAGTTCAACCTCTGGCTTCAAGAGGAGATGATGATTCGGAATTTGCTCATTCGTTGCCGGCTCTGTTATGAGAGAGACTAACGAATTTCTACTGCTGCTCTTACTTCCTGCCATCTCTGAAATCTTTCCTCGTCGAGAAAGAACCACCAAAGATCCTTCGACCTCTTCTCGGAGAAGGTCTTCATGACCTACTGGAGATGATTCCTCCAAAACCTTCATTTCTTTAAATTCGCGTAATTGGATAATCAATTCTTGTGTGTGCCCTTAAGAAACTATTAAGACAAAGAGTTGAGAATTTTTTTGTGTGGTGCTGATGTTGATTTCTCTTATCCATTGTTGCGCTTGCGATGAAACAACAAGAAGGGTTGTGTCTACTCGCTGTGTTTCGCCGTCTCTCTAGGAATGTATAAAGTAGTTTCTTAATTGGTGCTGGATGTGGCCAAACAGGGTATGGACACGGAATCATTTCGTAAAATGACCTTACATTTGGATCCTCGAACACTAATGGTCTACTCAACAACAGAGAATCGTAACAGTTCCAACACATGAACTAGACCAATCTAGTTCCATTCATGGCAACAGAGCTCGCTCACTCGCTCACTTATTCGCACCCTTCTCCAATTTGTCACATGTTCTTAATGGATTCACTCTGTAGAATCACCATATCGAGTCTTGAAATATTGTGCGTAGGCCACTAATTGAATCAAATTATCGACAAGTACCTGATCGGATTCTTCTTCATGGATGACAGACGAATGAGCATCTTCACTCTCGCCAGATCTTAAATGTGAAGAAGAATATCGACACACATGTTCACACGTCTCTCGTGCCAAACGAATACTCTTTTCGTATTTCATGATAGAACGATGGAGTGAAAGTAATTGCTTATTCTTTTCAATGGTTTCTGGATTTGGTGTCGTCTGCATGGAAGAGGATGAAGGTGTCTCTGCACTACTACTATTCGTACTTGAAATGTCAGAAATAGAATCCATATCACTGGCAATACTTTGATGGTCCAATGTAAGGCCATTATTATTACTAGTGGTAGTGGTAGTAGTAGACTCATGAATAGAAGGATGGGGATTACTTTGTTCTATCAAGGAAATGGGTGCACTTCCCAGAATGAGTTCAATTAATATGGAAATGACAATATTAGCAATTTGTCTGAATGTATGACCCATCTTTACCATGGTATCATCATGGTTTTGCGATGAATGAAGAATAGCATCCTCTACTCTGGCAGAATGTTGTTCATCTCTCCTCGCCATTGTTTCGCTTGTTTGTTTTCCACACAACGGTGTCATCCATGTCACCATATCTGAAACAGTTCTCAAATTCACAATAAGAGCAGTCATTAAAAATTCAGAAAAATCCTTAATAGTGATCAATTCGTTCAGTAATACCTCTCGATTTTTCTTGGCAATAATGAGAAGCATTCGCAGTGTGAGGCATGCAAGATCCGAGTCGACAAAGACCATAATTTCTTTTCTCAAAGAGTGTGCTTCTGAATTGGATGTATTCGAGTCGTTCGTGTGTTTGTTCTCGTCGATATCTTCAAATATTTCAATTTGTTTTTTCGTGACATTATTGGTAGAAATGACAGCAATCCACTTGATAAAAGAGAATAATCTTCCGGAAATAATGGCCTCTTTCTTGTCACTGTTCGAATAGAACAAAGATTCCAGTAAATCCTTTTCTTGCTTTTCGGAAGCAAATTCCGAGAGTAATCTCTCTCGCATCAAATCACTCTGAACAGCACATACAATAATCTCATGATGAGTATGCTTTGTTTTAACCACTGCTGATCTTCCGTGGTTTTGAAAAAGGCATTCTTATTTAAATTTTGTGAAACTCTCGAAAGAAGCATGTCCCAAAAGAGTGGCACAGATTTTGCATGATCGAAAAATAAACATCTAAATTCAGGATTGTTCAATGTGAAAATGAGTAACATTTGTAAGGCATAATTACATATAGAGTACTCGTGGCGAGTTAACATTTCTGTGTCAGTGTTTGGAATAAACACTCCAAAATATGAGGAATTTCGCGTTTGTTTCGGATTGGAACCCGTATGCACGGAATAGTTTTTCACATGCAATAAAAATAAGCTCAATAAACTACTGAGATTCTTGTTTTCATTTCTTCGTTGTGGAATCATTTCAAGAAAAATTCGATTATTGAAATTGGAGTAACTGAAGAGACTCCACAAAATGCTGTACACGTATGGCAAACAAATATGTAATTCTGGTCGTTTTTGATAGCACAACAATCGATCCAGTGAATTGAAAAAGAGTGCTTCGAGTGTTGAATTTTGAACTATTCATATTCACACACAGTAATATTGAACAGTAATTCATTGTGTGCATGAGTATCGTGCACAATCACATATTATCAAGTAAAAAAATATTGAATATTAAAATTACAAAAACAACAATTGAATGGTTCAAGAATATAACACTATCACAAAATACACACTCCAAGTACCTACATCTCAACTCATTGACATACATCAAAAATAAAGGTCCATAAATTCGATCACTCAACAAGAAGGCTAACATGAAATTCGAACACTCAATAACATCCTCTCTAAACACTCTCTCATCTCCAGACATGAGCAAAAGTCGTAGCATGTTTTTGTAAAAATCATTTTGAAAATGTGGAGGGTCGATATGAATGCTGGCTGTTGCTGTTGTTGATAATCCTCCTGAAGCAGTGAATAGAGCACCATTTTCTTTCGTATGATCTTTACGTGTGTCATCCTTGTCAATATCCACAACATGACTGCCATTGTTCCTCTCTGCATGATGTTGCTCCCAGAAAATATCCACATAATTCTTCATCATTTGATAGATCAATACAAGTCCGTTACGAAGTGTTAATTGTGCTTTGGGTGAGACAGATTCTTTACATCGGTCAGCTGCCACATAGAGTAATGAAAAAATTTGTCCAATTAACATTTCCATGTCGTTGAATTGAAGAATTTCTCGGAAGGTTTCTTTGGGAAGACATTTGGTGGAGTGAAAAGGCCCTGAAATGTCTAACAAGATGTGACTCCAGTTGAAATGAGCCCATTTCCGAGAACGGAGTGGTTGGATGCCAAGATCGAATTCTTGTTGAATTTGTTCTTCTGTGCTCGTGAATAAAGAGGAAAGAAAGGACATTTTTTTGTAATTGATTTTGTTGGCACGCCACCATGATTGTAATGGTGACAGTTATCGAATCGTAATTAAGAACATTACTTAGAAATGATGATTGAAACATGTTTTTAATATTATTATTGATCCATAGACACGTGGTTCAAAAAGTGTTTGAGTTCATGTAAAGAATTTTTCCTGAATTATTAGTAACAATTGTCTCTTGATGGTTCACTGATTGGCATGGCACGATGTGTCCTGAGGCTGCTCTTACATTTAAAGTTTGCTGTATCCTCAACATATTTGACTTGATAATTGATAATCTTTGGAATTTTGTGAACCTGAGTATTTGGAATACGCTTGGTAGGTAAAATATCCTTATTGATGGCTTGCAATTCTCTCCTCCTTTCTCTCTCCTCTCTAGTCATTTCAACATTGGCAATATTTCTTCCGAATTTACGACGAACAATTGGATCCTTTACAAATGGTGCCTCTCCTTCAAAATGGAATTGGAGTTGGGATTGTTTTTCAATATCAGCCAAACGAGGAGCAACAACAATGTATTTTCTATCATAAACTTCGTCGTACGCAAAATGTACCCATCCATCACGAAGAGCATGGAGTGTATAGTCCTTGCCTTGTGCAACATTATATCCAGGCCAATATCTATTACCTAGTTGTCTGACGAGAACTTCTCCGGCTTTCACTCGTTGTCCTTGCACTCTTTTGAGTCCCAATCTCTTTGAATGAGAGTCCTTGGTCTTTTGTGTAGAACCACCGCTCTTCTTTGAAGCAAAACGGACTTGATGTTGAGAAGCCTCACAAATCGAATTAATTAAAAACGATGATGATGAATTTGTTGCAGTGCCCGAAGTTGTTGTTTGTCCCAAGACTAATGATGATGGATGAGAGAAGAGAAATGATGTAGCAGCAGATGTAGCCATACGATGAGAAGAAGCTTTGCAGGCATTCATCGCCAAAGACGATGAAAACAGGGAATTGCTGATGAATTTCTTCATTTTTTACAAATTAAAGTTTGAATTTAATTTACTGACTGAATACTCAGTCGGATGTAAACTTTCCTTTCTTTTAACTCAGAGGGTGTAGTTGTAATTTCATGAACGTGTTTCAATTTCCAAGATCAAAAGCGCCACTGGTTCAGAATACTTTTCCAGAGTCTTATAATTTGAAGTCAGTAAATTCCTGATGAAATTATTAATGATAAAACAGCTATTGTATTATCATCACCATACAATGACATAGATGCCATGACTGCCATCACTATTAATTCCATTTCAAAACATATCCCGAATGATAAATATTATATTCTTTCAAAGTCTTTTCATAATCCACTTCTTTTCCACAATAATACAATGCAGATCCTGGAGCACTTGATAACATGATTACTCTCTCTTTAATGTCTTGCATGCTATCTTCTATCGGATCACAAGGAATGAATAGGATCTTTGTTTGGGTCTTGACAAATATTTTCATTTTTCTTATTGTCCTGATACAAACAACTCCGTTAAAAAATGTCTGAAATTGATGAAGAGGAAGATTTTGATCTGGAAGAAATTGAAGAAGAGGAAACCGATGAAGAGGAAAATGATGAGGAATTTATTGAAACTGATTCTGAAGAGGAAGAAGGAAAAGTTACTGATCATCATGAATTGTCGGAACAAGAGGAGGATGAACGAGATTTTCCAAACTTTTTCGATGGCCTCACTCCACAAGGAAGACTTCAGGTGAAACATGCTCGGAAATTATATTTTGATGAAAAACAAAGAGAGTATAATGCAATGGTTGCAAAAGAAGTGTCATCTAAAGTGAAACAAAGGTGGAACGATATTGCTTCTAATGAGCAATTGGCATCTACTGGATTTGATTTTCAAGTATTGAAAAATATTTTGGATTCACAACTGAGTACGACAGGCGAAACATCTACTACTGCTACTTCACGTCAAACACAACAATCCCTCGAAGAACAATTAGATATTAAACAGAGAGGAGATCATTGGGATTATACGATTGGTCTGAATGAGGTCAATCACAACAACACTGAAGAAAATACACAAGACAATGAGACCAATGATGAAGAGGAAGAAGACAATGAGGAAGATGAAGAAATTACTGACGACGATGACGAAGATTAATGTTGACCCTATACTTGTGCTTGGGAGACGTTCTAATCAATATCCAAACTGGGTCTGATCAAGAAAAGACGTAATTATTGAAGCATTGCATGATTGGTGAAGAGACTTGGAGAATTTAGAAATTTCCAAGCTTGATGCAGTCCAAATTACACGCCAAACTTTGCGAGTTTCGTGTTAAATTGTTCACATTGAAGCATTGCATGATTGCATTATTTGAACAGTCTTCATCTCTCTAGTAAGCAAGTGACATAGGTCTTGGCTCTGTGTGACATGAATATCATAACATGAATTATAACAACATTTAATGAATTTATTGAAGATCAAGGTTACTTCTTTTGACCTCTCTTTTGATATCCCTTATTTCCACCACCTCTTGATTGTGTATTGGATGGTGCAGGGAACATGCAAGCAAATATTCTGCATGGAGCTCCATGAACATCAGCTCCATTGTATAAAAGGCATTCACGAACACTTTCCCAATCCTTGAAATGAATCAAGAATTGATTCTTATTACTCTTTGAACTTTCTATCGAAACAAGACTTCCACATTCCTCCACATAGGACCACAACTCTTCCTCAGTGATTGGAGAACCTTTCACAACCATTAAACAAGCCTTGTCATTCTCACACGCATAACGAATATTAATGGGAAGACCTTCAATTATAGCTCCTTTATAATCCTCAAAGACATGAGGATTCTCAATGTCCTTTTCAAAAACAACAATGGCAGATTTTGGGCCTGACAAGGTAGTACTCACAGATGGTTGTTGATGTTGTTGTTGCTTGTTATTTCTCTGAGCATTCCTCAACGCATGATTGGCTAACATTTCAGAATCTTTGCCAGAAATATTCTTTTGGAAAATTAGAATTCGTTTCACTTTTTGTCCAGGGGTTCCAGTGTCATCGGCAATTTCATTCATGCATCCATTGAGAATAATTTCATCAACAGAAAGTGCCAAATTGGATACCAACAGTGTATTCTTGAAGACTTTGGAAGAATTGGAAGAGATTTTGGTGAGGAAGGATGGGTCTTGAGTGGCATTGATATATTCTTCGGTATCATTAATTTCCTTCTTTGGTTTTTTAGAGAGGGATTCCAGAGAAGCTTCATCGGTAGTGGTTGAATCAGTCGTGGTAGCAGTGGTCGTGTCATCCTCTGTTTGTTGTTTACGTTTACTTCCCTTCTTGTTATTATTATTGGCTGTTGTTTTAGTGGTTGCAGTAGTAGTGGTAGTCGTAGTGGTATTTTCATCATCATCAACCATTTTATCCTTGTTGTTGGTTTCTTCTTCGGATGATGATGTTTGCAACTTGTTTGGTTGTTGTTGCTGCTTGTTGGTGGCCTTGTTCTTGTTTTTGCCCATTTTTTTTTGAATCAAATTTTTTATGGAACCTCAAAACAGCACCTTTGATTTTGAATTTCACTTTGTATCAAATAGGGACTGTCTTTTATTCTAAAGGCATCACTCTTTATGATTTGCATTGTTTGCATTAGACTATTTCGATGAAAGCATTGGAACAGATTCGAACCTCATTCATGAAATCAACAAGATCGGTTTATTGAGGTCATTTCATCGTTCGTTCCTTCGATCGCGCTCAGTGACCTTCGTCACTCGCCTTAGCAGAATTCTTTCAATACGATAATTCTTGCGTGGAATAGAATTGTTTGTACCATCTTCGTAACTTCATCACAGGTCCATCGTTCTATAGTTGTGTGAAAAAAAATATTCACAAATGATGATTCCATAATGTAAAATAAATATTTTCACAAACAACTCCACAAATCACACAAAACCTACCTTCACTAAGAGTGGCTTTTTCATGTACATCTTATTTTCCCATACTAAAATATCATTTTGCCACTGAGCAATCCAATTTCCTACAATGTACCAAACCAGCATACGAGGAATCTTATTTTCTGCAAAGCACACAAATCCAACATCTAAACTTGTGATTGAGGTTGGAGTGTGAGTGTGAAATAAATAAATTCGTCCAAAACTTCCATCGAATTGGAACAGTGTAATTCCACCAGGTCCAAAAAATGTAATTTGAGCATCCACTGTGGTGGAGGGTAGCTTTTTTCCAAACACTTCGAGACATGCTTGATTTTTGAAGTAGGCCACATGCTTTTCTGTTTGAGAGAGTTCAAAACTTGCCTTGTGAATAATTTTGACAAATGGCACTGGAATGGTTCGTCCAATACAAGAACGAGGACCCGTCCAAGGTAAAGCCATCTCTCCATGCAGTGGTTGAAAATGTTGAACATCGGCAGAATTCTCTGCAAAATCTTGAATATTCATTCGAATGTCAGCATATTCAAAATTTCCATAATGGTAATATTTGGAATTCGATTTGTTGTCAAGTTCTGGAATAGAAATGGGTTCATACGAAGGAGGTTCCTTCTCCGAATGATACCATACCAAGATCATTCCATACTTCTCCACACAAATCCATGGAGTATTAGAATAAGTTTTTGCACACGAAGGAATGGAATTGCACGAATCGACATAGGGAATATTCACACACTGACCATCCTTATCAAATTCCCAATGATGAAATGCACATTGCAAATGATTTCCAACGACTTTACCTTGTATCCCTAGATTGGCTCCTAAATGTGGACAGTAGGCGTCCAAGACTCCAACCACTGGCAATGTATCAACACTGAGTTGCTGACCTCTGAAAATCACCAATTCCTTACCAAAATAATTGACTAATTTGGATTGACCTGGAGAGAGGTCACTCGAATTGCAGAGTCGATACCATCCATTGGGATATTGTTGAATGAATGTGTCGGAACGTTCTTTTTCGACTTGTTGTTTTGAAGGTTGAATTCGGCTAGATTGAGTATTTCTTGAAAAGCAACAAAACCAACGAGAGAGGAAAGCAATGAGAAGGACAATATTAACGGAAAGACTGAGAAGGAAGAGTAAGGAGTGGTCATTGGTATTGGATGAGAACAAGAATGATTCTTGTGTTGTAACTGTCGTATCAGCATGGCTCGATAGAGAGTTCAGAAAGAACATGGTTGTCGTTATGGGAATGTCTTTGGTTGAATCGTGTCGGAAAATGAACAAGGTATGATCGACGAGAACTGTGGTTAACGACAGAGTGAATTCAAAGAGAGAATCGATTTGTTTTTTTAAGCTTATGGAGATGGTTGTGACAGACTTAAAAAGTTGTTTGTGCTTGCGTTTGCGGAAGTCCTCTCAATAACTTGGTCTGAAAAGAAGAATACAACAACGTTGGCTAACAAACTATTAGTGGCATGACAATCAGTGGAGGAGCTCCTTCGTCTCATTTTGTAGAGTACTCAATTTAAATACAATTAAACGCATGCATTCAATACTGGTCGTACGTTTACTGAAACAAATTCCACGCGTCTGTATACAGGTTGTTGATTGAAAAACTGCGCTCCTATTTTTTGATCGTCAATGCCTTGGCTGTTGAGGGTTTGGTAGTTGGTGAAGTTGTCGTCTTTGTTGCTATTGTCGTCGTTGTTTTCGTTTGAGATGACACAACAGTACTGGTCTTTGTTTGCTGCTCAGTTGGTGGCGGTTTCGATTTGGGAGCATTGGCAGAGGAAGTAACGTCCTTTCCTGAGCTCGTTTTCTCTTTGGTTGTTGACGGCTTTGAGGAAGAACCAGAGTAAGGTGTTGTTTTTGTTACATTGGAGGTTGTCGATACTGCGGTCACAGTTGAGTGTGATGCTTTGGCAGACGAAGTGGTGCTGTTAGTATTAGTGGCTTTTTTGCCAGCAGTCGATGAAGAAGGAGTCACAGTTGGTTCCTGCTTATTGGCTGTTGGTCGAGTGGGAATGGGAGACTTGGCTGTCTGTACTCGCTTTGCAATTTTTGTGTCCAATGCTGTTTCCGTAGCAATCTTTGGTTTGGTTTCTGAACCCTCAGTATTCTTTTTTTTGTCAACTTCCTTGATGTTTTTGACATGTTCAGTAGTGTGCTTGTTTCGAATCATGTTTTCAATGATTTTCTGTTTGGTGAGTCCTGACGTTGGATAGAGCCAATTCAAATCAAACTCACTCCAAGAATTAACAAATCCAAAGTGCTTGTTCAGACTTTCCTTGAAAATAGAGAGCAGAGCAATTTCATAAGGTGTCATTCCGCATGCATTCACAACATTGACACTTGCTCCATACTCTTTCACTAATTGTTTACCAATCAACAGTAGTCTGTCAATATTGTTGAAGCATGCCAAATGTAGTGGAGTATTGAGATCTCCATTCATCATGGTAACCAGTTTGGGTTGTTTTTCAATTATTTTGGAAATGACCCTTAAATCTGAATTCATACATATAATTGCCACGTGTAGACAAGTGTTTTTAAATGTGTCAACAAATAGCAACTGTTCAGCGGTCATTTTCTCTACTACCGCTAGTACTATTGATGTTGGAATTGAGGGACATGCGAGCATGAAATGCAATAGATTCATCTCAATGGAATCGACACACTCCTCTTGATAAAATTTTAAATCTAATTCCTCTTTTGAAAATTTGGTGTCTAGTTTCAGTTCCTTTTCATACATTAACTTGAGTGCTTGTTTCTTTCTATAATGTTTCAAAAAGTTCTCATTCGACATTAAACAGTCTTTTCGAAGGTTGGCAGTGAATCGAGGCAAGTTATACTGCTCAAGAGTGTTGGGACCAGGTGTTTGAAAGAACATGGTCTTTTCAAAGACTTGAGAGAAGGTCGTTAAGGTACTTCCAAGAGTCATGACATCATTGAAATATTTCATGCTCTTGGATTCTAATGCAATAATGGCCATGATGAATATCTTCTCTGGAGTCAATTTCACGTGTTGTTTCTCATAGAGGACTCCATCTTGTTTGGGTCGAGTAACATAGGTGAAAAATATGTTCATCAGGCGCTTTGTCTTGTCATGATTTTTCAAATCAGTGTCCTCTTGCAAGTATAGACGGTTGCAACAGTCATTCTCAATTTGTGTGATCATCTTGTCAACATCTCCACTTGCAATGTCAAAGTTCGATTTCAAATATTCCAAAAAAAGTTGTCTGCTAGCATTTTCATAAAATAGTTTTGCCATGTAAAGTGAAAAGAAACAAGAGAATGCCATATTCTCAGTGCCATAAAAAGCAGAAGCGTTCGCACAATGCAAAGACATGAATACTTCTTCCAATATTTGAGGATTTTTGAACACATCCCAGCCATAGTAAAGTAACGATATGATCCATGAGATGGTGCCGTCGAAATCGAATGCTAAATTTTCCAAGCCGATCAACCGTCCGTCTCGAGAATTGGCATGGAAAACAAGATATTCTTCCAAAATTCGCTTCTCTTCAGTGTAATCAAATGCAAAAGTATCTACCACACTCACTGGCAGCTTGAGGTTATTCAATAAATAATCCATAAACTCTTTCTTCTGCTCGATGGGATATCCAGGTGATTGACGTAAAATTTGATTTGCTAAAGGAAGTTTCTCAATGGATAACCCAGAGATGTCTAAAAATGTTTCCAAATTGTTTGTAGAGACCTGGCAAACGAGTAAAATTTTCACAGCAAGACTTGGTTTTTCAGAATTCGAAGTTCCCAATTGAGATTGGACATCAAAAGTCAGAACATCATTCACAACCGTTTCATCGTTGGCTTGTTCTTCTTCAGTGTTTGCTTCATACTCCACATTTGTGGATTCTTCTCCATCCTTCCAATTAATTACTTTTACAGGTTTTTCTTCCATAAACATGGTAATATTTTTGAAATATTTTGAAAAATAAGCTGATTCCTCAAAATCATTGTCAAAAGAGGTATAAAAGTTATCGATCTGAGAAATCAACAATCCTGATTCTCTTGTTTTAGGCATGACTAAAATTTCTCTAACATTTGGCAAAAAGTTAGTGAGAATAAATAACTCGCTACGAATTGAAGAAACATAGTCGCCATACAAGTAACAATTCACTTGATTAACATTATTTCCTAAAATTTGAAATACTCGTTTCTTGTCAACAGCCTCCAATGGCCGTATCTTCTCTGACATTCTATTTTTGATTCCATTTGGATCCTTGGTAGCATCCATCATACTAATAGCAATTAGGTTATGTTGAATTTGTAAGAGGTGCTGGCTATACTTACGAATACGAGTCATAGGATCTATCGTTGGAAAACATTGCCAAAAGATGGTCATTTGTAAAGCCTACTAAAGACAGCTCTTGTAGTCCATCAGAGTTGGAACTTTCTTTGCATTCTTCCAATGTTGAATAATCAATAGTGGAGGGAAGAGTTTTTCCATTTTCCAAGAGTATGTGTAAAATCAAATTATTAAATACATTCCATCCTCCTAAATTGAGTAAGGTAACTTTCTTGAAAATGGTACAATTCTCGTCATGAAAATCGCTGAACAATTGAGGTAATACCGACCGAACAGTCTCTCTTATTAAATAGCACATGTACGAGTCATAATTATAGATTGGAGATTTAACACAATGATGAGCCTTCAGCCCTGAATACATGTTGGAATCATAGCTGAAGACTAAAGGGTTTTCCTCGGTGGACTTGCATTTGATATTGTCAGTTGTGAGCTCGTTATTTTCCAGTTCCACCACAAATTCTACCAAGTTACGTCAAATTGTCAACAATATCTCTAACATACATTAACACCTACCTGATAAAGATTCACTGGCTGTCTCTTTTTTATGCATTTTGACCTGTTCTTTTGCTCTTTCTAATGGCGTGTTCACGAATAATTCGTTATAGCCAACCATAACTTGATTTGAGATGGTTCTCGTGTCAATCTCTAAGGGCAATGATTCTGCGTCGACTTTGAGTACGTCTTTATCCTCCTCTGCCTGTTGGTCAAGCCCTATTGTTTCATCATTCTGTGTTAGTGTGTCACCAGTCATAGGTTCTTCTACAACATCTCCTGAAATGTCGGTAACCTTCTTGGCCTGTTGTTGAGTATCTCCAGCGTCCTCATCATCAGTCTTTAAATTTGAACCTCCTTTCACATATGGAAAAGTTCCATTGACAATGATGTTCTCTTCATTTTTCGAATAATATGACTCTAATCGAAATGCCTCTGCCCAACATGCCTTCAAGCGCAAGAATACCTTATTGGCGTCTTTGTAAATGCTATCGGCTTCAAAAGAAGCCGTAGAATTGGCTAGATATTTTTTCTTAGTAGCCATAAAGCACAGCAGATGAGCCATACGAGAGAAGAAACCATCTACATCTGTCTCAACTTCAAATTGATAAGTGTTCGGATTTGAAAAATGAAGGAAAATATTGGCCAAATTCAATGAATCACATTTGCTTTGAGGTGACATTAATAAATGTTGCATTCTGATATTAAAAGTCTTGGATATAATTCGATACTTGTGGTAAGTGACAAATAAAGAGTCAAGCTTGGTAGTGAATGACTCGTATTGAGATTTGTTGAAATAGACATCCATGCATTTCTTTCTGGCATAATTAAATCTTGTTCTGCCAGTAGTGAAAGTAGGTATCATGCAAATAATGTGGTATTTCGAATCAAAATCAAGCTTTTCTCTGATGAGGGAGCCTAGTTCTTTCAACACGAGAGAATCCTCTTGCATATCGTTGAGGGAATGGGACTTGGCATTGTTACTCGCCGCTTCATCCGTAATTGTTGAGGTATGGTTGTCCAACTTATTGTTCAATTCTTGATTGATCCAAATTCTGGTGAGCGGTGTCAAATGATCATTTTGAGCTGCTTCATAGTCGTAACCAGGTCCAAAACTCTCTCTTTGATTTGATGAGGAGGTAGCAGAAGCTTTTGGTTTTGGTAACCCTCCGTAACCATTGGCTGCCACATAATTGTCGTAGGTTGATTTTTCTGGTCTTTGCTTGATGTGGTTGTTCTCTAACGAATTGAGGAAAAGTCATGACCATGTTCTCGATTATTCGTGCTCATTCAAAAACTCAAAAGACATACCTTGATCCCATTGTTCCAAATTATTGGGATTTCTCATGTATCCGATTCGATCATGGATAAATTCGAGCCAAGCACCTGTCGTTGATAGATTAACTTTGAATGGACCTTCCATGGTGATAGTTGTTGATGAGAGCGAATACAATCACTGTAATTTTTCGAGTGGTTGGGAGAGAGCTCCAAATCACAGTAATTCTCATCATCAGGATAACATTCCAATGAACTCTACATGGACAAAGAGATTTGAAACAGAGATGCTCATTCATTAACAAATTTACGGATGATGGAAGTGTACGGATGAGAGATGGCTCATTTCATTTATTATTTCTCTCTTTCTATAATAATAATTATTATTCAATACATATGATACATTTTGGGTAATACATTATATGATACAAAGAGTGTAATAGTTTAGGTAACAACAGTGTTGTTGGTGATGATGACATTTCTTTCATCATTGAGATTAGAGAAGTAATACCGGGTAATTTCAACGAGACTCTCGGTGTTTTACATTATTTAGTGCACTGGAACATGCCTAGTTTTGAATCTTCTCAAATTGAGTGGACCAATACTCGGTACATTTGCTTCTTTCATTTCTTGAAGGGAGGTTCATACAGGCATACATTTGCTCAAGAATACGTTCTTGAGGAGATTGGGAAATTGGTTGATTTGAGTTCTTCATTCTTCTGGTGATGGAGGTTTTGAATACCGATAGAATCGATAGGATTTTTTGTTTGTGTTGATGAATGTCATCTAAACTCATCAAGTCATGGATGACGAGGGCAATGAAAATTTTCCTTTCGTCCTTGTTCGCAAACAAGGGAACAAAGTCCTGCCTTACTTTCAGCAGTGAAAAAAGTACTTGAAAAGTGTTCGTTGGTCTTATTTTTAGGTCATGCCACCTCACCCGAGTTGACCGTTTCAACTGAATCTTCGGAAAGGCCTTTGAATATCTCTTTAGCAAACATCTCAAAAGAAAATATCCCTTCCGAGTACTCGATCCTTGTTGAAATTTATAAAGGAATGCAAATGATTGAAAAAGAGTACGATTATTTATATAAAAGTATGTGGAGAGTTTGTTGTGTGGGAATTTGTTTCTTGAATTTAATACTTTCGGAAATTTCTTGATTTTCAACAAATCCTTTGGTTGTTTTGAATTCATCATCATGAAAATACATTTTTAATTGCAGTTGTTGTGATTGGAGACTCAGCAGTTGGAAAGAGCTCACTCATTGTTCGTTTTGCAAGAAATGAATTTAAATTCAATACCAAACCGACAATCGGAGTGGACTTTGCCTCAAAAGATATAACCTACGATTCAAAAAATATCATTGGTCACATTTGGGACACGTAAGTTGGATCCACAGTGGTACTGATCTCATGTGACCATTTGGTGCCTTTTAATGTGATTTGTTGCAAATGATATTTTGTTATATCTGTACTTGTGTCGAATTTGTCACAATCATCACTACAACTAATAATTGTCATTACAATTCCATTTTTATACAAAAGAGCTGGACAAGAGAAGTATCAAGCAACAGCTCCTGCACTCTATCGAGGAGCACTAGGAGCCATGATTGTTTTCGACATTTCCAATCGACAAAGCTTTGAAAATTTGGAACGATGGCTCACTCAATTAAAGAAATATGGAGAACCAGATTGTGTAAATATTATTGTTGGAAATAAGAGTGATTTACATCATTTGAGACAAGTTTCCTTAGAGGAAGCTTCACAATTTGCTCAAAAACATGGAGCTTACTATATGGAAACATCTGCATTGAACGCATCCAATGTGGAGAAGGCCTTTTCGACCTTACTACAAAATATTTACTTGAAAAAACCAAATCCAACCGATGTTTATAGACCACCAACGACGGAAACTCTGAATTTACCAGTGGTTCCAAGTCCTGGAAGTGGTCTACAGGATCCAAATTTGCCAGATCCAAGACCTACTCACTCTTCGTTCCCTTGTCAATGTTGACAGTTTGTAAGGGATTGTGTATTTTCAAATAAATTTATTGTGAAATGCACTTCGAGTTGGAACAAAACGCATTTTCTTTAATAGTTGTTTTTTTTGACAAGGTGTCTTGTTAATTATGATATGGTAAAATGTACCTTTGTTATTTCCACAACATGCGATTTTGTGACGACAAAACTGGTTGTTGGTACAAATTTAGAGATAGTTTTCAAAAAGTATCCCAGTCCAATACTAGTACGGAACAACGAAATGTTTCCGTTGAAGATAATTTTAACTTGCGCCACCTCATCTCAAGCTCAATTATTTGAACAAAATTGAGAACACCTCCAACAATCACATTAAAAAATTAAAAACATCATCCACAATAACATTCAATCATCAAACATACGAATCATTCCCAAAGATCAAGATGCAATATTCAGATGACAATATCGATTTTTTGTACAACAGTAGGTTTCTTGTTGGGTGGCTCTTGATGATATCATCAAAATCCGGAATTTGAATGTTCACGATAGTTATTGTTGCAGGTGATTCGGGAGTGGGAAAGAGCTCACTCATCAATCGTTTCGTAAGAAATGATTTCCGTTTGCATACAAAACCAACCATAGGAGTTGATTTTTCATCCAAAGATATTTCCTATGATGGAAAGCGAATTTTAGGAAAAATTTGGGATACGTAAGTGTGGAGTTGTCGTCGACATTATAGATTCATAGGCTTATATTTTCTCATACCATTTAACTTGAAATTTTCAAATCTCAATATTATTATTATTTCATGACACGATGTTATTTCTCGTGAAAAACTAAATATATGCTTTGCACAATTTTGATAGAGCTGGACAAGAACGATTTCAAGCCATTACTCCATCCTTCTACAGAGGTGCTCATGGTGCAATGATCGTATTTGATTTATCCAATAGAAACACATTCGAAAAAGTGGAAGATAAATGGATTTCTCAATTAAGGAAATATGGTGAACCTAATTGTATCATTATTTTGGTTGGAAATAAGAGTGATTTGGTGGATCAGCGACAAATCTCTGTGGAGGAAGCTTCACAATTTGCTCAAAAACATGGTGCTTACTATATGGAGACATCAGCATTGAATGCATCCAATGTCGAATTAGCTTTTAGCACCTTAATGCAAAATATTTATAATAACAAGCCATTGCATCCAGTCGTGGTCGATCCAGTGAATCCTCCTCTAACAGTCGTGCCACCTCCAGTGACGTTTGATCCAACCAAGCCTCCTGCTACTCCTGCCACTAATCAACCAAATAAATGTCAATGCTGACAATGGTTTGAAATATGGAACAACTGCTTTCTGTGCATGTATTTCTCGAAGATAGAAAAACGATAACATGCCAATTGTTCATTCGGTTTTTCTGCTCAGGTTTTCGGTACGGGTGTTTTGGATGACCATAATCAATTATCATTGAAGACAAACAATTTAACAAACGACAGTCTTTGGTCTGTAAATACTTCTTGAAACGTGTCGCGAGTTAGACCGATTCTATAAAACACCATCTTATCAGGTCGTTGCTCTTTACTTGAAATCGACGAACAACCACACTACATGGTGGAGGAAGATCATTTACGTGATGGAGAGTTGTGGATGTAACAGCAGTTGTCGAATAATGAATTAAAGTTTTTATTGCAAAATCCTGGTTTTTGGATTGAATCGGATCCACCAACCCTGCAGCCCTTTGAACAATACGAGCCGCTGGATCCGGTGCCACTGCGTGGGCTCTGGCTGCGGATTTGTCAGGGCCCTCATCCTTCTATTGGATTTAAACCCAATCACAACGCAAAGTTCTGTTTATTACAATCCTTAATTAACGTTTGGCTAACCTGAATGGCGTTGATATATCTAAAAAAACGTACACTTTGAGTTGAAACATTAGAAGAATAGATCTACTTTTGTTGCCGGCAACTAATCCTTGAAATGAAATATTCGGCTTGTTCTTTGTCTTCAGCGGTCAAGGAATCGTCTTCTATTATTTCTTGATACATGTTCAATAAAATCTCTGATAAACTCTGGTTTTTCACGAAGTCTGATAGTTTTGTTGCTTCTGTATTAGTTTCCATTTGCGTTGGATTTACGTTTTTGCACTGATCGAATCTTGTATGAGAGTGGATGAAGGCAGTGCAGGTGGTGATGATTTTTAGTTATGATGAAGATATTGAGCGCGTTGAAGTCAGCATTTCCAAACTCTTGAAAATCTGAAGTTTGCATTATCAATTCGAACGATCAAAATTGTTAAAGGTCTTAATAATATCGTCATCAGACTTTGATTTCTCTTAACAATTATAAGTGCAGAATGCAAATTTTCCACCTTACTTTTCAATACTCAAACATAACCTATTGCGTTCCTGTAATTGGTGACGAGAAGATGAGTAAATATCAAGTTGTACCCATGATTTTAATAATTTCACAAATTGCTTTTTGAAAAGATTAAGAGTGTCTGCACTGTAATGTTCCTCTTCCTTACTGACAACTTTCATTCTCTTTATATAATTTTGGACGGGATGCCTGTCAGGAATATGACGACTCTCCCGCTACAACCTTTGGTTGTATGAACAGTGAGGTACAAGAAATCAGGACGATTCTTGAAGTTCTGGTTGGTGAGACAAAAAGAAAACACCACAAGCTGTTAAATTGCTTTCAAATTACCGTTCATAAGCCATTAGTTTTGTGGTTAGTGATTATTTGTCATCATTTTTCTGTGTGCTCTGAATTTGAAGGTTCACACAAAACCTACTAGTAGAGCATGAACTTGGATAATCGTTTAATATGAATTAATATTCTTGAGGCAAGTTGTGTAATTCCAACACCGCGATCTGCTCATCTTTCAGAAGTGAATGGTGGCGTAAATCCACCCTTGCCTTTTTGTTTTTTCACAGAGATTCCACTGAAGAGTTTTTGAGGTACTGTGGAAGAAAAAAAAGGCTACAGCACTGCAGGTTCCCAAGCTGTCTCCAACCTCAGTACTGATGCAGCTCGACGATGCTTAACTTCTCAAATCGGACGGGATGAGGTGCATTCATCGTGATATGGCCGTAGCCATTCCTTACCTCCATTTCATTCTCTTGATCAGTAATCAAAAGGAGCACACAAAAATGTCATCACAACAGCACACAGGACAAATTTACACCATTTGCCAATCAAGATCCATTTCTCGCAACAAGAAGAAGGCACTCATTATACACGGTGCTGAACCCGATCATTTCTTTCAATGTGCTTGCGAGAAATTTGCTGGATTTGTTCGAGATCCACAAGTATTCGTGTGGCCTCCAAAGAATTTAACGTTTCAGCCACACCGACCCGATGATGATTTTGCTTTTTTGAGTGGTGTCGATTTGGTGTATCATTTGGATCTCCATCCGCAAGTGCATGCCGAATGTTTGAGGACACAATATTCATTGATTGTTTTCCCACTCTATGCTGGCTGTTCCATTCCATTGACTCAACAGCAAACTTTTTCAAAAGTAATGGATCTGATCCGAGATTTGATTGTGCAAAAACATGTTGCAGTATTGTTTTTGAGAGGAAGTGCAAATAGTGTACCGCATCGTCTTGGTTACATTTGTAATGGAGGAGAAGATGGCTTTGTTGGATACACCACACAAAAAGAACTTGAATTGGATATGAATGAATTGAGTGAGTTGGCAATGAGGAGTCGAGTATTGAGCGAGTTTCAAAATTCAAAATTGTTTTTGGATAGTATTAAGCAAATGCATCAAATTAACAACATTGGTACAATTCCAAACACATCGTTCATTTGTGGAATACCGAGGGCGCATTTGAAGAATAGCTCGGAATGGCATTTGGTTATTGGTACAGCTCTAATGCATCCAAATGAGGCGAGAGAGTGTCTACTCATTCACAGGGAGTATCGATGCTTTTTCACTCCATGGTATGGTATGCCAACGCCTGACGAGCTATCTCACCACATTGTTAAATATTTTTGTAAGTTCATGGTCGAGGAATATTTTGTGAAAACTGGTGACGGTTTTCAAGCCAAGCTTAAAAGCACATATCAAAATCAGCAAGTAACAGACTTGATCATTATTTGTTAGAATACGTGAAACTTCATAGGAAAGATACGTCTAAAAGATTACTGATCCTCACAACATGAATTTCTCAAATGTGAATAATATTCAGAACTCTTCACTACAATAAGAGATGGCTTTAAACTAGTCTTCACAAATTCTACAACATTACGAACAGCCTCTAACATTCGATTTCCATTAATGTCAATGAATACTTTGAGCTCTGAAGAAGGATGTTCATACATAAATTTTCTCCAGGTTCTAATGACACGTTTTTGATCATCTGGACTCATGATGTCAGCACACCAAAATTCGATATGTGGAAATTTCTTCTTGGTTTCCTCTACGTATGCTTTTGAAATATCCAAACACAACAGCTTGGCACATTTTTCATGGAGAAGCTTGGATGTTTCACCAAGTGCGCTTCCAATCTCTAAAACAAAATCACCCATTTGTGATGGTTGTGATTCTCCTCCCACATTGTGAGAATTATTGTTCAAGGTAGTGCTGGAAGAGTTTCCTGTTGTTGCTAACACATCTCGTTGAATAAAATCATAATTATTAAATACTTGAGTTTTTGCTAAAAGCCTAAAATCACTCGTCTCATTGCAAACAATTATATCTACATTGTTATCATCATGTGAAGAAATTGAATGAATTTTTCCAAATTTTCTTGTTGCAGCTCTAAATATCGGAACCATCCTTTCACCTTTGCAGTGATACCGAGATTGATCCTTACAATATTCAATTTTATATCTTCCAACAAATGGGCTAGAAATGTCGGTTACAAGTTCTAATACTCTTCCGATGGCATAGAGTTTTTTACTTTGCAATGTCCATACATAACCTCCTTGGCAAAACACACCATCATGAGGTTGGAAAATTTGATTCTGTTTGGAGTCATGGTGAGGAGGAGCGGAGGAAGAGGAGGATGATGGCAACGAGGTCTCATCACTCAGTGATGCATTCAGAGCTTGTTCGGATGAACTCAATGAGAGAATCGTTCCTTTCAATTTACCTCCATCAAATAAAAACACAGAGGTGTTTTCTGTTGGTTGTTGTGTCATCATTTTTTAAGATATCACACACAAACACACATTTGGAACGAGACACAACCCATGTGCAATCACATTTAATTTCTTAAAGAATTTGATTTACACAACATGAAGAAATTAATTCGAACAGTCAGTTGATCATTCTTTATTGACCTACTTGCACATTGTTTTGGTTACAACTTTGATCCACAATTTCTGACATGGTCGATTGCAAATCACTCCATGAAACAGTAATAGCTCGAGAAGGATCATAGTTCATACCTTGAATCTGTCTTGCTCCAATGGACGAAGACATGGCATCTCCTACAGCCATCGAAACAATCTTCCATTGAACTTTGTTATTACCGTTGAATGGATTGTCTGGATCATTGGGTACGACACCTGAAGAATTTCTCTTCCATGAATTCACCTTTTGAGCAATAGGAACAGCGTCACTACATGGCAAACAGTAGGAATCCCAACTGTCACGACCACAGTAATCACATGATTTTCCACTAAAGCTCCAATCGTCATCTGAGAATTGATACTTGCATTGGTCTTGGAGGAGTAAATTTCGTTCTTGTGCAGTTAAAGTTCGATTGTTCACAATTCTTTCTCCAACACTGTATGGATAGACACTTGGAAGAGTTTCCCATTCTCTTCGGCACTGACCGCAACTACAAGGTACGTTCGAAATGCCATCTGTCAACACATAAATGACTTTGGCAGCATCTGGTCTTCCATAAGACAATACATTCACAGCTGCTCGAAGACCAGCAATTTGAGCAGTGGCTCCACTATCATAATCCATTTGATCCAGAGTTCGATTGATAAGAGCTCCATCTGCAGTCAATTCGAGCTCGATCGTCTCCCAATCGTGGAATTTCACAATACCGACTTGTACGGCATCAGCACCAAGTTTGAATCGACCCGTGATACGTTTAGCAAATCTTCGCATGGAATTAAAGTTCTCACCTCCAATGGAACCAGAAGAGTCCAATAAGAATCTATTAAAATTCGTTGCATTTTGGAGTTCACAATAGGTTAATAATGGAATCGTTCAAAACAATTATAACTTACACAAAGTCTATCTTGGCAGTACAATAGCAATTCTTAAATTCTATAAAAACATCGGCAGATCTTTGAGCTCCCAAAGTCGTTTGCATGGTATATCTAAACTTATCGGCTTGGCATGTCTGTTGATCACTATCTACTTCAATAGCTTGTTGTCCGTTCACATTGATGAGACGAGGAGTTTTGTGACAATAGGTAGAATCTGGACAACTGAATGAAACAAAGGAACAGCCGCTGCTAGTACCAAATTCATCGGTATCGTTGGCCAACAGTTGACTCACATAAATTCTAATGGTTTGACCTTGATTAATTTGGAATCGATCATTTCTGGCAATGGGAGACATGGAAGTCATGACAATGGTAATGAAAGCATTGGAAGAGAGGGGATTCACTGGATCACTATCGGTAACTTTGACGTTCAATGTGCAAGATCCAGTAATGATATTACTCTTTCTTGTGAAAGTGACCACACCACTCGATGAAACTGTGACAGAAGTTGCAATGCCACTACACGTGTCAGAAATCTTTGAAACAGTCACTGTGTCGGCAACATCTGGATCCGAGAATTTGGAATAGGTGTGAGTAGAAACAAGATTCGAAGAGGCAGTAATTGGGAAGGTATCATTCAAAGCAACAGGAGGTCTATTCAACACAGTAATGGTAATTGGACATGGTGTGCTGAGCTGAGAATCTGAAGCTACAAAACTCAAAGCACTCGAAGAGCCACTTCTCGTGGAGGAAGCAGTGAAACTAGTTCCACTCAAAGTACCCAACGTTGAAGGTAAAGTTCCAGACAAGGTAATTGAAATAGTGTCCTTGTTAATGTCGGATGCGAGTGGATTCAAGGTTGGTAACATGTTCACTGATTCTCCCTTGAATAATGTGAAAGATGCACCTGAACAAGTTGGAGCAGTGTTGGTGAAGGTGACATTGAATATTAAGGCAGAGACACTTTCATGAAGTCCATCAAATAATTTGAAGGAAATTAATTTCGTTCCAGAGACAGTCTTTGGAGATGGTGTAATTCTAATACCTGAGGAGGTAGTTGTCACAGTAATTCCACTTGATAATGATTTCACAGTAGATGCCTTAATAGAGACACTGTCTCCATCTATATCTGAGAATGAAGAACCCATTTGACTCCATGTAAAGTCATAGGCAGTCTTGGTGTAATCTCTGGGAATGACCACAGAGTTCCCAGTACCTGTTGGCGCATTGTTCATGACAGTAACCACTACGGTTCCAGTTCCAGTTTGTAATCCATCATAACATGTGTATTTGTAATTACCAGTTGCAGTATACAAGTTACCAGAGAGAACATACGAAGAAGCAGGAATATTGGGTGTGAAGGACACGGTACTTCCACTCACTACAGTTGTTCCTCCTACTACTGAAGCAATGCCTCCATTGAAGACAACGTGAGGAGCATCTAATGGATCGAGATCCTTACAGGCAGTGGCCAATCGAGTGGAAATGACCGAAGTCCATTTTCCAGAATCATTGAGAGTGTCACCATTTGGAAGAGTGTTGTAAATATTCACATTGACCACTGTATTGGCATTGGACAAGTATTGTGCTCCATCAAAAACAGTGTACTGAACCACATCAAGTCCCAATGAGGAAGTGGCATTGTAAGAAATGGTATTCACGAGGGCACGAGCTGATCCTTTTTGAGCACTGGCACTAGTAATTGTCAAATTGTCTCCATCGCCATCCTTATAGTTCGAGGCATAGCTAGGAATTGGATCAAGAATGACATTGGTTGCTCTCCAGTGTACGTTTTGAGAAGTTCCAGTTGCGGATGGCAAATTGTTGGTCACAGTCACACGAACCGTACCAATGCTTGAGGCAACACCATCAAAGGCAGAATATGTGAACGTGAAAGTTCCAATGAAAACATTACTTCCAGCTCTCACGACAACATTAGGTGAAGTGGTCATGCTCACGGTACCAGCATTAGAAGGAGAAACTCCACTGGTTAAGGAGGCTGTCAATGGATTGTTTTCAGCATCTGTATCGACTTGTCCATTTGTATTCAACACATTGATGGTATAGCCAGCTTTGTGTTGTGTCCAAGAAATGACCACATTTTTGGTTTTAGTGGATGGAGGAGTATTGGTGACAAGAACAGAGACTGTAAAGACCGTTGTGGCCAGTCCATCGGTCGCTGTTGCTTTAAACTGTTCATCAAAAAGGTCCATCATGAAAAATTTGTAAAGTCACGTTCATAATTATTAAACTTAATCAAGAATCTTACCTGTGTCAATCCTGTAAAAGTTCCTTGTGGAACATATCTCACATTTCTCTGATCTGCTTTGAGTGAGACTAATCCTTGAGTTCCAGTAGTATCTACGGATGTAATAGTTCCAAGAGTTTCATATCCATCCGTTCTATCCTTATCGACATAATTGACTAGTAAATCAATATCAATTCCAGACGAACTCCAAGTGGTAGTTGCTTGAGGTACAGTTACTGTTGGAACTGTGTTATAAATGGTAACTTGAACAGTCACGTTATTTGATTCGAAACCATCCGTGACCTCAACATCGAATTTATCAAAGCCAACTGCTCTCTTTGGTGTGTAAAGTATCTTCTTTGAACCAGAGTTATAGGTTACAGTTCCAGTGGATCCTGGATAAATCTTGGAGAAGGTCGATGTTGGAATTCCTGTAAAGATGTCAATCATGTTGTTGGTCGAATTCCAATGAACAGTGACAGATTTTCCATAAGCGGATGGAGAAGTGGAAGAAACATAAACTGTAAATAAGCAAGCATTAGAAGTTGCCACTCCATCAGTCACCTTGTAGGACATGACACGAGTTCCAACAGTCTTGGTTGGTTTAAAAACAAGAGTCTTATCAACGGTGTCAACTGTCAAACTATCGCCACCAGTAGCTCCAGCTGGACTGGTTGGAGTGAGATATGGAACATCATTTCCATCGTCATCCTTGACAAAGCTGGCAATGGCAAACTCTTGTCCTGATGAGAACTTACTTGGATCGAAAGAAACTGTAATATCGGAACAAGTTGGAGCTGTGTTAAAGGTAATAACGCTTGCTTGTTTGGTGACACTGTCCAATCCGTCACTCAACGTGAAAGAGCATGAAGTCTTACCAATGAATCCACTAGGGACAGTTACACGAACCTTATTGGAGCCAATCTTTGAGCACGTGCTTGATGAGACAACTGACAAGGTAATAGTATCACCGTCACTATCGGTTGGGTTGGTCAATACCTCGAATTCCTGATAACCTCCAGCAGTTTGCAAAGCTCTCCAATGGATTGACATGGAAACATCTGAGGCAACAGGTTTATCTTGATTCGTAAATGAAATGGTCACAGTGGCTTGAACGTCAGAATTTTGAGCTCCATCATTGACACTATATCTGAATTTATCTTGTTGTCCATTCTTATTTGGAGTATACGTAATTGAAGCACCTCCAGAGGTAACCACGGCAGAACCCTTTGTGGACAATGAAGTTACATCAACACTGGCCACTGAAAGAGAATCTTCATTCGCATCATTATCATTCTTCAAAACATCCAAAACAGTTGCAGGAGCACTCCAGTGCAGGGTAAATGTATCATCTGTAGGTATAGGTTTCGTATTCGTGACAATAACATTTACAGTTCCAGTAGTTTGTTTGTTATAATCGAAAGCAGTGTAATAAAATTGTTTGGTACCAATAGAGATGGGTTTCACACTGCTTGGAATAAATTTCACAGTTTGTGAATCTACAAGTGAAACAGTTCCAACAGTGGCTGCATCGGCACTTGCTCCAGAAACTACTAAGGCATCTCCTTCAGGATCATTATCATTCTTGAGAGGAGTTACTAAAATTCCAATGGGGTTTCTCCAATGGGTGGTGGCAGTGTCAGAAACAGTCACTGGTGCTTGATTGGTGACACTAATGGAGACTCTGGCAATGTTAGAAAGTGCATTAGCAGAGCTACCATCATTGAGTCTGTATTGGAATTGATCATTTCCAACATAGCCTGGGTTAGGAGTATATCTCACCAAGTTACCAATCATGACCACAGATCCATAGGTAGGGTTGGTTGTAATCTCAATCGTAGAAACTCCCAAATCACCATTTTCATCCTGGTCATTGGATTTAACGTTGCAGTCGACTGAAGTATTCCATTTGGTTGTGTAGGAATCATCGGCAGCCACAGCAGCAGTATTCACAACATTTAAATTCACAACTCCCTTAATCACGGACTGGAGTCCATCTTGGTCGACAATAGAATATGTGAAAGAATCCACATATTCCTCGTTCACGGCATCATATGAAACAGCATCTGTGTTTCCATTCATTTGATTCTTCAAAATGGATGGTAGAATATTCTTTTTGGAAGAGGCATCAACGTTTTGAATGACTCGGATAGAACCCAATCCATCGTTTGGATCCAAATCATTGGACAATATATTCAATACAGATGTTTTACCCTTTGGAATGGTGAGGGTATCATCCATTGGGATGGGTGGATCATTGACTATGGTAATGACAATCTTACCAGTGGCAAAACTGGATGGATCTGGAGAACCATCACTGGCCTTACTCTGATCAGTAATTCTGTAAAATGCCACATCAGAAACATTAAAGAGTCCGTTTGGAGCAGTGTATAATACATGAGTATCGTTGAACTTGGTAATACTTCCGCCGAGTTGTGTGCTAGAATTCCACTTGTCAGTTGTCAATACCAATACATCACCAGAATCTGGATCGTGGTCATTTTCCACAACATTGATATAGATATTCAAATTCTTTCCACAAACTGCCGTGTCTTCGACAGCCACTGGTGGAGTATTTACGACATTGACAACAATCTGACCAACACCATCTGCCTCTCCATCATTCATTGTAATTTCAAACGTGGTGCTATAGACTGTATTTGGAGCTGGAGTGAAAATCAATGTATAATTATTAACTTCAACATTGACATAATCACAACATGCCAAGTAACGCATATCAAAAGTTTTGATCAATTTGATAGCTCCTTGAGGTAACGTTGGAAAAACTTTTTTCAAAGTTACCAAATCTTTTCCGTCTGGATCCGAGTATAATACTGGAATGGTATTGTTGGCAGTGGACTTGGCGATATTAATCGTTTGTGAAATAACTTGAGGTGGGCTGTTGTACACTTGAACGAAAACAACTGCAGAACTTTCTTCAGCATTTCCATCTGAAATACTGTATTCAAAACTGTCACCATATCTGGTAGTCATGACACTTGAAGTGTAATACACAACGCTCTTCTTATCACTTTGAAGATTGACACCACCATATCCAACGCCATAGGTTTTCGTAATGGTAATGTTATCAAAATTGACATCGTAATCGTTGTTCAAGAGATCTAATGTTTGAGCACTGTATTTGGGTACCATGAAAATGTCATCCATAGCCACTGGACGATTATTAGCAATGGAAAGAGTAATTGTGGAAGATGAAGTATCATTACCATCACTGATGGTGTATGTGAACTTTTCAACTCCATTGAAATCCTTGGTTGGAGTATAATAAAAACCTGAAAAGGTATCCACTTGAACAACACCTAATTTTGAATTGTCACCTCCAGACAGAATTTGATTGTCACTGTAACCAACAACATGGAGCATGTCATTGTCAATATCTGAAATACGTTCTCCATTATCTCCAATATATGAGAAAATATCAATCAAGTTCTTTTGAGAATTCTTTGGAATATCCTTTTGAATTGGAACTGCTTGAGGAGGACGATTCAACACTTGAATAGTGACAGTGGCATTGGTAGTAAGGTATTGATTCGAAACGACATATGAAAAGGTGTCATTTCCACTGAACGAGCCCAACGATTGGTAAACGATACTGTTCTTTGAAATGATCTTGGCAGTACCAAATTGTGGTTGAATAGCAATGTCTACAAGTGTCAAGTTTCCTCCACGAGGATCCACATCGTTTAACAAGACATCCACTGTTGATTCATGTACATATCCATGGATGACAAGGTGATTCATCATTAGCAAATGTTGGACGTTCACATTGGAAAGTGATCAAAATTGTTCAAGCAAGAATTTAAATTGTCATTGAAGATTGAATCCACACCATGATAGAAACGTTCAATTTCAACTCCATTCGATCCCTCGAATGTAACTTACCAATTATTGGCACACGCTTGTAAGTGGTTGCAATATCATCTTTTGGCTGAGGAGCTGAATAACCAACTCCAACACTCACGAGAATAATAGTGGCAACTGTTGAGGCAAGAACAAGTGCAGTAATAATACCTCCCACTAAGAAATGAATCCATAAATTCAACATTCAATTTTTGAAAATACACACATGTTGAAATCCACCACAAGAACTGTTTCTTTAACTACCTACCAATGGTTTGACTAATGGTGCCTCCCTTTAAAAGGGAAAGATTGAAACCAACACTGTCAGTTTTGGCTATTGTGGAACGAGTTCACACACAAAAAACACTATTGATAACAAAAACCTACTTGTTGTACTACCAATAGTAATCTGTTCAGGCATACTCTGGGTCTACTATTGGCTTACGAGTTTGAACTGTTTTTTTGTGATGATGATTCGTGTATAGAGCAAAATGTAAAATGTAAAATGTAAAATTCTTCAATTATCACTTTTCATTACATCTCTTCCATGGATTTGTTGCCTCAATCCAAAGTGAACATGCAAGATGTTGACCAAAATATCAAGAGCGAAAGAGATCGATTTCTCCCATCAACAATTTCATGGTTCACTCAACTTGACCATTCCATACACCGAAGGTTCGAAAGGCTCTTGGTAATCCTCATTTGTCAACTACATAAGAGAGGCAAGCCATAGAGTAAGAGATCTTGTACTGCGTGGCATGAAAACATCACTAAACTGATAAAGATGGAAATTGCTGGCACAGGAAGCTCGTCATGGATTCGATTACGGATTGGAGAAAAATTTTGGTCGATTGCAGGTGTAATCTCTAAATGGATCTAATCTTGCAGGTTAAAGAGGAACGTTCTTTAGGAAAAGTTCTATTGTAAGACTAGACCTGTTTTTGTTGGCAGTACCAACTAAACTTATTATTGAGTCTTACAGAGTGATGATGAAGATGGTTTGGTCACTACGAGTGGTTGTCCCATAACAACTTCACACAATGCATCTCTCTTTCGTGAAGTAAAGGCAACACAATGTCCTTGCATGGCATACCTTGTAAATTCTTCATTACTTTTCACTAAATAGACTGTCTTTTCACATACTGTACAATATTTCTGAGAAGGATCTGTCTCAATTTCTTGCAACTCGGAAAATCTTAATGGACATTTGAAAATCCATTCACAATTTTCAATAAATTCATTGGTCGCAATGGTGTCGATTTGAATTTTGAAAATTGTTGAACCATGTTGTGAGCTCGAAATCCAAGACGATGAAATGCTTTGCTGTTTGATTGGTAAAAGATGAGGAGAGTACAATTGTAAATGCTGAATTCTTCGTTTCAGAGCAAGCATCCAATTTTTAACGTTGAGAGATTGTTCAAATCGAGGAAAATAATAAATTAATAATGGTTTCCAAATGAGCAGTTGGCACACTGAAAAATCAAAGTGAGAAGTGGCATTTGGATTTAGAATTTCCAATAATTTGGTTTGTTTTGGTTTCAATAGTTTCTGTGGTGTTATATTGAACAACAAACGCAGTAGCTGCGAATGACAAGAAGCAAACCGAGACAAAGATTGTAATTCTAAATATGAAGAAATTAGTAAAATTGATTCTTCTGGCAATTGGCACACAATCAACACGTGTCTTTTGGTATCGGAGGATGAGTTTTGTTGAGATTTCGAAAATGAATTTTGTTCGAGAATAGGTCCTTCTTCTTGATGAGCAGTGTCATCATTGCACTTCAGGCATGAAAACAACGCCATTTTTATTGGAACTTTTTTTACCAATAGACAGACAGCTTCATTAGACAAAAATTGTGGTGAGCTCCTTGAGACGAAGTTTTTGAGCATCTTTCTTGGTATGGCCAAACATGCCTCCGCTCACTTCTTCCTCGTCATCCAATTGGTCGTCAATAGTGACTTCGTCAAAGCCATCATCGTCATCTTCAAACTCTTCGTCAGAGTCATATTTTCTCGAAGATTTAAGAGCTCCTCCACCAAATCCGCCCAAATAAGACGTTCCATAGGTGGTACAAGTTTCGTCTTCGTCATCATCACTTCCAATATTAAGAGCATCGTTGGCAATTTTAGTCTTACTCTTTTGCAAGCTCAATATACGCTCTTCAACAGAATCCTTGACAACAAATCGGTAAACGGTGACAGGCTTATCTTGACCAATACGGTGAACTCTGTCAATAGCTTGTTCTTCAATTGCTGGATTCCACCAAGGGTCAAGTAAAAAGACATGGGTGGCCCAAACCAAGTTAAGTCCAGTACCTCCAACCTTTAAAGAAATTAGGCAGACTTGAATCGTATTATCATGTTTGAACTTTTGTACGGCATCGTCACGATCTTTTCTTTGCATTTTACCGTCCAATCTTACAAAACGAATACCTGACTTTTCGAGTGCCACTTCTACCAAATCTAACATTGATGTCCACTGGGAGAATACCACTGATTTTGTACCGTATTCTTGTGAGCGTAATTTTTCAATGAGAGCGTTAATCTTGCTGCTTGATCTCCAGTTCGCTTTCATATATTTGCTAACGTTGATGCTCTTTAGTTGAGAGGCAATGACTGATTCTCCTTCATTATTTTGCCTCATCTTTAATTTTTCCTTGTTGAGCTTCAACACTTGAGGTAACATTGGCAAAATAGTGTCATAAACCTCAAATCCATTCTTTTGCTCAAAGTTTTCCAAAAATCCGTTCATGGTTGATTTGTCAGTCTTCTTTTGGAAGCTTGTAATGATAAGGGCTGGATGATTACAAACCTGTCTCAAGTGCAAAAGCATTTCCAAAATGTTTGCATAATTTTTGAGAACAGTATTGCTTCTCACAAATTCGTTAAATTTGCCCTTGCTGTACTCGTACAGAGATTTGTAGAAGGTCATTTCGGCTTGTGAAAACTGTATTGAAACAGTCTCAACATGCTTTTTAGGAAGCTCCACAATACGTTTTCCATTCACTCTCTTGTTCTTTGTTCTACGAATGACCAATTTTTTGATAACAGATTGTAAAGCCCCAATAGCCTTCTTATCCTTCTTTTCGAATGGCTTTCCGATATATTTGGTCCACCATCTCCAATCACCATGAGGATTAACTTTCAAAAAGTGGAATAGTGAGTACAAATCGTCAATATGATTTTGAATTGGAGTACCGGTAACTGCCCATCTTCTCTCAGCATCAACTGCTGCAGTTGCTCTAGACTGAAGAGATTTTCTGTTCTTGATATTGTGAGCTTCGTCCAATACAACACGGAAAAACTTCATCTTATAGATGGGACTTGGTTGCTGTGGTGCTGTATCTTTTGTCTTTTTCTTTGCATTTGCTCTTTCCTTTGTTATGAATGTTTGACTGTATTCATAACTCAGAGTATTGTATGTAGTAATTATCACATCATATTTCAATAACGTTGCAACATCTCTAATACGTCTATTTCCTTGGTATACATAAACTGAGAGTTGATTGTTGGTGTGACGTTCAATTTCTTGCTTCCATTGATCGACAATAGTTAGAGGTGTGACAACCAGAGTAGCACTTGAGAAGTACTTGTCACCTACAACAGTAGGTGTTGTTTTCTTTCCCTTGATTCTATTTGAGGCGATAAGGCCAATCACTTCTACAGTTTTTCCGAGACCCATTTCACTAAAATAATAATTGTTGGAAAAAACTAGATCATAATAAGATGAAAAACTTACTCGGCAAGTATTCCGCCCTTTGGCTCAGGTGGTGCTGGCACAAAGGTTAAGGTAATCACACCATGAAGTGGATTAAAGTAAAATGGAGTTCCATCAGGAAATTTTCGTTCTTGGAACAAGGAATGTAGTTTTGGTGCTGACTTGGCTTTATCCTCTCCGATACGCTCACGTTTCAACATCCATTTCACGGCTGTCTTTTGATAACTTCTAAGCTCTGAGGTCAACAGAGAGTCTTCTGGAATTTCTATGGCATGATGACTAATTTCAGGTTCATCATCAGAATTATCGTCAGTATTGACAGCATTTTCATCGTCAACAATGACCTTTTCAATCTCTTCATAGAGCTCTTCGAGTTGTTTATCCAGTCCTTCTCCCTCCATGTCAGAAAGGTTATGGAAAGATGACGAAGATGCATTCATTTGTGATGTTGGCTTTTGGATGATATACTCATCCAAATCAGTGTCATCTAATGCATCCAGATCGTCTTCCTCCTCTTGCTTCGACTTGTGTAAGGACACATCTGATCCAACGGTTTTTCTTAATTTTGAAAATTGGGAATTTGTCGTGCTATTTCCAAGTAACTCTAAATTAATAGATGAAGATGAGCCAGTAACTGGTATGGAAGCTCCAGAATTTCTATCCAACAAATCAAACAGCTTTTTGAGAAAGTTCTTTCGTACATGATACATTTGGATCTGTTCATCAGACATGCGTTCAATATTTGCGACTGAAAATAGATTTGATTCATTGGAATCCGTACTTGATTCTAATAAATTCTTATCAGAAACCAAGGCCTTTTTGACCATAAAAACTTTAAGAGTAATAACATATCGACCTGTACTCTCGAGAATGGAATTAGAGACTGAGACCATGATAATTTTGTGTTTTGATAGAGGCACAAGACAGTCATTATATTCCATAGATGAGACGTAGCCAATAAGCTCTCTGTTTGCGGAAAATAAATACACACATGAATTATGTGTATTTTTGTTGGATGATTTTGAGGCTCCCGATCTTGTTCTTTTCACGCCTTGCGATTTCACTTTTTCAAATTTGCTTAAATCAAACGATTCTTCGTCCACATTATTGAAATATTCACCATCCACAAACATATCATCGTCATCGTCATCAAAATCGTCATCTTCAAAGCTGTCAAAGTCGGATCCAAAATCAGGAACATAGCATCGAATTGAAGAAATGTCAGATGCAGTCGAATTTTTCCAAAGTTCGAAATTGGTCGCTTGTACCTCCACTCGTTGTATTTCACTTAAAAGTTTTGGCCACTTTTTACCTGGCTTGGTCAGAGAGATCTCAAGCAAGCCCTTTGTACTTGAAGGAAGAACAGGAGTAATCACTGGTGGTGGCAATGAAACTTGAGAGAAGAAGTTTGGAGGAATCATGGGTGGAGTTGATGAAGAAGAGACTGATGATGAAGAACCGGTTTGCATGAACGGAGGTGTCGTATTTCCCACAAGTGAAAATGGTACAGAAGTACTGAGAGGAGTTGTTGAACCTTTAAGAGGTGTTGTTGAGTTGTTAGATGCTGCGTTGTTAGAAAAACCCCCAATTACCGTGGAAAATCCCTTAAACTGTGATGAGGCTGAATTGGAGAGTTGAGCAATAATGGCTTGAGGAGGTATTGAGGGAGGGGTTTTAGTGGAAGAGCTCTTGCTACTTGATGGAGGTGTACTCGCTTGTATGAACATGAGAGGATTGTTCACTGCCATACCACTCTTTGCTTGTTGCTGCTTGTTGAGATTTGCAATTTGTAAAAAGTACGGATTTGTAATGCTTGATTGGGATGAAGGAAGAGGAGGTGGTGTGATCCCTCGATTTTGAGGAAGATTCTGATTTGTTTGAAAATCTTTTAACATGTTCAAAAATTGGTCTGTGGTTGATTGTGAGAAAGGTGTACAAGGTGTTGTTGTAGAATTATTATTGGTAGGTGTGTTGACAATGGGTGGCAATCGAGGTGGAGTTGTAACTTGTGGTAACTGTGGTTGTTGGAAAGAAGGAGAAGGGTTCCGTATAACTGTAGGCATTAAACCACCGCTACCGATACCAGTACTACCACTTGAATTGATGCTGCGGAAAGCAGCTTGATTCATAATGACATTATGGGTAACACCAATATTCTTATTCGTCATATTTGATGGCATGGGCATTGTTGTAGTCGTAGTTGTGTTCAGAGTCTTGTTGTTTGAAGGTGCTGTGCTTGAAGCCACATTAGCACCGGGAACTATATCGTCTATAAAACTAAAGAGCTCATCGTCATTCAGTAAATCATCAATATTTTGATGAGCCATGATGGTACTAATTATGGTCCGATTGAATCACTCAGATGATGAAATTTGCTTTTATGATACTAATAATAATAAAATGTATTACTACTATTCGTTGTTGTTGAGTATACTACGCCTCTATTTTCCGCACGTGTTGTTGTTGCACGAGTGATACGACGACGCTATTGTATTAAAACCGAGAAATGTCAAACAAAACACTCAATAGAGGCGAGAGAGGTTGCTGCAATTTTTTGATGAGCAAAGTTTGAATTTAAATTTATTTTTGGAAAAAGGGAGTCGAATGCGTTGATGCATCAAAAAGAAGATCAGCAAGAAATCTTCTATTCTTTGGCCGAGATCTCCTTCTTCCAAATGATTTGCTTATTGGTCCAATATTAATAATGATTGAAAGTCTTAAAAAAATTTATTTCTATAAAATGCTGGGATCTTTTCCAGTGGAAAGTAACAATGAAGCTTCTGCGAATCGAATCGTCCGTATAAAACCAGTCACCAATGCAGATGCCTATCAATTGAATCAAATTGACAATTCTCACTTACAGCAATGGATTGATAAAATTGAACAATTATTTCATCACAACAACAATTTTGAAGTGCGAGAATCAACGAGTATTTATTCCAACAACACTCCCGAGAATATATTAACATCAATAACTCATCAAGATCAACTTTTATTACATGAACATTTACAACAAATATTTACTAAAATAATTCAAGATAATTTCACACTTTTTAAAATAATTTTAGAGGAGTATCCAGCTTTGATTCGACTCTTAGACACAATAATTTCATTATCATTTCCAAATTTGTTAATAGTAGTGATGAGACCTGTTCTAAATCATTTATATTTATTGCTGTACAAATCCATTGTGGAAACTGGTGATTTTTCTGACAAACCTAAAATTATCAACAAGTGCTTGAATTTACTTGGAAAATGTGTTCAAGTTAGCACGAACTTTGGTCACAACACAACAATAACGGAAGTGTTATTTGAATTTGAGAAAAACCTTCCTGATACTTCAAAACATGCTATGGAACAGTATTTAGAGCAAACAATTCTCGAGAAATGCTATGATATCAAGATCAATAATAGATCATGGTCGACGAGTCGCATAAAGAACTACCACGTGAGCTTTCTCAGATCATGCCTATGTTTTGCAAAATTAAGCATTTTTGGACATCCATCCTGCCATAACGCAATGAAACAATACATTTCTATGTTTATTGACAATGTCGATTGGTCCACCTCACAAGATAATGAAATGCTTACGCTTGCTCACGAACTAACATCTATTTCTGAGAAGGATGAGGAATTTGTTTCGTTGACACAGAAGGCTAAAATAACAAGCGTAAATATGACTTTACTTTCTGAACTATTCACAGAATTACTGACATCCATGCTAAAGCAACCATTCAAATCAGTATATAATTTCAAGGAATATCGAATCATTGCAGAATGTATTCGAACAAACGCATCCACATGCATCATCTTAGAAAATTTCATAGAAAATCTCTTTTTAGAGTGCAACAATAATTTTAGGATTCTTAATGCTGCTCATGAAATTTTCTTACACATAACATTAACATCAACGAAGGGCATGTTATTGAACGAACTGGATAATGGTTATTTTTCACACTTAGTTGAAGATGTTTCCATCCATTGGATTAGACATCAATTCAAGCATTATGATTGGTTTCTTCGAAGCATGATTTTTGCATTTTCACATGTTATGGACCAAGAGAAACAACACTCAAGCAACAACCAGCAATCTGAAAACACCTCAATCAAATTTTCTCAAACCTTAATCTACATGACACGATATATCTTTGCCCATGATCTTTCCAAAGATTTGGAGCTAGCACAAGATTCACTTCTTCACATCATTCAAACTCTATCTCAATGCAAGAACTTTGATCGCTCTCAATACTTGAGCTTTATCGAAGAAGAGAGCGAAGATGAGAATCATGCATTCTCATTTCAACCCTTTCCAATTCATTCCCTCATTCACTTGTACTTGACAATGACTTTTGTACGATACGACTCGAAGAATTTCACGTATGATCAAGTGATTGACTTTTTCTTGTTGGAGGAAAATGATTTTGCACGCTTCACTGAAAAAACCCTCATCATCCTACGATGGATGGATCAAATGATTATTCTGTTAAATTCCTCCAATACAGACGATCATACTGTAGGAAAGTTGTCATTCAATCATTTACAATTATTACTTCTCTTGGGATATTTAAGGATATTAACACTGTTCAAAAAGAAGTGTCACAAGATTGACAACAACATGAACTTCTCACGGCATCTCTCTTCCCTAATTCTTAAATTTCACGAGGAGTATTACGAACCACTCTGTTTGTTATGGAAGAATCCAAAGACATCCAATCAAAACAACCACACTCAAGGCCCATTCATGACATCCTTTTCCCAACGGCAGAAAGAATCACAGATAACAACCACTTCAACAACACAGCAACAACAAACTTGGAATCCATTGGGTGTTCATCGAGAGAGTGGTATTCAAAATCATCACTTGACCAAACACCAAACGCTCATGATTCCTCTCATTATTTCAACCTTCGAACGAATTTCTCTGTATGACGAAGATGTCGATGAAACAGATGTGCTCAGTGCGTGATGAGGATGACCACAGTGCAAAATCCAGCTTTAAAAAAAATGGTGTCCAAGAAGGAAAACAACCCTGCCCATTCGCAACAGCAAGGAGGCTTCCATCAGAAGAAGACCACCACACCCGTTGTAGGCAGCGGAAGTAATGGACAACAAGCAACGCAACCAACAACTTCAGCATGGTCTGGAGGCAAGCCAGCGTCTTTGAGCCAAAAGTCATCATCCGCTGGTACTTTGGCTGGAGCAAATATTACATCATCATCATCGCCATCAGGGGTGAACATCACCACAAATACCTCTGCAACCAATATTACCGAGAGCAATCAAGCATCAAAACAACACAGAAAGAGCGGATCTCCAAGCAATGGTAATAAGCAGTCGCCATCATCCAACGTTGTATCTACAGGAGGAGCAAGCCAGAAGGTAGACTCTCGCCCCAAAAGCGGACAACAACAACAACAGCAAAACACGGATGTAAAAGTACAACCATCAACAACTACAACGATTCAGCACGCTGTGGAAACTACCCCACATCCAAAAGCTGAGGTTAACAGAAAGAGAATCAAGTTCTTATTCACTAATTTTGTTGGACATGTTGTTGATATTATTAATGGATCCGGAGAAGTCTATGAAGGTATCTTTCACACTGCAAGACACGACACTAAATATGATGATTTTGTGTTCGTATTAAAGCTTGCTAAGCTTGTTCGTGGAGCAAATCAGAGCACATCCACTCAAACTGTTCATGAAACGATGACATTCAAGTCAAAGGACATTCAACAAATATATGCCAAGAATATTACCTTCAAGGCTCAGAAAATTTTGAATGGATTTAAGACTGATACCGAAATTTCTAATAGACAACAAACCGAAAAGGAACTTATCAAGTGGCAACCCGAAGAGGGTGAAACTGAACTTATTGCTCTTGAAGAAAGTACATATGCTCCAAGACAGTGGGATCAATTCTCTGAAAATTTAACCAAATTTGGTGTTAAATCGACCTATGAAGAGCATCACTATACAACATACCTTGATAGAAATTCTGATTTTTACAAAACTCACGCTGCTAAAGCAAGTAAAATTGCAGAGGAAATTGAGAAGAGCAGTCCTTCCCTCAATAATATTCACATTTTGGAAGAAAGAGGATTATTGGAGCAAACTGATATTTCTGAAGAGGACCTTTACAGTTCTGTTATTCGTGACGAAAAAACTATTCCAGGAAGCAAAAAGCCAAAGAAACAACCACAAGCAAAGACCCAAGCTGCTCTACAACAGGGAACCACGAGCGCATCACCTTCCAGCTCTCCAAAATACATTCCTCCACACAAACAACAAAAACCACAAGGAACTGCAACTCCTCCAACACAACAACAAACCACATCAACAACAACTCCAACAGTTGAGCCTGAGAAAGAACCCAAGACATTGGCACCAATTGATACCAAGTTGCAAACAGGCAAATCTCGCTCAGTCAGCCAAGTAGTCATTCCACAACCTTCCTTGTTAGAAAACAACGCTGCCAATGCTGCAAGTAATGCTTCTGCTACCGACTCGGCTCAAGAAGGTAGTGGCTCACCAATTCAGAAAGGTCTTCCTGCTCGCTTGATTTTGGAAAACAGAGGCAGTAGGAGTAATTCCTTCACTGCTGGAGCAGTACCAAACATTGAAGAACATAAGAATGTTTTGTTGCAGTTGACATCTGCTAAAACGGTGTCAAGTAGCAAGCCATTGAGTCCAACACTTCCATCCTCTCCTCTTGGATTTAAACCTGCAGGTAGCCCATCCACTCCGGTCATTAAGGAAAGTATTTTAGCATTGGGCTTACAAACAACCACTCCCAAGATATCTGAAAAGGCAGCCGAGGATTTCCACGAATTTAGAAAGAGAAAGAATTCTGATGCTGCTGCCAGAAATAGAGAAAATGACATCAAATCTTTGAAAGAAACCAGTTCACTTTTGGACTCAAAACTTAAAAAATTCGTAAGCTCTCCATCAACACAAACACCAACTGAGGAAACTGCTAAGGAGCAGCAACCATTGAAAGAAGCTTGGAAAGAAAAAGAGACAGAGCCACTAAAAGATGCACAACCAGCCACCGAGGAAAAACCCAAGCCTAAATCAACACTCAATCCCAATGCTAAAGCATTTGTGTTTAATCCAAAATCACAACCATACGTACCAAGATCCTCACCTGCCACAACCTCGAACACTCCTCCTTCACACGTTCCAACAAGTACTGCAACCGTTAGCACTCCACCAACCAATCAAATGCCACTACCAATGCCTATGGCTTTTGTTCCAATGTATCATCCACCTAATTTTGGTTTCATCCCTTCATTCCAAAGTCAAATGAACAGACCAACTCCATGGTCGCAACACAAAATTGAGGACATTCCAATTCGTGACCACTTCTTCAACAATGTCAATTTACAGCAAGTAGATAAAAACATTGGACCAGCATGGCTAGATCAAGATGAATTGGAAAATAGAAAGAGCTTTAAAGACCAAGATGTTGCAGATGTTGATGGTACCACTGCTGTTCAAACAAATCCAACCTTTGTACCAAACTATTTTGTTCCTCAGCCAGGAATGATGGTTATTCCTCCCACCATACCTCCTGTTGGATATGGTCCCCCTGTAGGGTATGGTCCTCCTGGTTACTATCCTCCAAATCTAACCCCACCAAAGAGAGAATAATTAGAGGCAAGGAGGGAATATTTTTGAAAATTAGTGTTTGAGATTGTTGGAATTGAAAAACATTGAAGAATTAAGAACTCCATGACTCTTGAAACTCAACATCTCAATAATAATACTTTGGCCACACCCAACAATGAAAAACGGGTTGTTGAATAGATTTTCGTTGAGCTGAAATCTCCAAACACACCTTAAACTCATTAAAAGAGTTTTTTTATGAAACATGCTGCAGTCATTTGTCAAACAACTTTCGATTTTACTTTCATAAAAAAATCTTCAAAAAATGGCCACAGGAAATGCTATTGTACTCGACTCGATGCGTCGGTTGTACAAAGTCTATGAAGAAACCGGTGGAAAGGAATTACAAATTAAAGATCAACTCGAAGAAGTCACAGGAAAGAACATTTTCGAAGCCAACAAAATTCTTCTCGTAAGAAAATTAGATTTGACAAGAGAAGTATGTGTTTGATATTATTGTTATTATTGTTGTTGTTGGTGATGATGATTGAAATTATAATTGCTGAAAAAAATATTTTCTAATGAAATGATGGGAATGATGCTTCTCTCATCGCAATGACAAATATTCTCAACAACAACATCACTGTACACAATTTTTGTGTGTGTGTCAACACGTTCACACCACAAACGATTCAAATCTCCAAACAACAAACCATTTTTAAACAATGACAATCACACATAGAAAATCAATGAACGTGATGAAGCCATGAAAAAGAACAAGAACAACACTCGTGTCATTAAATTGAATCAAAACATTAAAAAGATGCTCCGATACTTGAGAAAGGATTATCAAAGTTTGGAAAATATTCACAAGAATTCATCCAAGGTGAGTATTTAGTCAAATTGAATATTTCACATGATCGAAATGGAATATTTGAATATTCTTCTTCTTGTTGTTATTGTTCTGGTTATTGACTTACCATGAACACAATTATGACGATTCACGTTCTTGAAATTTATGTATACATCACACCCATTCACACGGCGATGATTTTCACAAATTGTCATATACATAGAAACGTTTCTTTGGAAAACAACCTGATCCAAGAGAAATGGCTCAACAACAAGAAGATTTAAAACTCCTTCTCGCACACATTTCACAAGTTGAAAAATTAGACAAACGAAGATTTGAAGAAGAATATGATTCTCAAAATAATGAAAAGAGAAAACAATTATTCTCAATTAATGAAGATGAAACTGAAAAAAAGGGACAACCATCTTCACTCATTTCTGAACACTTGTTGCATGAGGAGGATCTTCCACAAGATGCTCGTGATTATGGAAATTTACCAAGAATTAATATTGAGGAAAGTCTTACGCAAGTGAGCATGTATAAAAAACAAATGGATCAAGGTATGTGTGTGACTTGTTTGTTGAAAGAGTACGATGAAATTTTTTTATGGATTGTTTTAATTATTATTGTGAATGGATGATCATGACACGTGTCATTTGTAATTGGACTGAAATAGGTCTTGATATGTTCAGTAAGAAAATTGAGAAACTCAAATACATTTCTGAAGATATGAGCTCAGAATTGGACGAACAAAACAAACTGTTAGGTTCCATTGGTGACAAGGTCGACGATGAAATTGAACATCTGAAACGACTCAATGAAAGAACGGATCAAGCCAACAAGTTGGCCAATCAATCAACAAAGATTTGTCTCATCTTGCTTGCAGTGAGCATTATTACCGTCATTGTTGGAGGAGTGACTGTGTGGTTGGTTTACTTTTTCGTTCCAGGAAAATAGAGAATTTTTGAAGAGTTGTAATTGCTTTGTAATTATTCGAATCAAATATTATTTATTAAACTTGAGTTAAAGATGAACTTTCGTAGATCCTTAATTTTTCTCAACGCGAATCAATTAATATTGTCATTGCCAAGATTTAACTTCAACATTTGAGCATCAACTCTAGACGCTTTTTCGTTTCAGCTGCATGAATTTACCTGAGCTTGATCTGCTCAGTCATTGCCCTTTTCCAAGAAATCTGAAAATTGGACCAGACCTCTCTTTATGGATTCAACATTTCATCTTCCAATCGGGTATCAATAGTTTCGTCTTCCATGGAATTGAAATGCGTTTTGAGGGTTTCTGTCATCATGGTTGGTAGAGAAGTGAAGAAGGTAGTGTTCGGAATGAATGGAATGAAAGCATCATTCTTAACATCAACTTGTTCCAAATCATTTAAACGATCCCAGCTCTCCCGATCATCATCTTGATACTTGTAACCAGAAAACAGTCCTCTTTCCAAAATCCTGTTTCATTTTGCAGTTTGATTAACCTAGATGTAAATTGTTGTTTTTTTTTGTTGGTTTGATTTTTTGCGTTTTTTGTAGTTTTAACAACACGATTTAAAACTACAAATTACAAAACGTAAAATTTTGGCGCAATATCGAAATTCTTGGCTCCACGGAATGGTTGGATCATCAAAATTGTATTAAATTGCTGTTTTACATATTGGGCACTGATTTCTCATTCGTAAAGCTTGATGAATACAATCTTTGTGATATCGATGTAGACATGTTGGTAATGTACAAACCACTTCCCCACATTCATACTTGCTCAAACAAATGCAGCATGTCTCATCGAGAAGCTCTCTAGCCAATGTTTGTGAACATTCAGGTATTGAGGAATCTGAAGTGTGGTGCTGATGACCATGTTGAGTATTTACAATGGATGATGAAGAATTATTGTTGGATGATGTTGAGGAAGATCCAGCTGGATTACGAAGTAGAATTTCGTCCGAATCTTGATGGTCATACAGATGGGAATCGTCATTGGATTTTTCTACGAGTGGTGGTTCGAGTTGAGGTATTTTGAAAACTGGCAGTTGTGCAAGGGCACTCTCGGAAAGACCTGCTGGTTGTTGATTGTATTGCTCTAATTGAAGTAGTGTTTCATAATCTTGTTCATTGAAATCTCGATCAATCATCATGAGCCGTAATGAGCTAATGTCAATTCCACGTTGTTGAAGCATTTGTAAAAGTCTTTGATGTCTTTGAGAAATTTCTTCAGGATCCCAATACTCCTCGTCGTTACTTCCTTCATATTGTAATAATCCATGTCTCAATAAATAAGTTTTCATTCGTCTTGCAAATGAAGATGAGCTATAATTTAAATAAAGGGTAAATAATCTCTTTGCACAAATGCATCCACAACAACATAACAAGCAAGACAAAATGATTGCATTAGGAATGGTTAGAAAATACATAAAAACACGACGGGTGTCACTTGTTTCGCCACCTGTTTCTCCACCATTGTTGGAATTATCTCCACCAGTGCCATCATTTGTTGTGCTTTGTTTGGAGGCAATCATCACAACAAACATTATAATTGCATGAGCTGCAATAATGGCAGTTACAAGACCAATTAAAATTACAATTCTGATCGTCCTTCTTCTCGAAATGGCGTTATAATTATCGGGAGTCAATAATTCATCCACTTGAAATGGATCTTGTTGTGGTCTCTGTTCGTTGCTGGTTTCGTCATGGGTTGCAGCTTGATGTTGCGGCGATTGTGCTTGATGGGTATTTGTACTCAGCAATGAAGAATTGTTATTGGTTCTTGAAGACCACCAATTGGATAAGCGGCCAAATAAATTCCTTCTTCCGTTACCATCACTACTTTGATGATTCCATGATTGATTTAATTCATCTTCTTGAGTGGTTGTATTCATTATCATTTCATCATCATCTTGGTTCGGATAATATTGTTGTTGATGTTGTTGGCGAGTATTAGAGTTACCGTTGGTTGTTGAGGAGGAGCTTGATGGTACGTGTTGATGCTGCAACTCAGTCAAGTCGACCCTCACTCCACGATAGGCTCCGAGCGGATCATTGGTCATCATCGGTGCTGCTGTGCTCGACATTTTTATTTGAAGAAAATGTGCGTTCTAAATTTGTAAATATTATTTGAAGAGAGATTCGAATTATGTGAGGCCATTCAAGTAAAATCAAGCATGAAAACGAAATCAAATACTGTGTTCACACTGATGAAAATTGTTGAAGGAAAACACCAAGAATTCCTTCCAAGAGAATTGCCTCTTTGTTCGACTCGAATTTAACAAAGTCAAAACAGGAACCTCAATCGATATTCAAAAAAATATTCTCAAGATTAATACACTCATGTTTCAACAACAGCAACAAGTGCAAGCCAATGGATCGGACCTTGTTGTTCGTCAATTATTTGGAGGAGCCATGTCCATTTTGTTACCAGTGAATTATTTGGACGCCTCCCATTTCAGAGAAATTCCCGATAATCAAGAGGTTTGGACTGATAATTTGGAAGCACCAACTTCATCGAGTGGAGTGCAATCATCAAGTTGTCCTTCTATTATAATTGAAATTTTATCAAGACCTGAAAATGTATCGGATGCAAATATTACGGAATTTTTGTTTAATGATTTGGCGGATGCGAATCATGTTGCTGCCAATCAAAGATTATTACTCATGCAGCCTTTTAATGACACTCAACAAACAAAAACAAGTAATTTTCCAATGGCTGATTATGCAGCAGGAGCTGTTGGGAAAATGATGGTTGAGAAAAATAGAGGCATGGATGAAGTTACTGTGTTTTTATGGGTTGTAAGATTGAAGCACATTGATACTGATATCTTAATATCGTTAAATGACCCTATGGTGAAATATTCCACTTCTGACGAAGCTGCTCAATCTTCCAGAATGAAACTTTTCGAAAAAATTATTCGCTCTCTCACAGTGAATGATTGGAATTTATTTGCCTAAGTGAATGAAATAGAACTGACAATGTTAACTCTTAAATGTACATAAACACATTTCATCAAATGGAATATAATGCAATGCTTTAATTCTTTTCGTGACAATCATCCTTTGAATTCTCAATCAAATTTCTAATGGAATCAACACTTTTCACACACAAATTTTTAATTGAATTAATTGATTTTTTTATTTTGTTGGTGATGAACAATTCCGTTCAGCGTTTCCAAAATTTAGAGCTCATCGTGCTCAGCCTTCTTTTCTTCTGCTGGAGCTTCCTCAGTCTTCTTTCTGGCTTCCTCTTCTTCTCTCTTCTTTCTTTCCTCCTCTTCCTTTTGTCTCTTGGCAGCTTCAATCTTATCGAAAGCTTCCTTTTCCTTCTTAGCACGTTCAACAACCTTTTGAGCTTGTTCTCTAGCAACATCAATATCATCGGTGACCAAAATGTTGTCAAAGATAGTACCAGCCTTCACTTGCCAAATTTCAATACCAGCATAGTCGATATCATCGTACTTGGCAACATTTTCATCAAAGACGTAATCTGGATTTGGAATGAGTGGAGCAGACCATTCTCCCTTGTATGCAGGATTTGGAATCATTCTTGGCTTCCATTCACCCTTGTAATCTGGATTAGGAATTTGAGGAGCTTCCCATGTACCATCTTCTTCATCGGACCAGTCTTCTGGCTTCTTGGCTTGTGGATCTGGAATGTATTTTGGTTGATCCCAATCTTCTGGCTTCTTATCCTCTGGATCAACAATTTCCTTTTCATCAACCCAATCAGCTGGCTTCTTGGCTTGTGGATCTGGAATTTCCTTTGGAGCCAAAAAGTCCCAATCATCATACAAGTTACCGCTTTCCTTCTTCACACCATCAATTTGAACTTCATAGGAAGCATCAGGGTTGATGATAGCAGTATAAATGTGAGTCAATTGATCGGTTTCACATGGGAGAGTCTTCTTCCACAACAAATTCTTTCCCTTGTAGTTGAAGATGAAGTGAACTCTTCTTGTAGCACTTCCACAGACATCAGGACCGAACATGATTCTGTATTCAGTGTCATCTTTGAAGTCTTCTTGATTGGCTCCGGTTGGAAGGAATTTAATGTAGGCACCACCACAATCAATGTTTTGTGGGTGCTTGGTAGAGAATTGAAGAACGAGTGGTTTCTCTCCTCTGCTTGTTGCTGGCTTATCGAATTTTGCCGAGATGGAGTAGTGTCTGGCATCTTGAGAAGTTTGGATACCCTTGTCTTCCTCAGCATCGCCATACCATTCACCGGCAGTATATTTCCATTCACCATAGTTATCCTTAGCCTTGCTCTTGACCCACCTCTTTTCCCATCCTGCATGGAAAGGCTCATAGAAGAATGTTTCAGCTGCTACCACAGCCACAAAACTCAAAACGAGAGCAGCCAAAATGATGTGCTTTGAGAACATTTTTTTTTGCTTCGGAATACAGTTGTGGGTGTGTGAGCCTTTGTGTCGAAGCGAATCAAAAACGCCTCTCAAGAGAGTCAACAGCAGCTGCTGAGGAAGGATAACGAGAAAAGCCGCTTGCGAGAGATCCGAACACGTGTTCGAAATTTTGATGAAAAAAGTCAAATGGTTTACAACATAAAGAAATTCCGAAGCAATTCCGCGAGCCAGATCGTTTTATGAAAAGAATGAAGCAACATCGATGTTTTGGTTGAATCGGTTATTAATATTGGCTTGGATTAATCTTAAGAGACTGACTCCCAATGATCTCGAAAATCCAAAATGGTCTTTCGATATTTGAAACACCGTTTTTACTTGTTAGATTTGAACAAACACAATTCAAACATGGAAGCAAGAGTGAGTGGAATGGATACTGCCAATCGTTCCTTTCCATAATATTCAAAGATGGCCACCGAATGTGCGGCTCCAAACTCAACCACATGGTCAATGACCTCTTTGAAAGCACACACATTACTTGAATGATCATGATGGGATGAGTGAGGGTTCTCCTGAAGATTTTCCATCACTATGATGGGTTGGGAAAAGTTACAATTGGACATCATGAAATCTTCACACCATTCAGCCATTCTCATGAAATTGCTCAAACAAATATAGTCTCTCAAGAGGAGAGTGCATTTGGAGGCTAAGTCTTTCATGTCGTGTTGGTGAGCCATTTCCAATATGGCCAAAATGTTGTCTTGATGAATGAGCTCAGTATTGAAAATACCATAACAGTACTCTATAATACACCTCAGAGCTGATACGTCTGTGTTGGGTTGAGCATAAAACACTTGATTTCGAACATCTGTGAAGATTGAGCAATTACCAGAGTGGTTCAGTAAGGATTCAAAGAATAAGCTATTGGAAGCAAGTATGGTTTTGTGAACCTGGATAAATTCCTTGCCATTCACACAAATAGCAAAGTCGTGGCCTGAGAGTGGATCTTCCAAGAGCAATTCTATAGCATTGGTGGGTATTACATGTTTGCGTTCCTTCCAAATTTCCATATCTGTTGGCTTTCTATTGTAAAATTGGAAAATGTACTTTTCAATTCGTGGATTATAGTGAAGATCGAATTCTTGCTCGTACACATTACGCTTGATAAAACTGAGGCAATAATCTCGTACAAGTTTGAGAGGAGAGGAGTTTGTGTAAGGATGCAATAATGCGCAAGAAGGTTTCTGATCTTCCATCATTGCACTACCATCTTCCATTCGTTGGGTTGGCGATGAAATATTGGAAGCAATTCTTGAATTGGACAAAGTGACACTATTTACAGCATGATCCACCTTGCCAGTCGAGAAACATTGATCAATCTTAGCCAAATAACCATCGATCATTTCCAGAGTGGTTATCACATTTGAAACTCTGAGAGTGCTTTTCACATTTTCAAGAGCTTGCTGCTTAATTTCTACCAAATCACCATGAGCCTCCTGCAAACACAACAAGTACCGAAGCGAGGATTGCAAATCTCGATCGAACACAACGCTATGTCCATACACATAGCACACAATATTCTGCATGCATACTTGCTCGTCCACACTGAGTGACTTCACAAACTCTTGACACGACAAGACATGATACAGACCTGGAGTAAATAATCTCAAATAAGGCATGAATGCCATGATATTCGAGTCGGGAAGCAGTAAATCTCTTTCATTGAGCTTGATGTTTGGATAATGAAATTCTTTGCTTGGAGGATTTTCCACTTTCTGTGGTTGTTGTGAAAGTGCTGATGCAATGGTTGGGGAAGAGTTTGGAGAGGATGAGTTTCGAGTGGTAGATGAATGATCCGAGTTGGCGATTGATGAGTGTGCTGATGAATGCAAACGTGGACTATTCACCAAGACCAGTGAAGGAACATTGGCCTTTTTTGCAACGGCTGAATGTCTAAGAGTGGAAGAGGAGGAGTTTTTCATGTTGGATGAATACAATTTAGAAAACGTTAAGGCTGTATTAATTAACAATTTTGAATGATTAGTGCACTTTTTTTTCTAGCTGTTCTTGTTGTGCCTTAATGACCCATCCTTTTATTCATCCAGATCTGTTGAGATCTCCCTATGAGATACATCACATCAATTTTTGAGTGGAAGGTGAGCTCAACAATCACGTCGAGCAACCGATTTTTTAACCGCTATCTCAAAAAATATGGGTGTGATGATGGGATCTGTAATTCTGTAAAAATCGCTCGCCCATGTATTTCAATATTGTCTCTCCTTCCCGAAAGGTGAATAACGGACTTGGTTGGAATTTCTCAATCCATCGAACAAGGATAGATGGCCATTGATGGGGCTTCATTCCCACCAATGGATGTAGCCAAATAATTATTTGGAGGTTACGAAGAGAGAGATTGCAAAGGCATCAAAATTTTATTTTAAAAAAACACCTCGAGTAATTTCAAAGTTGCAAATTGAGAGAGAGCGCAAGAATAATGACACGAATTATTCCAAGCAATGATGACAACCCCCAACGAGCTTCAACTGATGACCAGGAAGAAACATCATCTCTATTTGATGCTGACACCAAGTCTCAAGGAGAAGCCAAAGCTCAAAGAAGAAATCCATGTTTGGGATTTTTACTTTCCATTCGTCTGTTCCTCGTATTGTTGATTATGGGTCTGGTATTAGTAACGGCCATCTCCATCTGGATTGCCTCCTATTTAATGAACCAACATGCGGCTGTTCAATCCACCAAAGTTCTCATCGACAACATCAATCAGAAAGTATCTATTTTCTTGGATGGCTATTTGAACGTGGCAAAGAGTGTTGCATTTACTCTCTCTGACGATTATCATCGCTTTGTAGTGAACACAGACCATTCCATTTTTACCTATCACTACAATCGGTTAGTTCAAACGAGTGTGACCTTAATGAACTTGTGTTTTGGAGAGAATGGTATGAATGGAATTTATGCTCTCGATGCCAAATCATATGCTGTACAAAACTTCAACGAGTCTAAAGTTGTCATTGTTGCCGTGAATTTTACAGGAGCATCATTCACCAATAAGGTACTCATCAATATTCCATATGTTGTGAACAAGACCGATTATTACATGGAATCTGTACGTATATTTTCAGTATACCCAAACGGAGGATTTGGCCAGCCTTAGTAAGTAATATTGACTTGTTTGAGGTTACTTTACCCATGTTTTTCTAATTCTTCTTAATACTTGAATTCTTCTAGTAAGGTACTCTCAGGAGGAGCTCAATCAATGTTCTACTCTGCTCCTGTCTATGACAGAAGTTTATTTCCTTCCAAAAAAGTTCGAGTGGGTATCTCCAAGATTAACATTTCTCTCGGTGCCATTTCCCAATTCTTGTCCAATTTAAAGATTCTCAATCGTGGTTATATTATTTTAACCGAATATGAAAATGACATGGTTATTGGCTCAAATTTGGTTATTCCAGGAGTTGGAGTGGATCGAATTCCAGTTCGAAATGTCACAACTCGGCGTGCAGGAGAATTGATGAGTTCATTCCTTTCACTGAATGCTTCAGAAGATACCATCATTACCATGCAGGGAAAAGATGGAATTAACTACATGATATCTGCTTCATCTTACCGAATTGACAATCTGAGATGGAAAATGATTTTTGTCTTTGAGCAAGACGAAATTCTTGAAAGTGTCATTTTGAGTAGTTATTCCGTTCTCGGTGTCACAATTGGAGTTACTGTCATTGGTTTGTTTATGAGCATTTTGATAGGATGGGCCATCACCAATCCACTGCAAGTTCTCCAAAATGATTTTAGAAAAATTGAAGTCATGCAACTTGCTGATATCAAACCACATTCTTCAATCTTTACCGAAACAAAGAATATTTATTTAAGTATTACTGATACTGTCAATTGGTTAAGAGAGTTTAGAGCATTCTTACCAGAAAACATTCTTAATCAATTGGAAACACATCACGCATCTAATGAGAGTACTGAGAACAGCAACTCTAGAAAATCAGAGACTCCAGAAAGCAAACCACTTCAAGCTACAAACAACAACGAAGCTACTTCCAAAAATGATGGTCACAACCATAGTAGCGTCCCTATGAGCGAATCAAAACAAAACCTATCAGCTAGTTCTTTTTCATCACGACAATCAGAATCAACTCGTCGTTCCGATCGAGCTGTGGCAAGAGATTTATTCAAGATTGGTCTTTCAAACAAAGAATGCTGTATAATGTATATTAAGGTTTGCAACGTGACAGATAGGCTGTATGACAACCCGCACGATTTGAGTGGTTTAATCTCAAAATACTATGCTAGTTTAGCACAAATATGTAAAACCATGAAGGTCGATATTCACCCAAGAAGCTATGACGAGTTTGTCATTGTATTCAATGATAATGTCTATACTTTAGAGGCCGCCTTGAGAATTAGATCCTTGTTCTCATCGCTCAATGAGAGTCTCAAGAAGGAAGGTAAGGCCCGAGAGCAACTAGGTCTCAATATTGGAATATCGTACGGAAGTTGCTTACAAGGTAATATTGGTAACAAACAAACCAGATATTATTGCATGACTGGCTATAGTATGAAATGTTCTCGGGAATTGTGTTATCTCAATCACGCTTGTGGAACTACCATTCTGGTAGACGAAAAAACATTTTCCAAGAATAAGGCTAATCAAAATTTCATTTTCAGACCAGCTGAGAGGTATTACTCTCTTGGTGACATGGAATCCAGTCCTCAATTTGTTTACGAGCTGATGAGAAAGAATGTGGTGCACGATGATGAGTGGCTGTATGAACTCGAGTCAAAAAAAGCCAACGAAAAGATCACTCGACTCTGTGCTCTGTATCCTTATCTGTTTTCATCAGATGCGACATCTGAAAAGCTGTCAGAGCTTGTTGAATGTGTGAGATCGTTGAAGGAATCAGCAACTCAAGGAGATGACAAACTACTGCGCCAGTTGGAGGAACTTGCGACCAAAAGAGCAAACCAAAATGAAGACCTAACTCACTACAAAACTTGCATTGGCATATCCGCTACTCAAGATTGTGATGAATTAGATGGCAAGATTTTTACCTTGTAAATAAAATTACCAAGTATTTGTGGAGAATTCATTCTTTTAACGCATTGCCTTACATCACACGACAAACATTAAAAGTTGACCACGTTGTGCCCTCATGTACAAGAGGAATTTTCTCAGAGGCTCTTTTAAGTTGTAAAACTCGTTCAGTGACATAGACATCTATGGTGCTGATTTGTTTCTGTATGTCTTGTTTTTCTATATCAAATTTATGCTTCAAGAACTCTTTTTTGGATTGTAAGATCATTACTCTCACAAACCATGCTGCAAGTAAGGTAGCTCCAAGCATTAATAAATAATGGACTGGATATACGTCATCATAAAGTTGAAACCAAAATATTTTCCAGCTAAATAATGAAAATGCTGCAACGACCAAGCATTTAGAGACTTCTCGAAGCCTAAAAAACCAACAAAGACAGGTAGCTCCAATAATGAAAAAATAATAGCTGAGAGAAAGGCGATCGATCATTCGAAACCAATATAAACCTAAGCTTAACAGCGAAAATGTTCCAACTATAACGTATTTTGTCAAATCTGTAAACTCTACATAAAGAATCATAGATCCAAACAATGTAGCTACGATATGTATTATATATCCAATATAGAACATGATACTTCTTGAATAGGGAATAGAAATGAGCATGATAATGGCAAGCACAAAAATAATAATCTTCTCAGTACTACTTTCAGTTTTAAGGGTATGTTCTTGTTGAACCTCCAGTATACGAAGTCTATTAAGAGGTACTGTTTTTTCTGCAGCTCCTTTTTGAATAATGCTCTTGATGTTGTAATCGACTAATCCTTTACAATAGCCATAAATTATTTGTAAATCCTCTAGATCTGTATTCGTACGTTGTAATTGACATGGTTCATATTTCCTTTGTAGTAATTTTTAATTCTTCTCCTCTCCATTTCCACTCTCCACAGATATGGGCTTCGAAATGACTTGTAACCCGCTTGACATGTTCTTGAAAGCTGAATAATGTCAAAAACATCATCAATATACATATAAATACACAAGAATATTTCTGGAATCCATAATGTGGAATTGGTAACATGTTCATCCCACACTCTGAGAGAATGTAATGATTCCAATGTTTGATCCACAGTCGGAATCATTTCAGAAATTACTGTTATTGATTCTTGAATTGTATTCTCCGTTGAAGATTGATCGTTATTATTTACAAGATCTTTCTGACCATCTAATTCACCATCTGGAATGTAATTTAATTGAATTTCATTTGCTTCTTCAGTAACAGCATCACTCCGAGGCGCGATCATTTTCATCACGTGATTACTATTGAAAAAATGATCGTTAGCTGCACACTTGTTAAAATCCTCTCCGTGGTCCCGCTGATCTGCTCCATTGAAATTTGTTTGATCCTCCTCATCCCGTAACACCTCACTCATTGAATCGGTTGATGCAACAATAACACCATGACTTGTCTCAATACCGTGAAGCACCATTTTTTTGTTTCTAATTGAAGTTTCCAATCCAACAGCATCTCCGATCCCTCCAATATGACATGGATCAAAACATTTGAATTTAACCAATGATTTATTGAGGTCAAATAATAATGACAATATTGTTGTTAAGAAATTTACATGAATTGAATTTTTTTTTTCATTAAGCAACGGATTCAAAAGCGATACCAAGAAAAACACAAAGGGAGATACCATCTCTTGAAAACTAGCAACAACCACACGAACAGAAGGATTGGATTCACAAAGCATACAAGAGTACAACCAATCTTTGATGACATAAAAAAAAAACATGACTCTCCCTCTCCATGAATTTATTTTGAACGCTGACAGATTTCGATTGGAAAAGTTGAAAGGACAATTGAAACTCTCGCATCTCCCCTCACTCTCCAATGATTCACTTGACAAGAACACGTATATCGATGTCTATGAAGATTTCATGACAGGTTCCTCAGTCCAATCTGTTCCACCATTATTGAAACGACGCTTTGGAGAATACTCGCTGAATGCAGATGAAAGTGCATTGTGGGGTATTTGGAGAGTAGTTTCAGAAATTTCATATATGGACATGGAAGAGTTGAAGGGCATGTTAAATTTATTCAAAAAACTCAACAGTGATCATACAGTGAATGGTTTATTGGACAAGTTGAAATTTTGTGCTCGTTGGGAGAATTGGGAGTTTCAAAATTTGTTCAGGAACAAATATTTCGTGTGTTTGATCGAGATGGAGACGGCATGATTGATTTCAAAGAATATTGTATGGGCGTGGCAGTGATTTTGAATGGTAAATTTGAAGAGAAGGTGAAAATGGTTTTCAAAATTTTGGATTTTGATAAGAATTCGAAAGTGGATCGAGAGGAGCTGGCTCGAGTGTATCGAGTGGTGTTTTCATCGACGAGAAAGTGTAATTTGGTTGGAAATGGAATTCATCGAATGAATGAAAAAGAATGTAAGTTTACATTGGTTACTTTTTGACCTTTCAAACTTTTCAATTGAATTGCATTCACATAGTGGAAGCTAAAGTTGAGGCAACCATGAGAGTCTGTGATTTGAATAATGATGGTTTTATCGATTTTTATGAATTTCGAACTCAATTTCAACAATCTCCACACATGAATCGAGTGTTCAATTTTATCTTTTCCAATCCATTGTTGTAATAATGTTGTGATTTTTTTCTCTACAAACGAATATAAATAATTTGATATATTTATTTATACAAATTATATTGTGTGTTACGTGTTGTTGTATGGTTGTCAAGAGAGCGCCTCACAATGGACGACCAATTTAATGGCGTTCAAACGAAGGCGAGTATAATCCTTTTCTTGGGTTGACCAATTAACTATCATTCATCATTTCTTTGAGAAGATCCTTAGTATGTGCAATGTATGTTTGGAATTCTGGAGACGAGACGGAATCTTCATGAACATATTCCTTTTGTCCCTTCTTGTTCGTGTATACCACAATATGTGAGTTATTCGACAGCATTATTTCTGCCTTGTCATTGAATTTCACTTGAATAACAGTATTGCTCAACCTGTATGATGATGCAATGCTTGACTTGTGGTATCGCTTCACGTACACACTTTGATCCTCTCCAGTTAATTCAAAAAGTTCTGGTCGATTTTCTTGTTTCATGGCAGAGTCCAAACTACCCTTAAAGTACTTGATAAGAGTGACCTTCTTTTTAATCTCATCTGGATATGATGTCAACGAGTAGACAAAGTGTTCGTCAGAAGATTGAATATCGTCACGGTTATAGGCATAGTAATCGAGTCGAGTCTTGTCATGAGAAAGGACCATTTTCGAATAGTCATTGAAGAATGCTCCAGTAGCACCATTACTTAACCTGTAGCACAATCCGTAATCTGGAAAGTCGAGAGAGAAGAGCACCTTGGTTCTTGGAACTGGAGATCGTGTGGAACTGGATCGAACCGATCTGAGTTTGGGTGACACTGATGGAGACAACTCTTTCAAATCTTTACGAGCTGATGGTTGTGTAGGTGACAGTTTGGTGGATTGAGGGCGAATATTTTCTTGATTCTCGTCTTGTCTTCGTCGTGTTGGAAGGACCTTCTTGAAGAGCTTATCAAGCACGCCTGGATCTTTACGAGCACTGTTCAGAGTATTGGGGTCAATGGCCTTCAAGGGTTCTCTCACTACAGGTGGTTGTGGAGTGGTCACAGCGGCCATGGCCTTCTTGGCCTCTTCTTGCTTCTTTTTAAGCAATTCCTCTCGCTCCTTTTGGAGAGCCTCCAAATTCTTTTTCACATCCACTCTGCAATGAGTCTCTGCATATTTCATTAAGGAGGTAGGACAGGCGGTTGACTTCATGGTTTTGAAAAAGTCATCAGCAAGTGCCTCATCAATGGTAGGTCTTGCTTTTGGATCATTGTTCAGCATCTTCTTAATGAACTTCTTGGCATTGTCAGAAATAGTGACATTGGGAGGGAAAGAGTATTTTCCTTCTTGAATTCTCCTGTAGGTAGTCTTGACGTCCTCAGTTTCGAATGGAGGTGTACCAATTAAGAGCGTATACAGAATGACTCCACAAGACCAAATGTCCACTTCATAACTGTGACCCTTGTTCTGTAAAATTTCTGGAGCAATGTAATTGGGAGTTCCACATATTGTGGATTTTCGCTCATTGTTGTGAACCTCTGTGGCAAGACCAAAGTCTCCAATCTTGACTCTCATGTACTTGTCGAGGAATATATTTCCCAATTTCAAATCTCGATGAATCACTCTGCAGGTATGCATGTACTTGACAGCCATCAAAATTTGAAAGAATATATATTGAGCTTCTGGTTCATACAGTCTCTTCTTTCGATCCATCATCTCCAACAGTGACTTGCAATGGCACATCTCCAAAAGAATGTATGCATTGTTGTTGTCTTCGAAAAACTTTTCAAATCCAACCACGTATTTGTGAGACATCTTTTTATGAATCTTAATTTCACTGAGAAGCTTATCCTTGTTTTTTTCTTTCATAAGAGTTGCTTTTGGAATGATCTTAGCAGCCAGGCTTACTCCTGTCGAGCAATCAGTGACTTCATAACACTTGGCAAAGCCTCCTTCACCAAGTAATTCTCCTTGCTTGTAAGAAGAGACAATGCTTTTCATTCCTCCCTTGTCCGCATACTCGACAATCATGTTCGAGAGAGGTGTTTTTGATTTGCCAGAAGTGATGGTCATGGTTGGATGGGAAGAGATGACTCCAGTGGCGGCCGTTGTTGTAATTCTCTTTGGTGCTGTTGAGACTGTTGAGACAGGCCTCGAGAGGGGAAGTACATTTCCAAAACCTCTTGGATTTCGAAGGTTGTTCATGTAGATAGGATGTATTTATATTGAGAGAAAGCAGCTTAGTTGCAACAAGGCAATAGAGAAGATGTTGCTATAGGAATTTTGGTTGTTGTTGTTGTTGCTTTTGGGTATACTTGTTGTGGTAAGAGTTCGTTCCAATATATATGAATATGAGAATCCGACGCTACAGTATGATGATGATCGTGTTGTTGTTGTTGTTGTAGATGGGAATGGTTGTTGTTGATGATGAAGAGAAAAGCTTGTTAAGGACAGTTATCGCTTCTCTCTCTCAAAGGTCAGTCTGTTGGTGGTTCTCGCAAATAGCCAAAATCGTTACGAACAACAAGTCGTAAATGCGTAAAATTGATGCTGCAAGGTGTTGAGGTTTTTCTTTCGATTGTTTTCAAAAAATAAGCTTGTTAACGGATAGGAATTTGAGGTTTGTAGACAATTTGGCGGGAGAGAATTTTAACGGACGAGATTCATTCCTCCCAATGAAAAAGTGTAACGGACATCATTGAGGTAGCAAGAAGAGTCTCGAATGATTGCATTCTCGTCGAAATAACTCTGTTCTTGGGATCGTAAAGAAATGAGCTGAACACTTTTTAAAGCAACAATGGTTTGAAGGATCCCATTCTTCTCTCTCTATCACAGTCTTGACAAATCAGAACAAATCAAGATTCAGAAAATACTACCTGCCCTGACGTGCAGATTCAGAGCTGGAACAGGAGGTCAATTGCTGAACTCTGGGAACCGTTGAAAACTCACATCGCTGCCGTTGAAAAAAAGAAGCACTGGTGATGAGCTCGTTCGAATGGTGAAATGCTCTCGTGTCTGCTGTTGAGGCTGCAAATTACACTTTTGGAGACACTTCTGCATAAGCGATTGTTTTTGTATTTCGTTAAGGTTGTATAAGAGTCAGCACTCCAACATTCGGGAGGAACTCTTTACACCGAACTCTCAAAAAGCAGTTCAAAGTGCAGTAAATGGCCGTTGACATTTCTTCACAATCAACCACCTACGGTAGGCACCTCAATTTTGAAACAAGCATTCTTGCCTGTGAGAGTATTCTTACCATAGGTATGTATTTTCTCATCATTGAATGTCATCCACTAGATATTTCGGACCTGAGTGTATGAATCCACACCAGAAAAAATTTTTTCTGCCAAGCGGTTTTTTTTCGTTGTAAACTACACCAGGGGCGATTTTTGATTGGACAACTAAAAATAATGCTAGTCTATTTCAGGATGCTGCAATTCTTCAGCAATTTTTTTAAAAAAAACGTTGAGTTTTCCCTCCCTGCCCGATTACGCTATCATCGCCGTCGTTGTGCCAGCCGATTTTCTCCACGAACCGTTAAAAGTATTGTACTCCGCCTCGGTCGTCATCATTCTCAGAAACAATGTTCTGTGCAGATAGTTGCAGTAGCAAGGGACTTTCATCGTCATCCCCAAAACTCTATGGCAAAGTTTATTTTTATGCTAAAAAAAGCAGATCTGAATCGAACACGGAATCAGTGGGTAACACGAAACATGAGGAGATTCGAAAGATCTCTCTCCCACCTACTTATCAAGAGTTTTACAATCTTATCATGTTGAGTCTTGCTAAGGAAACCAATGACAGACAGCACCTTAGTGACTCTCATTTGGCTTTGTCTTCGAGTAGTTTATCCTCGAAAAGTGGTTTAATCCTCAAATACCTAGGTCAAGATGAAAATTGGGTTTCTTTTTCATCTCAAGAAGAATACGACAATGCTTTGTCCATTTGCAAATGTTGTCAAAATCATTGTATTCGTATTCGAGTGTACTATAAGAAGAGCCTTTTCAAGTCATCGAGCTCTCGATCCAAGAAGTGTCTGGACTCTCATCAATGCATCCACAACCTAACGATTTGCTCTGACTTTGAAGAACTTCAACGACTGATGCGTGAACACGCTACTTCCAACTCCTCTAGCTCCTCATCTGCTCCTTCTGCTCCCTCCACCACCACCACCAATTCCTCCACTTCCTCCTCTAATTCTGATCAATTTTTTCAGTTTTGGTCAGCAAGCGGCTCTTCTTGTTTAGAAAGCAAAGCCTAATAAACAAGTTGTATATACTTGAGTTAAAAACGTTGAGGTTGTTTACTGGGAGTTACTCGTCACTTGTGCAAACTGAGAGTTTGTGGCGTCTCACACCTTTGATTTCGAACTCGATCAGCAGCCAATTGGGAGAATGTAGATTTTTTGAGAACTTCAGCGTGGTGATTATTTGAGCTTGTCTCGAAATATGTTTATTCACTTTCTCTTATAATTTGACCAACAAGACCACAACCAGCATCATGATGAGCACTTGCTTGACCCATCCATGAACATACTTGTCAGAAACAGAATCATTCACAACATGTTGCTTCTCCTTTCTTCTCACAGCAATTCCTGACGACTGCACAACTCCTAGTGCTTGTTTGCCATTTGTGAAATTTTCATCGAGTTGCACCACTCCCGATTTTACAATTCTGAGAGAACCTCCAGTTCCATCCTTACTGAAACGAACTAGAACACTTCTTCCATCGGCCAAACTCAAACATGCCACCATCATTCCATTCGAATCGGATTCTCTTGTCGCCACAACTACAGAACCATCCACAGACATGACATTAAGGAAATGAGTTGTGTTAGAAGTGGAGGCTTGACTAGAACCATCCACAATATCGACTCTCACTCCTGAATTAGCATCACTCTCAATGCTAGCCCAATCGAAATTGTTTCTTGCTTGTGACCATGGAGACAAGGTTGTCATGGTCATTGAGCTTTTACCATTATTCACAGTGATCGAACTTCCAGAACTCGTTGGAGCACTCGCAAAATTCATCATATAGACACGTTTAGCATTAAAAGCAGTCGTTGTAACCACTCGATCCATAACCACAAAAGTACTTGGTTTGATGAAGAGGAATTCTCGTTCAACTTTTTTCACAGCAGGATGACCTCCATACGAAGGTGTGACTTTTGCCAACGCGTACGTATAGACCGAGCTGTCCGAGAGAGCACTCATTTGACATGAAGTGTCAAGTCGTTGTGGGAGAGTTTGTCCTGCAACATCGATACGAATCATGTTATGGAAAGCTTCTCCTTGTTGAATTCCAGAATGAGTATTGATATTTTCATCGATAGCGAGCCAACCCTTTTTGTAAAGCAAAAGACTTCCTTGATCACGATGAGCATGAGATTGTGTATAGGGTCCACACATGACTGAGATTTATGTGATCCGTGATGCACATACAGAATTCAAATTTCCAAAATTCATAGGATCAGAATTGTGTGTGAATATTATTATTATCATTGTTATAATTCGTATAATAATTATTGTTACAATTATGATCATAATTAAGGTAAACAAACACACTTGTTACTTACGTTGAGCATAGACAGCATCACTTTCCCAACTAGATCTAGTCGCTAGGATACCAGTAGAATCTCCTCTAAATGAGGTTGTTAACAATTGAGTATCATTCAATGGAGCTGCCACAACATGGTTAATATCAAACATGAAATCGGCATAGGTATTGAAACCACCCGTCATTTGTGGCACACTGGATTTGCTCAAAATTGTTTTAGCAACTCTTGCTAACGGTGAAGTTGGATACAAGGAACACAAGACGAGAATATAATGACGATGATAATCATAGAAAGCTGCTGTGGATTCACGAGCGTGGTCTCCAATGGGAGCCAAATAATCCAAAGTTGGAACCATTTGATGAAGAATCCATTGAAGAGAGTTATAGGTATGAGGCATGAGATTGGCAATATTCTCTCCTGTAGATCTTTGCCACCAATCGTACAAGGTGAAGAGTTCCTGCCAAATGTCAATTGATTTTTCCAAAAATTGAAATGGACACTCTTTCATGAAGTTGAAAACTCAAAAACACTTACCTTATGAGAAGTACCATATCCAGTTCCTTCCAAACTTCCACCACTAACCAATTCCTTATTAAAATAAGGAATCAACTCTTTACCCAATTTCACATTTCTAAATTGTTGAAGCCACATGTCAGCCAATGGATTCTCTCCAAAAGTGGCCAATCCAACCATCATGGTAGCTCTAATGAATGAGTAGTAATAATTATTAGCAGGATCATTCACACTCCAACATGACCAAGGTTCCAAACGATTTCCCCATTTGGCAGTGGTACAATTCCAAACATTGGACACGGCTTGATTCACATACGCAACCCAACGAGAGCGTTGAGAAGATGAAGTTTGAGCTCGACACCAATCATAGACCATCATGACATTGCCAACATGAGTACCCACTTCTAAATAACTATCATAGGCAACGACTGGTTTTTCTCCATTGGCAATCAATGCTTCTTCAGATTTCACAAATGCATCTGCATCATTGACAGCAAAGGTGCAATAAGAGGATTGACCAGTGACACGAGACATTAATGCAGCATGCCAAGCACGGAATTCATAAATTGTTCCTGTTTGACTTCCTCCTGTAGTGACTCCACTGTCGACAAAGGATTTGAATGCAGAAGCAGCTCGAGTTGGTTTTGACATGTCAGCTCTCAATTTAGAGGCATAGACTGTATCACGAAAGATAATTCTTGGAGAACCTAATGGAGCGAGATTCCACACAGTTGCTGCATGAACAACAAGCATGTCTACAACAAGCCACACCATGGTTAACATCATGACCAAGAGAAGGCATTTGCTGGAAACAAAATTTTTACGACCACAACAATAATTGTGATCTTGGACAGAAATATATTGACTCATGTGTAATGTCTCTAATTTTTTCAAGATGAAGAGTTGAAAGCGAGAGCTCTGTGAATATTTATACTCGATTTCAAATGCAATTTTCAAAGATAGCATTTCACTTTTCATTAACAGGTCAAGTTCAAGAGATCCAAGATTAAAGTACCAAATGTCACTAAATGAGATCTCCTTGTGCCAGGAGTGACCTCTAGGAGTTGTTACCATGTAACTTGTTGACTTTTTTGAAAAAATGTTTTGAAAGATGTACAAGATCTTGAATTTTATAGATCTTTGTAAAGGGAATAATGGTAATGTTTTCAACTACTTGAACAAATTGGTTGTCTTACTGCTTGCACTTTTGTTATAAACACATGTATTAAGGAATGAACATTAGGTCGATAACTGTAGATCACTTGTGTATGAACTCGACAGTTCCATGATCAAATGATCAAATGTAAAATGTCATACTCTAATTAGAAGTGGCTAACATAAACGACCCGGGATTTCTTTGAGAGAGACAACTTCATGATTGTCATTTTTAAATAATTGATGACAGCTCCCAACTCTCTCACATCTCAACTAGAAAAAACAAGGCAATGTTTATTCAAAGTTTCTTTCAAAACAAGCAAAGACCTACATGTATCCACCAAATGTCTGAAAAGAAGCTCCTCTTTCAGTGGTGTTGTTTCTTCTTCTTTTGAAATCAAGACGACTGTGAGAGAAGCTTTCTTTAAGGTGATGGTTGCCTCAATGACTTCTTTTCCAATGCTAGAGAATGAACAACAAGATTTCTGATTGTTCACATTGTCATCGATGCTTCCTCATTCCATAATATTGTTGTTGTAATTAAAAGTGTGGAAAGCATTCGGAATTTCTTTTTGAAAAAAATGTTCAAAAATTGTTTCATCATCGTTTATGATTCGTTAAATTACTCGTAATTTCAATGGATCTCCTCCATCTAGCATTCACTTCTTTTGCAACATTATGGATTGAAACTATTTTAATTTCAACGATTACAGTTACAAATTTTATTGAAGAAGGCAACTTGGAGTTTCCGAATGTGGAAGGGTCTTTGATTTAATTGTGGTGATTTTCAGTTATTCCGGCACACTTTAAAACAGATCCATCTCTGACCAATTCAACAACCTTTTCAATCAATGGATGCATTACAACATCCTTCTCAATATACGGAACATGTTGTCGAACCAATTGTTTGACCTTCTCAACAATGGGAGAGGCATTTTGTCTTCTCAAATCCAATGCTTGACAAGCTGCCATCAATTCAATAGCAATCACTGTCTCAACATTTGCAATAACTTCCAAACATTTTCTACTCGCATATGGGCCCATCGAGACATGATCTTCTGATGATGCAGATGTGGAGATAGTATCAGAAGAACTTGGATGCACCAAAACCTTATTTTCACTTGTCAATGCTGCAGCAGTGTATTGTGGAATCATGAATCCACTGTTAAGACCTCCGTTCTCAATGAGGAAGAATGGCAATCCACTCAATTTTCCATCTACCAATCGATTAATTCTTCTCTCACTGATATTTGCTAATTCATGAACTCCAATGGCAAGGAAGTCCATGGCTTTTGCAGGATACTCCCCATGAAAGTTTCCTCCACTGACAATATGTTTAATGTCTTCTGTGTCCGTGTGAAAAAGAGTGAAATTATCTTGTACATGATCGTTCATACTTGAGGTATAAGGGACAAGATTTGCAAGTTGAGGAATATCAGACCCTGTTCCCTCAATGAATACCATTGGATTATCAGTAACAGCATTCAACTCGGTATCTATGAGCTTTTTACAAAACTCGATCGTATCATGCACAATTCCATGCACTTGTGGAATACATCTCAAAGAATAAGCATCTTGAACCTTTGGATGCCTGTTCAATGATTCAGTGATGGGAGAAACAACATATCCATTCTCAACTCCATGAAGCAAAACATTTCTCATCACTGAAGCAACATGCATTTGTCCTGAATGTCCACGAGCTTGATGAATACGAGCATCCAAAGCATTGGGAGTTGCATTGAGCGATTCGAACGTGACACAAGCTACAAGGGTAGCAATTTGCATGAGACGTTCTGCTTTCACAATGGCTTGCGCACCGAGAGCACTAATGAACTGAGTACCATTAATTAATGCGAGACCTTCTTTTGCTTTCAAGTCAATGGGTGTGATCTTGTGTTCTTTCAATACCTTTTCTGCATGTTCAATCGTGCCATTCGTTGGATGATGCATGAGTCCTTCACCAAGAGCTCCCAAAGCAATATGAGAGAGAGGAGCCAAATCACCAGAAGCACCTACACTTCCCTTTTCATAAACAACAGGAAGACAATTCTTGTTGAGCATTTGGAGGAGTGTGTCGACAAGACATGGACGAACACCAGTCTTTCCTGAGGCCAAAGTATTGATTCTATTTGCTAAAAGCATTCTCACGAGAGGTTTTTCTAACATGTTTCCAGTTCCACAACAATGTGATCTTATCAAATTGTATTGCAATTCAGACAAGGAATCATGATTAATGACAACATTTTTAAATTCTCCAAATCCAGTGCTAATGCCATAGACAACTTCCTTTGTCTCAACAATACGTTCGACAATGTTGCGAGAAGTTTGCATTCTTTCTCTTGTTTGATCAGAGATTGTAACATGACAATTCAAAGAGTGACCGATAGTGTACAATTGATGGGAGGTTAAATGAGAACCATCAAGCTCGATTGTGTGGAGATTGTCCATGAGGATGATCAGGATTAGATTTCAAACAAGTATTGTTTTTTTGGTGATTGAAATCATCCATGCAATGGCATCACGTTATTTAAACTGATTGCATCATCTTGAGTGAAAGTGCCAATTCGAATACATGATTTCAAATAGATCGAATTACAATCACGTGTGTTTACAATACCAAGCAGTCCTTTCATTGGTTGCAAACGTGAAATCCATGTTTAGGTTATGCGTTATTCGAATGGATGTGAAACTCTAACGCTTTAAAAAGCCCATCCTGCAATTTCGAAATTCTTATTAACACTCAAAAAAAACAAACAAATGTCAACACCAATCAAGTTAGATCCACCTACAGGAACCAGAGATTTCTTCCCTCCTGATGCTCGAAAGAGAGACTACATTATCCAGAAATGGGATGAAGCTTGTCAAGTCTATGCTTATGAACCTTACGATTCCAGTGTCATTGAATCAACTCGATTGTGGACAGAGAAGGATCCAGAAATGATCAAGCAACAATATGCCTTTGAAACACCAGATGGTGAACAAGTTTCATTGAGACCAGAAATGACTCCAACATTGGCACGTTTGATCATGTCCCAATTGAAAATTCTCAGAATGCCTTTGAAATGGTATTCCAAACCAGTGTGTTATCGTTATGAACAAACTCAGAGAGGAAGAAAGAGAGAATTCTATCAATTGAACTGTGACGTTTGGGGATCAAAGGATATTCTCGTCGAGGCTGATATTTTCAGTATGATTGTGTACATGTTTAAATCCTTTGGATTGAATTCGAATCAAGTCACTTTGAAATTCAGTTCAAGAAAATTAATAGATGAGTTCTTGACACGAGAATTGAAATTGAATTTGAGTGAGGATGAATTTTTAAAGACATGTTCAGTGATGGATCATGTGGACAAGTTGTCTATGGAGGATTTGTTGCAAAAATTGAACAAGGATGTTCCTTCCATCCCAGAAAGTATTGGTTTGGACATGATCAAGAAATTATCTTTTAGAAAGGGAATTTCACAACGTTTGTCACCACAAGAATCATTGAAACTGTTCAAAGAGGGACTTTCTAGTGATGAATTTAAATCATCCGAGGCCATCAAAGAAATTGAAACCTTATTGGAGTTGTGTGGCCCAAATGGTTTTGATATTTTGGAATGGTTAGATTTCGACACTGGAATTATTCGAGGTCTTTCATACTATACTGGAATTGTGTTTGAAGGATTTGCATGTTTTGGAGATGTTAAGAGAGCTATTTGTGGTATGTTTTAATAAGTTTATTTACCCATTGGAAATTCATTTCACACCATTTTTGGATTTCCATTATTTGATAATAACATTCTAGGAGGCGGACGTTATGATGAAATTCTCTCTACTTACGGTTCCAATGAGAATGTACCAGCATGTGGATTTGGTATGGGCGATGTCGTGATTGGAGAAATTTTGGGTGACTTTGGACTATTACCTGATTTTTCAATGAATCCCGTGGATGATATTGTCATTCCATTCAATGAAAAGTATAGACATGTTGCAATTAAGGTCACACAAGTCCTCAGAGAAAAAGGAAGAAGAGTAGAAATGTATCTCAAAAAAGTGAAAAAACTCACTGTTGCTTTGGATTATGCAAACAAGTTGGGAGCCACTCGTGCCATCAATATTTTCCCTGATGAATGGGACAAGGAAAAGAAGGTTCAAATTAAGCTCCTTAGAGAGGAGAATGCCGAATCCAAAATTACTTTTGTAACCTTGGATGAATTGTAAACAATAAAGGAGATTGTTGAGTGACATTAATTCCAAGTTGAGTATTTTCATTTATTTACAATTTTAGTTGAGAGAACTGTTGTCCTTCACATTTGTGCCGTGTGTTGAAAATGTTGTTATCCACAACATGTCTTGTCTTCATAAACACCAAGTTCCAAATACACAAATGCCTCTGCATTACTTGGATGAATTCCAATCACATCATCAAATTCTTCCTTTGTACAACCCTTCTTCACGGCAAGTGCAAATCCTTGTGTCACTTCAGCAGCTTGAGGACCAAGATAATGCAATCCAATTACTTTCTCATTCTCATTCTTGAGACAAATCAGCTTGACAAATCCCTTCTCTGATTTTTCTGGAATTTTATGTTCCAAAATATTGAACTTCTTCTTGTAAATGACTAGATTCTCACGACCAAATTCTTTTTCTGCCTTTTCTTCACTGTATCCAACGAGACCATATTCTAAAGGTGTGAACACTGTGGTTGGTACAAAATTATAATCCACCAAATAACGCTTATTATTTGTTTCTGGATGAAAGAGACGGTAAGCTAAATATTTTCCTTGTTGAATCGCAACAGGAGTCAATTCAAGATTATATCCATTCTCAATGACATCTCCAAGAGCATAAATACTTGGAACATTGGTTCGTTCTTCCTGATCCACAATAATTTTTCCTTCCTTTGTGTATGCAATTCCAACTTGATCCAAATTCAATCCTTTCACATCCGCATAACGTCCCGTAGCAAACATGACTGTATCAAACTCTTCAGAATATTCTCGATTTTCCAAAGTATTCCAATAAATCACTCGTTTCTTGTTACTAGTTTCCAACTTTTCAATTCTTTTTGGAATGCATGGTTGTAAAAATTTCACAAAATGTTCCGAGGACATGGATTGTTGCAAATGTGAAACTACTTCACGATCAAACGAACCACTTCTCAAAATTTGTGATCGAACCATGACACTTGTGTCAAATCCTAATCCACTTAAAAATCCAGCACATTCCAATGCAATATATCCTCCTCCTACAATTAAGGTCTTTCCAGGTGGAGTTTGTAATGAAAATAAATCGTCACTGGTAATGGCATGTTCGAGTGCACCAGGAATTTCGTCATGAGATGGCACGTATGGTCTTCCTCCTGGAGCTAGTACTATAAATTTAGAAGTTAATAATAATGGAGAGGAGTTGGAGTTTTGTGTCAATTTCACAGTGTGTGCATCTTGCAATTGACCCAAAGCTTCAAAAAAGTCAATTTTTCGTTTTTTCAATTCATTTTTGTAGACGAAATTGGATCCTGAACGAGTATTTAAAACACCTTGTACAAGAGTATTCCAATCGAAATATTGACTTCTCTTTTCATGTGAAAAATGATTGAACATGTCACTTGAAAGATTGTCACTAGCGTCGGATAGTCCTGGTAATTTCCATCCATAATTAATGGCTTGTCTAATTTTCTCTCCCATTTCTGCTGCATAATGCATTTGTTTTTTAGGAATACATCCAACTAGAAAATATATTGTGTACAATAATTATCAATGAATTCATACAAAAAATAAATTCAATAAAAAATACATAATAATTTCAGAAAACAAACGTGTGAAAGATAAAACACTTACCATTCACACACGTTCCTCCAATCTTCCATGTATTGCCCTGAGTCGATGGCTTGACATAATCCAGTAAGGCAACTTTAGCTCCCAAATCTGCAGCAGTTTTGGCAGTTTTTAATCCTCCACTGCCACCTCCAATCACAATGAGATCATACATGTAATTGTAGCTGAATGAATCATTTTGATCTGTAATCGTAGTAGTAGTAGTAGTATCCGTGTCACTGTATACTATCAATCGAAAGTGTTTCTTTTTTTTGTTCTTGTTGAAATAATTTCGCCAAAGAGTTCTCGACGACCCTTTAAAGGTTCCAAATTTGTAAAAAAAAAGTGCGCACGCAAGTGAGGAAAAAAATTTCTCGATACTTCCTTCGTAACGTCCATAGAGAGAATCACTCCAAGCTGAATTTCTTCTTGCGTTGGTTTGATGGGTTGTTGTTGCTAGCATCAACAATAATGTAGCCATTGGTTGTTGTTGCTGAATCATTTTGTTGATGGCTGTTCTTGTTCAATTCTTGTGTTCATTCTTCAATATGAGGAGAATACTGTTCCAAGAAGGGACCAATCCGTTCCATACTGAATTGCCATAATTTCTCTCGTTCTTCCCGAAGAGCGAGAAGAGGATGATCGTCTTTGGGATCTTTTTGTTGTTGCATGAAAAAGAATTTTCCTGAACAGGTAATGGATGGATCGAGAGCTAATCTCAACTCGTGATAGGCACCTTGTGAAATTGGAATTCCAGAAAAGGCATGAATGATCTTTCCAATTCCGTAACTGAGATAGGCGAGGAAAGGAGAGGTTTGTTTTTGATCTTCCTTTGCTCGTTCTAATAAATTGGTCATCATGACACCAGGATGAACATAATTCACAGATTGTAAATGTGGACATTGTTTTTCAATGATCCATTTGTCATGTAAATTTAAGCAATGCATGGAACAGAATAATTTGTTGTAGGCATATGGAGGAATGGTTCCTTTCGTTTTTTCATCAAAAATCATTTTCATCCAATCGAGTTGTTCCAAAGATTGGTATTTGTCACTAATCATTAATTGAACCACATTGGACGAGACCACAACAATTCTTCCATTCTCTCTTAATTGATTTCTTAGCAAGTGATTCATTAGAAAATGTCCAAGATAACACACAGAGAATGTTTTTGAAACACCTTGTGGATTTTTCACTGAAGAATTTTCATCCGTCACACTATTTCCAACCACTCCTGCATTATTCACAATCACATCGAGCTTGGAATTGACTCCAAAATGTTGTGGTAAAATTTCTTGACATAATTTCACACAACTCTTTGCAACCTTGTCCAAATCCATTAAATCCATCTCCATGCCAACACATTTTCCTTTCTTGATATTGTACTGTAATTGTTTAATCATATTTCCATAATCTTGTTCTTCGGATTCGATATCCAAAGCAACTTGTCGAGCACGTTCATCACTCGAACTCGTAATAATGACATGAACTCCGAGAGCCAACAATTGTTTGGTTAACTCACGACCCACTCATTGGTACCACCGGTCACGAGAGCAATTTTCTCATGTGGGGAAGAATTGTCTTGTTGTGAGAGGAGGATTCTCGTGATGATGGATTGAAAGTGTGGAGTCAAATCGAATGTCGTTGTTTTCATTTTTTGTTTTTGAGCAGATGAAACTCAATTGTTGTGAAATTTACGTATTTTTATTATTGATATCTGTCTGACCAACTAAGCCGCAGTTGTTGAACGGAATTGCACAGCCATGCTTAACGTCCATAGAACTTGGAACCAAAAAAAATAGTGAGCTCAACGTTGATGCAACAACAATTTCTTGTTTCTTCCAACACTCCAAGCTCATCTTTGCAAGAAGAACAATCAGAAAAGTCTAAACTCGTGTTTACGGCATTGAATGGACAAGTCTTGTTGGAATTGATTTCTACAAGCTGCTCCGGAGTTTCGCCGTTGCTTGCTGGTTATGAATGTGGACGTTATATATGGGAGTACAAGATTCACGATCCTCTTCATAGGGATATTGATGCTAGTATTGAAATAGGCTCAAATATGAATTTGGATCGGGTTGCACCAATGGCAGTTGAAATTCATCGCGTTTCCATCACATTCAAACGAAATCATCAAGTCGTATTTTCATTTCATAGTAATAATTATGATGATTGTCCAGTCATGAAAATACCTTCGGGTCAATCACCTCAAAAGACAACGTGTCATCCAAACGTTGCTGTCCAAGAAATATTGAGATGGGTTGGCCTTGATCAATTTATGGTTTCGCCGATTGCAGCATGGAATTGTTTGATGACTTTTTTGAGAGTCTTGCAGTATTTCAGGTATGAAAAACTTGTAAAACGTGTATCAGATATTTCAGAGAGGCTTCAGAAAAAGTTAGGAATGAATTCGACATTGAAAAATGGATTGTATGAATGTAAATTTATTAAGAAAGGGACATCAATCAAAGATGTTTTGAAACACTGTGATTTAAATTCGCTAAAAGTATTTAAATCATCGAGTATTCAATGTTTAAAGTCGAGGCCATTTAAATTGATATTCGAATATAACGGTCATAAATTGGAATACCGAGAGAAAATGAAAAATGAAAACAAGAATCGAGACAGTACTACATTTGATGAGAGAAAAAATATGAATTTCAATAATCAGCCATTTATTCACATTAGTGAGCTATTGTTCGATGAAGATGTTATATTTTCCTGTGAATTTCCTTCCAAAACAACGATGGCTGAATTTCCGTGTTATGTACCTGGAATGGTTGTGGTTACTGATAATCGACATCCAGATGACGCTTGTGTCAATTTTGCACATACTATTTTAAAGTCAGCATTCGCACTCGAACAAGATGAAGAACATTGGATTGCTTTGATATCGACTCAGGGATTTCATGCATTTGAATTGGTTTTTTCACGCTTTAGGAAACACAGATCCATCTTTTTCGATGCATGTTTTGCGAAGCTAGCGAAAGAAAAGCCCTCAGCACTGAGTGATATTGAAATCAAGTGTCAAAATTGAACAATAAGATGCATCATGCTGTGTCAGTTTGAAGCTCATTTCGGTTGAATTGGAACAACACCATGCCATTCATTACGTCCTTTGCGTAATAGATTACACACTGCAACGTTACTTGTACATGATGGAAGGTTATGGGTAGGAAAAGCCGTAGACACATTGATGACGGGCATAAATTACGGACAAAACTAAGCAATTTAGTAAGGACTCCCAAGCAAATGCAGTCGCATCTCTGTTGCCTATCGGATTCTTTACAAGTCATATCTGTGCCAACATACGCTCTGCTTCTTGACATACTGTACATACACATTTCATAAAATCTGCCATGAGCGTTGGTTTTATCTTATACGACAATGCTGAGCAGAGTCTGGATAATTCACCCATCATGTCGTCCTTAATAGTAATAAGCATTCTGACTTTGTTCTTTTCAATTTCTTTACGTAATTGGTCGTCTTTTTCAATGATTGATATAGATATTTGGAAGATTGCAATTATCCTATTTAAACATTGATACTTCTTAATAATGTTGTCAAGATAACTCTGAAAAAGTACTTTGAGCTCTTGAGTAAAGGGAAATAAATTGGTTTCATCTTGAGAATACATGGTAAAAATAATACAAAATATCTTGGACTGGATGATAAGAAAATACGGTGAATCCCCAAGCTGGATGTTTTCTCTCTTGGTCTTTTCAACGAATACAGATCTGTCTTCCTCAAGCACATATAAGCGTGGCAACATCTCCCATCATGAAATACTATTCTCGTGTTCTAAGGATGCAAAAAAGTACCACACTTTCAGATGTAACGAACGATCTTCAATTTTATGCAGCGCGATTAGAACTTGCATAATTTTTTTCCATAAGGATCCGTATTTGATGCCAGTAGTGGTCTATCATACCAAGAACTAATTCTAAATTTCTTGGATGTCAAATATCTACCATTTGGTGGATTGATTTCTTGTGTCTTTAAACTGACACAAAGCCAGTAGCGCCCCACTTCTCTGGTTTCGAGTGGATTCTTATACAATATATTCTCTATTACACATTCTGCAAGGCTCTCCTCAACACAACAGTCTGTTTTGCTTTGGTCCAGAGAGGTTTGTTTGAATGGAGAGCAAACAAAATGGCGCTCCCTTTTTCTCTCCTCATGGACGATTTCAATTGTTATGTGTGGCAATAAATCGTACGTCTCATAACAAACTCCTCCACAAGATATGTTCAAAGGACAGATCAAAAGCAAGTTCCAGGGTTTCCTTTCTATGTTTCCATTCATCTCAATAGAGAAACTTGTACCAATCTCATAACAATATATCCAATCCTCTAATTCTTGCTTCATCATCTCTTTAAATAATGGTCCTGCAATAATAACCCCGACGGAATTGAGAAATCGTTGTGCCCTCATGTATTGGTCCACACCAATTCCTTCCCATTCGTCCTTGTTGAGCTCCTCATACGTACTTTCATCATCTCTGCTCGTGAGAATTGATGAAAAAGCGTTAGCAATCTTCTCCGAGATGGTATTTATAAGGGTGTTCATCCAACCCTCAAATGTGTTCATTTTTTGAAACCTATTTTTGTTCTCAATAAATTCTCCGATACATTTTTTTTTTTTTAATAATCACTGTCCATGCGTTTATTTGTTCGAAAATTCAAACGTTATTCATGGCTGTGTGAACCTCCGATACATGTTTTTTCTAGATCTAAAACAAGCCATCAACCATTGTTGCTCCATCATCAAGTCCAGCGCACGTGTATATGGTCTTCTCCATTGAGGTTTATTGTTTGTTTGTATAATGCTTCAAAAGAAGTGTATATTTGATTGAAATGTGATTGTGAATGTCTGAGAGTTTTGTTCCTTCATCAGGTAATTTTTCAACCTCATCGACAATGTGATGAATCATGAGTGGCATGGTGACATCTTTGTGGCGAGTGCTCCTTGTTTTCATACAACTCTTGGCCACAATCAACATGTGAACAATATTATCGATGGAAGTGAGACGAGAGTACAATGCTTCCCAATACTTGTCCATGTTGAAAGAACCTGTGTGAACACTGCTTAATCGACGAAAGCTTGAAAAACGTGTGCTCTTATCTGAAGAAGATGGAGAAGAATAAATGGAATGTGCAGAAATACCCAATGGAGAATTTGCTGAGGTGGCAATAGGTTCATTATGAGACAATGTCGTGCCTTGGTATTCTCTTTTCAATTCATTTTGATGTTTTCGTTTGTTTTCGAGAATCATCTTTTGCAGAAGAGGATTTCTAATTTCTTGCTCTTCCAATAGAATAAGTTTGAATCGCTCCAATGCCACAAATAATGCTGTCTCTCCATACGAGTTTGGTGTGTCGATGGAATAACGGAAATTGTGTGGATCCATATTTTTTCGATCATTGAATACGACTGGTAATGTCTCTTGTTCATGGGACTCCTCAAGTCGAATTCGAGTTGCTTTTTTCGAGGTCCCTCGTGAACGCTTGAAAAATCGAGAACCAGATTTTGCACTAGATTTTTGATTTTCCACACCACTACTGTTACTTGCTCCACTGTCATCAACAGGTGTTCTTGGTGCTTGGTTACTTCTTGAAGAGGAGCCTTCATTACTATTTGGACTTCTGAGTCGAGGTGTTTTGATTAAATTCGAGAGTTTTTCTAGACCTTTACGGATACGTGCAGTTCCTGGTGTGCTAGGTGTAGGTGCAGATTGACTACCGGAGGCGCTTGTGACATGCAAACGAAGTTCAGGAATGTGAATATGGTGACCTGTTAAGTGTGTATGACTATCGTTGAAAGAATCAGCAACCAATGAAGCATCACTACTGCCCACCATATTTTGCACAATGCTAGAATTGGATGGAAAATTCATGGAAAATAGTTCAGAGTCGCTCTTCTTCTTTGTGATTGGTAAATCTGCCATTGAATCTGAGGGATGTTCTCGATGATAAGAGTCAAAATCTGTGTATCTTCGTCGTTCCCTAATAGATTTTCTTTTCTGAATGTCTTTGACATTTTCGGTGGCAATGGATAAAAAGACTTGGACAACTTCAATATTGTTATACCAACAGGCAACATGAAGAGGGGTAAAACCTTCATACTTGTCATGTTCAAGGAATAACTTCTGATAAATTTCTTCTGGCAAGGAAATGGCACATAATGACAAAAATACAGCATTATTGGCAATTGCTGCTAAATGGAATAAATTAAGACCGTGTGCCTTGGTCTTGGTGGTGCAGCATGCACTATAATCAATCTCATTCAATAAAAACGTCCATATTTTCAAGTAATTTTCTCGTTCGTTTTGTGTCAAATCCTTATTCCAGTTTCGTGAATGAGTTCGAACAAATTTTTCAAATGACCCAAGTGCTGAATTTGGATAATAAGCAGGATGATATCTCTCAAAGAATTCCTCCGTTTCCATGGTGTCGTTGCAGTGAATGCTTAGTACGCTTCTCATCAAGGCCGTTAATCCATTGTCATCTCTCATGTTGGCAAAGGTAATTGGTTCAGAATAAAAATGGATTAATAATTTTACAATGTCATAATAACCTTTGGTCGCAGCAATGTGAAGTGCAGTAACACCTGAGTCTCGCTTCTTTAGAATTGGGGCTACACCGAGTAATATTTGAGTTTCTACGGCCTTTAAGTCATGCATTTCGCAAGCCAAGTGAATACCAGCATTTCCGTAAATATCTTTTTTACCCCAATCCATTTTTTTGGATCCTGTCTTGGTTACTGCTGTCAACAAAAGCGTTAGTACGTCACAATTACCCTTTGTAGAGGCAATGTGAAGAGCTGTTCCTTCAATCTTGTTCGTGTGATTCAAATTGACATCATATTTGCTTAATAAAAACGCTACAACTTCTACTTGATTGTGTTGAATTGCAATTTGAAGTAGTGAATTTCCGTTGTGATTATCTCTAACAGAGTTTACAATAATGTCATTTAACACACATTCCAAAAGTGCAATACATCCTTTCTTCACAGCATGAATGATAATGTTTGAGTTTTTTGCTACTTCATCGAGTGGTGTGAGTTTTGGGAGGTAAAATGAAAGCGATGACACAACTTGTTTCAGTGGAGATGATGGAATGACAACACCAAAAGAATCTCTCTTCTTAGCAGAAGCAGCAGATGTTCTACCATCTCTGAAATCTCTATCTAATGCTGAAGCTGCCACTTCTCCTCTAGCCATAGCCGAGGAAATGGCTCCTGCAGGTGAGGAGGCAAGCCTTCCAATGTGAGACTTTGTTGGTGTCACTGGAGAAGTTTGTAACGTGGTTGGTATCTCGCTAGACGCGCTTCTGTGCATGGATGAAGCTTTAACATCAAGAAAAAGGCTTGGTTCAGATCCAGAGGAAGAGGAAGCACTCGCTGCAGTATCTGTGAGTTTCAAAAGTTCGCTATTATTGTTTTCATGTGAGAAAAAATAATTATTACTATCCACAGCATAGGCAGCTAAAGAGTTGCTTCTCCGTCCTGATCGAAATTTGGGCTTTTGTGTTGTTTTGCTTTGTGACCTAGGGGTTAAAGGATTATTAGGCTGTGTTAATTTTCTTCTTGGCGTTTTGTTTCCAACATGTTCGTTTACGTGTTGTGTAATGGATGATCCAATTCCAACAATTCCTCCAAAAGCTCCATAATTTATGTTATCTGCACGAGGAGTTATAGTGTCTTGATCAGCATAACTTGTGACGCTGGTGATCGATCGGACAGACAACATGTCGTGAGTGAAATCCGTATTATCGTCTACATTTGACTTATTGTTGAAATCCAAATGAAAAAGTTGTCTTTTTGGCGAGGAGTTGTGTGTATTGGTCGATAAATCTCCTGCATTTTTCTGATCTTTGCCATGAATATGATTTTGACCATTACTTTTGCTCCTATTATGTCTGTACTTGTTTAACAGTGAAGATGTTGAAATTTGAGTGGCATTGGTTGGTGAATTGATTGTCACATTTGCCTCTTTTAAGGCTTTTGAGCTGTTGGCAATCAAATTGAAAAGGCTGCTTAGCTGTTGAGTTGGTGAAGAGGATGGTTTTTGAGATGGTGATGATGGAGAAGTACTAGTATTCTCTAGCAGTAATGAGGAGTTATTTTCCTTGGAAGGGCTATTATCTAGGTCAGTATTTTGAAAAACATTAGGAGTGGGAATATTTGTGGTTTTAGGGGATGAGGAATTGGCATTATTGTTGATTGTTGATGAAGCAGTAGTGAATGTATTTACATGATAATCCTCGTTATTCACTCCACTTGTGTTTGGATTTAATGAAGATAAAGCTATTGAACTAGGTGTTGTTATCGTTTGTTGAGAGTGAGAGGAAATTTCTGGATGCAACGACGATTGAGAAATTGATGAAAAAGGGGATGGTTGGCTTATTTTGTTTGAGGGAGAAATATTGGCCGAGGAGGAATTGTGTCGAGAAATTCCAAGATCGGCCATAGAGGAAGTTGTATCACGTGATGAGTTAGGGTTTGATACAGCTTGTTGCTTATTTGGCGTCGTTGTTGTTGAAGTAGTGGGGTGCATCAGAAATGATTGTGTGGATTTCAAAGGCGTCGATGTTTGAAAATTCAAAACAACTCTCCTTCCGTTAATGATAGCTACATTATTTCCGCTGTTAAGGCTTGTTGGAATAAAATGATGATGATTCATAGTGGTAGACGTAGTCGTCGATTGCAGCGTGGATGAGGAAGTTAATGATTTGAGAGAAGTTGTTGATGAAGAGGATGTTTGTTGTTGTGTCGTAGAAGAAGTGATGATGGTCGTAGTCGTAGCGGGAGTGGAAAAGGAGTGATTATTGGTAAATTCACTCAACGGCTTGGGCGACAGAGTACGATGGTTCATCTCTGATGATGCCGAGAGCAAAGTCGACGAATTGGAGTTGGTTGCTGATGAATGAGAAGGATGATGAAATAACACACCATTGGATGGATGTGGTGTTGTGGGATTATGTGCTCGATGATTATTCATTTGAGCCTCTCTCTCAAGAATACTTTCCTTCTTGTTGTGCACATGATTGAGATAATTTGCTAAATGTCGAAAGACCTTCCCCGAGAGTGCGTGCTTCTCTTCAGACGTTGGAGTTTTTACTGGGCTCATGGTGCTCGTTGAATGATGATGAATGGAGGCTGAAGCTTCGAGCAGTATGGAAGAAGCGGTTGATGAATTCTCATGTTTTTGAATATTTTGGTTATTGTTATGAGTACAGGAAGTGTGTGGTTGTGGTTGTGGTCGGAGAGTGGTTCGTATGGTTGGAGTGATTTGATCTTCTTCTCCAGAATGAAGGCTTTCTGCTTGTTTGAGAAGCTTGTTACTTTGTGTTTGTAGAGATGATGAGTCTAGACTGGTTGTTGGTTGATGATGACTATGCTGTGCTGGCGGAGCGGACGACGCTGCTGAACTTGTAGATTCAAAAGTGGGGATATTGTTGTTGTCGTTACTACTCTTCGATTCTTGCTGTATGGCAGATGTGTTGTTGTCAATAATTGTTTCTTGTTCCTTCCCAATGGTCTTCTCATGAATACAATCCGTTGTTGCTTGTAAAGTGGTGATGTTCGGTATTGACAGCTGATTATCTTCTTGAAAATTGTTGTTGGATGATGTTAAAGTTGTTGTGAGACTATTGCTCGTGGTGTCTGTGATTGTTGTTGTCAATGCATGATGGTCCAACGGTGTTGAACCCGGCGTAACATGATCGTTTGATGATGGCACCGAATCATCAGATGCCATTGTTGTTTCACGTATGGAGGAGGATGATTCTTCTTCTCTTTTAGGGCTGACAATTGTCACCTGTTGTTGCAGCATTTTTAAATTACGAAAAATAGTGCTGGCTCACCCTTTTGAAATGATCATTGTCGACAGACATATTAATTAAAGTATCGCCATTCAAATTCTGTGTCCTTTCAAGCAGGATCCAATCACAAGAAGAGAGCCGTTCCCTCCAAAAAAAATGAACGTTAAGGAAATGTTTGATAGCGTGGCGTTGAGCCTCATTGCCTTCTTAGAGTCTCATGAAGGGGTAAAGAATGTACAATTGTTTGAGACAAAACCAGCAACACAATCACAAGTAGATGCTTGGGAGAAGACGAACAAAATTACCATGCCATCGGAATTGAAATCTTTCTTGTTGTATTCGAATGGGTTTTTATTAAAGTGGAAAATCAGTTTATCGGAAGAGAGAGAAGTACAGATGGGATACATGTCCATACATTCCATAGAAAAGATGGTGGAAGTAAAACGCAAAGATGATGATACAGAATCCTTGCATCCATTTCATGCTGCATTCGAATTGAGTAATTCTACAACTCACTGTAACGGACGTGTGTGTTTTGTATACAAGGACCAATCACAAAATCCTGCAACTGCTGAGATTTGGTATCAAGATTTGGGAATGAATTGGTGGTTCATCTCAAAAACGTTTGTGGAGTATTTTCGACTCATGATTTTGCATTTGGGTTTACCGAACTGGCAGATGGTATTTACTGATACGGGTCTTCCATCCATAACGAAACAGTGGATTCGATTTCTATCTCCTCAAAGACTGCTCATTGACCTCAGTAGACTATGTCTGAACAAGGAGGCTCTAATAGAAATGCCCGAGAGTATGAATGAAGTTTTTAAAGTAAGAACAGTATCAAGAGTCACAGAGCTTCGAAATAAGAATAAGAAAAAGAAAAAAGTGTCTGTGAAGAAGAAAACGAAAATTGATCTTAAAAAACTGGACGCAATGGCCTCCAAGAACAAGAAGAAGGAAAAATCTTTTACATCCTCTGACAAAATTTGAGTCATGACATAGTCAGCCTTCTTCACAGACATTGAAATGATGAAGCGAATATTTGAAAGAATTCTCGTAATAGGTATCTAAAGTTTAGATTGACTTTACTGTTACAACAAAATTGGGATGGAAATAAGAATTAGAGGGAATCCATTTTCTCTCGCTCTTCAGCGTATCTCTCGGATTGATACCACTTTTGAGCATGACTTGCACATTGTCTTCGACCTCGAGTCTTCACGTACTTAGTACTAATTAAGCTCCAATTATGTCCACATTCCTTTAATCCTTTCAAGAAGCGAAGATGTTCATCATCAGACCACCAACCAGTATTGAATTGACCTTTAGTTGTATGCTTCTTCTTCTTTCGGATGGTTTGCTTTCTCTTCTTTTGTGGTGTTGACTTGTTGCCGTCTTCTTCAGATGAGACAATGAAATCTTCATCTGCATTATTGTAATCATTAGAGGCGTCTTCCATGTCATCTTCCTCCCCATTTGAAGATTCACTTCGATCAGAACCAGTAGGGTGAGGATGTTGATACACTTGAGATGATTCTGTCACAGATCTAGTATGGTACATTTTGGTATTATTCAATTGAGAGTTGGATGTCACAGAGGTTGTGGTTGTAGTTGTGTTGAGAATGGAAGGATGAGCAACTAGAGATGATCCACTTTCTGCATACCATCGAGATATCATCTTTCTAGGCTTTGAAATTCCTACTGGGCTGCTGATCAAATCCCAGTTCTGTTTTCTGTCCATATCCGATCTTTGTATAAGATCGTGTCGTTGTTGTGGTGTTGTTGCTGCAGCTGAACTTGTGGTAGTAGTAGTATGGAAGAGCGCGGACGTGTTCATCATCATTGATGGCTTCTTTCGTAAGAGCAATGATGACGATGAACCAGAGGAGCCATCGGTCAAGCTCTTCAATTGGAGCTTTTCGTATTGATTGAGATCTGAGTAGGAATCTTGCAGAGATGGTTCCATCAACAAGGGTGGTATATAGACAAATGAAGTGGTATTATTCTCTGATGAATAGCAACCTTTCAAAGATGACTGTCTGTGATCGGATCCAGAAGTGTTGGAACTCGAGTTGATATTAAACGAGGTTGGATTCTCTTTCAAACTCAGCAGAGCTTGAGCAAGAAAATCTTCGCAAGATGATGTAGCAGCCATTTCAAATATGATACAAGCGGTTCAAGATTACTATGATTTTCTTCTGACAATGAGTACAGGGGGTGATAAGCAGGCAAAGATGACTCGAGAATCACTAGTTGTGACAATTTTAAATTATTTGAATGATGAAAGGCTCTGCAACGAAGAATTTTATGGGAGGCCAAAACAAGGATAGAACTTTTTTGTTCTGTGCGGGTTGACAAAAACGCAGAGTAAACTTGGGCTGTACAACTCGTTAGAGATGAAATATGCGTTTTGACAATTCCTTCTAGATTGAGTTCAAAGGAGTGTTTGTTCAGACCACAAAATAGTTCCCAATAGCAATTGATGTTGAGACTTTTGTTTTAAAGATGTTGATCAACAAGATGGATCCTTGAATAATTTCAATGAAAATACGTCATCATATATCACACTGTGCAAGAACACACAAGTTTCATATATATCATATGGACATGAGCATGATTGTTACTTTTTGGTAGGAATTGAAATACTAGCATTGTTCCCTAACAAGCAATAAGGCATTTTGAAACGAAGATTTCTTGTCAATATCAATACTGAATTCGAACAGAGCTTGAGTTATCTTGTATCTCCACACAGTTTGGTGACTGTCCAATTAAAGAAAAAAAACAAAAGAAGAACTGAGTTTTACAATAATGAGTTTTCGAGTAGCGATTTCATTGGTGAAAACAAATGTAGAAGTTGTACGGATCTGTCCATGGCGATCACAGAAAATAAGTGAAGATGATGGACTGTTGTCAGTTATCATCTTTCTATTGGAGCTTGAAAAGAGCAAACTCTTGGAAGGATTACAGTAATCATTGTATACTGTAGAGGGAGACGAATCCACAATAATTCATCCACTGAAGGGCATTTGTGTCAAAGATATTTCATCCTTAATTCTTCTCAAATGAGATCACAATGAGATCTGAGAAGTTCATCTTGCTCTCTTCGTAGTCAAGTTCTTCTCCGCGGTAAAACAAACTTTTGCGTAAGAGTTTGTGAAATCTCTCAATTCGACCCGTGACACATGTCTGAACCAAAAACGTGGAATTATTATGTGAAGTGCATACTCGCCATTCTTTGGTTGCATAATTCATTCCAATCATGGATGGAGGAAAATATTCCAAGTTCTTTTGTTGGACAATTTTTTGCATGTAAGGCGAAGGTGTTGTACTGTGTAAATTGACCTTGACAGGAACTACAACTCCATTGGCAAACACTCCAATTCCTAATTGTCCAAAACATGCCAGACCTTATTGTGTTAAAGATTCATTCGTTAGATTTAAATGGCCAATGAAATTATAGTTGTGTTTGGTGCCAATCAATCAAACAATCACACACTCCTAAACTTACCACATACATATACATCCGAGCAAATGGTTACAAAGGCAGAATGATAAGGTCCACATGCAATGTCTTTGACATGATCATAATACGTTGGTAATTCCTCGTATGGCCATTTGATACTTGTGAGAGTTTTTTGAGAGGATTCCTTTCGATCCCAAATCCACATTTGTGCGAAAAATTCATTTCTTTCTGGAATATATCTCGTTCTTACATCTCCCATTCCAAGTTGTCCACTTTCATTATTACCAACTCCATACACAAAATGAGTGTTTGTGAGTAATAAGGTATGAGAACTGCCACATGCAATTTTTGATATTTTTACCTTGTCAAGTCCTTTCATTAATGTTGGTTTTGAAACATCCTTGATAGTGGATACTCCTGTTCCACACTGTCCTTGTGCATTTCTTCCAAATGCATAGACATTTCCTGATGATGTCAATACACAGGTAAAATTTTGTCCACATTTTACATCCACAAACTGCTCATCCTCCACACCAAGAGTAGGTTTTTTTTCGCTACTACTACTACTGTTGTTGATGCATTCCATGAGTGTTATTAATTTGCAGTGAAAAATATTACTTCCATTATTGTTGAAAGTTCCACAATACAAGAGTGTGTTCACGTTTGACGAGTTCGCATCTTGACCAGCCAGAAAAGCAGTATGATAGGAACCACAGCTTGTTTTCACAATGTGATAATTGGTAGGAACTATTTCCCATTTTGGTACGTCATTAAAATTACCAGTTCCACACTGACCATTCTTGTTACGTCCTGGTGATTAATGTCACATATTATTAATTATTGAAATATACAGATCATTTAGCAAAAACTATTAAGATTCAGCTCGATGGAAAGCAAAACCTACCACATGCCATGGCCATACCATTCGACAAGACAATCACTGAATGTTCAAAACCTGTTGAAGAATCGACAATGAATGCTCGTTGGTCCTTTGTTTTTGGTAAATTTAGAAAATCATTCTCAACTTTTTGGAGTGTTGATATTAAATTATCGTTCGACCATGAATATAATAAGGTGTGACTGTTAGAGGAGGTAGTTTGTTGTGACGCATTGTTGTTGATTTGAAAGCCCACTCCTACTGCTCTCCCACACATGTAAATGTCACTTGTCACATCATTGGCATCAGATACGCTGCTCGTCGTGATCAAAGTAAATGATGAATTTGAAATATTTTCCACTCGACAATATTGTCCATGGTGCTTTGGTTCATTATTTCTATTCAATCGGGTTGAGAATACTGTCTGAAACGATGTAAAGTGTTGTAAATGTGGCGAACCAGTACTCGGAAAATCATGAACTTTACAATTTTTCACATAATCCAAATGCGAGAGTGATCGGGCTGTTAATTGAAGTGAATAATTTTCTCCAGCAGCATACACCACGTCTTCATACGAATTTATGTGCTTGGTTTTCTGTGGATGAAGATTGGATGTAATGACGGATGAAGTTTTGGCAATGACATTTTCTGACATTTTTTGAAATGAAAAATACTGAACTTGTGAACTTGTGTTCGTATCTCTTGCAAAAAGAACCTCAACTTCAGTAATACCCTCTCTTATTAATGACAGAGGCAACATAAACCCAAACACTCATCACTCCATTGGCATATGGTTCAACATAGACAGCGAGAGCAAATTTCACATCATTTTCATAGGTATCATAAACCATGGTGTTTCGAACTTCTGTGACAATTTCCTTAATATCTTTGAAAGCAAAATTGAGTGGAAATCCATTAATGGCACTCGACTCGTTCACAATAGCAAGAGCTTGTTGTTGATTTTCTTCACTTAGAGGTTGATCCAATTTTTTGCTTGATTCAAAACTTTGAAGAAGATCCTTAAATGTCTTGCTTAATGAATTATCCCAAATGGTTGCCTTATGACGCCATTTTGAAAAACCTTCCTCAATAGCTCGTCTAATATCTTGTTCCAATCGAATGGCTTGATCGTTCGAAGTCTTGGTATACAGTAATTTCTTGTATTGGATTTTTCCTTTAGGATCTGATGCTTCCTTGGCAATCATCTTGTTTGCATCTCGTGTTGGATGATACAATGGATAGAATTGTGAAACATCATTCAGATCAAATTTCATCGTTGAAGGTTGAACTTTCTTTTGGACATTCACCCAAACATTATGTTGTGAAAAGATGGTGTGAATTTCTTGAAGAGGGCACAATGGATCGTCCACCGAATATTTCTCACCGGTAACTGGATTCCAAAGCCACAAACATTTTCTATTGTCTTGATAGGAATGAGATGAGTTTTGAGAAGCAGCGTTGTTTTCCACTGTTAAAACATAGGCAGTCTCACCTTCAGGAACTCCTTTTCCAAGTACTACAAATGCCAATCTTCCAATGCTCAACAAGTAATTACACAAGAGGATGGCATGCTCTTCCCAATCTCCTGCTTTAGTATCCAAAAACTCTTGAGATCCTACCCATGTATCATTAGCTCCATACGCAAGAGAATCATCGACCATTGGAATTAGTGATACAAATCTTGCGAGCTCTGCAGCTGTTTGCAACTCAGTAGGTGGATCCTGTGGAGTAATATATCGAGTAATAAGAGTAGCTTTGCCTTCAATATTAGGAACCAGACATTTCACAGTTCTTGAGCCCACATGTTTGGTCTTTTTCACTACTTTCATCCACCATTGACAATATGAGTAAACTTCTGGTCCTTCTCCTGTCACAACAAAGTCTTCAACCTTTTCAGGTGTTGGAAGAGGAGGGTCCAAAGTAATACACACTGTAAGGGCAGAGTAGGCGTTTGCATCATTCACAGACTTGCTATAGCCCAAGTACAATGGTGGTGTTTTCAATCTAAATGTACCGACAATTTTTCCATTCTGGAAGAGTGTTGAGAAAGGTACAGAATAGGAACCTAGCCACTTAAATTCAGCTCGTTGATTGATGGCATTGTAGTCTCGCTCGTCTTTTAATCCTTCAACCGTAATTTCATCAAAAACATCAAAGTAAATTTCCTTATCTATTAATTTCAAAGCTTCAGTGCTATAATCATTGTTGGGTGTTTGTAAATTTAGTGTTAATGTCTGATTATACTGAGGAAAAGGTCCTTCCACAGATTTAGTTCTCTGCATTTCTCCATCAAAAGTTACTGCCACAAATGATAAGAGACGCTATTTAAGAATAGTTTCAAATTATTTGTACATCTCACACAACATTGGTACAAGATACTTACATCTGGTAAAGTTTGTTCTTGATTGGCTCTTGACATGGTAATATAATTAATGGTTTCCTTATTTCCACCAGAAGTAGCTTGATCGTGCTCGTAAATACTTGTAGCACCATTTTCTTGCATACGATTTGCCATTTGCATTTCCAGACCCAATTCACTTGCATTCTTGAGCCGTTCTTGTCTGTACGTTCTGTATGTTTCGTTGTTACTATCTTTTCGAACTGGAAAATTGTATCCCCTTGTAATTTGAACCAAAATATTGCAAGAAGTAATTTCGGAAAGAGGAGGAACTTGTTTTTGTTTGCGTTTTGGATTTAGTGGTCTATATTCCTCAAATAATTCTAAAATGGCATCTATGGAATGATGGAAGGAAGGAAGGGGTGGTTCTTTGACAAATTGTGAAACACTGTGTGATAATTGTGTTAAAACGTCCAATCATTATGTGAATCCAATACTTACTCGACATTTGTCTTAACCAAACGCTTTGCCTTTCTGAGTATTGAATTATTTGCGTGCCTTCTGACCTGATTAATGTAGGATGATAATTTTGCTTCGGTTGAAAGAGATTTGATAATCTTTTCTTCATAGCTTTTAACAACCCTTGGTTGTATTTGATCGAGATCGAGTGGTATCAATGGTAGAGGTACCTTTCCTTTCACTTCGTCTCGCAACTTTAACAAGTGCAACCTTCTTTGATATGCTGAATTATTAAAATCGTCAAAGAAGAACAGTTCATCCTCTTGTTCAGCAAGATAAAAACCTTTGCTTGATAAATCATCTCTATCCAACTCGTTTAACATGGAAAGGAGTCCTGTATTTCTTGGATCATTGGGATCAATATTGTTTGACTCCATCCATGATGTAATTTGTTTGAGGTTAAGTAAATCTCTTGCAGTGGGTAAATCCGTTCGTTTCTTTTCGACCGGAGGTTTTGGTGCCTCAATCATTCTATCTGCCGATGGTTTCACCCAAGCAATGGACATTTTCACAAGTCCACTTGTATGACGTGTTGGTTTTGGTAAAGATTTAAAGAGTGGTGTAAATAGAGACAAAGGAAAAGCTCCAAGTGCTTGCAATTCCCAAACAGGAGAATGAGCCGTGGGTGAGGTGAAATTAAGAGTCTTCATGTTGTCCATCTCGACCTTTCCTGATCTCTCCAAACCTGGTACAGGAACAAAAACTTGTGAAACAGTCCTATCCAACCATCCGGATTGCATTACTTCTAAGCTGATAGATTCTGGCCACTTGAAAACACTCACCGATACAATCTCATTAAAGTTAACAGTAAAGTCAGATCTTAATTGTTGACTCGTGGTTTTGCAAACGTAATTGCCGTTCACTAAAACGTTTACATGATATGAGAGTTGGCTGAGTTGATTTCTTCGTTCAATCTCGGTCTATGTTTATACAATATATTCAAAAACACAATGTTTTACGAAAATAAACCTACCGGTGGAAGCTCTGATTCTTTTGTGATTTCAGTTTTTAAAATTTCAGGAATAATAATAGATTCACCAGGATATCTTCTGTGCATTCCCATTCGTTCAATAATGCGCTTCCTTTCACTCTCCTTATCAAAAACTGGGAGTTTAGGTGGATCTTTCTTTGACGCAACTAAGAACAGTGACGAGTAGTCTTGTTCTCCAATTGATATTAGCTGCTCCCTATATTCAATTACCTGTTGAATGTATTTCCATTGCAGATCCTCTTCCATCTCTATTAACTCTTGTTCGATATTGTATTGCATGACGAAACTATCATCTTCTTTGTTTGTTTCTACTGTTCTGAACCCCATTTTTAAATTTGTGACCGTGTATCGGTGGTTTGACCTTATTTTACAAAGTACATCCCAATTACTAATCATACTATTTACAAGCGTGATTTCCTTAAACTCTTCATTTTCCTGGAAAGTATGTCAACATTGATCAAAATTGTTCACATTTAACATACCATAGCTGTTCGAGCCTGTTTGATTTCCGAACGCAATACAGACATTTCACGTTCAATCTCTTTCACTTCCTTTGTTAAATAACTTAATTCATCAAGTGGGTTTGTTTTCTTAATTGCTTTATCCTTCTTTCCTCGTAGTCTATCCAATTCTGTTTGCAATGCCTAAATCGACAGGAGTAAGTTTGTTTCTTCTTGGATAAAACAAAGGATACCTACCAATATTTTCTTCTGATAATAATCAAATTTGTCAGCAGTCTTCAGCTCTTGATATCTATCAAAGGCATCAAGAATTTTTCTTGTGACAATTTCTTCTTCAGTCATGAGTGGATGATCGTCAAAAATAATCTCTCGTATGTCAATGTCGATTTTGAAGTGTTTTGAAGCTGTAGTTGAACGCAAACTCTTAGTAGGTATGGTTCTCTTAAGACCTATCGCATTATTATCTTTCAAGTCAAAATCAAACTCTCCTGGTTTGGTAAATACATTATTAGTAGGATCTAGCTGTACAATTAATTGCCCGTTTTCGTCAAAAAATTTCGAAATTCCATCTTGTTCTCGCATTAATCGATGCTCCAACAAATGTTGACCTTGTTCAAGAAGAAAGGGCTTCTTGTCAGAGAATATTCCTTCCTCTTGTGGGTCAAAATATCGATAAATTGTCGAGTATTCCTGTGACAGTTTTTCAATTTTTTGTCTCAACTTTTCTGACATGGTTTTACATTCTTCTGCTTCTTTGGTTTTTTGTCGTGATAAATAAATTTCGTGTAATTTGTTGAGCTCGTTCACTCTAATTTCCATTTGTTTTTTGACACCCTCCACTACAGGCCTTACTTCCGAAACAAAAGTCATGTGCTCGAGAAAATCTTTTTTTCTATTTTCTTTTTTGATGATTATCGGATCCTTTCGTTCTGCCAATTTAACATCATCTTGTTTTTCCTTTTCCAATAATAATTTGGCCACAAGATTGTTATCTTCTTCTTTGTTATCATCAATATTTGTTTCTTGGTTGTCTTGATTATTATTCAAAGGATTGGATGCATGAAGCAGCGAATTACCGCCCTCCACATTGCTTGCGGTTGATGTAACATGTTCTTCGTTGGTCTCGTGATGAGCCAGGCTTTGCAGATGCGAATCATTTTTAATGTTGTCTTCGTCTTCAGCACTGTCGAAGAGTTGTCTTCTCGCACGACGATTTTTTCTCTTTTTCCTTCGCGTGGTGTCCTGTTCGTCCATATTGTCACCTGTATTATCTTCCTTACTTCTTGATGGTTGGTTGACAAAATGATCTTGATTCATTTCTGTACTCTTCAAAGGAGACTGTTCTCGCTTTCCTTCATCTCCTGCAATAACTTCCCGTGGTGATGGTTTTGATGAGGATGGTCGACCCGATCCTGGTCTATTATTATAACCGAAAGACGATGATAATGAAGCTTGTTGCGTTTTTTGAAGAGAATGTGGTTGTTGATCTTCAAACACTTCGTCTACTTCTTCCAACATTTTTTTATTTGTGAATTTTTGTATTTCATTGGCGGGTTGAAATACAAAAATGGTTTATTGTTATTGTGGAGAAGTTCAAAGAGTATTGAGGGTTGAAATGGAATTTGTTTGTTTATATGAAAGAATGGTTTTGGCAAATATTCAACTTAGAGCAATTCTGGGTCGTAGTGGAATTCTTCAACACCGGTCGATTCTGTTCATAGATGGACAATTCCGACAGGCATAGCATATGCAACAATGTGTTTGATAATTAATCGATGGTTTTTAAATTAATCCAATTCAATGAGTATATGATGAGATGATTTTAAAAGTGTTCGTATTATCAAAATCATTCGGGTTGTAATTTTGTCATCAAGAATAATATCCATTCATCATCAATAATCATCGACAATGACGATTATGACGAAGAGTCGGTCATCCTGTGTCATTTCTACACACATCATCATATACTTACTTGTACCTAACAGCGATGAGATAAATCCATGAATAGGCTCACTCACATAAGGAGCAATACTAACAACAGCACATCCGATGATAAAGTATACAAGCTTTCTCTTCATTTCGTTCGTAGCCTTTCTCTTTGGAGGTGGCTGAGGTTTACCTCTTCCGAATGGTGAAAACATTTTTTTGAAGGAGGAAAATGTTCTCTCAAGCCAGCAATTTTCCAATCAATTTGAATCACTTCACAACAAAAGTGAACATGATGACAAATACGTTAATTAAATATTTGAAACATATTCCAAGCTATGACCACCAACTTGATATCTTTTCACAACCGTCCTGTTTGTGAATACATTACTATGTGTTTTTGAAAGATTGACAGCTTTCTTCTTTAAGACATCCGCTCGCATAAACCCAAATAAATCGCTTACAAGGTATTTTTGAGAGAACAAAAATTTGCGAGTCAACCACGTGAAAGCCTTTTTGCTTGTGTGCGGATGCACCTGGTCGTCAACTAGACAGCATTGCAAATAATAACAACAACAACAACTGGAAACTTCTTAAAAGAATAGTTCTTCGGATCTAGTCTTCAATTCATTGATCAATTTAAAAATTATTACAAATGGGATTGAAACCCTCTAGACCAAGTTGGGATATCCCTGAGGACGATGATGATGATACATCCACCACTGAAGAGGAAGAAACAACAAGCCTTCAACAACCTGTTTCTAAAAAAAGAGATCATCCTTCCTCTCAACAACACCAACAACATTATGTACAAAACAAAAAGAATAATTATCAATCCACCTCCCAAACTTTCGTCGGCGGTGCTACTGGAATACCTATCAACAAGTCAAGTAGCGCAAAATCTTCATCATCACCATCATTAAAATCATCAGCGCCATCCTATGCGTCAGATTCATCGGTACTTTCTTCTCACCCCAGTTCACGAAATGGTGGTGGCAAGTCATATTCGAGTACAAGCACGAGCGTGAGCTCATCGAAATTTTCCACATCCTCTTCTGCATCGCCTTCCTCTCTTTTCATGGCACCCTTCTTGAAATCGAGGACAACATCATCATCGTTACTAGAGTTTGACAGTACAGTAACAGACAATATTGGTTTCTCCTGTAAAGATCAATCGAGTCATGAAATGACAACACTCGAGACATACTTTAAATATTTTGGATGTCAGTTTGTGGACTATATTGGGCGAGGCACTTTTGCTCATTGTTTTAAGGTGGTTTATCAGGAGAAAGACATGACGCCACCTCCACCTCCTTCAGCGAATAACAGCAACAAATCACAACAACGCAAAGATATTCATCACTTATCTCAACAAGAGTATTCTTGTTTGAAATTAGTGGAAATTTCTAATAATCCAAAAATTGAAGAGCGACTGAAACAAGAAATACAAATATTACGAGTTTGCGACAATTGTAAATATATCACCAAGTTACTGATCGACTATCGACTAATTGATACTAAACTGGACTATAAGAACATTATGAAAGGAAGAAATTGGATTGTCCAAATACTCGAATATGGAGATTCTATTATGAAGGTATTGAAAGATTATGAAAGTCAGAATAGAACAGTGTCATATTTTACGTTAGGAGAACTTTATGCATATTTTACTCAAGCAATCGAGTGCTTGTATGAGTTACACGAAGTTTATCATATTATTCACCGAGATGTCAAGTTGACCAATATTTTATTGAAATCCGTGATGCATGCACGATATAATGAACAAATGTATCGTTTCATGTTGTGCGATTTTAATGTCAGTATGTTTGACAAAGATGAAAGGAAAGGCACTTCAAATACAACCTCCAAGAAGTCACTTGTTGGAACTTCAATATTCGTTCCAAATGAGGTTATTTTCACAGGTGACTATACCAATAAGGTGGACATGTACTCGATGGGAGTTGTATTCATTCTATTGTTCGGAATGGTTGGAGGCGACTCTGATTTTCTTGAAAGGTTTTATTGCAACGACATACTTGGACCATTGCGAAGCGACAAGAAGTCTGCATATTCCAACTCGTTCTATGGAAATCAGTCAGTGTATTCCAATACCTCGTTATCCTCTTTTGCTAATCATACTAATCAAATTCAACCTGAGAGTGCTCCTATTGAATTGAACTCTATTCTTGAAAGGATATCATCAAAATATTATTTAAATATCCCACTAATTGGTAACTTACTTTTGGACATGACCAAATACTTTAATGAAAGACCATCAAGCAAGGAAATGTATGAAACTAACATGGATTACAACTATCTTTACTACATTGTAAATGGATTTGTCAACACAAATGAGCTGGATCTACTCTTACAATCATGTCCTAAATACGTACAAGAGAGCGAAAATATTGTCAAGTACATTATCCTCACCATTAGCCAAATCTCTTCCTCTACCTGCTATGACATTGATATTATTTGTAATTGCTTGAAACTTTTGAAATCTCGAGAATGTTCGCGTGAGCTATGTAACGTGATACTGAAATGGATTCTACAATGTGACATGACCGAGAAGAAACAATTAGCATTCATGAATCAAGTAATTGAACTCATGAATAGTTTTGAGGAATCATCCAAACGAAACGCCATTGTTCATGGCATCATTTACAACGAACATCTCCGAAACAATTCCTCTCTGCCTCCTCGTATTGAATCTCTTCATTATTTCATTAAGGAATTATGTCATAACGACAATGAAAAGGTTCTGCAATATATCCAAGAGTTTAACACAGAATTGTCAAAAACAACACAAGATCCTTCCATCACTAACCTGCTCGATACTTTTATTCAACATCACAATCAGGTTGTATGTGACAATCGATAGTTGTCTGGTACCACTTTCGAGTCTCGAACTCTCTTTTGGCAATTCAAACAAGTTCAACGATGGATACATTCTCACGAATCGATCTGAGTGGTTAGCCAACAACATTGGTCATATGTCAATGAAGAATGAAAATGTTAACACAATTCCCACAGTCTGCAGACCGAAAAATTTCGTTTTTGGAATTAAAAATAAAAAAAAAATGCCAACCGCAAAACGCAAACAAATCAAATCATCATCGGAAGGAAATAAAAGAAAGGCAACTTCATCTTCGGAAGACAAGTCCGAGTCGAACACTGATGCTTCATCACCCATAAAACCATCAAGAGATGATGGTGTGTGCTTGGAGAAGCCTTCCATCAGCGAGATTTTGTCCAATTTTCTGATGGTGAATTATGATCACTTGCAGGATGAAACAAAAAGACAAGCAACCAATGTATGCAAAGTGATATTGAAGCATATTCAAGAAGAAGGAGCTCCAGAGCCTTCAGAATCTGAAGTGAAATATGCAGAAGTGTATAACAAATATGTGAAAATGGAGAACAAGTCAATGTATAACATTTATGATTTATTTGGAAGAAGCCTTTTAGAAAAACAATTCGACACCATTTGTGGAATTATTACTAAGGATTATTTATTTAAAGGGTTCAACTCAGAAAGCTTAATTGAACTTCTGAAAAAAGAAATGGCTGACTCAACATCAATAATTTTTAGACCTGACTTTGACGATTTATATTGTGGAGTTGATCAAACAGAAAAGTCTTCTAAGAGATCTAAAAAAGCAGGGAAAACTCCAGCTGCAATGAGATCAAAAGAACAAGCATCAACTACTCCAGAAATTATATCGGATGAAAGAACGTCAAAGGTTCTCATGACCACCATCTCTGATGAAATTCTTGGCCCAGAATCCTCTCATTCATCACTCAAAAAAGAAACAGTGAGTTCAGATATTCTGCAATTTGAAGTAGTTTACAATGACGGTAGTATTGAAAGTTTAGAGAAATTGTTAGCGGCCAAAAACATCTTTGGTAAGCAGCTACCTAAAATGCCCAAAGACTACATAGCGAGACTAGTTTTTGATAGAAGTCACAGAGCAATTCTTGGATCTAAGGAAGGGAAAATTGTTGGAGGCATTAGCTTCAGACCATTTTTCACTCAAGGTTTTGCAGAAATTGCATTTTGCGCTGTCACAGGTAACGAGCAAGTCAAAGGTTACGGTACAAGACTCATGAACCATCTCAAAGACTATAGCCAATCCATTGGTGTATTCCGATTCTTAACCTATGCAGATAACTACGCCATTGGTTACTTTAAAAAACAAGGTTTCACAAAAGACATCTCGCTGGACGAGAAAAGATATAAGGGCTACATCAAAGATTATGACGGAGGCACTCTCATGGAATGTGTGATTCGAGCAGATATTAACTACTTGGATGTACCTCTAATGCTGAGAAAACAAATCGCAGCTGTAAATCAAAAGTTAGACACCATTTGCAACTCCAACATTATTCATCCAGGACTATCTGTGTTCAAGAAGGGAGAAAAGATTTCGAATCTTAGAGACATTCCTGGATTGGCTGAGAGCAATCACGTGATAGATCCAAAGGCCTCTCAGCTTCAAAATATCATGCGAGAAGTGTTAGAAAAGGTAAAGAAAAACGAGTATTCCTGGCCATTTCTGGTACCTGTGGATGCAAATGAGGTTCCAGATTACTATGATGTTATTAAGAATCCAATGGATCTGTCTTCGATCGAGCAACGATTGAATAGTGGATATTATAGAACTAAGGACATTTTTGTGTCAGATTTTAGGCTCATATTTGACAATTGTCGAACTTATAATGCAGAAACCACTGAATACTATGAATGTGCAAACAAATTGGAAGAATATTTCAAGTCCTTACTGAAAGGTGCTCTCGGCAAGTAATAGTTGAACGGTGGAGCTTGTGTAAATATGTCTCCAATAACAAATACAACTTGAAGACTATTAATTTCGAATCAATGAATTTCAAATGGTTGATAAAAAACGAATGTGTTTTACATCAATAGTTCTTGTCATAACAATTTAAAAACTGCTTGACTTGAATGAAAGTTGTAACTCCAACTCTCTAATGGTTCTTTCAAGACTCTCCTTTTCTCTCTTGACCTTATCAGTCTCAAATTCAGCCTTTGTGAGTTTTTCTTTCCATTGACGAATTTCGTCACGCAATTGATTTTGTTGAATCTTCAATTCGTTGGAACGTTGTTCTTCAGCTTCAGCCTTCTTCTCAGCCTTTTGAACTTCACGATCGGCCTTCTTAACCTCTCTCTTCATGGAGCTCAATTCTTGTTGCAATTGTTCAATCTTGGCATTGGCACTAGCAAGATCTTCTTCAACCTTTCTCTTTTGATTTTCAACATTGAGCACGTTTTGTCTCTCTTGTTCAAGCTTGTACTTCATATCAGTAATATCCTTTCTAATTTGCTTCATACGATTGTCAATATTAGTTCGTTCATCAAGCTCAACCTTTAACTTTCTTGATTCTTGTTCCTTTTCCAACTCAACTTCCTTAATACGTAATTCGAGACGATGAACTTGGTCACGAGCATCTTCAACTTCATGATGCAATGAGTCACGTTCAGCTTTGAGTTCCTTAATTTCTTGATTGAGTAACTTTCTATTTCTCTTTTCCTTTTCAAAGAAGTTCTTGAGTGATTGCAATTCAAGCTCACTGTTGGTACTAACAGTTTGAGCTGTCTTGAATTGAGAAGTGACAGTTGCTAATTGTCTCTTCAAATCAGAAACGTCACCTTCCAATCTAAGTTTATCTTCCATTTCACTATTCTTCTCAGCTTGAACCTTTTCAATGGTTCTTTGCAATTTTTGAATTTCCTTATTCAATTGCTTTTCTCCTTGTTGTTGATCTCTCAATTGTCTTTCCAAATCTGAAATTTGTTCTTGTAACTTGCGATTTTCATTGTACAAATTGGACTTTTCAATTTCAACCTTGTGACGAGCTTCATATTCCAAATCCTTTTCTTGTTTGGCAACCATTTTCACTTCTTCAATTTCTGAATGAGTACGTTTCAAATCATGCATGAACTTTTGAAGTTCATTTTCCAACTCCATTTCACGTCTCTTTAAACGTTCCTTATCCAATTGTTCTTGTTTTACATTTTCCTTTAATTGTTCAATCTTGTCTCTCAATTCATTCAATCGTTCAGCATTGGCATACGAGGCAGCAGAGGACTTTTTCACAACAGCACTTTCAGAATCTTCATTGTCACTGTCACTGTCATCAAAACTCCAATCTTTCTTGGAGCTCAAAACATCTCTCGAATTATTTTCAACACGTGACTCGAATGGAGTCATTGCACGACTACTGGAAGTTGAAACTGGACTACTCTCAGCTGCAACATAGGATCTGTCTCTGTGTGAAGTTGAAATTGCAGTTTCATCTTCATCATTTCTAGAAGTCAGTGAAGTTACGACTTCCTTATTATCTTCAGTATTTGTTTCAGAGAGTGATTGTTCTTCACCTCCTGCAGTTGCAGTTGTGGAAAGTTCAGGAGCTGCAGATTCTGACAAATTCGAAGCATCTCCTCCGACAGAGGAATTGATGGCTGCAGTTACTTCCAAAACCACTTCATTGTTGGAAGAAGCAGATTCTAAATTTTGTTGCAATAATTGTTTGTCTTGTTCAGTCAATTCATTTTCTGTCACAGTTGGAAGAGTGACCGATGGTTCTTCAGTGACAGTGGATGCTTCTGCTGGTACTGGTTGTTCTTCTTGTGGTGCTTGATTCTCTGTACTTTCTGGTTGTTCTTGAGAGGCAGGTTGTTCTTCAGAAGCTCCTCCTTCAGTGGAGGCTGCTCCTTGTTGTGCACCTTCTCCACTCGATTGTCCTTCTTTGAAGAATTTATAGACAGCTGACAAATAAGTGACAATGGATCGTTCATCGGGTTTTTCTTCATTGACATCTTCTGGATCTAACAAACGTGGAATACCTAATTGTTCTGCTTGATCGAAAGCCCATTGAAGTCTTTCGATACGACCAAAATCATCTTGAATGGTCTTGAAGGTGAGACCCATGTTTTGCAAGAGCTCTGGACGTTGCTATTTTGAAATTGTGTGAAAAGAAGATTGAACAAGACGGTTGTATATAAATTCATCCATCATCATTGAAAAAGGAGATTCAGTGTGTGTGAAAAGTTGTCATTGTCATACAATCATATCCATTTTTCATCAATGAAAGAGTGTGTGCGTGTGTTCAAGAAGTATATCATTGATGAGCATTGTGGATCATGGTTTTTACAAAAAATTTTTCACATTTCCATTGGTCCAGTATGTGTGTGTGTGAAAATATGTATACATATGCCCACAAACAAATTCGAATTTTAAAAGTACCATTCATTCATTCATATTTTCAACATTATCGTTTTGCCAAAAATGGAATAACATCATCATACGACCATGGTCATACAATCATCATCAACAACCATGAAAAAACTTACACTATCAATGATGGCAGCAAATGCCAAACCATCAGCAAAGGAAGTGGTAAAGTTCTTAATTTCAATACCACGATCTTGGGTAACTTTTTGACACCATTGAAGAATGGCTCCCTTTCCACGCTTTGTTGACATTTTGATGATGATTTGAGAGAGTGTGTTGGTGTTGCTGAATTTTTTTTTGATTTTTGACGGCTGCACATTTTTGAATTTGACGAGTGAAAGATAACACGAGTTGATGGGTGCTGGACAATTTGGACGGCTGCTGTTGATATAGATAAAACTGTTGAATTCTAAGGGAAATAATGTTAATCAATGATTTCCATTAAACATCTTATTATTAATCAAGTTATTCACTAGGTGTGATGCTTATATAGTTGTTGTTCAGCACGTTCCGTTTGTCTCTATTCAAAGAGGAGTTAGGAAAAGACCTTGGTCTCATTTATTTTTACTGTCCCTTAATCCCGCTTCTCATGGACCCGCAACCCTCTTCGCAAAGTTGACGCTTTTGCGTTAAAAAAACAACGCAAAAATTGCGCACCTGCAAAAAAAAAAAATTTCGAAACAAAGCAAGGTTTATTTTTCATCACGGCTTCATTAAATATATTGATTTACGTTCTTGTGCATCGGAATGAAATAACTCTTCCCCTTTCTAGTAACAGTAACACAAGGAACCAGAGGCTCTTTGTAGGACACTTCAATCACAGACCTGTCTGACAAATTCTGCAAAGTCACTGTGGAATCCGTGAATGATTTGATCTTGAAGTATTTTGCAGGAGTACAAGAAGTATCAGCCACAACATCTCTCTCTTTCTTCAATACGAAATGACCACACACACATTCCGAAGGTTTGAGTTCACTTAAACCAAATATATCGCATAACTGCGCCATATCAAAAAACATAATAGAATACCTTGCAGAATTTGATGAAATGAACGGCTTGGTCAATGTGAAGTTTAGATTTTCCCCAACAAAGGCTGTATTATGTGCCAATGGACCATATAGGCTTGCATTTCGCACCATATCACTAGCTACATGGAAGTTCATTGTAGCCTTTGCAATGCCTACCATCTCTTGATAATCCTCCAAAATACCTCTTAATTCCTCATTAATTGAATTCAAATCAGCTATATTAATGGCATCTGTTAACTTGTCAATTACAACAACCATTCTCTTAATAATTTTATACTTCAACTCAATCATACTGAAATTCTTAACATCCTGAAGTAGATCTAGACAATAGTGAATAATCATATATATCTCCATTGCCTTAAGGTGTACTAAATTTTTGGAAACTGATCTCGGGTGTCTATGTAAGAACGAAGGAAATTTTTGCTTGAGATATTCCTTGTCGAACTCGTCCCAATATTGAAGTGGAATCATCTCCATCATGTCACGCATAATTCTTTCATACAAGTTATGCATTGAATCATAGGAGCATATTGTAGTGGGAGTTGGTTTTCAACTCTGGTCTAATATTGGAGAATATCCACGAACACCCCATGACAACTCTTTTCCCGAAACATTATTCCAAAAATGTCGATCTCTCAAACCAAAAACAATTCGTTGATTGCTAGAAATGTCTCTCCTAAGTGGATATCTAACTTGAGTAGTTTCTCCTGATAACTGAACAGGTTTCCCTCGAATCTTGCATAAATGGCAAAAATAATACCCTGATTTTTGAAATAAGAGAATTTCAGACCTTGCAGGTAAGTCAGCAATTACTCTTTCTAATCTCAATGATATTTGTTTAAATTGATCATTGAACACATTCAAATCATCCATCATGATTTTCAAACACAAATTGATTTCTTCTTGAGATGGTTTGTTAGGAAATAGTAGCCACAAAAAGTTATTCTTGCGCTTCTTTCTTACATTTGGTTTCATCTTATTGAATGTGATAGAGAATTCGTAAAAGCTTTGCTGACTAGATTTAAACGGAGCAACACCGTCACCAAATAACGTCATAGTTTTTCCTCCTTCATCTACGAATTTTTTGTGAATGTTTTTGTAGATGTCTCCGTCACAGCGATCTTGGATAAGTTGGGGATCACGATTATCAAGTTTAAATTGATCCAAAAATTGTGGCTCTCTGAATATCCTTTCCTCGAATTGGAATTTTAATGGGCGTAAAAAGCAATGAGTTTTGATATCTTTCCATAATTTCCCACATTTAGGACAGGATTTTTGGTCTGGATTTTTTTGATACGTCTGACAATCAGTGCACATTGGAATTTTCTTTGTCTTTGAAGACAAAAGGAAATACTTATAGAACCCTGTTAATGTCAGCTTATCTGAAAGTTCTTGTTTATCACTCTCATGAATGAGTTGAATGGCTTCTCGAATTAGATTCAAAACCATTTTGAGACAATTTTCAGAGAGAGAACTTGTTACTGCAAACTTGAGAATTTTTTTCATCAACGTATCAACATTTACATTAACATTATCATTCACAATGCTTGAAAATGAATGGGAAGAGAGAACTTCTTCATCATCCGTTCAAATCTCAAAGTTGGAGATTTAGTTGAAATTATTGAAAAGGGAGAGAATTGTTACTACAAGATTGGTAAAGGAAGAGTTCAATCACTCACTTCAACTAATTGCAGTTTAAATGACATTATATTTCACGTTCCATCCTTCGTTCAAGATCAAAAGAAGACGATTTTGATATTTCATGCCTTTCATTAATTGAAGATCGAACCAATCATGCTCCTATGATTCAAAATGCTTTTTCTACGGTTCAGCAAGGATGTACTCCCGTCTCCTTATTTTCCATGAATTATGACACTGAAGTCGATGATGACAAGATTGATGACAATGAAGTTCTCTCTATAACTCCACCGGAAATTTCGGATTCAAGAACAAACTCAAATTCAAATGTTGAAGAGAGTGATTCTCCTTTGCAAAATGAGCCCAAGTCTACGGAACCTACTGATCATAAGAATTTCGCTAGTGATATCTTTTTCCTTCAGCAAGTCAAAGACCTCAGAGAGAAAAACGAGGCCTTATCATTGGAAAACAAACAGCTAAAAGAATTAATCATCAAATTGAATAAGCCATTGAACGCATTAATTGCTCTTCAATTACAATACCCGAATATTCTTCCAAGCAAAACAATTTCTGTCACATATCGTGCTAATGTGAAACAAATACCCCCAAATTTGGTGTCAAGAATTATCAACAGCAACAAGACGGCTCGGCTTGGCATTGTTAGCAATTATTTGTTTGATAAGGGTTATGTTCTTTTGAAAGATGATCAGAAAGATATTGTAATTGATTGCATTTTAGAATGTACTGAAGTGCCATTGGATAAGTGGAAAGCGGAACGAATATTATTGATGAATTTAAGTCGAACTTTAAAACACAACGCATCAAAGAAAGAGCAAGCAATCTTGTAAAATCTTGAATTACATAAAAAATTTGTTTTATAAAAAAATTCTCAAAAGCTTGTAGCAGCTTCCACGTTCAACAATCACATTCATTCATCAACAGATGCCGCTTGTTCATCTTATACGCTGCTAGAGCTTGCTTTGCGTAAGTGTACGTGTTTCATTGATACAGGTATGATCTCCAAATCATCCAAAGATATCGACACGTTTCATGTTTGCTCGAAATGGAGGACTGTCTTTGCTATCATTTGCCTTTTGTCTCTTATAAAGGACAAAGCTGGCTTTTATTGACAAAGTCTTCTACGGTAAGCTCTTTTTCACGAAGTTGTTGTGAATTTCTTGAATCTGATCAACGATAGATGCTACAAAGGACCTTTAGCATCATCAAACATTTTGGCAAGACGAATGAATGTTATGTTGATGATAGGAGAAGATATTGTTGAACAAACAGATAGGGTTTGTAGTTATTGCTTGATTTGAAAGTAATTCTGTTCGTGCTGTTTGAAAAGGTAATTCGTTTCATTTACGGCCATTGTTATTGTTGTGGAGGATGATTAAACTTGTTCACCTGTTAAACCGGTAAGTATATCCAACCATGTACTAATATCAACAACATTATTCGTTGTTTATTTATTTCCTTTTAGAGTAACATGATCGGTAGGTTGTTAGATTTGCTGAGCAGATTTTTGTTTATTCAAAATGTTTTAGTTGCTTCTTCTTTATTAGTTGTTGTTTTGAATATCCATCATTACACTCTGTACATAGAATGCGTTGGTAGAGATTGGTTGAGGATATTGAAGCAAGTTCTAACATCCAGATAATGAAGGGATATCTTGAGGTAGGGATTGAATTTAATGATAATCAATTGAGGATAGGGATGATAAGACTTCAAGTATATTTGATCCACAGTTGGTTGTTTGATTATTCGTACCCTCTTGTCCCACTATGCATTGAGAGTTAAAGGATTGTAGTTGCAACAATAACCAAACAACCGCTTTCTTAACATTTGTCAATGGTAGAACTGAAAAAGATGTTATATTATCGAGTTATGGAATTTCAAGCTGAATTTGCTTGGTATTATGAAGGATTGTTTGTATTATGGATTGATTAACAGAGCTTTCAATGCTTTAGAGTTTGATGTTTTTACATTTTAAGCCTGGAATGTATTTAGATCATCGAGGCATTTGTTTGTCATGAATAGGGATTGGTTTGATTGATGTTAAAATATGACTTGTTGTGAATAATAATGTCAGTGCAATAGAGATATCAAAACAAATGACAAATTGATATATCATTTATATGAATTTGAAGTGTGTTTTGATTGAACTATTGATCACTATGATTATTATGCCGCAACTGAAAAATATTTTAACTGAATGCAAAACCAACATCATGATAAACAAATGAAAAGATGATATGAAATACAAGTATTGAATTAGATGATATTTCAACCCGATAGCTTAAATTATTCAAAAGTAAGTAATGTCAATCCAATTCATCTTTCATTTACCATTTATATTCATTAAATTGGCTACTTTAGCTTTGTTGTTGGATATAAATTAGAGAATTTGGATGAATGAATGTGAGGAAAATGGATAAACATACAAGATTTGAAGATTTGGAGTGGTTTGAAGAGATTGAATTAGTGAACGATTGGTTGAACGAGAATGAAAGAGAAATTTGAGAAATAAGGAGCGTTAATTTTTCGTCAATTATTTTTATTATGAAACATCATAATAATTGACGTTAATTTGACGCGTGAATAATGAAATCGTTAATGTGGGAAATTAACGCTTTTTATTGACGTTTTTTCGTCAATAATTAACGCTTTTCAAGCGAGAATAAAATTTTTTTCGTTAACTTTTTGATTGTAATTTTTGACGAAAAAACGTTAAAAATTAACGTCAACCGCGAGTAGCGGGATACTTGCACTGAGAATGAAAAAAAAATAATGAAAGCAAAACTATCTCGATCGGACTCGTTTTTAAAAGTTTCCAATTCTTTGTGGACGTTAACAGTCTATTCAGCAAGATTGTTTAGCAAACAATTTAAAACCTTTCATTGTTTTGATCAACTTCATCATGATCAACACGGTCTTGAAAATAGGGTTAAAGCAAAGGAATTTCCTAGACATGACCCAGGGATGGATTTAGAAGCACCGATAAGCACGAATCAGCAAATTTGTTTCTACTCGATTGAACAATCGAGAAAGGCTCTAGCTAGCGGCAAGACTCTTTCTGGAGCAAAGCTAACACCAACAAGTATGGCAACACATCATCTCAAAAGACTCAACACTCTTCAAGGATACTACCACACTCACATCAGAATTCCATCCATGAAAGAAATGGAACAACAATTGATGGAGTTACCAAAAGATCTTAGCGGTATATTTTACCATAACATTGACATCCAACAAACGCTTTCAAACTATTGTCTTACAGAAAACATTAAGGAGTTGACCGCTTGCCTTAGTAATACAATATGTGTTTTAGAAACTATTCTTAGAATGAATGGAGGAATCAATTTAGGTCAGACAACTGTCCCTCCATTCGGAATGATTAGAAATCCTTTCAACCCTTCAAATAGTTTGAGCTCTGGAGGAGCAGCTGCTATAGCAGCTGGTGTTGGTAATGTGGCTATAGCATGTGATGCTGCTGGTTCAATAGCAGTCCCAACTGGCTTCTCAGGCAATGTTGGAGTGAAACCCTCTTCTGACACGAGGCTATTTGAAGGTACAAAATGCGGTCATAATGGGGTGTCGATTGGTACGATCACTAGAAGTATAGACGACGCCGCATTGGTCTGGGAGTCTTTAATCCCTCAAGATGGAGACGATGGTTTGAATACAGAGTATACATTGTCACGATGGGCCAAGTTTTGCAAAAAACATGGCTGTCGTGAGTTTGAAGAAAAACGAATTTGTTTTATTTCAAACTTCCCATGGTGTTGCGATTTGGATTCCTGCATCCAACACTCATTTGACGATCTTGTGAACACTGTAAAGACAGACTTCTTCAACGTCACCTATTTAAGCAAACATGATTTTAACTTTGACGACCAAGATACCATTATGGAGATATTGAAGCTTTGTAATGTTAAGTTAAATGATGAAAGAGTTAAACAAGTAGAGCTGCACTCTTCGTCCGTTGCAATAACCTATGAAGATACTAGGAAGGTGCAGTCGAAAACTGGAATGGGAATTGAAGGCTTATTTCAGACCTATGATTTTCTTGTAATACCAGTCAGTACTTGTGTTGCTTGGAAAGTTGATCATGAAAAACCAATATCCACCTCAACAGATTTATGTTTCAATTTGGCACAATATTTCAACCTTGTGGATTGTCCTGTAATTACTCTTCCGTTGGGCGAGGATCACGATTTTGTTCCTTATGGAGTTCAAATCGTTGGAAAACCAAGATCTGGCACGAAGGGGCTATACGATTTGTTTGGATTTTCAAGTGTACTATCACCATACACCAAGTACAATCCCCCTGAAATATCGGTCACATCCTTGAAATATTGTGCCCATGAAGATGAATATGGGTTTCCTTGCAATATTAATGGCTAATTCAAATCCAGCTCCACCGACGTACATTACATTAATAAGACTGCGAGAGACAAGCCCAACTAAACGAATGCAGGGGCTTGCAAGCGGAGACGAACTTTGATGTTCACTTTAATTCAAAGACCACCGAATAAAAACAAAGCTTTCTCCGCATGTAACCTTGTCTCATAGAAAATAATTATTAACAACGTTATTGCAATAATGGAATCTCTTCAACATCCAGATTTATTACTCTGCATTTTCAAGAATTTCAATCACATTGAGTTGTGTCATTGTATTTCACGAGTGAATCGTTTGTGGTATCAAATCTCGATTCGGAATGAATTGTGGAGATTTTTATGTTTTCATGTCTATTCCAAACATCATGGCAATTTTAAAACATTGCAACAAGATTCACAAGATGAAGAGGATGATCCTTGTTCGGAAGAAGGAGAAGTATTGAAAAAAGTGAATTTGAAATCTAATCCAGATGAATTTCTCAATCGGAATATCGTGCAATTAGAATTAGAGAATTTATATTACAAGAACAAGTTCTTTGAGAAGGCTTATACCAACAAGTTGGTGGTATTGAGATATCCGAAAGAGGATCTCAAATATTATTCTCATTTCTGGCATCCACCACAAGCGAACGAATTGAAATTTACGAATGATGTGAAACATTTATTGAAATATGTTCCGATCAATCGGAAGAAGCAAAAGAATGTATCTTCCAAGAGTAGTGGTAGTGGAGGAAAGAAGCTGCAAAAGAAGGTTAAATTTGAATTGTTTGAAAATCCGAGCAAGGAGGAGCTGTTGGAACTTTTGGAATTTCCTGGATTGATCACTTGTAGCGAGATGAATCGTGTTCATTGTGTTTTAAATTGTTGTACAACAACAAAGGAAAAGAACGCAAAACGTTATACCTATGATATCGTTAAAAAGTACGTTGTAAAGAGGTCTTGTCCTACCCTCCCAATGGAACAACGGTGGGAATCTGTGATGAATGAACACTTTTCATCATTCAACTACTCCTCAATGATCAAGATGCTGCAATGATTGAACCGTAAAGCACGAGATTCAAGCACACAAATTAATAATCGAATTCATCAATAAAGTTTATTGCTTAGAGTTTCTAGAGAGGAGGGAGATATAATACATGAGGGATTGATTGATAAATAAAGATGAGATCAAACTTAGGGGAAAGATAAGGAAAGCCTAGCAGAACGTTCTTCTACAATCATGACTATTGCCCTTGATCGTGAACAACTTCCATTTCACTATTATTCTCGTCTTCTTCACTATTGAATATCAAGACTCGGCAGAGACTCCTCGTCGAGCGCCTCTGCTGCAATACGCATGCTGGTACCGTGTGTGTTTTCATTCGCTTGCTGGTTTTGGGTAGTCGATGAGTTTGTACAACGTTCACATCCGAATAAGGTTTCCTGTATAAATCTTTCGCATGTGTTGTCCATGACGAGGGCTTTTTGGGAGGAGGAGGTGGTACGACACGTGTGCTAGCTGTGCACTTGGTTACTTCTGAAGGACGTGCAGGTGTGCAGGCAGATATTGTTGTTTCGTCATTTCGACTTGTCAACAGTGGTTGAGTCGAGTGAACCCTCGATGCGTCTGGTAGGTATGTCGTGGTTGGATTCAATGACGATGGATTGGTCGTTGAGGATGGGATTGGCATTGTTAATGATGTATCTGTTGTTGTGGTTGTTAAGGATGATGAGGATGGTGTCAATGCATGAATCATGATGTGTGCTTGCACTCAATGCGCATAAAACTGGCGCCAAAAAATGTAAGGTCGTTTAAGGCAGAACGCACGTGTTTGTGAAGTTGTGCCTTTTTTTTGTGTTGAAGGTTGCCATTGGTGAACGTTGAGGAGGAGCGAAACCTCAACGAGCGAACAAGGAAGCTAGAACTACTTGTTTTGAATCTGAGGCACATCCATGAGCACATCCAAGGTACACGCGGCTCGTAATTGAGTCGGCGTTATTTCGCATCGTCGTCAGCAGAGGAAAATTGAGGTTCCGAACGAAAATCTTGTGTATAAGTTATATTACTTGAGCAAGTTTGGTTCAGTTGATGTTATTTAGTCGTTAAGGTACTAATCTCCTTAAAAAACATTTGGACAAAAGAGTCAATTTCACACTGTTGAATTCCAATTGCACACGCCAACGTTATATAGTGATGGGGGTACTGATTGGTATGCGAGCCGTAACCTAAAAAATCAATACCAACCACGTTCTTTTTTGCTTCTTTAAGAACGACACGAGGCCCTGTACAATTTCGATAGAACAATCTGCCTCCCAGTTTCAGTGCCTGTTCCTTACTCATGTTAAGGGAGAGCGCAAACGAGATGTGATTACGTGAGTTGGATCCTGTGATGAGTGGATGATCGAGTGAAGTATTAGAACTATTCGTTGAAGAAGTATCAATGGAGCTGGACTCAGTATTTTCTGCTGCGTTTGAATTCTTGGTTTCATTAGTTCTGAACTTGTTGATGAAATATTGAAAAAGATCCTCTCTCTCAGAGAGTAATTCTTTCCATCGGTTTGCTCCCATCGAGAGTAGAGTAATAAATAGATCTAATATCGGTGACATGTTTGCTCTACCAGCATACAATTTTGAGACTTTATCCACAAATTCCTCACATTCACCTCCACTTGCCACAATAGCACCTCCAACAGGCACCATAAAATTCTTATCCGTGCTTTGAACAAAACATGTAATTGTGGATTTTGAACTAGCAATTGCCTTGTTAATTTTCTCCATAATGATTTTGGATTGAACACCGTAGGCATTGTTAACAATGTGTCCAATTTGATATTTGTGACAGATTTTTCCAATTTCAAAAACGTCGTCTGGAACACGTGGTGCAAAACAACTCGTTGTCGAGAGTACACACAGAATGTTTTCTGCTCCAACTTGTTGTATTTTCTTCTCAATTCCTGTAATATCAGCCTCAATAGATCCGTCCTCGTTCACCAAATTTTCAATGACTAGAGGAGCAAGCCCAGCAGTATCAATTGATTTGAGTACAGATTGTTGATCGATTCGTGGCCAAATGACATACTTCTTGTTCGGTTGCTTGGTATCGTTCGCTAACGTCCTCAGACACAAACTCAAAGTCATTCCAGTACACATGGGCACAACAATAGACTTTTTGACATTCTTGCATCCTGCAATTTGCAGCGCATGATTGACTAAATAATTTGTTAATTGTAAAATCATGCTTGATCCGGCTGCCTTTGGTTGATTGGAGGTCAATTCTCCTGATCTGCCAATTCCATGGCTCAAATGAAAATGTCTCTTCATCACTAAATTACTATACACACGTCCTTCTCTCTCTCCAATTCCGATATGATTTTCATAATTATTGGTATCCATAGACGCAAAAAGCGAAAGTAATGCTTCAATTTGTTGATCGGAATAACCTTCTTTTGGTAGTAGACGCTGAGACAATAACGTTTTAAATAGCTTTTGTTGCTTGTTCAAAGCCTGTAAGGCTTGTTTAGCGTGATTCTCTTGAATTAGCTTACCAGCCAATTCTCCAAATTCGTCAAAATTCATATTCTTGCTTGACAAATTTACTTGATTAATAAATACTAATTATTAATATTTCAAAATCCCGATGGGTTCAAGTTGAATAAATTTTTTTGGGGTCTTTAGTGTTTAGGATTGTTTTCTCTTTGGCTATTTTTTTGCTTTTAATTTTTGTGATGTACGTTTGTTTGTTTGTTTTCTTGGCATTATCAGTGAAAAGAGATCAATGAACAATACCCAAGCAACGTTCATTAGATGCATCCAAATTGAATTGTCCTCCAGTTCTTCAAAAAACAAGCCAAACAAAAATGCCCACAAAGTCATCTTCCAAATCATCCTCGCTGCTTCCGAACAACAACAATACTCATGTAAATAATAGTAAAAATTTATCAACAACAACCGTACATAACAAATCCAAGACAAAGAAATCTAAAAATTCAAAACCATCTTCGCCGCCACATATTTCTACTCCGCAGTTGAAAAATGGTTCTTTATCTACGGAATCATCATCAAATACTTCCGTGATGGGAGCTGATCCATGCAATGCTTTTTCAAAATCTTTGTCATCATCAACGGAAATCAATCGAGAGGATGTGCCGAGAGATTATTTGAATGCCTTGGAAGGCATAGATACTGCTTCATTGATAAACCCAAACGTGCAAATCGAACAACGAAAAAAGTTTGCTCTTAAAAAGATAATTGCTGGCTACACCAAAGGCATAACGTTTCTTTATCATCAAAAATTTGAAATTGCAATAGGTTGCTTTACAACATCGCTAGGATTGAAACAAAATTTATATTTCACAATTATAAAAGACGAAGAAGATGAAGAAAATCCTCGGGATGAAGATATACAGTGTCAACAACCTCTAGAAACTCCATTCTTGCTCGAATCTACTCTATTCGATGATGACCAACACCGACAAGACCTTCATTCATCTCTCAACATTCCAGAATTAGTTTGCTCTTCACTACCTCTTTCTCCTTGTACCTTTACTTTGTATATTTTGCGAGCCATTGCATTCATTGGCCATCATGTTTACTCAAAAGCAGTAGTAGATTGTGACTCAGTACTAAGACAGAATTCTTCCTATCACTCGGTAAGTGGTTATTCTCATTAATTATTTCGGAAATATTCACAAGTTCAGGCGTACATTATCAAAGGACATGCACTTATATGTATGAGAAAGTATAAGGAAGCCTATATGAATTTTACTGCTCTTCTTGAACAAGTAAGTTTCTTATGTGTACTGTTAATATATCGACCATAAATAGAGCAATATGGAAAGAACCAAGTCGTCTCACAAATGTGATATTGATTTTGATTTACTCTATGAGCGAAAAGAAGATGTATTTGATAGTTTACGAACGCTTCATGGGCTTTCTTATCACATTTACGAAATGTCAAAAAAGCAAAACAAAAATAAGAATGACTTGGATGTTTTGGATCAATCAGTTATTAACATTTGTAAATATTGCGATTACTATGAAAAATCAATCGTTGAACATGAGAGAAAAAAATGTGCAGAAAACTTTTCCAAGAAAAAAGAAGAATCAGTAGATGATATGTATTTCATGGGCGATGAAAATGATTTTGGACTCAATATTTTAGATATTTATTGTTTAGCATCATCACCAACTGATATTAATTGCCGAAGTATGGGTGCAGTGTTGCTGGTCGATTACATTGCAAGTGCCGTCAATGATTACAATCACGTAATGTTTGAAGATTTCGAGAAAATTGATCTCAAAAATAAGAAGGAGAACAAGAGCATTCTCGAAGATATATTTGAAGAAGAGGAAGAACGGTCACTTATACTAAATGGCATTGACAGTATTTTAGACTCATTATGTCTATGGGATGACCAAGAACTAAAACTATTCTCCACACGAGCTGTGACCGATCTTTGCAATGTTGACAATGATAGCTCGATACGAAGGAGAGTTGTACAATATGAGGATGGAGATGCATTACGACAAATTATTCAGCAACTATCCCTTATTGACTATATAATTCCTGACATGGGAGAAAATGATGCACAACTTTGCGAATTGTTGGAGGCTTCTGTTTGTGCTTTGGCAGCAATTGCTAGAGGTGGATCTTCTGATATTAGTCGAACAATTTATGAGATGAACGGCCTTATCGCCCTGTCACCAATTTTACTTCAAGTTTCGAAGTCGTTAGCCACTCAAAGGCCTCCCATCATTAAGGCTGTTTTTATTGCCCAATGTTATGCATACTTATCAGTAGAAAATTTCGATATTAAGGAAGCAATAGTTTCCGATGAGAAGATACTTCTTGCCCTCTACAAGCTTTCTTTGCAAAATATCGATTTGGAAGCTAAAAATTTTGCCATTATCACGGTTGGAAATAGTTGTCAAAACCCAGGTATGTTATTTTAGACGCTCTAATTTTTGTGATCATGCTTGTGAAATTTGTCTATTATTATCACTGACTTCATAACTGGCCAACAACAAACAGAATGTTGGGGTAAGCCTCTTTTATTGAAACAAATCTCGGAGCAAGTCAACAATACACTGATTTCGAAAGGATATTTAGAGCTTTTGGTAGAGATTATTAAAAAAAAGCCGGCTACTACCACCACTTCCACAGCTGCAGGAAATTCAAAGAAAAAACAATCCAATATTGATCCTTCACTTATAGAGCTTCAATATAACGCTATTAACACAATGACTGGTCTTTTAGGTTTTGAAAGCGGTAGAAAAAGGTTCAAGAAAAATCATGGAGAAGAAATTCTCACCAACATCATTCTAGAATCCAAATTTGAAGCTCTTCGAGATGTCTGTAGCAAAGCTAGAACCTTCTATATTACTCTCAATGACTATGGAGATAACATTAGTGAATATGTGTTCACCAAGTTTAAATTCTTTAATTATTCAAGAAATACAGAGCTAGAGGCCGCATCCTACCAATCTCTTATGGATGCTTCAAATACTAGCAGCACGACACGATCCATTACGGACCAAAGTACTGGTCGAAATGGCATTTCCACTCCAACCAGTAGTGGTGGACAGAATACCGTTCCTACCAGCAGAGAAGAAATCATCAAAGAAGAAACTATGAGATTTTTGGAAATGAAACGGAAAGGAGAACTCCCAACTGATTTTAATGAAGATTTTTACTCCAAACTCATGAATGGAATATTGGGAATTGGAGTAGTGGGTATGGGACCTACGCCGTCACACGATCAAACTACCAATACAAGTCAGAGCAAGCCATCCAAAAGCAACCTGAAGAATGTGACACCATCTTCTGCTGGAAGTCATCATTCTCCTCTTGTTGAGGAAAAGAAATCAATCAAAGGTATTGTGACCAATTCCACGAATACTCCCAAAAAGACATCTTCCCATTCACATGACATTCCACCACTCATTTCAAAAGATAATATTGATGATATTGCAGACTTGATTTCATCGTCACCTGATAAAAACAAAAAGAAAAAGAAGAAACAACAGTCCTCAAAGAAAAAGAAGCAGGAGACGACAACTACAAAGAAAACCACCAGTGTAGAGCAGCCACAACAACCCAAAAAGACGTCTCCAGAATCTTTGAACAAGTTGCCAAGCATTTCATCATCTTCACCAGCCATTGTTCAAACGAAGAATGTAGAATCTACAAAATTATTACAACCAGCATCTCATCCTTCACAGAAAGTAATTGAATTGTCTGACGATGATGAGAGCACTGAAGAAGAAGATATCGAAGAAGGGGATGAAATGGTCCATTTTGAGAAATTGAACAATGAAGTGCCTACATCTTCTGCTATAGCTGCTTCTGAGGTTATAAACGAAAAGCCACACCCCACGATGGTCACGACCGAAAATGATACAACTTCCTACGAAAATTTAACACCAGAGGAGATATTTATGTTGGAATTCGAAAAGGGTATGGATCATTTAATTAAGGAGTTGTGGTATACATAATTCAACGGTTGCACACAGCGTAGAAATAGCAGTCAGCAATATATTTTGGGAACCGTACACAAATATTGATTTTTGGTATCAGCGACATCTAGATAAATGGATCACTGTGGGCGCAATATGTGATGGAGTTGCAGTTTAATAAAGTTAATTATACTCGCTCACTCTGAAAATACCTGGTTGTTGTAAAGTTGGAAATCTAATTTTTGATCACTTCATGAGTGAAAGTTTGTTGTGAATACAAGCGAGGGAAAGAAATAACGGGATGAACTCTCACCTTCATCTCAATCTCAGGTTCATAGTCGCCATTATTCTTCTCATGCTGCGATCGAATATATTTTACCATTGATCGAACTAACTGGTCACTAGAAAGACAGGACCGTTCGTGCCCTCTCTTGTACTCCAGGGAATATTGATTCCATGAGTGTGCAGTATTAATCCCACATTCCTCCAATAAAGTCTTCTTTAATGTATCCAAACAAGTCATGGAATCGAGATTCAACTCTGGATGAAAGAATTGTGTACCGTTTGCAGTAGTGAGAGTGATTTTGAAAGTGAGACACTTCGAAGCTTGTTGGGCTTGCAAGTTCGTGGAACCACTGGATTCCCTCATCCCTACCTTAACGAATATAACGTCATCATCAACTTCTTGCATATTCTCTGCATGTAGCTGTGGAGGAGAATCAAGTGTATCTTCTACCTCGTTTTCAGATGCTTCAGAATTACAATCTCCTATCAAAGCATCTTCATCTTGTTGAAATTCTTCATTCTCTTCTTGATAATTCTCTTCATTCACTTCTTCTTCCTCGTTGTCATTACCATTGGATCTTCACCTTCCCGATCATCATTTTCATCCATTGGATCTTGAAAGTTGTCAGAAAGTTGTGGCCCAATCAATGAGGATGATCCTTCCGAGTGTTCACTCCCATCATCATTTTCGATCCAATCCGAAATTTGATGATAGAGAGGATCCGATGGACGTACCATCATTGCTTGCTGTGGACTCCTCTTAATGTCACGCTTGTCATCAAGATGCATCTTGCCACCCTGTTGAGGTTTTTTCTCCATTCTTTCAATATCCTTTTCAGACAATTGAAAATCAATACGCTGCTTCACAAACGCATCATTCAAAAACTTCATCAAGAGTTGTTGAAATCGTTTTCTCTTATACGCTTCTTTCCCATTGGTACTTTGGATAAATCTTTTTTGAAAACTCTCAAAATCGTTCAACAACTCTTGCCATTGTTCTTGTGTGAGATCAAAAAGACCTTCTCGGATTGTTCTGAAAACTGGATATGGTTCATTACGAGTATATCCTAGAAAGGTAGAAATATCAGTGGAATGAGGACAATCCAAGTGGTTTTGGGCATAGCAACATGGACACGATTTGGTTCGTTTCGGTTGACTTTTGGAAGAAGGAGAGGAATGAATGACGTATAGCAATTGGGGATGTTTGGGAGATTTGGTAATTTGAAGAGGAGATGATTCCTTTGGCATTTTGATAATAATATAGATGATAATAATAATAATAGTAATAATATATGGGTGATCAATCGATAGGTGTTTTTTGATAGGCGCTTGGGTATGTGTATATAAATAAATAGTGTCTCTTTTTATTGGAGCCAGGCTGAGCGATGTAATGATGAATTTTTTTTTGGCTTGAAAAACGAGTAGAGGCCAAGTTGCGGTGGTTGCTTCAGGTGCTCAAACAAAATTTTTTGAACGAGCTCGAGAGAACGCGGAAAGTGGAAGGTTACCAGTCACCTGGAGGCTCATCATTTACTGTTGTACCAATCATGAATGTCTCATAATGATGATCAAAAATAAAAGAATGGATGCAATTGCACCTACCACCATTCCAAGGTTGGTTATGAATCCATTGTGTTGTTGTTGTTGTTGTTTCTGAAACACTTGTTTCACTGTTCCTTCCACCACTGGAAGAAGTGACACGTCCAATTGAAAATCCGTACAAGTGCTCTCCCCATCGTATTGTTGTATCGTCTCGGGTATTTCTATTGCATGATGTTTCAGTATTTCATTCTCTTCTCGTTCGTCTCGAATGATATCATGGTGTAAGGCAATCGTACAAGGTTTGGAATGGAGTCGACATGCTTCAAGAATTCGTTTCGAATAATATAAATATCGATAAGCGGATGCGTAAAATACAATGATATCGACGTTTTCAATAATGGAATCAAGTTGTAAAGATTCGTCATTGAATTGAGTTTCATAACAAACGAGTGTCACATTCCGACATGAATATTCTTGAACACCTTCATTCAGTAAACAGGGATTGGTAATGAGTGAAAGTTGTTGATTTTTGTTGGGCTTCTCATCGGTCACATGGTCAATCAATGTATAAAGACCATTCACAAATAGGTCCATTTCGTTACAGTTAGAGATGATTCCCATCTTGAGAGGACGATCTTTGAGACAATGATACACAAATTCGGATACCATATCACATACTCGAAACCTTAACTGACCTTCATCCAAGATGATGTTTGATGTAGAATCCCAAAGGATATATCTTAAAAATTCGTCTTTTCTTGATGGCGTTTTCAAAACTAGATCAAGTTCAAACAATGCATTGTCATGGACATGTTTCGTGGTTGTCATTCCTTGAAACATTTCATTCCCCAAAATTTGTATTTTCACTTGTCGTGATGGTTGTTCACTTTTCAATTGGATTTGTAGCGTAGCCACATTTGTAATTGGTAAGTTGATTTTGAATTTGGTTTTCACTTCATGTCTTTGAAACAAATTTCTGCTCGTTCCATTACCAAAAGCATGGAACATGTATTCTATTCTTTTCAAATTACTTTTCAAACACATGGATGTGAAATAATTGTAATTCCAACAAATTTCCCACAATGGAGAATGCATCGATCTCAAAAAGACTCCATACAATTCGGCCTTTTCTCTTAAACCTTGCATTAAAACAATGGCATCAAGAATACCTTGGTCCAAGTCTTGATCAGGATCCTCATCCATGATGATCATGACACAATTATGATTTCCATGAAAACTATTCGTAACCTGTTCACAAATTTGAGAAGGTTTTAACAATGAATTTTTATCGTTAGCAACATCCAAAGAACCATAGGAAAAAGGATTTGAACCTAAAATGTCTTCCAAATATTGGCCATCACAGCATTTCATTCCTTCCTTAAAATAGGGAGAAGCAAAATACAAGGATGATAATTTGGGAAGTCCATATCGGATTGGTTCGAGTTTTTCACGGAGCCATGTGCATATGAATTGAAACCGTGTATATGAATGACTGAAAATAATGAACCACAGCGTGTGGTTGTTGGTGTTACCATAATGACGACTCAATTCACGTTGATGCATTTTTTTAATTACAGACAAGTGAAGGGAATTACAAAATGATGGTTTACTTATTTCTCAAAGACTTTAAATACTGAACACCTCGTGTCAACGCTGTTTCAAGAATGACATAGGTATTCTTATCAATATCAAATCTTCTTTTTGGAGTCTCTCCATGATAATTTTCACTTGTGAATATCGAATGACGAGGTGCTCCAATTTGTTGAGCTAAATTCGCTTTGAGTTTTTCCAAATCTTCCTCAGCTGGGACTTCATCAATCTTGGACAGAACGACCAATGGCTGCAACGAATGCTTCATTGCTAATTTAAACATTTCTTTAAGTTTTTGCATGAGTTGATTGTCACCACGATCTCCCTGGGCAACGACAAAGATGATGGAATGAATTTTCTTATCTGGAGAGGTCAGGACAGTTCGAGAAGAATTTCTATGAGAAGTTTGGCCTTCATCGGTCATTTCATATTCATGTGGAAGCTTTCCTTCAATAAACATTGTAAATTCATTGTTGTTATAGGTTTCATTGGTCAAACCAAAAGTATCCCATAACACATATCTCAATTTAGACAGTTGCTCATGATCTTTCCACATTTCAGGAAGATTGTATCGACACATTTTGGTTGTGACGTGATCTCCCGTATTACCAGCAATGGCAGGAGTTGAGAATTGATTGTTGGTCTCGACACTTCCTTCCAATAGAGTGTGAATACAATTAAAGAAACTACTCTTTCCTGAACCCATGGTACCAAATAAACCAATATTAAGCAATGGAACATCGATGGGTTTGAACGTGATGAGATCTCCACAAAAATCACTCGCCCAAATATTGACTGCACCTTTAAACAATTGATGTTTCTTGGTGGAATCCAAAAGTTCATATGGAAGAGTTTCTTCGAGATCCTTAATGGTTCTGTTATCTAAGGGCTCGAGTTCAATGGTGAATTTGTATTTTTCATCTTCTTCAATGTCCTCAGCAATGACATGACGACCAAAATCAAAATATTCATTTCCAACGAATCTGAAAATACTTTTCTTTGGAATGGTGTTGGATGTAGAATTCCGAAGTTGTAATTGGAATTGGACAGGTTGTCCAATGGCTACAGGTCGATTCAAGATGGTTGCACTCACACGAATTCCATCCTTTGCACTACGCTTGCTTCCAGTGAGACGTTCAATCGTGTCCTTCACTTCGTCCCATTTACTCACACATGCTCCCATGTCTTCAGAGGATGCAAGTGTTTTAACGACCTTCTCATTCACAAATGCACCAACTCCCAAACAAATCACGTCCGCATCCAAAACAATTTTCAAATAATCACTCTTTCGAATGGCCATAGCTTCATCATCTGGAATACCATCCGTAAGAATGATCACAATTCGTCTGGAGGGACCTAATTCTTGAGTTTCGAAAAGAATCTTGGCCTCATCAAAACCTCGATCCATTCGCGTACTTCCTGACAGCTGTTGCATGGAAGAGAGTGCATGTTCGACATGGTCGAAATTCGTTGTTGCGTTACACTGAACCTGAACGGTCGAACTGAATTGAATGACTGCAAGTTGATTTTTGCCATTGGAGAAACGTTTGGCTAAACCAAGAACAACGGAACGTTGACGTGAGAAATCATCGGCAGAAAGAGAAGATGAGCCATCGAGAAGAAAGATGATAAACTTTTTGGCTTTGGCCAAGTGATCCGAACCGTCGTCGAGAGTTCTTGAAGCTTGTTGCGGAGCAGATGATGTGGAATCAGGAAATCGCATTCAGGAGATTGTGCTAATTTTTTTTAAGGAGTTGTCGCCCAACGTGACACTCAAATGATGTAACCATCTCGGAATTCCCATTCTTATGATGTGAAAAGTGACACATCGAGTATAAACACAACGTTAAGTCCTCACTTTCCGTTGCACTTGTCATTGTACTCGACAAAAAATGAAACCACCTGACTGCAGTGAAGAACGTGATTCACAGAATAATAATAATTCGGACATTGAGTGTGTGTCCATTTCTTCTCAGCAAGATCCTTCTTCAACTCTTGATCCGATCAACCAAATTCAAGATCATGAAGAAGGAAAGATCCAACCACAAGACGATAAGACCATGGCTGCAACAGAAAATAAGTTTTTTATCACAGAGCAAGATTGGAAGAATTTGCTAGACAAAGTGGCACGATTGGACGAAGAAAACAAAACAAAACAGCAAGTTATTGAAGACGAATCCCGATTAAGAAAAGAACTTGAAAAAAAGATCTCGGAACAACTGGAGTCAAAAATTTCAAAGCTTGAGTCTAAAGTAACCGAGCTTTCCACCTTCTGTGACTCTTTAAAAAACATCCAGGAAAGGTCGAATTGTTAGAAAATAATACTCTCAAGTCCATTGAAACACAACTCTCCACAACCGCTCATAACTTGACACAACACAGTGAAAAAATTCAACACTTAGACACTGAACTCAATGAAATCAAGGAAATCATCAAACCTCCTCAAACCAAGACACAAAACACGTTAAACTCTTCCGTCACTTCATGGGGAGCAAATATTCATCCAGAGGCAAGAAAATCCTACTGGAGCAAACTTTCCTTTGATTTGTATCAATGTCCGGATTACCAAAATATGACCAATGCCATTCTTAAAAAGATGAATGAATTAGCGTATGCTGAAAGATTTCACATTGAAGATTACAATTTAATTTCCTCCGCTGATGCTTGTTCCACAAATTTAGTTTTATTTCCCAAGTATTGTGGAAGTTCTCGTTTTCAAAGTAAGGAAGCGGTTGAATTGGTAAATAAGGGAAAGAAGATTATATTTTTAGTGTATCGATATGGAAATAAGAATGATGAATTGCAGTTGGGATCTGAATTTTCAAGTTGTGTCAAGTTTGAGTTCTTTACTAGTAGTCTGGATAGCATCAAGTTGGTAGAGAATGAAAGAACAGAACGAGAGTTGCAAGGGCTCACTACGAGCGTGATTAACAACGCCACAACTGTTGCAAAATAAATGACATTTGACAGAAACGAAAAAATGAATTCACAACCAACGCCACAGAGTAACCTTGAGCATGTTTCTTCCAGCAGTGACCTGATGATCAACGAATTATCACAAATTAAATCCATGATTTCTTCCCTTGAGAATACTTTAAAACAATTTGATGACAAATTTGAGAAAAGATTTAAACATTTAGAATCACGAATGGATGTCATAGAAAAAGTCGTTAATAATATTAAAATCGTCGAAGAAGAACAACAATCGGAATCACCAAGCTTGTTGAGTTCGATTTTTTCCAGATTTTCATCTCAGCCTCCAAAATCAAAGAGAATTGTCTATCAACAACCATTCACCACTCGTTCCCAACAACAAAGTTCAAACTCTTCGAAACAGCTCAAGATTCATGTGTTCGTGAATGACAAGGAGTATGAAAAAACTATTTCTGATCTTTTGAATGCCATCACCGGTCATGCGAAACAATCGTATGATTTGATTCTCGAACACAAAATTATCACTCGTATCGAGGAAGCGGACAATCGCATTCTTACACTTTTTGTGAAATATTGTGGTACAAGTCGATTTGAAAGTAAGGACGCTAGACAAATTGCTGAAATGAAAAAGCCCATGCATTTCTTGTTGTTGCGTTATGGTGAAACTACAAGCGATGTTGTACTTTCTGATTTGTATTCAAATTCGAGAGCTTTTGAATTTCATGTGAATAATCTTGAAGAAAAGAAAGTCCTTATGGATGATCCACGAAATTTGAAAGCAATGAACTTGTTATGCGCCAAAGTGGTTGAGTACGAGAAATAGAGATTTCTAATAGAAATCGATTTCTTGATGGTCACAGCTTTAACTGTGCAACAGAATTATGTACTTTACAGAAGGTGCTATTATACAATTGGACTTTGAATTATTGATTACAACTGTTTTGTAAAAATGAATGAATGGGATAGGAAAATATATTTTCTTTTCCCATCATGTTTGAAAAAGCTTCCAAAAAAAAGATTTTTGGTTCATACTCGTCATTCTTTTGTTGCATTCTTGCAAAATATTCAAACATGAGAGTGACATTCATATCACTGACAAGAGAGGATCTTTGAGCATTTCTCTCATAGGACAAGGTAACGTCATGTACGATACAGCAATGTTGTTTGATTTCTTTTTTTAAACCGTCTAAGGTTTTCATATTCAATGGTAATTTCACATGAAAAAGTTTACCATAAGGTTCAGACTGTACAGCTATTGTGATCGAAGGTGTTGGATCATGTACGGAAGGAGGCAATGGAAGAGCATGTTGCGTATGAGCACTTCCAGGAGTGATAATGGTCATGTCATCCACATCTGAAGACTCTTCAGATTGACAACTTCCAACAAGAGAATCACTATCACCATTGGGATTGACAAGTGGATCCTGTTCGTTCTGATCCTGCATGGAATCTCTTTCTTCGGTAACTTCTATTACGTCCTGCTCTTCTTCATGTACAGATAAACCCAATGAACGTCTTTTCTTTTGATTACGAGTGATGACATCGATCGAAAGTCTTTTTGGAATTTCATACTCGGAAAGCTTATCATTCAAGAACATGATCAAGTCACTCAGAAAGTGCTGTCTTTTGGTTTCAAGTCTATAATTCTTTGGAAAAGTTTGAATAAACTCCGTTTGCATGTTATGAAAACCTCTGAAAAGATCATGCTGCTGTAAAGATGAGAGATCTTGAATTTCTTCAGAGAACCAAGATGGAAATACAGGATAGGGACGTGCTTTTAATCCAAGAAAATTACAAATAGATCTGGCGTGAGAACAGTAGGACGTATTATTCACAACACATTCGGGACACTTGGCAGATCTTTGCGATCGTTGGTGAATTTCCGTTGTTTCTTTTGGCATGTTTCCTTGTCAATGATGAATGATTATTGAATGATAAAAATAGCAAGAACCGATGAGAGCACTGTGCCACTATGCGAATGAAGAGAGGGTTGTATATATTTTTTCTTTATATTTTCTCGTTGCTTCATGTTCTCTAAACAGCTGCTTCCTCCTGTCGAGTAAACAAAATTTTTTGAAGGGAGCAAAACCAGACGCGCGAAACTATATTGGAAGAGGAACATTTGAATGGATGAGAATTGTGTTGTTTATGAAATCATATAGAAGGAGTGGATATGATACCACGGCATTCAAGAAGAATATTTAGTCGACCAATGACACAATCATTTCGAATTCACACTCGACATTCTGTTCGAGTTTCTTTTCAACCCATCGATACATGGATTCTACCAAACGATCCGAGCTTAAACATGAAAGAACACCATCTCTCTTGTAACATAATGAAAAAGCACTCTCCTTGAAATTACATTGCTGTTTGACTTCCTTCTTCAATGAATCGAGAGTCTTGAAACTCAACTTGGGAATCAATGGATGAAATACCATGTGATCGCAACCTTCCTTTTGAATCTTGAAACAAATGTCTCTTGGCTGAGTGGACGATGATGGTTGAGTTTCAATGACAAGATCGGACCTGGGATCAATGAAACTGTCATTCTCAATCCTTTCAAAAGAGGATTCAGAATTACAATCTCCAACTTGTATGTCGTCTTTGTCTTCTCCAAGGTCGTCCTTGTCCTCATCACCATCACTCATTGCATCCTCTTCCTCTTCTTGCCTGGTTTCAGTACTTGTCAAATTGTCAAACGCTTGCATGGATGACATTTGTTTTAAGAGGTGAGTCTTGGAATCTTGATTCTTTTTGGAAAGATGCACTTGTTGCATTACAATTTTAACATTCAATCCAAACTCTTTCAAACTGCGATTCAGAAATTGTGTAAGAGAGCTCATAAACACTTTTCTTTTCCTCTTGACGTTTTCATATCTTCCAAAAGTATTTGTGAAATGAGTTTGAAAACGATCAAACTGCTGTTCAAGCTGCGACTTTTCTTGATCAGACAGCTGTAGAAATAGAAGTCTGAATTCTTTCGGGAGCGCTGGATATGGTTTTTCTTTGCGAAGTTCTAAAAACTGACTAATACTTGACGCATGTGGACACGAGGAGAGATTTCGTGCGAAACAACAAGGGCATAGACTCGATCGACTCGTTGATCGAAAGTTCAAGCAGGTGGTAGTAGGAGTATCTATTGATTTTGCGTCTTTTCTCAAACAACCACGTGATGATTCCTTTGGCATTCGTTGGGTGTTTGTAATTTTTTTTTAAGTTTGTTTATGTCTTTTAAAACTCGTCTTAGAACACAAACAAAACTTTTTGTACAGCTAATTTCAAAAGAAAATGATAATAACTGGCAGAGATTGCAGTCCTTCGAGAAATTTTCAATTTCATTGACGAAGTGGTTGTTACTCAAAAGGGTGCAATCATGTAATTGAAAACTCATCACTCGAATTTCCAAATTTTGCTTCTCGACATCGAGAAGAAACCAAAAAAAAATATCAACAACCGAGCAATGCTCACATCATCAAATTCATCATCACCCCAAGTACCAAAAACAGCTTCCGTTCAACAACCCGAATGGTTTCCACCAACCGGAAGGGATACTGGTATTGAAGTATTCAACTCTTTGACTTTAAAGAAGGAAAAACTTGTTTTGCAAGACGATTCAAATACTCTCACTTGGTATACTTGTGGTCCGACTGTTTATGATTGGAGTCATATGGGTCATGCTCGTACCTATGTAGGATTTGATATTGTCCGTAGAATTTTGGAAGACTATTTTAATTTTAATATTATTTATATTGAGAACATTACCGATATTGATGATAAAATCATCAAGAAGAGCAATAGAGTTTGTTTAGAAGAAAACGTTACCAAGTTTTTAGAAAAGATTTCAAATCTTCCAAAATCCGAGTCACTCTCAAAGCTTGAGACGTATATTAAGAATTTGAAACAAAAATTGGAAGCTGACCAACTCGAAAAGGAAAAGAGCAAACAGCTTAGCTTGGCTCAACTTACTCAAGAACGAGATGTTCTCATTCAAGCTGTGAAAGAAGCTGGCTTGGACCCTAATGAAGTATCTGCTCCAGATTTCTTGTCTGTACCCAGATATTACGAAAAACTCTTTTGGGAAGATATGCAACAACTTCAAGTGAAGCCACCAACAGTGCTTGTTAGAGTCACAGAACACATTCCAGAGGTTAAAAAGTTCATTCAACAGATTATTGACAATGGTTTTGCTTATACGAGCGAAGGAAGCGTGTACTTTGATGTGGAAGCGTTCCAAAACAGCCAAAAGCACGTTTATGCCAAGTTAGAACCATGGAGCGCAAACTGTGAAGATCGTTTATTGGACGGTGAGGGTGAGACCCAAACCAGTAAGAAAATTACAAAGAAATCCAAAAAAGATTTTGCATTGTGGAAATTATCTCAACCTGGTGAACCCGAATATGAGAGTGACTGGGGCAAGGGTAGACCTGGATGGCACATTGAGTGCAGCGCAATGGCTTGTTATGCTCTTCAAAAAGCTGCAGAACTTGCAGGAAGAAATACTTCTGAAAATCCTCCAGTTTTGGATGTTCACTGTGGAGGCATTGATTTGAAATTCCCTCATCATGACAATGAGCTCGCTCAATCAGAGGCATATCTTGGAAATAGACAATGGGTAAATTATTTCCTTCACACAGGTCACTTGTCAATTAACGGAATGTCCATGTCCAAGTCTAAGAAGAACTTTATTACAATTAGAGAAGCTCTCAAATTCTATACTGCTCGACAAATAAGAACCATGTTCCTCTTCCGTACTTTTGACTCTGAAATGGAATACTCAGTTGATAGCATGGAATATGCCAAGAATGTGGAAAAGCAATTCCAAGAATTCTTTGGTAACTTGAAGGTAATTTTCAGAGATTATAACAATAAGGGAGGAAAAATTATTGAGAAATGGAGCAACGAGGAGTTTGACTTGAATAACTTCTTGGGTGAAAAGAAATTATCTATCGATAAGGCCTTAAGAAACTCATTCGACACAAAAACCTCCATGATTGAGCTTCAACAATTGGTGAAGAAAACAAACACTTATTTGGAAGTTAAGAATGTTGACAAGTACAATGAATTTATCAAGAAGGGAGGCGATCAATACGCACTTGATGCACCACAATACCCATCTGTTATGCTCTTGAAGCAAGTTGCTTACTATGTCACAAAAATTCTTAATGTATTTGGCCTTGTCGACAGTGTTGACTCCTTTGGATTCCCAGTTTCAGGTAGTGACGATTACGAATCAAACGTAACACCTATCATCAATGCACTTTCTGAATTCAGAGCAGAAATTAGAAACATTGCAAGAGACAAAGAAGATAAGAAGGAACAGAGAATTCTAAAGGTCTGTGACGTTTTGAGAGATGATGTTCTTCCAACTTTGGGAATTAAGTTAGAGGATAAGAAAGATACAATCACTTGGAAACTTGTTGATAAAGAAGAACTTAGGAGAGAACGAGAAGAAAAGCTTGAAAAGGAAAAACAAGCAAAGAAAGACGCTGTTTCAAAGGCCCAAGCAGCTCTTGCTACTGCAGAAGAAGAATATCAAAAGTCTTTGATTGCTCCACAAGATCTTTTTAAGACCGGTGAAAATGCATCCAAATATTCTGAATATGACGAAAAGGGAATTCCAACCAAGGATGCTGCAGGTCAAGAAATAACCAAGAGTGCCAAGAAGAATCTCGAAAAACTTTTTTCTAAACAAGAAAAGCTTTACCAAAGTCAAGAAGCCAAAAAGAAAGCAGTGGAAGAGAAGAAAGCGGCTCTTGAGAAAGCGACTGCCTTGTTGAGCGAATAAAACATTCAGACATTTTTGTCATTTTTACTTCCGACTGTTATGCTGTGTGTGGTATGAATTTTCACTCTTTAGATTTGAATATTTTGGGTTTATTAGAAAACGTTACAAGGAAGGACAATCTATCACATAATGTGACAGGTTTGTTGAATAATTATTTCTAGGAATGTGGGATGATCAAAAATTAGGGAACTTGAAAAAGTTCATAAATAATGCAATACTTAAAAATAATACTACAATGCGGCAAGCAAAAATATTAAAGATCATTCTCTGCTGAAAGAATGTCAGATGTAATCTGTTCTAAACGTTCTTTCAAATTGGCCTTATCCAATGCAGTCACAAAGAATACATCTCGCAATCTGTTCTCAGTATCCTTTTCTTTGTACATTTCTTTGATAAATTCTTTGGCAGCATCAGGATCGTTTTCAGGTCCCTTATATTCTTCAAAAGTATCAGCCAAACGAGAGCCATTCTGAATCTTGGACACAAACAGATCATGCTTATTAAAAAGTAAATAAACAAGTGTGTCAGCAAACCACTTGGAGTTGATATAGTCTCCAAAGAGAGACAAACTCTCTTTCATTCTGTTTGTGCTGTCATCTTCGTAACACTTTTGATCGAACTCACTCAACGAACAAACAAAGAGAATACTGTCAACACCTTGAAAATGATGAATCCACTTTTTTCTTTCTGTTCTTTGTCCTCCCACGTCAATCATACAGAATGGAAGATTCTTGAATGTGAAAGGTTGTTCAATCAATCCGGTAGTCTTGATTCTTGCTCTGACAACATCTTCTTCGCTTGGCATATAATCATCCTTTCCGATTCTGTCCAAGTTGTCAAAGTAGTACGAGGCAGAGTCTTCAATTTGGAATTCATTTCTTCTGGCCATTGCTTGAAGAATTGCAGGTTCCTTCCACAACTCTGCAATGTCTTGAGCCAAGTTAGAATCCCAAACTTTATCTGTTGTCAACAAAATCTTTTGTTCCAATCCTTCTATCTTTTCTGCTCGTTGTCTATTCTCTTCAGTGGAAATAGGAAGGTTGAGAGACTTGGTTGCCTGAATGAGGACCATCATGTTACGCAAAATGTTTTCATAGATCATTGGTTTAATCTTGGTCTTCTCTTCTGTTGTGAAGCCATTGTTATAGATGAGTCTCATCTGTTTAAAGATGGTACCTGATGTGATGACAAGTTTGTATCGAGTTGAACGGTGAGAGCAATGATGGTAGGTGATGGAAGTATATAACAACATGTTCATACAATGAGATCAATAACCATTAGGTGATGATGATATTTTAGGGGTGATTAGATAACACATATCCAAACATCGAGGATATATTGTCATGATCATTAGAATCAAAACAATAACATGTCGTGCCGAGCCGAGTTTTGAAGTCAAGAACCAATCATGAGAATACAAATAAATGGTTAATAAGAATACATGATGATGATGATGAGAACAAATGTACAGAAATATAAAAAATTACATACTCTTTCCGCTATCACCTGCTCCTACCAACAAAATCTTCTTTGGTGGTTTTGCTGCTGGTGTATTTTGTGTTTGAGGTGTGGTGCCTGTACCGTTGCCAGTACCAGGTTTTGTTGGGGCTTTATCTCCTCCTCCAAAGCACATTTTAATGTATGAGGTTAATATGGGGTGTAAAAAGGATGATGATGAAAGTCTAGGACAGTGTCAGTAGAACTGCTACTCGTGTTGGTGGTGTTTTGATTCACGCCGGTGAATGTTGTATAGTAGTGAACGTTGTATACAACGAAAAGCTCTTTTCAAAAAAGTATACTGGAATCTCGTGATGATGATGATGGCAGTGTACTATCTCGCCGTAATTGCTGCGTTTGGTTTTGCTGCTGAGATGACAAAGTTCTCAAAGTATTATTACGTTGGCTTGAAACACAGCTGTTGTTGTGATTTTTTTTGAGAGTTTTTGAGACAAATTGACGGGTGATTTGAAAAATTTCGAAACCAGTGCCTGGTGATGTTTTGGTACTTCACGGATTTTCAAGTTGAATGGATGATGATGAGTGTTGATACTGTAGAGAGATGGAGCTAAGAGGCCGATGCTGTTCCGAAGATAGAATGTTGCTTTTGTTTTATTCTCTTGAAACCACGTAATCAAGATGTTTCTTCAATTTGAAGTGGGTACCGACTTTAGAAATTCAGTGATTCAATAAAGGTTCAATGGAAAGAGTGGATCGTTGGATCGTAGAGCAATGGGCATGAGAATGATGAACATGGAATATTGATAGAAAAACACGTTGGTGATTCATGAATACCACTTGCTCACTGAGGGCAACGGCCACTTGAGAGAAAATAGCGAGAAAAGCTTTCTTAAAAGAGAATGAAGAGTGATATTTGTAATGAATTTGGAATGTCAAGGAAACGATGATCTATGACGCTACGTGAAACATCAGATCACATCACAGAGCATTCAGTCCATGATTTATTTAAACATTATAAAAATTGAATGTCTTGTGTTGCTTCTCTGAGTCGAATTGTCGGTTTCATGATCACACAACACGGCAAACAGTCCATGCACACAACTCCTTCGTGGAAAGGAGTTGCAAATTGAAACACAGTTTAAAAAAATAGGAACTGAGCGATATTGCAACTCAGCTGATGAAAGACCATGCAGGGCGCCATAACCAAACGAGAAGAAAAATCGAGCTATTATACACTAAAAGCAACAACGATGCGTTCGTACGAGCTGTAGCATTAGTGGCATGTTTGATAGCACTGTTTTTGAAAATTTACGAACAACATCCTTTCATCATGATTCATGCACAATCCACTCCTTTCTGGTCGACGAGACAGATGACAGAAACCAAGTCAAAATCATCATCAACAAGAACAAATCCGAATCCAAATTTCTTCACAACAACAACAACTGTCACTCCATCATTCCATCGAATGGTAATGGCACAACAACCAAATCCAAACGAGAATCAAGACTCTCTGAGTTTTAACACTCCACACGCTGAAGATTTGTTCCAATCCACCTTTAACAACTCTCTTTATTTAAATCTCACCTTTTATTTTGATATGGAAGCGGAATTTGATACTCGAGCTTGTACAAATGATCTTCCCTGCAGCTCGATTATTGACATTATGTGTGCACTCAACACCACTCTTTTTTCGGATTATCACAATTTTACCATGCAACCCGTTGAGAAATTTGTTGTTGTGAATATTGTGTTAAAAAGTGACATCTTTTTGGCATATTTGGGATTGACTGTTCAACCATTTCCGGGCTTAAAATTCTTATTCAAATGGATAGGTCAAGAAGGAACCACAAGAAAGAATCTTGAATTGATGTCTTACGTGGACCCTCCAACTCGGACAGACATTTATTGGATTTATTTCTCAAATCTACAATTAATTGGATTTGATTATTCTATTACACTTTACACGTATCACGTTGGAATTTATAATTGCCTAATGAAAGGAATATTTTTCTTTCCTTTTTTTGGCTCGACTTTAATTTATGAAAACACCTCTCTAGAACAAGTCGACACTCAAATCATCGAATATTGTGAACGAGTGATATTCTTTAGCGTGGATTTGGAAAGGGAGTGTAATATACGTTTTCAACAGGTGAACACTTTCGAATTTAACAATGTACGAGTCATGCACAATGCTGTTGCAACCATTCAAGTCGACTTTTCAAGAAGGACCATTATTAGAAATTCAATCTTTAAGAATTATTCAGCTAAATTTTTCTTAACCAGTAATGTGGAAGTTCTATTTGAAAACTCTCAATTCGATAATGTCGTTAATCCATCATACACAAGTGTGGACTATGGAGCACTTGTCCTTGCATACTTGGGAAAAATATTATCAGTTCGAAATTGTTCATTTTCACGAGGATATTCAGCAATTTACGTACGAGAATATATGAAAGCAGAATTTATATCTAGTCAATTCTTTAATAATACGGTGTCGACCAATATTGAATCGAAAGACATGTTTACTTTGCATGCTGTTTTAAACGCAGTTGGATGCGCCATCATGACTGTTACTGATTGCATGTTTAATCACAATGGTGGTACCTCAAAAGGTTCTGCTCTCTATGTCAAGGATGCCACGGATCTAGCCGTTCATTGGGGCTACTTTATGAATGGAAATGGAAGTGCCATCTATGTAGAAAATATCAAGTCCTCAAGTCAAGAACGTTTTTCCATTCGTGTTCTCAATTCGAGGTTTGAAAATAATTACAGCGATGACTATGGCGGTGCTATTCGATTACTTACTTCTATCAAGTTATTCTCAATAGATCGATCAACGTTCATTGGAAATCAAGCAAAATATGCTGGGGGAGCTGTTTTCGTTGAATTCGTTCAGTATGTGAGCTGGATTGCTTCCAGTCTTTTCAAAAACAATCGAGTTCTGTATAGTGGATCTCATGATCATGACAACTTTCAAAAAGGAAGAGGTGGAGCAGTGTTTCTATTTTCCTCAACAACACCTCTCGCAATTGCTGACAGCTTGTTTCTAAACAATGAGGCCAATATTGGAGGAGCACTCTCGTATGCCTACTCGAGCTTTAAGAACATTTTGAATTGTACGTTTGAAAATAATCGAGCTCGAAAGACTGGTGGTGCCATATTTCACTTTTCACCTTCACCTAACAGTAATACCAGTTTTTCACTTGTACAGTTTGAAAACAATCAAGCAGGTGTGTATGGAGATAACTACCTTAGTTCGGTTACTTCAGTGAGATTTGATCAGAAGCATGTCAAATTGTATCCAGGTAAGTGAACTCTATCATTTTTGCGTGTTTTGTTGTCTTTTTACAATTGAGTAGGACAAACTTGGAATATTTCTATTACTCCCTTTGTAAATACTGTGCCAGTTCCTACCACTGTGGAAAATTATTTAATATCCACTTCCAATCCACAGTTGGAGTTACATGTGCAAGAACATTCAACATTTATTAGCGTCAAGCTCTTGTCCTTAATTGACACGACTGAAAAATTACAAGAGCATAGTATCAACACGACACTTTGGCTCGAAAACAAGAAAAGAATTGCGTTTTTCCAGCTCCGATTACTACCATGTCCAAAGGGAAAATTTTTAAAGCATTCCATGGTTTCTGAAATGAACAACAAATTCGCATATATGTGTGTTGATGCACCACCCAATTCTCTTGGATTAATTCTTGGTATTTCAATTCCATCCTTTCTAATATTTTTCATATTAGGTTCTCTATTTACTGGAGGTTGTATATTCATTGCTTTTCGAATTAGAAAAAAATTGAATCGACTTGCTGTGAAAGAAAAAGCAGAAAAAGAAGTAGAAAAGAAAATTCTCGACAAGAAAATTATCTTTAACAATTGGGTTAAAAGTCCAACAGTGAGTGTTGGAAGCGAATACTCCATGACTGTCCCATTGATTCACAGTGATAGTGGTGACGCTACTATTTCCCATATCAGTCAAGAAATGAAGCAATTCAAAAACAAGAAGGATTCATTCTTGATATCAATTGATGATTTGGAAATTATTAAGAAAATTGCTGAGGGTGGTTATGGTGTTATTTATCAGGCCAAGTTATGGGGGAAACTGGATGTAGCAATTAAAACTCTAAAACAAGTCGATGATGGCCTTGTACATGATTTTCAGGATGACGAAGAATTTGAAAAGGAAGTTTCTGTTTTGGCAAATTTAAATCATCCAAATATTCTAAAGTTTTATGGAATTTCTGTGACTGAAACGAGCAAATACATGATTACAGAGTATTTAGAGAACGGGTCATTGGAAAGAATGTTGAACAGTTGTAGATTTGGAAAAACTGTATTGACACTTGAAAAGAAATTACAAATCCTTGAAGATGTGAGTTGTGGAATGCACTATCTTCATTCTCTAAGTCCAGCAATTGTTCACAGAGATTTGAAGCCAGGAAACATTTTGCTCAAAAGGTACGTTCAATCTGAAATAATCATTTAATTTGGATGAAAATATTTTGTCAAGTGATCATACCTGTAAGGTTTGTGACTTTGGGTTGTCAAGAGTGATTGGAAGTAATGGAAACACAAACAAAACCATGACCAAGAATGTTGGTACTTTTTTCTATATGAGTCCTGAACTCATCTCTGATACCAACAGCTGCTATGAAGAGCGAACTCAAGGATCCTTGTCGAACTCTCAAGAAAAAGTATTAAGAGCGACAAAGCTTGATATTTATAGCTTTGGAATTATCATGTGGGAATTGTTTTTTGAGTTAGCACCATATTCTGAAAATCCAAAAATTGGAACTCAAGGAAAAGGCATTCCTTTTGTGAATATTTTGAGTTGTGTCATGCAAGGAGCAAGACCAGCCATTCCATTCCAAAACAAACAAGAATTGCAAGAATGGTTAAAAGTATATCCTGTTCGAATTCGAGAAGGATACTCAAGTCAAATTGGGAATTGCGATTTGGAATCCCTTATTTTGAGCTACTTTGAATTGGCAAGAAGGTGTTGGAGTCAAGAGGTTATGAGCAGGCCATCTTTTGAAGTCATCCTTGATGAATTAAGCAAGCTGAAATCCAAACTTTAACGGAATTGCCATTACTTGCAGGTGGTTTTTGTCAGGGCTTGAATTGAATAAAAATTCATGAACAACCACACCCCAATGTTTTGAATATTGGTTAGTGCTTTGTGAGATGGTCTACTCGTTATATATGAAACGCAAAGCAATGAACATAATTCTTTCCGGCCAACAATGTTTTCGTTCAAGAAAGAATAAAAAATTTCAGCTCGCCTTTGGTTCCGTCTCGGGAGGAATCGAACCTCCGTCAATGGATTCAAAGTCCACTATGCTACCATTACACCACGAGACGAGCACATCAATGATAATCCAACTTCTGCTTTGAGCAACACCAAAGCAACATTGAAATGAGAGATGATGGAACAGACATTTCTTGTTTGTGATCCACAATAAATGTATGTCATAATATAATAACCTTCACTATTACCTGGGATTGTGGTTGTGATGTCAAATTCAAATTAACCTCCAGTAAAAATTAAAAAATGTCGGACTCGATCGTTTCTTCTCAATCCAATTCGTTCGTATTGCAAAATAGAGAACGCATTCAATCCATTGTTCAGTTATTGCCCAAAATTGATATTCACACTCATTTGGGTGGATGTATACGATCAAGCACCATTTATGATCTCATCAAATTACATCCGAATATTTATGAAAATCCTGATGAAGTGGTTCGTCAGGTACAGCTTACGGAAGGAGATCAACGCAATCTAAAACAATGTTTTGATATTTTTAAAATTATTAATTCGGTTACTGCTGATTTGAAAGTAGTAGAAAGAATTACGTATGAAACTCTGGAAGATTATGATGCCGAGAATTGTATTTATTTAGAGTTGAGAACCACACCAAAAGCAAATTCAAATCCGTCGTATACTAAAAAGGATTACCTGATGTGTATTTTGAACACAATTGAAAGATACTTTAAAGAGCACGAGAATGACACTAACTTTGTCGATGTATCACTTTTGGTAAGTGTGAACAGAAGTGAGTCGATCGAGAAAGCAAAGGAAAATATTGATCTTGCTCATGAACTTATTTCTGAAAGACGGGAATTACAAAAGAAGGGTCATGTGTTTAGAAGCTCAGGTGTGGTTGGTCTCGATTTTTGTGGAAATCCCTATGACGGAAATTTCACTGCTTTTGCCAAACTGTTTGCTGAAAGCAATCTAAATCAAACCATTCACTTTGCAGAAATTAACAACTATGAAGAGTCTAAAGCGATGCTTCGACATTGCTTGGAGATGAATTCGAAAGTGAAACTTCGTTTGGGACACGCAGTCTGTCTCAATGATGAGATCAAGGAAATGCTTGTTGTTGATAAGAGCAAAGAAGAACTAAGAGAAAAACATACACAATTTGACAGAATTCCAGTTGAAATTTGTTTGACCTCTAACCTCTTGAGCAAATCAGTTTTTAACATTCATGATCATCCGTTAGTGATGTTTTATTTGTCAAACCATCCTGTCAGCATCAACACTGATGACAGAGGAGTGTTTCAAACCTCTCTTGAAATTGAATACATGAAGGCCATAGAAGTGTTCGACAAGATTTTGTCTAATACCCCTAATAATCAAACAGAAATTCAAACCTCACTTTATGAGTTGATACGTGTGGTGGAGAAATCTATTGAAAGTATTTTTGTTGAAGATAGTGTTATTGAGAAAATATTGATTTCTTACCGAGAACGTGTAGCTCTTGTTCTGGCAGCAGATTAGATCACTTGGTGTCAATTCAAAATATTTTCATTATTTATGTGCAGCTAATAAATTAGTATATTTGATTTACATGCTCCATTTGAGTTGGAGATCCTTCTTATTGACTAACCAACGAGCAACAAATACAAGAACTAAAAGACCAGATGTTGACAGAATAAGCATGGCATGATTAAAGTCCTCATTCAAAATGTCAAACTTCTTAGAGGGTGACAATCTTGTGAAGAAAATGTCCAAACCTGATGAGAGCATTAGGGTTGTTGATTCAAGAATCGATGGGCTTGTTTGAATAAGTCGTATTCTATGGGCAGGCTTGCCATAATTTGCAACATTGAGTGACACATATGGAATGTATGGATTGTAAGGCATTAAGCCCTCAGCAATTTCATCTGGAGCAAGAGCTGGATTTCTTGGTCTACGGGCATCCACCAATTTTTTATCGAGAAGGTAGACTTGGTCATTGGTCATGGAGACTGAGGCGCGATCATCTGTCAGCATTGCTCAAAATTTCAATAGGATTACTTACCAATGTATTGCTTGTTTGTGACTCCAATAGTTGTCTTTGTAATACCAATGGATTTAATACCATAAGAGAAAATGTAGCTATTCTTTTTCACCGTTGGTTTGCTGTATCCAAAAGATGAAAAGACACCACTTTCTTTTGATGCTGAAAACTTTTCCATAAGAATTGATAAGAAATCCTTCTTTTGGAATTCTGTTCCATTATTAAATAATTCCAGCGATGTCAATTCATATCTCAATTGTCTTGCATTAGTATAGTGATAAAGGAGAGTGTTTTCATCCATTACCATATTAATAGGGCCAGAAGCATCTTCATGATGAATTTGATATAAAATTTCTCCAGTTGTTCCATCAATAATATAAACACGAAGAACTGGATATTCTGCTGTGGCACTTTCTTTTTCTATGGTTGCCACTGCAAACATTCCTGGGTTCAAATACTTATACATTACATTACCAGACGCGGTTACAATGATACCAGTATAAATATGTTGATTCAATAATGAAGGTGGGGAAGCAAAGGATACAATTGGTGTGCCAAGCGAAATGGACCATGTCTGCGAAGCTTTGGTTTCGTTTACGTTCCATGCATAGCCATATAATTTGCCTTCTTTGACGTTTCTAGTATGAAAATGAATACTGAGTGGGAAGGATTTTACAACCTTCACAACATCGCTAGTTTCTGGGAAAACTTTGACATTATACTCTTCATCAATTAAAAGAAGTGGATATACTCTTCCTGCGGTAGTGGTAGGAATTAATACCACGTTGCTAAACGAGAAACCAAGTAAAGTTTTTGAAAGTTGTTTTCCATTTAAAGCATCAAGTACAAGAGCAACTGATCTTGACTTTCCAACTATGAATAGGGTAGCCTCTGATCTTAATTTAACGTCATCCTTGAGTACTTGCTCCTTAGTAATAAATAAGTGAGTTTTAACATCCTTGGTGTCAATCTCGGTCTTAACAATTAGTGGTACAAAGAGAGACCAGACAATGTGCCCATCCGAAGAGTGCAAGCCAAAGAGCTTTCCTATCTTGGTTTTGACAAGCAATAGTTTTTGGAATCCAAGTCTGTCTTGAACAAATTTTAGGCTTTCATCTTCACCTTTGGTGGCGTCGTAATTGTTCTTGCCTAGAAATTGGTTGACATAAGATGTCGCCTTTTGAATCATTTCTGTCAATTGATCTAATTGTAAAAGTAATCTATTGACAAATGAAGGAGCACTACTTTCAGCTTTCAAGGTGTGATGAACTGGAAATTCTACAAACTTGATATCATCTACAGATGCAAGGGCTTCTTCTCTTGTCCAAACCTTTTGGTTTTCTTTGTAACCTATCATTGATTCGTCCTCACAAATCACAATGAACCTATAAATTAATTGGTTATTTGCTTCTTGATTCTTGAAGACTTGCAAGAAAATTCTTTGGATATCTCCGTGGTTACTACGAGAAAGGTCAAGCTTAAATTGAGCTACAGTCTCTCCAGAAGCCTTTTTAACAGACACAGAAGCTGACTCTGTATCTTGGCTATCCACAGTAGCAAAATATGAGACACCATCTAATTGCAATATTGGAGATGAAATGTGCTTTTGTCCCTCCTTCGTTGTTTTAACTCCAAACTCATTCTCAAAATAGAAGCTGTTTTGATACAAAATGAGTTTTGAATGTGCTTGCTCCTCGCTGATTGTTTCTTCCTTAATATCTCCTGAGTTCAACGCCAAGCAAGAAATCTTAGAAGAAGTCTTAAAGCATACTTTCTCATTATTTGCAGAAAGGTTGAGCTGGGAAATGTCATCAATATCAACTTGAAATGTTTTTTGGGTGGTCAGAGCACCGTTTTCAATATTTACACTCTGTATCACCACTGGCTTCTTACCAGAGTCAGCAGATCCAATTTGGACGACATTTAACTGTTGTCCAGCATAAAAAAGCTTTGTAAAAACACTAACGAACCAAATTTTACAAATGAATTGATCCAACAGGTCACACCTACCTTTCATCTTTTGATGTTATCTTCCACTTTTCAGCGCCATTCTTTAAATCTTTAGAAAAGAGAGAATTTCCAGTGGAAATGACTAAAAGTCCAGATATTGCCAAGGCATCATTGAAATTAGATTCTGATACTCGGTCAAATATTAAAGATCCATCCAACGCACTCCATAATTTGATATACCTCTTGTTAGAGCTTTGATTAATAGACAAAGAAACAATCTTATCAAAACCTGCTGAGTAAATGTTTTCAATCGATTCGTCTTCACTAAATACTCTTCTCCACACTTTAATTCCGAATATGATAAATTGTAGATGACCATCGGAAGCAATAAAATCATATAAGACGTCTGTTAAAAAACCAATACGTACTCAATTCTCCTGTTCTCACATTTAATCCAGCCAAAACACCCATATTACTAGCGACCACTATTAACGCCTTGTTAGAAAATCCAGACTCCACCGACATGACTCTTCCAATATTTTCCTTCATCCAATCATACGTATTTGCTTCACTTTGTAAGATAGCCTCCACAACATCGCCTCTCATCATTGCAGCCACTGCCAATAATAACAAGAAGAGTACCATAGAGAACACTCTAAACTTTTCCGATCTTCTCATCATGGGCTTCGCATGACGCGTCATCACGAAGGAATTATTCATTTTTTTAAAGCTTCAAAGTTTTTTAATTTTGGATGAATAGATGAATAAATAAATTACATAATGATAATGTTATTATTTAGTTTAATTAGTATTGTTGTTCTAATAAGTTAGGAAATATTGAAATGATTATTAGTATTGTAATACTACTGTAACATCATTGGGTTGACCAAAAAATAATGACATTGCTCTTTCATTCATTTCCGATCGAGTTGGTTTGCTCTGTTTTAGACTTTCTAACTCTTGATCTCTCTCATTACTGTTATGGATATTGCCATATGATTCATTTAAATTCTTCATCCTCTTATTCCCAATATTCATCGGAGAAGAAGTATCTTACGAACAACTTGGAAATACAAAACAATCATTTCAATAATGAAACTACTACTCCCGATGTATTAGAACATTTTCTTGGGAATTTATATTCGTCTATTCTTTCATTGAATGGAAGTCCAACGAATTTTGGATCTAGTAGTAACACTAGTGGCAAATCAACGGGACGATGCTTGTCGTCCTATTTCATTCGGATTTTATTTGGATATAAACGAGGAAATTCGAGAGGAAATGTCATGTTGTTGTGGTCGAATATTAAATTAAGTGGGTTGAGAGATTGGCCTTATTTTGTGACTATGAGTAAAGAGGCTTCGAATATCATGTATAATGAAGAAGAACGTATTTGCAAAGAATTTTTGTATAGAATGATTCCACATGCTTCACGAGTGAGAAGTGTTGTGCTAAATTGTAAAATAGAAAGCTCTGTCAATTTTCTAAATGAATATTTACAATATTATTCTAGACACGAATTAACAAACACAAAGAAATTGTCACACACTTTGGGAAAAATTGATTGTTCTCCATTTTCCAGTCTTATCAAAAAGAAATACAAATTCTTTGGAGAAAGGATGGTAAAATCTAGTCAATTATTTCACAGACAAGAATGTCAAAATGATTCTACTGAGCAGAGCTTTGCATCTCTTGTACGATCAGGATTTAACAAGCTTCTTGTGTCTATTAATGCACCATCACGCAATCATAACTTTATGTCATCTAGTTCACTAATTGAAATGCCTCATTTGCGATACATTGACTTGTCAGGTCTTACCTTTCAAGTTCAAGGTAAAACTAACAATTTACTAGAGCAATATGTGAATGATACTGTTCACTGGTTTAGAAACCTATTTTCTAAAACTCCTAATTTACAAGTATTTAAACTTAACTACATTTACGGCAATAATGAATCCAATCTTCCTGTCGATGAAGCCACACCACAAGAGCAATTTTTATTTGAATCCATTGTCAACTGTATATGTGAATCAAATCTAACCAAGCTGAAAGAACTCTCTATGAATGGATGTGGGCTGTCAAACAAAGGTTTTATTACTATTCTTAAACGTTTACGCCTCAAAAAGGTATCTTTGAAGTACAACAAAGACATAACTTTGGACGATCCATTCTATTCAGATCCAAGGAATGCTAACAACTATCTACAATACTTGAATTTATCTTACTGTGAATTAGGTTATTTTTCTGGATTTTTAGATCTCATTAGCAAAATATTGCCATCAATCAAAACCTTGAAAATTGCAGGAAATAATGACATGTTTTTGTATACAAGAACTCTCAACGCTCTATTGCAAAACCTTTCTTTGGAATACTTAGATCTTCGAAGCTCGCCTATCATACAAGATGACGATCTGAAATTGTCCAACAAAACAAGAAAATTGAGACTAAAACTACCCAAGCTGGAGAGTTCAACCATTAAGTTTGTTTCTTCCTCCTTTTTCAATATTAACTTTTTAGAAATTTCCAAGTATTCATTGTCTGTTTCACAAATAGACGAAATACTGGGTGCATGTAGAAGGCAATTGACTGTGTTGAGGTTACCTGATTCTCATCTTACCAATGATCATGCGTATTGCATTGCACGTCATATGACAAGCTCTCTTGAAGAAGGATACGACGGATTGACAGAGTTGGATCTTTCGAGGAATAATATTAAGGATGGAGGTTTTAATGCTCTATGGCAATCTTTGCCCAATCTGAACATCTTCAAACTTGGAGGAAATGTAGATGTTTCTAACAACTCTTTCAAAAATGTTGCGATACCAATCAAGCTGCATACATTGGAACTGGCCTGCACTAAAATAGGTGATAATACTGCGTGTGAGTGGTTGTTCAAAAGCACATCTAACGAAAAGAAGAGGAGATGTCAACTAACAGCGCTGGACGCCCACAACACAATGTTCGGTGATTCCCTTATTGATTATGTCAAGAATGCACAAAGCTTGCGATATTTGGATGTGTCAGACTCGCTTCTTTCAAAAGAAGCCAAACAGATATTGAGGTCATCTTGTTTGTTTATTTCAGAAATTATTGTATAAAGCGCTTTACACAATGATTTGTCACTAAAGATTCTCGATTGCTATCTTCTGTAACTCAGTGATACTGGCCTCAATGTTCGATCCCATACCAAAAGCGAGCATGTGTTCAGTAAGCTGGTTTCCAATGGTGGCCCGTGTTAATGTGTTCGCATATTCGAGTTTCCAAAACCGAGAAGTAGTTTGCTCCACTTGCTGACCTTGTCGCTATGGAAAAGCCTGTACATGTGAACTTGGAGTTTGCAAAATCGTAGCATGTCATCCCTTTCCAGTCGTTCCATATATTCATAAACTTGTTCAGCATACTCTTCATATTTTTCTAACGTCATGTTTCTCCTGTTCGTTTGAATACCACATAGCCAATCTAAAGCGCAAATATTCATTGGACAAATGGTGAATGATTTCTCTAAGCAACTCACAACTAGGTCAATGTTTTTTTCCTTCATGTCTAACAACAACAGTCCTTGATTGAGATAAGCCATAGACAACTCTGATCGGATCTCTTTCACTGGAGAGTGTTTCATTATTATCTTTAAAAGCTTTTGGTTATCTTTAAAAGCCCTATCATAGTGTTTGGTTTGTTGGAATAGTGTAACTCGGTTAAGATAAATTAGGATTAGGTTTTCATTACATTCGAGAGCCTTATTAAAGTTAGCCATCGTTGACTTGACATCATTAGCTCTCCATTTCAAAAGGCCGATCATGTAATATACAAATGGTTGTAACATCGAGTTTCCATAGGTCATTTCAGCATCAACAGTCTCTGGATAGATCGTGGATGGTATTATACCTCTAAAACCAAAGGCGTGAGAATCTCGAATGGCCGCCAGCGAGACATCCAAGAAATGAATTGGTGCTGTATGATTTCTAGGTACAAGTTTGTTAAATCCTGTTAGCATGCCAATAAAGTAATGGCCGTAAAAACATTGCGGATCCTTGTCGGTAGCACTAAAGAAATGATCATTTGGATTTGTGTTATGAGTGAAGTGATGGAGGCACCCAAAGAACACCTCTCGAACGGCTTCTGTCTTTTTGATAAGGGTTTCAAAAGTTGAGATCAGCTCAATACCTTTTGGATAGCTCTTCATGCTCATCAAAGAGGACTCTGACAACTCAAGCAAGGCTCGCAAGTTTTGTAGCTCTTCGTCACATCTGACAATTCCTATTCTAAGCCATTTCATTGTCTCAATGTTCTTGTCCATTAATCTAAACACTTCCAATAGTTGGAAATAGGCGTGATAGTTGTATGGATTCTTTTGTACAGATTCCAAAAAGTGGGCATATGACTCCTTGGCTCTATATTTACAAACCAGCTCAGTTCCTAGAATAGCGTCATCCATGGATGTCCTTTCTTGGCATTTCTCTCTTTTCATGTAATCTCTGAATAGCGAAAGCTTGTCTTTCACTTGTTCATAGAATCTTCTCAAACAAGGATGGAAAAGCTCTTTAATTTCTTTTTGGCTCTTGTCAACACTCATTGAAGACAATACGGCCATGTTGAACTTTCTTCTCTTCAATTTAGATTCCTCACAATCTACTGTCTCCAATAGGGGCGAATATTCTTCTGCGTCCAAGCTCAGAAATTGAGAGAGTTTTCTCTTTTGAGTTGGAGTGGAGTCATCAGTCTTGCTTGGTTGAGTACTGGTTCCACAAGGCACTTGATGACAAAGCCCAAAAAGGTTGAAATTATTGTTAGTTGAAGGAGAGCTATGTTGAGACGTTTCACCATTTTCATAAACTTCTATGGCAGTGGTCAGGTCGTTAATAGAATGCCTCATAAACTCATCCGAATTCAAGTAAAAATCAGGGTTTTCAATTCGGTGCTGCAAAAACAAAGCTCTCGCATAGAATTTGAAAAATAGGAAGAAAGCATTTGTTGAGATGTGTTCAGGCCTTGACGTCTCACTATCCAAAGAGGCAGAATTTTGAGAAGAGTCTTTCTTTGGATTAATTAAACTTTCCATGTGTTCCATTGCAACTTTGAAGGAACGATTTTGGAAGAAGGAGCTGATCATATATCTAAACACTCTTTCGCTTTGTTTCCTGAGCAATATGGCCTCCTTTTTGTGCTGTTCGGTCGAAATAAAGTCCGGTGAGAGAGCCAACATACAAAATTCGTCATCACCTGACAGAATGTCTCTAATGTCTTTCCAGTCGCTACTCGAGCAGTTGAGACCATGATCTTTAAAGGAAGAGCCTTCGTTATTGTTTAGAGAGCAACTTGGCAGAGAAAGTACGTCTACAGTGGAAGAGGAGTTGATGGAAGTGGTTAAAGGTGATGATGATGAGGAGAAAGGGGTTTTGATGTTATTACAAAGATGCTGTGCTGGGGAGGAGATATTGCCGCTACTACTGTCAGTTTGAAGAGGAGTTAGAAGAGAGGAAGGTATTATTCTACAATTGTTGCGGCCAGTGGTGGTATTATTATTGCGAGTGGTGGTTGTGGCTTCATTGTTCAGTAGTGTGTTGGGAGATCCAGTATGGGTTCTGTGTGTCGGTAATGGAGAAGCAACGCAAAACAAAGTTTCACCTTGCTGAGGTTGAATTGGAGACGGTGATGATGATGGAGTCATACGGTGATGATGATGGTGGTGATTAAATTGAAGGAAGGACGAGGTAGTAACATCACTTGATTCATTACTAGAAGGCAAAGAGCCAGTTTCGCTTGTCGTTGATGATTTCATCATGTTGTTAATAATAATTTAAAAAGGAGTTGTGATACAGATCAGGCCTGAGTATCTTCCTAGTTTATAAGCAGACTTGAAATTAATAAACAGTATTAGCAACAATGATGGTGAATGTTGTTGTTGTTAAGGAGATTGACATAAAAGTGCTGATGATCAAGCTGTTGGTGTGTGTTCTCAAATAGTATTGTTTCCACGAGTTAGGGATGATGTACAAAAGTTGAGAATGAGTGAACAATGTCGATGTATGGTACAACTCAATAATGATGAGGATTGATATGAGAGTGGTGGGAAGATGTTCGTTTCAGTTACTAGTGCAAGCGTGTGATGATTCCGTGCAACTTTGTTGGTAGAGAGACGATAACACTGACGAATGATGGATTTGTTTGGTGGGACAACAACAATAACAGTCAGCAATAGGAGATGAAGATGATGATAACTTTTTAAAGAGAGGAAGTTGGAGATGGTCAAAGAATGTGCAAAACCCCTTCCACTACAACACGCTGATTCTCGTTGTTTGTGAGGTATGAACAAGCAGAGAAACTTTTTTTGAAGAAAAACCTGATTGATGATTCCTTCTGGGCTTCGATAGATAACTTATCTGGTTTTTTGTATTACCTGCTACCGACACTCATGCGGCATTACCTTGTCAAATAAGTTATTATGTGTTTTATTCAAGAGCGAGAACTATTCATTATCAAAACTAAATTCTTCTTCACCTTCTGCTGTGGCACGAGAAGAACTTGCCATGTAGTCTTCTTCGTCGTCATCCTCAACAGTCCTAGCTGGTTGATAGTGTTGAACTTGAATGTCTTCGTCCTCCATTTCATTGTCCTGCTCAACAGGTTCTTCAGTTTGATCGGCCTTCTTCTTTAGACGAGACTTCTTCTTTGAGGAATCTTTTTTGCTCTTTTTTTCTTTGGGTTCTTTGCTCTTCTTCTTTTTCTTGCTTTCTGGTGGTTGTTCTGCATCTCCTTGAGCAATTGATCCCTCGTCAACCTGGTCCTTCTTCTTTCTCTTCTTTGTTTTCTTTGGTTCTTCTCCTTCCTCACCTCCTTCGTCTGCTGCAGTGCTTACAGCTGCTGATCGCATAATGTTCTCAATCTTTTCAATGTTTTCCATATAAATTCTTTTCATCTTCTCCTCTCTTTCTTTTCTTTCACGTTCCTCTGCTTCCAATCGCTTCTTGTTTTCTTCTTCAAGAAGCTTGAAAGCGTTTTCTTGTTTGATCTTCAATTCCTCTCTTGCTTTTTCCTCACTTTCTGCTTTTTCTCTGTATTTCTGAATTTTCTCTCGTACCTTTGAGTCCAATATTTTGATGTACTCATTAGCTTTGTGAATAACAACAGGCTCAGGAAGAGAGAATTCGCTGGATATCTTTTTCTGTTGTTGCTGTTGTTGGGAAGAATTAATGTCCTTATTGGATATTTCTCTAAAGAGATCAAGTGCTTTGTTTAAATACTCTTCCAACAATACAGCATTATTCAAGGACTTATTCTTTTGGCTTGTAATGGCATTAATCTTTTCATAGTATGTGATGGCAATATTATATTTGACAGTGAGATTGTTTGGATCAAACTTTTCAATTCTAGAGAGAGTTTCCAAACACGAGTCATAATTGGCATTATCAAAATAAGATTTGGCAAGGAATGCCAAAACAAGGGTATTCTCATCATTGAAAAAACGTTTTGAACATGTAGAATATAACTTTTCAGCTTGAGCATATTGCTTTTGAAGCATGGCTAAATGTCCCATGTTGATATACGTCTCTGGATTCTCTTTCTTGTCATTGTAGTCTCCAACACAAACTTCTCGTACTCTATTCATAAGGGCCTTTCCATCTTCTGTATAGCCATATTCACATAAAACACATCCACTGTTCATGGTAGCGTACAAGTTACTTCCATCCAGTTTCATGGCTTTCTCAAAAAAGCCAAGTGCATACTCGAGATACTTTTCAATCTTTGCTTGCTCCTTTTCATATTTCTCATCGTTCGTCTTAGTGGGAACTCTTAAAGATCGGAAGTAAATATTACCCAATCCCAAAAGAGCGTAAATATCATTCTTTTCAATATTCTGAACAATGTACTCAAAGGCTTTTTGAGCTTCAGTAAAGTTGTTTTGTTCTAGATATGTTTGACCTAGGAAAGACCATGTCACTGGATTTGTGGGTTCTAATGAGGTTGTCAACTTGCAAAGTTGAATAGCCTTTTCATAATTTCCTTTCGCTTGCTGAATACCGGCAAGTCTAAGATAGGCATTGATATAACTTGGATGTTGGGATGCAATCTTGAGCAATAATTTTTCTGCTGTGTCATACGCTTTTGTACGTTCATATAATCGAGCAATGTTGTATACTAACGACAACGTAGTTGTGTCAATGGATTGCTCTTCCAAGTCATCCAGATTGTCAAGGGCCTTGCAACTGGTTAAGGACAAAGCTTTTTTAAAGTTTTTCTCAGCTTCTTGATATTGACCAAGTTGGTATTGATGCACACCAATATTGTTATAAAGTTCGAATGAAATAGGTGTACCTCTTTCCTCCAAAATTTCTTGGGCTTTTTTCAAGTTGGTTAGAGCTTGTTGTGTATTGCATCTCTCATACTCTCCTAGCCTGAGTAAGGCATCCAAATCTTCTGGATCCTTTTTTAATACCTTTTTAAAGTATTTGATTGTCTTCTTAGGATCTCTTTTTCTTGCATACAGTTTACCCAATACACGGTTTGTTTCTAAATTTTCAGGTTCTGACTTCAAAACAGTTTCGAACTCGCTGATTGCGTTATCAATCTCGTTCCTTTGAATGTACATTTGACCAAGACCATAATGAGCGAGGGTGTGATCACTCCAGTATGAGGAAATTATACGATAGTAAAATCCGAATGCACGGTGGTACTCTTGTTCGATGTGATAGGCTCTGGCTGTGTTGTAGCAGCTTTCTGCCTTGATCTTACTTGCTCTTGAGTTTTCAAAGGCAGTACATGAAAGTTGCAATGCCGTGGTGGTATCTTTCTTGAAAATGAAGTGATTTCCCAATAGATTTAAAACTTGAGGATTTGTTTGATCCAACGAGTAAGCCTTTCTTAGGTTAGTTTTCACAGCATTTTGTACAAGATTTTCGTCATTCGAGTTTAAATCCATGACTGCTAGAGAAACAAGAGCAGCAACATTGTTTGGGTCAAGTTTCAGAACTCGTTCAAAACATTGTCTAGCTCTTTGATAATTTTCCAATTGGTAATGACACAATCCCAATCCAAGTCTAATATCTGCTGGGCCTTGTGGATTTAATCTCAAGCATTGTTCATAGATTGTGAGTGCTTCCTTGAATTGCTTTTGATTATATCTGACGCAAGCCATTCCAAGAAGAGCTGGAATATTATTTTTATCGACAGTCAAAACGTAGTCGAACTTTCCTTCTGCCTTGTCCACTTCTCCGAGATTTAAATGGAGAACAGCACGTGAAAGAAAGTTGGTTACTTTTGAAGGATTTAACTGTTCCGCTTCTTGGATTAATTTTTCAATTTCATTTCGAATCTCTTCTCTCATATTCTGTAATACATCATCCGAAATGTTCTTGTCATTACTAGTAGAAACCACTTTGTTGTATCTTTCGATTTGATATCCGGCTAATATGTTTAATGCTTCAACTTTAGCTTCCGTATATTCAAAGTGTCCATAGTAGTCATTGAAAGATGACTCGGATAGCAATCGTTTCAAAAGCTTTTCGAAAAGATCGGTCCTATTGATTTGATAGTACAGGACAGATATTCTAATAAAGCAATCCAATGGAGGTTTTTCATCAAACAAAAGCGATTCGATATCTTCATAAGCATCATTCACCAAATCAACCTGAATCACCACACCATCACTTGCCGTAACATCGAAGGGAACCGATGTATTCGAATTTGATGATGATGGTGTATTCATTTTTGAATTTTTTTTGGTTTAAAAAATTTTATTGTTGTGTGTTTTTGATCAAAGCATCTAGAAAGAAGTGATGAGGATATCAAACGAAAGAACTGTACAATGAATATTGGAAGTATTTTCAGTCTTCATTTTCGTCTTCAGAAAGAGCTTGACTTTTCTTGCGCTTTTTCATACTTGAAGTTTGGTTGACTAATCCCGATAACACAATATCCTCCTCGGAATTGGCAAAAGGAGAGCAAATTGATGATGGAGTCGTATGTTGCAAGACTGTTCTACTACTATAAGGCGATGGAGACGAAGAAGATTGTACCAAGATTGAAGGAGGCTTTGGGATTGTAAAATCATCATCACTGTCGTCCATATCAATGGCTTCAATCAGTTTCACCTCTTCGATAAGGTCATCATAGAAATCTGAAATCACTTTAAAGAACTTATCTGTAAACGTGTCGTGATCATCAGAGTATTGTTTTTCCAAGATGACACATATATGATAGACTTCATGCATTCTTTCCTCAATCACCACCTTGAATTGCTTTCGTTGGCATGGATCACCCTTAAACTCTTTGAACAGAGAGCATAACTCTTTGTTGCAATTTACAAGCCAAGGCTTTGCAATTCCAAAATCAAGAAATTTCTCTCCAACCCCACACTTTATGGTTCTACAGGCTTTATGCGAAATTCTGCATAGTGGACAAACATGAGTTACCTTCAAAGATTGAGCCTTAGATTTTCCAGAGGACATTGATCAAATATGAGTCTAAGCAGGAGCAACTAAGGTCAACTGAGGGTTGTGTTTTAATTTTTTTTTTTTGCATGATTCAAGTTTCGGCACTACAGTCAACTGAACCAACCAACTCTGTATAAGTAGCATTTCTAACCCACATCACGAGCATCCAGTCTCACAGGTTCATTCATCAGCAATAATTAAAAGAAACAAATACACGCGATCACAAAAAATGAGACAAACACAATTATCGTGGATGCAAATCATGTTCTTTAATCATCTTCAGCCTTTGTTGTTTCGAAGGCCTTCTCATGATGCCTCTGTGGAAGATCTAGTTTTGAACAAAATCAATGTAGAGAAGCAAACACGAATACCGTTTGAAAATGCACATTTGGCACCATCGGAGTTGAGTGGTGAAAATGGAGAAATTGTACAAAACATGTCAACCTTTATGAAACGTTTTTTGGGATCGTTTATGTGGAGTCTCATTCCTTTGTTTATATCGAAAATTTGTCAATTGGCACAAACTGTTTTGGTGAGCCATATTTTACTGTTGATTGATACAAGAGGAAGCAGGCTCGGGACGGACCAAAATAATGAAACTCATAACCACTATGACATATCGCTAGCACTTTGCTGCTTGCTATTGTTCATTGATAGATTACTTATTGGTATTACTTTACGATGGCACTTTAATGTACAGACTGTATTTTCACATCAAATTAGCTATTATTTATATTCTTCGAGTTACATGAAATGTGTTCGAGCACAAAAGCGAGTTGGACTCAACATTTCTGCAATATCTAGCGAGATTTCTCAAATTGAGAAATCAGTGTCGCAAGCCCACAGTTTGGTTTCTCATCTCTTTCATTTATTTGGAGCAATGGCAATAATTCATTACCAATATCAAAGCTCCCTCATTACAACAACGTTTATTATTATTTGCAGTCTGAGTATACCACTTAATATGGTATTACAATCAAAAAACAGCTCATACACCAATGAGAAAACAAATTATTCCAACCAGAGAATTAATTTATTGTCACATTTTTTGAATTGCTTTAAACAAGTCAAATCCTTTGTATGGGAATCAACAGTTATCGAGAAAATATCACGAATAAGAAATATAGAGGGTGTTTATTTGTTTAAGCTGTACTGGGTTGACAACATCATTGCTTGTATATGGTATATTTTCCCGTTTGTGATAACCTGTTCTCTTCTCCTATCATCCAAATTACTGGAAAGGACCACAGATGAAAAAACAATATTCACAATTTTGATTTTATTGGATGGAATTTCTGTACCAATATTTGAGCTCCCAAAATGCCTGAATCAAGTCATGTATGCTTCTCAATGTTTACATCGGCTTGGGAGCTTATTGCATTCAATGCAAGTTGACGAGCGGCCAATTACCGAGAATGGAGAAAGCAAAAGTGACACTAATTTGTTACTAATCCCACAAAATAGCACGTTGACAATATCAGGAAAGGCGAGCAAGGTGTCAATGGTATCTCCTTTTTTCATACAACCGAAGGAGTGGATATCATTACGAGGAAGAACTTCATCAGGAAAAACGTCACTCATCGTATCAATTTTAGAAAGAATAGCCAAGGTTTCAAATGCAAACAGTGACATTCAAACGAAAAATAATTTAGAGATCATTTATTCCCCACAAGAGCCATTTATTATGAATGACACAATCAAAGAAAACATAATTTTTGGGTTGCCCTATCAACAGCATATTTTCGAGGAAGCTGTGAAAGATTCACAGCTCGAGTTGGACGTAACCCAGTGGAGATCTCAAGAATGCAGTAATAAGTTATGTGGCTACTTTGGAAATAATTTATCAGGTGGACAGAAAATTAGAATCAATCTCGCTCGATGTTTATACAGGTACTACTATCTCAAAGAAAACAAAAATGATGTATCATTCTTATTGATATTTGACGAATTATTTAATGCTCTTGACCCTACCGTTGCAGAGGTAGTGATGGACACACTAGTGAACACTCTCAAAGACGTTCCAAATGTCAGTGTGTTTTTCACATCCTGCGATAATAGGTATGATCACCTCATGGATAGAGTTTATGACGCAGTTGAAGGAAATATTTCAGAGGGGTCTATTAAGAAAGAAGAAAGAGTAATGGATGGCTCTACATTATTGCGAGGGCACTTTAAACGATCTCACAGTGATTTGAGGATGGATGAGTCGAAACCATCTAAATCAGAGAGAGTGGTGGACCGTCTTCTGAGCTTGTACGATATTGCAAAGTTCTATTTGCTCTCACAAACAAACTTATTCACTGGAGTTACTGTCATTTCTCTTTTAGCCATTTCTCAGTTGTTTAAATCCTCTACAGGCATTGTATTTTCGAACTTTAACTCCTACACCTATTTGTTTTGGATTTTAGGATTAGTAAGAATATTGGTAGAGCTTGGATTGGGGTATTTTTGGAGCTTGAAATGTTATAGAACTAACTCCACAATTCATGAAAATGCTCTAGACAAGATATTACATGTTCCTTTGAGCTTTTTTGTTGATTCTTCAGGCAAGAAGCGAAAAACTGAAAAGAACGGTAGATATGGCGATGTAGTCGAAAGATTTTCAACGAATATGGCAAGCCTTGACAGATCTATACCATGGCTGTTAAAAGAGGCAGCTCAAAAGTATTTGGAATGTTTTGGCTCACTTGCAACCTTACTGTTGTATATATCAGAGGCAAACCTGTTGGTTGTCTTCTTTTCATTTCTTATTATGATAGGAATTATTCTGTACTCGAGGAAATACTATAGATTGTATTCTAAAACAAGAGACGACATGTCACTCTTACTTTCAGAAAAGAGAGCAATAATGTCACAATTTTTCATGGAATCTACACATCCTACTGCAGTTTTAATGATCCAAGTGTATAATCAAGTTCCTTACTTTTACCAAAAATTTACACGAAGCGTGGCTCATACGATGAACATTTCATACGTATTTAACAGCTGTACCGACTGGTTGGGAGTTCGCTTGGAATGCCTAATCTCATTACTGTTATTCATTCCATTCATGTACCTCATTCAAGCCGTGTGTGAAGGAGATTGTGACTCTCTTCACAAGCAAAAGCTTTACTATGCTGGAATTTTACTTTCCACTTGCATTGAATTCTTCAACAGATTTTTATGGACTCTGGTTGTGACTACTCGTGTGGAGTGTGAGTTACCTTTCATTGGTAAAATCATTGAATTCGGCAAGTTGCAAACAGAACAAGAAGAGCAAGGGAACGAATGCCAATCTTTACCTACAACATGTAATGCACAACTGGAATTAGAAAATGTGTCCTACGAGAATATTCTATCAAATTTATCTTGTCAATTTAAATATGGATCAATTAATGGAATTATTGGAAGAACAGGAAGTGGGAAAAGTTTTACACTTTCTCTGATTCATAGATTTTGGTTTCCACTCCAAGGAAAAATATTGTTTTGTGATCATGGTATATTTGAATACGAGTTATGCTCCTATCGATCCAAAGTGACCATGATACCCCAAGATACAAGTTTTTTATTGGGAAGCTCTTTACGAGAACATATTGATGAACACAAATTGTTTTCAGATCATGATATTTTACAAGCGTTGAATTTACTTGGAGTTGATTACATTACTAGCCATGATTTAAATGCGATAATCAACAAAGAAGAAGATATGAAGATTGAAAAAGTAATGATCTTCCTTGCTAGAGTTTATCTACTGGTCACCAAATTGACAGATGTGAATCCAAGGAAACCAAAAATTCTCATGTTGGATGAAATCACCGCATCTATGGATATTCATCATACTCGAAACGTAATCTCTTGTGTGAAATTATTATGTACCAAGTATGATCTAACAGTGTTATGGGTCACACATCAATTGGAGTGCTTGAGAGCCTGTGATTATTTAGTTTGTTTAGATAATGGCCAAATCGTAGAGAGTGGTGTTGTGGAAGAGTTACTGAACGATCCAGACTCAAAAGTTATTCCCTATTTAGAATATCCAATGAGAACATGTTCAACACCAAAATGTAATATTATTACTGCCAAAACAAACGGAGATTAATCGCTTTCATCCTCACTACTGCTATCTTCCTCATCGTCAGAATTAGAACCATCATTTGAAGAAGAATAATCGTCAGAATCATGATCATCTAAATCACTATCTTCCTCATCATCATCATTGAATGGATCCTGTCGATGAGATGCCAACTTGTTTTCATCCTTCCTCGTATTCTTTCGATAGAGAATTCTTAACTTGAGACTTGTCACAATTTTCTGAGCGAGTTTTGTATTTTTAAATCTCATGAAATCTCTTGCCATCACAATAAGAACCACCATGATTGCAAAACTCAAAATGAGCACTGAGCTAGGATCTGAGAGAAGTGTATAATCAAACTTTGTTGGATACAATTGTGAATTTACACAATATCGTCTGGATCTCCTATAATCTCGAGTTCGTGTGAAAATGGCATGTTGTTGAAGATAGACATGGTCCTGAGATGAAAAATCTGTATACTCAACTCCATCCTTACAGACTTGACATGTTCCTTGAATACACTCCAATCCATCAAAACCACACACACGAGAGAGTGGAACACCTTTTGATGCCATTTGAGGATGAATCACTTCCGAACATTGTTCACCATGTAAGGGATGAGTGTTGAGAGAACGACACCTTCCACTCTCATCACAATAACTTCCAACAGAACATTGATAATCACTGAGTGGAAGATGACTTGCACTCGGTTCTGAACATTGCCTTCCAAAGACAGTCATTTTGCAAATGACAATTTTATAATTGAAGAGGACACGATTCGTCGAATAGTCGTAAAATAAGGAACTTGAAGGAATACATTCACCACAGACAGGCTCCATGGATGTCTTGTTATTATTATTATTATTATTACTATGACTCGTACTTGGATAGAAAAATACTTGATTCATGGGACAATTCTTGTTGAGGGTTGAAAGATCTTGACGAAGAGCCAAACTTTCTTCGGTGAGACCTTTGCAATCTCCTTGTTTTTGACCATCTCTATAGATGCATGTGGTTGTTGCAACGACCATTGGTAGAGTGTCCTCATCAATGTTGAAGAAGGTTATACAACAGGTCGTGAAAAGTATCAAGATGAGAGTGATTGGTTTCATTTGTTTATATAAGGAAATTTCTTTTTTTGAAAGAATTAATTCCTTTATTCATATTTCAAATTTTTCAACGATCATCGATTCAAATTTCATGATGAAATCAACATTTATTAGACCCATAACCCATAGTATTCACACAACAACAACGTGACAGTTCTATTTTTCATCAAAAACCTTCACAATACTCTTACCAAGATTTTTACCTTGATACATTTGCTCAAACGCGAGAGGAGTATTTTCAATTCCTTCTACTATCCACTCCACTGCTTTCAATTTTCCTTCTTTCATCCATTCAAACAATTGTCTTCTCGCTTCTGGAATTTTTGTGATATAATCCGCAGTCATACAAGTTTGTGCTGCAATGTTCTTTTGCTCATAAATCTTGGCACTCTTTTCCGTGATTGTCACTTGACCTCCTGAGGCATAGGTTGAGATGGCACCACACACATAGACACGAGCATTTTCATTGAGGTTTTGATCCACGGCTTCGGTAATGAGACCACCAACATTGTCATAGTAAGCATCAATTCCATTGGGACATGCCTCTCGAATTTGTTGAATCAACAATTGTAAATTATTATTGGCTTTCTTGTAATCCACTACAGCATCGTAGGAAAGTGAATTCAACAAAAAGTGACACTTGTCGGCACCTCCTGCCACTCCAACCACTCTCATGCCATGAATCTTGGCAACTTGTCCAACAATAATACCAATATTACCAGCAGCTGCACTAATGACAATGGTTTTTCCTTTAACTTGTTCGCGTGGCTTAACAAAATTAAATCCATATAAGGCATGAGAACCAGAAACGCTCAGTACTCCAAGAGCATTCGATAAAGGCGCAGAGTGATTCTCATTGTCATGATTATTGAAAATATCACGTTCCAGTTTTTCAAAAGTTAATTCGTCATTGACATCAACAATGGCATACTCTTGCCACTTCCAGTCGGCTGCAACCAAGTCACCCACCGAGACTGACGAGTGTTTGGAGGCAAGAACTCTGCCAACACCTCTTCCTCCAAACAGTTCATGGAGATTAGTGACATTCCATGCATCTTTGAATTGTGAAAGCTTGAGAGAAGCGTTTTGAGGAACAACATCCCCATGAACACCTGCTTTTCCCATGGGCATGATTAAATAAGGATCTAAGGACAAGTAATAAGTACGAACAAGAATCTGACCATCCTTGAGAGAAGCTTGGTCAATGACTTCTGAATCGTCTTTTGTAAAATGTGAAGCAAGAGGAACGTTTTCAGGTCTGCTTGTCAGAAGAATTCTCTTGTTGCTAAACATTATTTGAGGAGTTGATGAATTGTTTTTGCTGAACTGAAGTTGGGCTATCCCATTTCGAAATTTAAAGTGTTGCAAAAATTAGCGCAGCGCTTAATTGTCCTCACGCAGAAATAATATGCTTGCGCGTGAGATGTTCAAGCTTTGCTTTGGATGCTAGCATGTGCACAAATTAGCACTTCTTTACTGAATTTATTGTTCTTAGTTTCCATTGATTTTTCATCACAAACACAGGTAAATTATTGGTTTCTAATCTCAGAAGTACAGTCTAGAACGCTGGAAATTTCTTTTTCCATTGATCTTTCATCACAAATACAGGTAAAAACAAACGCCTTTCTAGAACTTCTCAATAAAGTAATAAGAGAATGTGGTTTAGATGTATGTTGAATGGTAAGTAAATCTACCAACGTTTTTGTAGCAGAAATTTCAACAAAAACAATTTTGCTGGAAAGCCTTTCACCTGTAACCTTGAACACTCTGTCAATCATGAGAGTAACGATTAAATGTGACTCATCTCTCTTCTTTTCGTGCTCAACGCTTGAGAGAACCAAGTCCATCGTTGAAGCATTCTTGAGGACCGTAAAATCTTTTGTGGTTACCTGAAGATCATCACCTAGCTCTGACACTTCACAAATGACTGTTGTGGTGTAGATTGTTCTGGAATTGTCTGCTTCATTGAAGATGAAGTCAAGAGTTTGAGGAAGAAGACCCTTCTCCTTCGATGTTCCATACAATGTATATGTTTTCCCACAGGTATTAGGGCCAGTAGCTAAAATACAAATATCGTCGCCTTCCATACTGCTTCTGACCGCATCTCTAATTTCATTGAAAACTTCTGTTTGGCTGTCATCTCGAATAGAGTCAAATTCATAATTCTTGTTACCTAGAGATAAGATGTTTCTTCCTTGTATATGTACAAGCCCTGCAGACGCAGAGCCATTGGATGGTTTACATCTTGCAATAAATCTCAGCTTTTGTTTCATTTGAGCAATTCCTAAACTCTTTTGATCTGTTTGAATATGCACAATCCTTTTTTCGATCTGTCCACACATTCCTCGTTGTTCCTGCAGTTGTTGCGCTAACTTTTGAAGGTCATTCTCATCTTTTTGGGTTGAGCTGAGTGCTTGGATCACTGTTTCCACGGAGCTAGCAACGCTCTGAATATTGGTTCTAGTAGCATTAATTTGTTCAAACAGTTTTTCATTAAAGGCGCATGATCTATCGTGTTCTTCTTTCAGCTGTTTATACCTTTCTGCCTGCGCTTTGATTTTGGCTTCATAGTCTAACCGTACTTTTCTATTGTCCATCTCGGAATTCTTTTTCAGTTCAGCGTTCACCAGTTCCAAGATACTAGCTTTATGTGAGAGTTGTTCATGCTGTTGAAGAGCTTTCTTCATGTCTGCCACTTGTCTTTTCTCTTGGTCAAGTTCTTGCTTTGCTACAACAATCTCATATTTAAGGTCGTCGTTGTGTTTGATGGCTTGCATCTTTTCGGAAACAGCCTGTTGTAGTTTTTTCTCTAACTCCTTGAACAGTTCGTGTCTTCTTTCTGGGTCAGTGTTCTTACATAAAGAAATCTCATCCTCCAAAATCTCAATCTTTTGCAATAGTGATTCGATATGGTGATCTTTTTCTTCGAGGTGAGCCATGGACTGAGTTTGTTGCATCTTACTCTCCTCAAGAGCTGTTGTAATTAGATTACTTTCATCCTTCAACGCTGTGTGTTGTTTCATTAACGTCTCATAACGATCCTGAAGCTCAGACAATGCATCCTTATACTTTTTGCTTGATGATTTGTACTTTGATAGTAACCTCTTGTATTTATCTAGTTCTACATCTGGAGGCGCATCTAAAGCTCTTTTTATGATCAAATCATGATTTTCTTGCTCCAGCAATTCAATCTTCTCGTATTGTTCCTTGATAATATTTTTGATTCTGTCTAATTCTAAATGTTTATGTGTTTTAAGATCCTCAATTTCTTTTGTAGCCTGTTCTAATAACAAAGTCAATCGTTGTTTTTCTTGTTCTAATGGTGCATGTTGATTCAACATGTTTTCTCTTTCTTCTTTGAGAGTCTGTAATTCTGCTTTATCTTTGCTGGACTCCATCTCCACCTTTGACAGAAGATGTTGGACAGTATGCAACTTGTCCTCAATCTCTTTGGTGGTATCCTCTTTTACCCGTAAGGCCTCTTCTAAAATGTTGATATTCTTCATTAGATCCTTTTCGACTCGTTCTTTATGTACGATCTCTCGTGTGGCTTGCTCGAACTTTTCTTTCCAAAGAGATGCTTCTTGCGAGTCTTTGACTGCTATGGATAATCTTTCAATTTCCTTTTCTAAAATGTCGTTTCTATCCTTCCACAATTTAACATCTTTCTCGTTTTTTTCAAGCAAGTGTGTTTTTTCCTGAACCACTGTTTCAATTATGGCCATTTTTTGAGATAGATCCTTGACTTGTGTGTTAAGGATGTTCTCTTGCTTCTTGTGGCTGTCTACAAGTTTAAGCTTTTCTGATTCAAGCTGCTTAATCAATATTGTTAACTTGTGATTTTCTTTTTCAAGATCAGAAGAGTTATCAGCGCGTTCTGAAACAACTTTCAGTACTTCAGCCAGTTCCTCTCTGTGCTTGGTTTCTAATTGTTGCAACAATTTGTTCACCTCCTTTTCCACGCGTTCTAGGTTGGTTTTGTATTGGTTCTTATTGAACTCAATTTTCTTGATCAGGCTATCCACTTCGTTTTCTCTTATTTTCTCCAACAGCAAAAATTCCTCGTTGAACGTGATCAGCATTGCGATTTTGTCTTTAAGAATATCGTTACATTTTTCACAATGGCTTTCTTGCTCCGAGTTTGAGGTTTGGACCGGATCATCTTTTGTTGCAACTATGATTTGTTGATCGTTGAGCGTAGAATATTTCGTTTGAAACTCCCTGACAACCGACTCCAATTGAGAAACGTGATTTGATTCAGTCTCGTTGTATTGTTTTCCCCCGACATGCTTTGTTTTCATTTCCTCTAAAAGTTGGATATATTGTTGTACCTTTTGTTTAGCGTACTGAAGGGGGACATAAATCTCGTTTTCTAAGGTAATGGAATTCTGACTGTCCAAATCTAAGGAATGTAATGAGTTTACGATCATCTCGTTCATTTGACTTGGTACTCGCATAGGATTGAAGTTTGTCGGTACTTCTATGGCAGGAATTTGAGGGTTTGTCGATGACACGCTCTCAGCGTTGTTCTCGGAGTATGCTTTCTCTTCCGTACTCGTTCCGCTTGAAGCAATGGCTGGTTCGGTCTCAGTCCTGTTTGAAGATGGTAAGGCTTCTTGCAAAAAAGACGGAATCAGTACTGTATTGTTGGTTGTTCCGTTTCTCATCAGGGACTCATCATTGATAGCACCACAAGAGGGCGGAGCAACTCCTTCCGTTTCCTCCTTCTTTAACCAAACATTGAGGTTGCTAAAACTCATCTCGTTGGGATCTACAATAGTATTAAAGAAGTATATTGTAACTATATGGTAGTCAAGGAATTTGCTCTTCGATGCGATGATGTATGTGGATTCAGTGAGGCTTGATTTTTTTAAGGGTTAGTTCTCGATCGAGAGGCTTGGCCGTTACAAAATATTTCTGTAGAGTAAATCTTCTATTGGACAAATATGGTAGCTTGACAACGCTAAGCCAAGAAAGTAGCAGATAACAGATAGCCATCCTTGTTGTTCTTGTTTTAAAGATGCCGTTCGTTTCCATCCAGTTCAAACGCTATTAAAAAAACAAACAACAACAACATGAAACTCTCTTCCATCACATTCTGTCTTGTCATACTGATTTGTCTGAGTCTTTCAGTGTTGGCAGCTCCTCGCAGACAACGACCAAGAAAACAGGCTGTTGCAGGAGGAGAAAACGTTGCAGCTAATGAATTCCCACACTTGGTTTCTCTCCAATATTCTCCAAGTGCTGGCAGAGCTCCTCAACACTTTTGTGTAAGTATTATTAATATCATTGCAACTGTTGTAACACGTGTTTGACAATAATTAGGGAGCAAGTATCATCAGCAAGCGTTGGTTGATCACTGCTGCTCACTGTGTAGCTGTGGATGGAATGGATGCAACAAAAATAAGAGTAGTTGCTGGAACCAACAATAAGGATGCAAATTGTGCACAATCCAACTCTGGATGTGTGGTTAGGTCTGTCTCTAGAGCCATTTCTCATCCAAATTACAACAAGGACTACATTAGAAATGATTTGGCACTCATTGAATTGACAGCTGATTTACCATATGGTCAAAACATTAAGCCAATTGCATTAGAAGGTGGTTCTATTCCTTGGGAAACTGTGCTAACTGTTGCTGGTTGGGGTTTGACAAGAGACGGCTCACAAAATTTACCAACCATTGCACAAAAGGGTTATCTTCCTTTACGATCAAGCTCAGTGTGCAATGCACAACGTCTTGACATGCAATCTCCATGGCAATTGTGTGCAGGAGAAGGAAGAGGTATTAACTCATGCCAAGGTGATAGTGGTGGTCCATTGTTCTGGAAGAGACAGTCGTCACAAAACCCCTCAGACGTGGTCATGGGGTTGGCAGGACTGGTTTCATATGGACCTCAAGGATGTGGTCGTCAGGGCTCATTCAGTGTCTACACCAACGCCACCTATTGGATTAATTATGTGAAAAATTATGTGAGTGATATTAATATTGTCTACTACTCCAATCCTAGCACTCCATCTCCTTCGCCTTCACAACCATGTGTTTGCCAACAGCAAAGTGAGACAAGAGCTGACTCCAACACTACTCCTATCCCACATCCAATTCCTAATGAAGAAGCACCAAACAACGCTGACGAGGTAATGCCACCACATCAAGAGCCAAATCTTGTGGAATCAGCAACTTAAGAGTCTCCTTTCCTCAACAAAATTGAGGTTGGAATGAGTGTAACGAACTTGAGAGCGGCAAAGTCCGTAATTTTCCAATAAAACAACACACATGAACGTCCATAAAATAACGAATAGCCTTGTTGAATGTTGTACTTGACAATGTGATCCTATTATTGATCTGTCATTTCTTTTGCACGATTCTCATAAGGCCGTCTTTCTTCAGGGCTCATGTTTTTCCAAATGTCTTCTAACTTTTTTCTTACTTCAAAGAACGTGAGGTCTGGATTTGTTTCAGCAATACTAGGCCTATTTTCTTTGCAAAATAGAATAAAAGATGTGCTTGATACTAATGTTTCGTTTGCCTCTTTCGTAGATGTTATTGGTGTTGGTAGCTCGTCGTCGTCAGACTCAGTGTCAACAAAAGTGTCGCCTAGTAAATCACCGCTGCTTGCTCTTCGTACATTTTCTTCTGATTTTGAATCAGAGGTATTTCCAGAAAGCATATGTCCTGTAGAGCGGCTTTTCTTTGAGTCTTTGATTTTAGTCACCGGTCTAGTTGAATTAGAGACGTGTGATGAGCCACACTTAACGCTATCCTCCATGTTAGAATGGGATTGTGTTTGTGCGTCGACTGTTATCTTTGCAGGAATCGTTTCTTCTTTTTTCTTGTTGGGTACAGAGGTGTCCAAATTGGTTGTTGGTGCTGTTTGGAGTTCGTCACATTTACCTAGTTTTTGGAATTCCCTAAATTTCAAATACTCCCTCCAAATACCATAAAGTTTGAAAACAAGCTCAAAAGCAATGATCTTGTTAACTACAATAGTAATAAAAATCATCACACATAGAATTAAAAGCAAATAGAGCCATGATGAAAAAAATTCAAAAATTTGAGCAATAATTCCTGTCGACGTTCCAGCTGAAGGTGAAAATGCAGAAATAAATACGTCTCTGGCCAAATCTCCCATAAAGAATCCAAGGCAAGCAACAATTATTAGAAGAAATTGAGGATTGCTTTGATAATATTTTTGTTGCTCTGAAATAATTTTCTTCATCCAAGTGATGTTCTTGGTTTCTGATTTCAAAGAGTCGTTCATGACATTAGTGGCAACAGACAATACCGCGTCCTGTGATGTTGTCGCGGTTTTAATCTCTCCCAGAGCTTTGTTCCAAATGAAAAGAGAGAATCCCATTAATATCGAAAAAAATAAAAAGCATAAAGTTCTGAATTCCTGCGTGAGAATGTGAATAAATACTTGATAACCTCCAAGAGCCCAACTCATACATAATGAAAAGATTCCAGCTGTTATGACACACAAACAAATGAGAATAACGTTCAATTCTCTCATAAAACTCGATCGCCAATACGGTATCTGTTCTTTCATGAAATCTTTTGTGATAACTGTAACGCTATCTCTAATTGTAGAATCGATTCTGTTCATATTTTGATCAATACTCTGATCAAGTTGAACAGCCAACTTATTTGCTGTGTTGTTTAAACCGTTTTCTAATTTATGACCTAGATGATAGAACGCTCTTTCGATACCAATACCCCATTCAGCAAACCCTTCTACTACGGTTTCTTTTAAAACTTGTGAATATTTGTCCATTTCCTTTGACATCTTCCTTCCACTTGAATTTATATTCTCTCTGATGCTTGTTGTAATATCATCCGTACAATTCTTTAGAGATTCTTCAATACAAGCTCCGAGAACTTTTGCTGCCTCTTCACCGAATTGGGTGGCGCTTTTAACCAGCACTTGTGATGGAGCTCTGGTCAGAGCTTCTAACACATATTCCATCTTGATATAATCTAAATTGTGTTGATAATGAGAGTGGGGTGAACCAATAAATTATAATTGATTGTTGTTGGGTTGAAAATCAGATAATTCAATTTCCGACGATGATCAAAAAACGTTGGTTGTATTTTTTTCTTGTTCCTTTGAGCGACGTTAGTCTCCTGGATTGATTTGTGTTTTTAATCAAATTCCAATAGATACAGATAACGAAAAACCAGAAGCGATCTTTCGAATGTTTGAAACATTGGGATGCAACACAGAAACAAATTTTCCTTCAGCATTGCTTTTTGATCCTTGGCCTAGTTGATAACTGGATCCACATCCAATAGCATACAAATGCTCAGAACCTACTCGAATGAACGTGTGATTGAAACCACTCTCTAAAAGTGTAATTCGATTCTCCGAGTTTCCACTTGTTGCCATGTGGTTGATAAGTTGAGGTGTTGGAGTTGGAGAAGAGAAAATATGACTTCCCCATCCTACAAGTTCTTGTTTGCCTGAGTAGTTCAATAATGCAATACTGTGAGCCATTCCGCTTGAAATTTTCTCAATAATGGGAATGGTGTCTGAACGCATGTGATGGTTAGGCATTGGAACGATCTGCCATTCAGGCGAATATTTAGAAATAAATCCAAGTTGTCCTTCATTGCCTCTACCAACGCTATAAACATTGTCTTTCGTGTATAGAATGCTATGCGAAATGCCACAACTCATTCCCAACACGTCTGAGCCATTGACATTCTTTGGTAGAATCGCTTCTGTTATTTCATTTTGGTTAAACATGTGTCCAAGCTGGAGTTGTGAAAATTGGTTTTGTCCCCAACAAAATAATTTTTGCATTCCATCTCTTGTCGTGCATTTCATGAAAGTATGTCTAGATCCACAATACAAGTCATGAATTTTCTCAATCTCTAATTTCATTTCAACGATACGAGGAGTATGAACAAATCCAGTTCTGTTAAAACCCAGCCCTAACTGAGAAGAGTCATCAAGACCAAAACTATACAGAGTTCTTTCATCGTTTGCCAACGCCAACGTTGAATCTCTCAAGCTGTAAATTTGCTTGATTGGATGGCTTAATTCAATTTTGGTTGGCTCAGCTGCAAATGGAATTCTATTTGGGTTGTGACCACATTGCCCATATTGATTGTTTCCTTGTTTTTTACATTATGATTATTAATTTAATTTTCATGTTGATATCATCACATTTCATTATTATGATTATTAATTTAATTTTCAAAATATTCGTGTTAATAATATTGAAATTCTATGATGCAAATTCTACACTTTAATTACCTAACGCATATAAATTTCCAACGTTAGAAAGAAAGATCACATGTTCCGATCCACAACAAATATCAACAATCTTTTCTCCTCCAAAATACGATTTTGAAGATGTGTTTGTGAATAATTTTGTTGGCTTTGGAATTTTCTCATCCCCAATCGATCCCCATACATAAATTTCATTATTATTATTATTAGGGGTGGATGATGTCGAGTACGATCGCCAACTGCAAGCAATAAAATTATGTGGACGAGAAAGCTTGTGGAAGAAATTAAATTTTTTCATTTTGTAAAAATTATTTGGCTCTATATGACTTCAAGTCTCTACTCTTCCTCAGCAGGCAATTGACCTTTTTCTTCCAATTCCAACAACCTCATTTGTTCCTCAATTTCACTTTCAGTCAGTGACACCTCATCCTCTTCAACTTCACCATCCTCATGTTCAATTTCAATATCAAATTCAACTTCTTCTTCTTCTTGTAATCTTCTCTTTTCTTCTTCTTCTTGCTTCTTTTTCAATTCCTGTTGTTGCAGTTCAAAGGCTTGCCTTATTTTTTCTTGTTCTTCGTCTGCCTTTTTTTGTTCTGAATCTCGTTTTCGTTGTTCTTCTTCAAAGATCCTGAGAGATTCCTCCATAGCTTTTTTCATCTCTTCCTCTTCTTGTTGTTTCTGACGTAATGCTGCTGAGAAAGCACCCATTCCTCCAAACGGCATTCCATAATCCAAAAATGGTGGTTCAGCATCTGCACACTCGTCCAACAAATCACGAGCTTCCTTATTGTTAGGTTGGAGCTCTAAACATTGCTCCAAGAAAGATTTGGCTTGAAATGCCTGACCTAATGAGAATAAACATTTTCCTTGTAAATAGTAGGATTTTGCATTTGGCATAAATCGATTGGCCATCTAATAGATAGTGTCCCAAAATTAATCAAGAAAATATAGCTTCATAACTTACTGCTGCTGCTTTGTATGCATTCACAAAATTATTGAGTTTCATTAATGTGACAGCTGCATTATTGTATGTATCTACTACAATGTTTGTAAGTTTTTTTACGTCCTCTCTGTAAGAATTAACAAATGTCAATTCGCCAATTTTTTCTTCTAGATCACGCGACACTTACGTTCTGACTTTTAGCTCATCTTCTTTATCCAAGTAAACGAACCAAATCTTGAGAGTTTCATTATAGAAGTCAATGGCCTGGAGTACAGTAAGTAGGGAAAAAACAAGAATTGCAATTATTGATTTGTCAGTGGTACTTACCTTGTCATAGGCTGCATTTGTGAAGCACTTGTTACCTTCCACCTTGAACTCCTCCGCTTTTTGAACAAGAAGAGCAAACTCTTCCGAGTTATCGTCTTCATCATCCTGTGCATTGGGTTGTGATGGTGAGCTACATGTGTGGAAAAATAACACATCATCATGGTGTGATCAAAAGGAAATCATCAAAATAAATTTTTAGATAACGAAGAGTGATATGATCGATCGTTTCATGAGTTAAAGAGATCAAGAACAGTCGGACCATTTGATGATCACACAATAATTATTGCAAATTGAGATTTTCAACGTTATTGTACCAAAAAACACAAACCTTGTACTATTATTCACTTCGGAAGATGTTGGCTGTTCATTTGTGTTTTGTTCTTTGTCTGTTGTTGCAGATGATCCTGGTTGCTCTTCATTAGCGTGATGAATGCTATCGGATGAGGGTTCAGACATTTTTTGTGAAGTTCAGCTTTTATTTTTAGGTTACCACCTCTTTGAAAGAGAAAATTCTGAGGTCTAATCTCTAAGGATTCATTTGCACATTGGGAACGCCTTTATTAATCAAGTTCAGAAACAACGATTTAAAAACCATTAGCGTACTTATTCAACACTGCATTTCTGTCATGATCAGTACCCTGTGCTGGATACGCCATGTCTGCAGTGTGACACCATCCTTTAGTGATACCCATATTATTAGCTGCAGCAAATGAAGTAGTAAATCTAATCTCTACTGTTCCATCGTTGGGCTTGTATAATACCCAATCCATCACAGACTGACACGACTTTCCACCATCTGGGTTTTGTGTAGCATAATAGTAAATCTTTTTTTGTGAAGATTCTGGGATGGTCTTGAGCCACTTGGAAGCTCCATCAACACTCAAATCACTGGAGAAAATTCATCCAAGCCAATCATTGTATTAGGGAATGTTAAGCTATACGTTTAGCAATTTCAAAAAACTAACCTGTTTGACCCACAGCCAGCTCCAAAGACTTTACCCAAATTTGCAATGGATCCAGCAGCTATCGAAAGTGATTAAAAGAAAAGAATCAAGTCATTCCACAAAAATTGAGTAAAGGTACATACCTGAGCATCCACCGTATGGAGATCCAACAGATTGCAAAATTCTAATGTTAGGATTGGTAGGAACGTTATCGGCCTTTGACCAATAGAAGGTATAAAGGTGTACAGCGGCCAAACCTGTACCAAAAAATCGTCAAAATTAAGGCAAATGTTGAAATAATTCAGACAAATAGTTCATATAGTAATCCAATATTTCCATATTACTCACCTCCTTGACTGTGTGAAACAATTGAGAAAGATGGCAAGTCCTTACCAATTTGCCAAATCAACTGAGCAAATTGATCATTGGTTCTCGATTGTTTAATATCAGAGAAAATAACCGCATTTTGGAAGTCAGATGCAGTGAATGGGTTGCCTTCATAATAATTAAATGGTCACATAAATGGCAAATCACATAGTAAATACTCACCTCCCGAGCAATAGCCATGAACGAGAATGACCTTATGTCCTGAAGTAATACCTCTCTTTGTTGTCATTGGTTGCATGATCAAATCCTTTGGTCTAGGACCAAGGGTCATCATTTCGGTAACTTGGTCACCCTTGTTGAATGCATATACTGAATTGAGGAGCAACTTGGCAAATTTGTGAACTGCTTCTTGATCAGTGACTCTACGCTTGACCATTTTAGTGATCTCATCCACATGTTCATGGTGAGTAGAAACTTGTGAGATTTCAGCAATTTCTGAAATGATGGTGGAAGAGTCAACGTCTTGAATTTTAACATTTTTCAAGGTCAATGGAAGTTGTGCATTGGCCTTAGACAACCACTTCATGGAGAATTGCAATGGAATACTCATTAAATCCTTTCCTTGTGTAGATGGATTAGAAATTGACATACCAAGACTCCAACAAACAGGAACAATGGAGGAACCATCTTGAGACCGAGCCCAAATTTCAGCATAGGCCTTATATTTCTTTGGTTCAGCATCTTGGACGAGTGGTTTAGCTTGCAAATTAACTGTCATCATTTCATCCATTTGGTTAAATGCAGCAACGGTGCCAGCATTGACCAATTCCAAATCCTTCTCAACAACAGAAATAATATGTTGAGTGGTACGCATGAAGGTAATCTTTTGTTGAGATGGAACCATTTTGGCATTGGCAAACAATCTTGCCTTCATTTCCTCAGAAACAACACCTTTCACAAGAACTGTAAAGTGGAAGATACCTTTTTCAGTTGCAACAAATTCACCACTGAAGGTACCATCTTGATGAAGCTTTGGATCAACAGCGAAACGACCGCTAGACACAGCGTCTCTCATTGGAATGACAGTGGCATGACCATCTGGTAAAATAACATCCATCTCAGCTTCGATATGTTCGAAACTAGCCAATGGGATTGCCTGTGGAATGTATTGGACACCAAGTGTTGCTCTCTTCTCAACCTCAGATTTTTCGCTGACTCGTGTAATGAAACCAATCTTGTCTCCAACAAGTGTCTTGAATGATAACGATTGAGTGTGGGCTGTTAATGGACTACTGTTGTAAATCATCAACATGGCGTCTGTGGAAGAAGCGTCTTTGGTGAGATACTTTTCAATGATTGCTTGTGGAGCTGTTTGCTTGTTCAAACTAACTTGAACAAACCAATCACCAATTCTGATCTGATCCACCTTGGTAAATTTGTAGATTTTGGCAGGAACGCTACTTTGTTTTTCATATCCCATCCATGATTCAGAAATTTCAGCAGTGATAGGTTGACCGGTAGGTTCATCATCGAAATTCAAAATTTGCAAATCCATATATTTAGCATCAGGACTCACAATAGAAACTGAAACATGTTCCAAAGAATCAACAGGAATGAATCCTTTCCATATCAATTTGCCATCCTGCTTATCCAACGAAATTTCCATCATGTATGAATCTGAAACCAACGAAGACATGGATGGTGATGGATCATTAAAATTAGAAAATTCCGATGGTTCTCCCTGCAAGTGTTTATAATAGCTTGCTGGGATGATCTCTTCCGAGTGGGCATGTTGAACCAACAACATTATGCTGCCCATGAATATTGCGACAACGAACAACAATAACGACGCTCTTTGTTCAACGTTCATCTTTAGGATTTTTTTTAAGCTGCTGAGCGAAAGTTTCAAAATCTGACACTTCACATCATAATGCCAGCGGGTTGCATTGTGACTGAGGATTGGTTTTTTCGGAGAAGGAGTTGAATCATGAGACACAATTCAAGACCATTAAGGAACTATTTCGAATATGACATTCAACTGTTGTATTGGTGAGACTATGAGAATTTTAACAGTTGTATTTCGTGTAACTATTGTTTGCAAACGCAAAGCTAGTGTGAAAAAGAGCAAACAAGGTACCCAGCGCGCAGCGGAATAAACAGTTGATGCATGAGCCAACCAATTCATCATCATTGTCGCAGGACTATACGTCATCGTCATCAACAACACGGCGACCGTATTTCCAAATATTTCTCTTCACGAAATTAATGTATTCTTCAGAGTATTCAGGTTCGCCCATTCGTTCATTCTCTTCCTTCATTTTTCTTACCTCTTGCTCAGCTTCTCTCTTGTACTGTTCGGCAGTCTCTGCTCCTTTCTCAAATTCTGCAATACTCATGGATTTAAAGTCCATTCTTTTGACACTCCCATTTTCGAGTAAATGGTTATATAAATCAAGCTTCTTGTTGTACAAAAACTCAATAATTTTGCTTCTGCAAGGATAAA